AGATGGCAGCTACATATACGGTTGGGGCATAATTTGGCCAAAGTAAAGGAGGAATTAAGTTTTTTTTTTTTTTTTTTTTTTTCCACCAACCCATGGAGAAGCCTGCGTATTTTCTCATTGCTGGAGCCGTGCCTCCGATCATATGTTTCGAGACAACCACTAAGTTCGTGCTTGTTATAGATACCTGAGGTTCCCTCAAGATTGTTATGAGCTGGTCTTGAGTTAGGCAGAAAAGTTTGGACGAGGCGCTCGAGGAAGGCTATTGTGTTTCGAACAGTATCCTCAATGGCTTTCAAGTCGTTCCCAGTTAAGTCTTCTGGATAAACGGCGTCCTTTTCGCAGTGAATGGTCCGTATGCAGAGACCTGCATCGTTCAAATGCTCTGTGATTCTGCTGTTGATCAGGCAGTAATACTGAGTCGGTGTGCTATATCCTTGCGTGTTTGCACTCGACACTTTTACCAAAGCCTCGATGTCCTCCAAGTTATTCTGATACTCCGTAGCGAGGAGGGACAAGGTGCTAGAAGGCTCTTTAGTAACAGCCGATATTAAACGCTGCTGGACCTACACCTCTCGAGATCTTAGGATTTTTTTTGAATTTGGCTCGGCAGTGATGTCTTAACTCATCTATGCAACTATCATTGTGCCACTGCTCACAATAAGGGCCATATGCTTGCGCCACTTCCAGACCAAGAAGTTGTCTGAGACAACGTACGTAGGGATTGTAATTGACAGCGAGGCATTTATGCGTTGAATCGCGTACCCCAGCGCCATCTTGTATTCAGGGCTGGCAAACATGCGACCAATACCGAGGCCTTCTGTTGAGCGCATACTTCCAGGATCGTCAACTTGCGTTATGTCGCTACTCCATTTGCGTTGTCACATACACACAACCACATCTGGGCGTTTTGCCTAGATGACTGCGAAGGATTGTTCTTGGATGCGGCTTTTAAGTGTAGGACTGATGTGGTCACTAGGCTGGACGAGTGGGAGCCTATCGATGATGGTAGGTCTGGGCGAACCACAAGAGATGGTGGGCCAAAGTTCAAGAAGCAAGGCTCTGAGTGTAGGAGATGACGCAGTGATCGAATCTGTGCCAAGGCAATAAGGGTGATTGTCGGCGGGTTGTTGAAGTACGAAGCAAACGCCACCTGTTGTTGCCGGTCCTGCTAGGTGTGCTCAACCCTACGCTTGCAGAAGGGTTGCTTAAAAGACTCGTCGAACGTGCTACCTCAAGACGCAGATTCGTCCGAAGTAGGCATTTCCCGCACCCGGAAGTGGGGTGACTTGAATGCTTTGCTAGCGTTCTCCAAGACCGAACGACGATGGAGCAGCAAGTACGGTCTTGTCGATCCATGATTGCAAGAGTACCCCCAAAGTCATTCCGCACAACTCAGCTCAGCTCAGCTAGCGTCAAGACCGAATGGTTGGGGTTGTATCAGTGTTTTTAGTTGAGAGATAGTCGCAAGCTTGCTTTTGGCGCTCTCTTTCAGCCTTGCGTTCTGCTTGTTGTTGTTCCTTCACAGCCCTCTCGCGCGCGCGCTCCTCCTTCCTCCTCTCTTGCGCTTCTTTCTTCTCAGCGTCAAGCCTCTACTTGAGTAGCCTGTTTGACTCCTGTAGCTCCTTCTTGTTGGCTTTCCTTACCTCCTCGTTCTTCTCCTCTTGCTCAAGTATAGCCTGAAGGTGTTGTACCTCATTCACCGAGCGGAGGAGACTTCCTATGACCCAGGCTGCACAACTCCAATCTCCACAACCTCAACCTCACTGGTCTCCAGATCCAGTAGCACCACCTGTCCAGTCTCTCTAAACCTGGGTACGCTAACAAGCAACACACTCTGCCCCGCTGGCCCCTCAATGACCTTCTTCCCAAACTTCTCCTGGCACCCGGCAAAATACACATGCGGACAATCCTTCAGCAACAGGGGATCCTCATCCTGGAATGGATAGCACCATAGCGTGTCAGGCGCTGTAGGAGCGATACAACGCCACCTAAGCATCATCTCCATGACCTCCAGCGCATCGACATCGTCCACGTATTTCAGTAGGTCGGCTACTGTTTGGCCGCCTGTACCGAGCACGCGGTAGCCTTCTATGTCGCCATCCCATGGGTTCGTTACCGCGTCTAGTCCGTGAATTGTCTCGTTTGTTTTCGCGGGAGGTTCGGCGTAGAGTCTGCTCTTAGGAAAGAGGGCTGGGTGGAGGGGTTGTTGGGGGAGGGCGACGTTGGCGGGATCGTTTGCGCCGGGTAGGAGGGTGATGGGGAGAGTGGGGAGGAGGTCTGAGAGGAATTCGTCGAGGCGTTCGGCAGGCGAGGCGTTGTATGATGAGGCGTCGTAGCCGTAAGCGTGCTTTTTGCTCTTCTTCTCGGCGAAGTCTTCTCGTGAAAGGATTGGGCTTGCGTGTGACAGCGAGTCGCCGGCTATTATGAGGCGCGATATCGAGCTCGTTAAAGTCTGGGTTGGTGGCCCCGTCGCTTCGCCAGCGAGATATTCGAGCAGCAGATCGAGTGACAGCTCGTCGTCGTCTGTTCCTGTGATCTCTAACCCAGACACGATCGCTATTTTCCCAGCTTTCCCTCGGGTTGGCTTTGGCTTCTTTGCCTGTGTTAGGGCGGCGTCGTCGCGCTCCCACCGCTCAGGCTGCCGCGGAAGGTCCGCGTATTGTGTCGCAATGACTTGGAATGTGCCGTCTGCTTGTTCTGTCCCAAGCGCTGCAAGTACACAGCCCGTCACGTATGTCGAGCTCAGACTCTCACCGGTAACGCGCAGGCGACCAGACTCGTCCTCCAGCATCATCTCGTCTTGTCCACCGGATACGTAGGTCTCGCGCGGGGGCGGTGCGGCGATCCAATGCTCTTTCGATATATCGTCCAGGACGTTGGGTTTCAGCGCCATCTCCATGTACACCGTGCCGACGATCCAGCACAGCTCGCCTTGCCGTACGTCAAGCACACGCTCGACGAATGTGGTCTTTTCCCCTCCCAGCTCGAAGTCATCCCACGCATCGTGCGCCTTCTGCTTTACAGCCTTCTTCAGCTGCGCCAGCCGCAGGAAATACATATCGGCGAATTGGTGTGCATAGTTCTTTTCGGTGCCCTTTGGGAGCTCAAATGTGTGCAGTGGATTGTATTGCGACTCGGCTCGACTCGGTATAGACGGCGCATCCCCGCTGTGATGGTTAGACGGTGAACGTGCAGTTGTGGGCGGCAACTTACAAGGGTGCACCTTTTAGCATGTTACCGGCCATTGTGTGTGTATGTATGAAGCTGTAAAAGGCAAAAAAAAAAAAAAAAAAAGGAGGGGAGATAGGGCGAGGCACGGTGCCGTTGTTTGTTGCTTGCGTTGAGACTCGAAATGTTCGTATATTGCGCGACGCGCGCCTTCCTTCCGCGTCGGCTGGGAAGGCGCGTCGCGCTTGCCGAATGGGGGTGCTTAAGAGGCTTGACCATCGTGACGCTGCTCACGATGCAACATCGAATACATCATGGCCACATGGAAGGCCCGCTTTGTTAATGGATGAGTTTCGTGTTGTATTAACGATTTGCGGAATTGGAAGTAATCATGGTATTCGAGATGGGCTATCTTAGGTGGCTTCTCAAGTTCGATACAACGTCCAGCACCACGAAGCAAATTCAATTCGTCGTGTGTCCCGCCAATATGCGCCGTTCGAATGAGATTCAACGAAAGCTGCGCTCCCCTAATATGGAGGCCGAAGCCAAATTCAAACCTCCAAAAACGGTATAAACAAAGTGCCTGCGGTGAGCAAGCGGGTATGCGAAGTAGGTATGAAAGCACGCTAAAGCTGTATATCCCAATAACGCCGGATGGTGAGGTCTGTCTTCGCTTGCTGATATCCAATAGACAAGGGACGATAACGATGATAAATGCCAGAGCCCACAGATCCAGTCCTGGGTCCTTGAGATTAGGGTTCAGAAATTAGACAGAATGTAGTAGATCGTGCGATATGTCGATTAGTCGAATGCGGTCTCTTCGCGGACCATGAGCGGGTTTGCGCGGGCATCCTCACGGAGTCGTTGGTTGCTCGATGCGCTGGACCCGCTCGATCCTTTGCGTTGGCCACCCATGCCCATGTTCATAAGAAGCATGCCACTCTCACGTCGACGCTGTCGCTGCTCTCTCGAGTTGCCCTGGACAGCGCTGTTGAGGCTTCCGTATCCCTCGCCGTTTTGGTAGGCTTGCTCATACTGCGGAGCATCGTAGCTTGGTCGCATGGGAATGAAACCGGAGTCGTAGCTGCCATTACGGCCTCGCTCCTGCTGTTGCTGTGGAGGTTGAGGTGCTGGGTATGAAGGAGGGGCACTGTCCTGGAATTGAGGCGGTCGCCTATCGAAGCGTTGCTGGAAGGTGGTCTCGTTGTAGGCGGGCGTGGGCAAATCTGAGAACATCTGTCGGCGCGGAGATCGAATAGCTTCATCTCCAAGGTGGGTGTTGTTGGCGCGAATCTCGTGGATAGGAGAGCTCGCTTCATCGAGAGGCGAACCGAAGATATCCATGAAGTCAGTCAAGAAGAAGGCTATGAGCGGGGCCGGGATGTTCAGAGTCGGTGCGAAGACGATGCCAACGTTGCGGACAGTCATCTTGTTCAATTGAGAATTGTCCACAACTTCGATCAAGAAGGATGACAAGTGGCGTAGTAGCTCGAAATTGGCGATGGGAAGCTTGTGCACCAGCACGTTGAAGCTCTGGATCTTCTTGCTACGCTCGTCCATATCTGCACATGTTAGCTAACTCAGTTGGAGGTGATTGATCAACCTACCAAGAACTTTGAGGAAATCGAGATGGAGTTCTCGAGTCAAGATGGAAGCTGGCAGCTCTCGCAGGTACAGCTTCAAGAGAGAGGCGACAGCATGCACATCAGTGTAAGGCCCTTCCACAAGTGGAACATCGCCTTCGCTGTTGAACCTGTCGCGCAGACCTTTGATGACTATGTTAGAGCCACTGAGCCTGAAGATGCCCTCTTCTTTGATTGCCTTCTTGTCCTTGAGATACTCCAGGCAGCGGAAGACCACCGAGGGTAGTTGAGCGCCAAGGTTTAAAGGCTGCGAGAACTCGACAGCTTCTTGCAACGTCATACCAAAGACGTTGCGGTTCGGTGGCAGCCCCCTGGTTTCCGAAACGATTGGCAATGGCGTGCTATTAACCTGTATGGGTGCAAGATCTGAAGAACCACCTCGCCCTCTGAAGCCGAAGATGCTACGCTTCTTGTCCTTGATGGTGGTAGGACCGGTAGCGGGCTTGTTGCCCCAATTCTCCGCGTTTTGTATCGGGGTAGCATTGCTCGGTGCTGAGATCGCAGGGTAATGGCCCATGCTACCCTGGGAGAAAGACGAATTCTTGGGAGATCCTCTTGATGGTTTGCTGCCCATTGCATCTCGATGATTCGGGCCGCGAACTGGGGCTTCGGCTGCTACGGTGTCGTCGTAGCTGAGGCTCTGAAGCTTGTCGGTCTGTTGGTCGGCGTCTGGACTATCGCGACTGAGGGACCGGTCAGGGGTCTTGTTGTGCTGGGGCTTCTGCAGGCGCGCTGGAACAGCAGGTTTGGCTTCAACTGGAGAGGTTTCATCGCGGTAATCCACGTGCTGCAACAGAGCATCGACCCAAGCATCTCTTTCTTCATCGTTCTCAGCACAAAGAACGTGTCGCACAAGACTGGCTGAGTCTTTCCGCTTTGGCTCTAGAATCAAGAAGGCGTGCCGATATTGGTTGTCTTCGCCATCGTCTCGGCGCTGCGGCGACTGATTGGACTGCTGTTGGGACTGCTTGCCAATCTGAGCGTTGAGCAACTTGATGGTTCCCAAATGGGCACCGCCCTCCACTTCGTAGTATCTGAACTCAGATCCTTCAAGGATGAAGTATCGGGCTTTCCAACCGCCGAAGTTCTTACCCCGCTTGGTCAGGTAGCCTTCTTTGTTGCCCTTGGTACGCGGCACAGAGGCAGCGGGAGCTAGAGTAGGCTCAGGCGTTAGCCTATCGCCGGTCTGCGCGCCAATAACGTCAGTGGAGAAGTAATCACAAACTGTCAAAGCCGCCTTCTCGCTCATGTTTGTTTCCAGCATGGCATCAAAGTACTGGTTAAGAGCAACTCTTCGCGCATCTATCTTCGCAGGAGCATGGCCGCTGAACAGGATACGGTCAGGAAGCCTGCCCTGGAAGTCGGACAAGGACCTTAGCTGTGCGTCTAAAGCTGGAAGAGAGGCAATGTTCTTCTCCAGGCGCCATAGCTGCTTGTTGTTTGAGCGCGCATAGATCGCAAGGATGAAGACAGGGTCTTCCTCTTGTGGCCTTGGGGCTAAGATACTCAGACGGGAAGGACGGAGACGCGACGAGAACACCTTAACCTCGATCGAAGGCAGTGCATTCGGCGGAAGCAGAAGTCCCGGGTACTGTTCAGAAACGAGGCCCCGGTATACGTGCTCCGCGTCCGGCATATCATTCAGGGTCGGACTGCTGGATGTAGAGTCAGGGCTTGGCTGCGCGTTTGGTACCGTCAACAGGTCTGGGCTTCTCTTCGACTGCGTAGGTTTCTCAGCTTGTGATCCGGGAGGTGACTGGTATGATTGAGGCGTGTTTGGCGGAAGTGGGCCCGGCTGTTGCAGGGTCCGCGAACCAGGCTGTACGGTTGCGGTAGGTGACATGGGTGGGGATGCTATTGATTGTTTGAGATTTCTTGGCAATGGTGAACCGGGCGGTCTGTCTCCAGGACGTGGACTGGTAGGCAAGCCAGGGCTCAACAGCGGTGAGGCAAACGCGCTTCTGTTTGCTACCATTGAGCCTTCCGAGGCTGTAGGGCTGAGCATAGCGTTCAGAGATCCAGCTGGAGGATGGCGTGGTGACAGTGGTAGACCGGCCTGGAGAGGGTTGAACTGGCGGGATGACTGCGGCAACGCAACCATTTGAGGTACGGGGTCGTCTTCTGGAGCTTCGACAGGCGTGGATCTTGACTTGCCCTTGCTTTCACTCTTCTTCTTCGCCGACTTGCTCCTCGCTTCTTCGTCCTTCAACGCCACGGCTTCACGGGCACGATCATCGTCCTCGCGCGTCTTTCTTCTCCCTCTTTCCGCCACAATCGGTATCTCCTCCACTTCAAGAGTATCGTCGTAGTCGGAGTCATCGTCGTCTTCGTTGCTCGCTTGGTGCAGGTGTGCGCTCGTCGTTACCGGCTTGGACAGGTTGAGAGGAGCAGGTGGGGCTTTTCGCAAAGGCTGTGCAGGCTTTCGTGGAGGAGAGCTGAAACCGCCGCTACGAAGCTCTGGAGTTGCCTGAGTTACTGCGAGCTGTGGCTGCAGCGTCGTGCCGTTGGAGCCTGACGATGTAGCAGTGTCAGGCCGTGGTGGGGTCACAGGCCGTGGAGCCTTTTCCGTTACTCGCGAGTCGAGTGTGTTCTCCTGCAGTGCAGCGTTTAGCCCAAGCCCTTTGTTGCCAAGGGCAAGAGGTTTGACAGAGTAGTCTGTTGGCGAGTTGATTGCTGAGTTTATGCTCGATGCAGTAGGCGATGCAATCAAGGAATGAGCGGGCGATGTTGGTAGCTGAGACTCTGGATACAGTTGTGTCGCAAACTGCCCTTGTGTCTGAGGCGCGGCCTTGTGCTCAACCGGAGCTGACTCGGCTGGTTTGACAGGTTCCTCAGGTCTCTCGCTGGGTGCCGGTGATTCGCTGTGCTCGCGTCCCACAACAGAATCGAAGGTGTCAGACCGCTGCAGTGCTCCAGGCACTGGCTGTGCCTGCTCAGCGTACTCCTTCATCTTCTTGCGGTAGCGATCCTTGTCCTTGAGTGCACGCTCGAGGTCCTTCTGTAGCCCAATGACCATGGCTCGCTGTTTCTCGACTAGCCGCCAGAGCTGCTGGTTGTGACTGGCCTGGCTCTGCTTCTCCTTCCACATTGCAAGCAGCGCAGCCTCGGGCGAGCCTGCTGCGGCCATGAGGGCAGCCATATCCGGCGGATTGGCGGTGTTCACATCCTGAGACGGCCGAGACGAGTGACCAGCAGCTGGTCGCGGCGCTGCGGAGGCACTGGACGTGACGGAGGATGCGGCCGAGTCTATGGAGAGGTTGCGCGGGGGAGTGGTGGGCTTCGTCTCTGGGCGGAAGGGCCGCGATGGGGGAGGCATGGCTGGAGAGGAGCTGCCGGCGGTGGGCAGTGTGGGCGAGGAAGCGTGTCGCAGCTGGTGCGCATGCCCAGGAGGGTGGAGGGCTCGCGGGGAGTGGCTGAAGGCAGTGGGTGTGGCCGTGTTGCTGTGTAGGCCTGTGTGGTTGTGCTCTTCCTCGAGCAGCGCTTCTAGCCTCTCGCGCGGTGAGCGTGGCTCGTCGTTATAGGCCGCAGCTCCTGCAGTGTTAGGCGAACGAGGGCTGCCCGCCGTCTGCTGCAGCGGAGTCGGGGCCTGCTTGCGACGCCCTGCTGCTCGACTGCTGCGCTGCTCGTCGTCGGTGGCCGGCACGTCCTGGGAGGGTGGGCGCGCAGTGGGCTCGCGAAGGCTGCGGATCGAGTCGGCCAGAGAGACGGGAGCGTGGTCTCGGTGGTGCTGCTCGTCTTGGTAGTGTGCGGGAGAGAGGTGCGCGTGGAAAGCTGCTTGCTGGGCTTGTTGGAGCATGGCTGCGTCGCTCACCATGGAACGCTCGTCTCAAACCAGGCTAGCTGGCTGACCGGGATGAGCCCTATGGCCAATGTCGAGAGTGCAGGCAGGAGTGGAGCCGCTGTGTCTTCCGCGACCCTTTGTGTCTCTGGCAGAGGGCAGGCAATCTGGTCCAGCTGGTCCAGCAGTTTCGTCAGCACTTGGCCTCGCAGAATGAGTCGTGGCCGCCCGCCATCAGAGGAGGCGTGCGGATCAGCGAGGACGTCGAGAAATTTGGATGCGTAGTCAGGTGCCAGAGCCCGCTATCTGCACTACCCATTCGCCGGTCTACGCGCCCAGGAGCAGGAGAGCAGTCCGGCGAGTCTAGCGACGCAAAATATCTTTAATTCAACCTTAGGCCATCTGCTGCATTCCGCACCCACGGCCTGCAGGCACAGCTAGCAGTGGGTTCCTGCATCCAGGCCGGCCCTCTGGCCATGTCCGACACACTGCCAGCAGGAGCAATTGTGCTGTCCGCGTGCACACCTGAGATGAAACCGTGTGGACGACCCTGGCTGTCAACTTGTTGTAGGAGGCTATACAGCCTCCTGATTGGCCCACAGCCAGGCAATACAGCACCGGCAGCTATCGCCCTAGAGCACTTAGCAGCCTGCATATGCGGCCCTCAGCGTGCACGCCATCGCTAGCTGACAAGCGGAGCTCCCTTCTGCAGGTCATTTGTTGGCTGGAACCCGGCCTGCTCGACACACGAAGTGACTTGATGGCGTCGACAGTGCTGCTGGCCCACGAGCCCACGACCCGGAAACAGAAACACTTTGCAGCGCCGGTGAGCGGGGCCATGTGTCTGGCTTCTCCGCCGGCGCGCCATTGGCCGGACTCCCGACGTCTCTTGATGGCTCGATTGTTTGATGATGCCAAGGTAGGCAATTGTGCTCGAAGCTTTCTGCACACCCGAGATGAGGAAGGAACGAACCCCGCATGCACGTCGATCACCTCCGAATCACACTCCACCCCGTTCTTAATCCCCTTTCGAGCTCGAACCATGCAGCTGTGCGCTCAACGGCCGGCTCGCTGCAGATGAACGCACTTCAGCTGCTAACGGTGAGCGAGGCCAGACGACTTTCACACCGTTCACCAGATTTGGGGAGCAAACTTTAATTGACATCTCAGGCACACACGGCTAGTGTGGAGCCCGCAAATGCACTCGACTAGCGATGGCTCAAGTTTGCTGACCCAAGCCAGAAACACCATCGACCGCGATTCAAGCGAGGGACATTTTACTCTTGCTTCTGTCTCTGTGTCACCAACAACCTCTGCGTGGAAATGAAGTACAACAAGCGGCAGCGATGACTGCCTGATCAAGCTGCAGGTCTATTTACGGAACGCGCTCATGCCTCAGATACTCGCCGCCCTGCAGCGGTAACCTGAGGCAGACGCCGTAGCAAAAGCACGACAAACAGATCGACCCCAGATGCAGGTCATATTGGTGCCTTCGGTATTACAGTTCGATTGTTCGGGTGCACTACAGGAAATTGCCGGTGACCAAGGAAGAAAGATTCCCGAACAACCCTGCGAAACGCTTCTCCGCATCTACGTTGGTCATGCCAAGTGCATGTTCTCAGTTCTTCGAACACTTACATCGGCACTCCAGCATCCAGACGCTGCCTCTCAGTGAGGTACTGAATACTGACTGAACAAATCTCTCGGGACAAAAACATTGCCCCCACAAAAACGCGTACTCTTGTTAACCAGGCAGGCAAAGAACAACAGCTCTCTACCTTGCCGCATCAAAAGTAACGTGAACATACCGGAGACATCCATGACCGCTGACAGAGCCCAAGAATCAGCAGCTGCAAACCGAGCGCAAACCCATTTGTTTCTAGAACATCACCTAGTTCGCTTCTATATCATTGGATCATCGATCATCGCAGCGGTCAGCTTGGGACACTCTGCCAGCGAGAGTTTACAAACATAACAACCTTTGCTCCGGGGCCGCACAGCTTTCTGCTGAGATCTCGTCCGCAAGCACCACCACTAACAACCGGCGTGGCTCCTGCTCAGATGCTCTATTCGGATCTCCAGAAGATCTCATCTCCACGCCAAGATAGCAATACCCGAGAGAAACGCCATGTACCACCTCACCATCTCTCACCGTCTGGGGCCTCCCATGTGGCTTCCGTGCATGATATTGTTGAAGTGTACAATTATCGTGGGTCAGATTTGGGTTCTGACAGCCTCTCCGATACGGTTGTGGAACACCATTTTGACCGAGTTCTGGAGCCGATATGCAGTGCTACAGCCCTATCTTCGGACTATAATGAGCACAGCTGTTAGATCAGGAGAAGCAAACCACTCATGCAATATTTCCGAGGTACAGACCTAAGCAGCGGGTTACAGCAACACCACAATCTACGCGCTTTACACTTGAACCCCATTTCCATGTCAAGATGTCAGTAACAATTAAGTCTACTTCTAACCCAGCGTTCATGGTTGCTACATTGAGAGAGTGGCGCGCTTAGTAATGGTGGCACATTCGGTTATAATCCGTGTTAACGTCACACAATATGGTATTGATGGTTCAGTAAAGTTAGGAACTCTGCGTTACCTTAGAGTAAGTGAATATAATACCCTCATGGTCGTTGACCATGTCTTTTGTGACGGATCGTTATGACTGATGCCAATGTTTCGCTGATAGTCCAAGTCTTTAACGATCTTAGCCAAATGCAAGCCTGCTCCACTATGCATTCATGGTCAGCGACGCCCCGAATCAAGTCTACCAGAGAGTTTGACAAAACTCGTGGAAAAGACAGCTGACCACAACATAGCTCCGTGCTCTCCCCAAATACCTTATGATGCAAGGTGCATGTATCCACATCAACGCCGAGCAACCCCCCCCCCCCTCTCAACCTAGTTTGCAGGCAAATAATCTGGGCTGCGAGGGAAAACATCGCAGCCTCATGAGGATGTCGGGTACAGAATGTGTGTATCTGGGCCATGAATCTGACTGCGTGGCATAGAGCGACTGAAGCACTGCTGGGCTCTTCCGTAACCCAATTCGAGCAGCCGAGCTCTGGATGCCCAGCACCTGGAGGCATTCGTCATCCATCCAAAGGAACTATCCCTGTCGCTCCGTGGAATGCGCAGAAGCATCGTCACGCAGTGGTAATACTGCCAAATAGTCTCTTGATCATGGGCCACGAGGTGTCATGGCAAGACACAGCAAACAATTGTCCCACGTATCGTGTCATGGTGTTGGTCCAGTGGAACCTGGCGACGAGTTTCCCATATCAAAATCGATTCGTCGCTTTCGTTTCTGCCTGTTGGGAGAATCACAAATCCTGAAGAATGGCGAGGCCAACTATCAGTCTGGAGAACGCAGTCAGGGACCTAGATATGTCACGATTTCCGCGGTATCGTCCAGGTACTCCTTCAAGCAGCTGGCACCCTCATGTCGATCTAATAGCGTCGTGCACTTAGCCACGTATTCGAACTCTTGGGTACTGAAAACCTTGCTTTGATTTTCGTACTCCAATCGCTAACTGCTGACTGAATTTGTCTCCCACAGTTGCTCAGCGCATAGAGCGGGAAAGTCAAGTGTATCAGTTCCGAGCACTGAATTAAAACCATAAATAATGCACTTCTCACAATCATGCATCTAGTTGCGTGTAAGCACGCTGTATGCGGTGTTCGATGGTAACAATGACAGGTGGCACATACCCACATAGCAAGAGCAGACCGTATGACACTCTGAGTCTTCTTCCAATGAAGCCATTGATCTTGGCCCGGATCAGAAGCTGGGGAAACACGCCGTTAATCCAGTAGAGATCGAGATTATCGAATTCTCAGTCGGACTTCGAGCTGGAGGGAAGCTACGGCTTTCTGTTGGTGGACGCAATTTCTACAAAGCGCAGCCGCATGAGTTTGTCAGTCAGCACGAAAGTCCCAACACGGGAATGGTGGCTATCCATCACGATGGCAAGTACGACTCTTGTATCTACCTGCCGATCCTGCCTTCCATCATTGGCTTGAATACAGCTGCTATGGTTGACAAGCCAATACAACCTGTATCTGGGCTTACGTCGTCTTCCCGACTTCAGTAACGAGCAAACCGTCACCGAATATGTCGACGTTCACACATCGTTGACAAGATCAAGCTTCGCGCATTATCCGCTCGGATTGGCCCATCAGCAGCCATTCGCTTACCCACCGGCCGAGATCGAAAGCGTTCAAAGGGTCTTACCATTCGCGGCCCCAAAGACCCAGAGCAATACCTACGATGGCATAACTCGCCTAGCCTCCACGAATACAAGAGCTTTCAAATTCGTCATCAGCACTCCGGAGTACAAGGCCGGCGCCAAGGCTCATCAGTTTGCAATTCCTGATGAGAGTTTTGGATTAGTTGCACAACAACAAGATCAGATCAGGTCATCTTCAGAAGCCAACCTCGCTCCAAGCAAGACTTTGCTGTCTATCTACTTCACGTCGTGCAGGCCTCAGAGGCAACAACACGGGCCAGGACGATTGCGATTCAAAGTGTTAGTTGTGGCTCTGAGCTTAAGGTCTATCGCAGGGACAGGAATTTGCTTCTTAGCAAGAACGATGAACGATGTTACCGACATATTTCGGGATAGCATGTCTTTTTGCGTCCAGATCAGCAACACAGTATCATTTCGACCGACGCCTTGGAAGGTCTTGTGAGCATGAGAGACTTGTCTTTTTGCCGTTGCCATTATCAGTACAATAGCCTTGAGTCCACACATTCCTCATACCATCGACTTTCGATCCCAAGTGGCCACAGCAACCTAATAGCAATACCTGAATTCTCCATCTTCCCGATCCGTCCCCGTCCCCCAAACTTCCTTCCTCATAAACTCCTCCTCCCCCGTCCTCACCTCGCCCCTCTTCGCATCCCTCCTCTTATTCTGCCACCGATAATACCCATATAACACCACCGTAACCAACGCACAACCCGCCTGCGTACCCATAACAGCCAGCTTCGCAGGTCGATAATCCGGCGCATCTCTCACCTGAAAAGTCTGCGGGCCGATGATGTTACCGATGCTGAAGGAGCCGGATACGATGGCGGCGGCGAAGGCGCGTTTAGTAGATCCGGAGATGTTGGCTGCTGTCCAGGCGTAGAGGACGGGTAGGGGGGCGACGACGGCGTTGACGAGGTAGATGCCAGCAAGGCAGCCGCGCCGGTTGGAGACGGGAAGGAAGGACATTAGGGCTCCACCGAGGATGCTGTAATGGTTCAGCCGCGTTGACTACGTTAATTCGAAAGTACTGACGCTGGGATAATGCAGCAGATAATCCATAGCCACCTATTCGACTGCTTTCGTATGCCGACACCGACCAGGATGGTGAAGAAGATGCTGACGACTCCTGATGGCATGTTCATCAGAGCGGCTTGCTTGGGCTTGTAGCCTAGGTTCCGGATCAGTGTTGCTGAGTATGTGGTTACGACGCCGCTGGATACAGACAGCTGTGGATCGTTAGAATAGACAAAGGTCTGCAAACCGCGGAAGAACGTACCAGGATCACAGCAAGAACCATCAAGTACAACTGCGGATCCGTCAATGCCTCCAAAATCTGCTTAGGCTGAAAGGTCCTGCTCTGAATACCAGTCCGGTTCACGCTGACGTGCTTCAGCAGCGCGACTTTCTCCGCGTCAGTGAGCCAGCGTGCTTGCATCGGCGTATCTGGCACAAGCAACAGCGTCAGTAGTCCAATGACGACGGTCATACACCCGAGCACAACGAACATGACGCGCCATCCAGCAAGTTCAGCTCCAGGTGCTACGTGTTGAAAGCCATAAGAAATGGCGCCACCGATGATTTGTCCAAAACCGAGGCCGCAGTACCAGAATGAGAAGCGGGGCGCTTGCTCGGATTTGGAGTACCACTGCGAACTGATGAGGAGGAGGGAGGGACCAATGGTGGCTTCGAAGATACCCAGGAAGATGCGGGAGACTAGGAGCGTGCGGTAAGATGTGGCTGCGGCACCGCTGGCGGTTGCAACGCCCCAGAGGACGACATTGACGCCGAGCCATTTGGCGGCAGGAACCATCTGGAGGAAGTAGACTAATGGAGGTCAGACTGAACAGCAAGGTTGGGCTGATAAGAGTGTACTGTTTGGGGCTTCGAAGCAAAGTAGACCAACGAAGAGGAACGTTGCAATGTTCGAGAAGTCATTGCCTACAAGACGGAGGTCCTTTTGGATGCCCATGACAGCTGCGTACTGGTACAAAGTCAACAATGGACCATACTATCTAACTGGGGGCGACTTACGTTGAGTATGACCTTGTCGAGGAACTGCATGGTGTAGCAACCGAACATCAGCGGCACGATACGCCAGTCCACTTTTCGACGCAACGCTTTGATATCCACGATGTTCGATGTCAAATCGTCGTTGTTGTGCTTGTGGAGGAATGACCATGCATCGTCAACACTGCCTTTCTTCAGCGAAGTTGAGGTAACTGTAGGCTGTGCTTCCTTGATGTTGGCGGCCATGTTGGCTCTAGAGCTGTTTGAAGCCAATAGAAGCCTCAAGCAATGGTTTCGCTGATCGTGTTATCGGAAGCTCGAATCTGCAATGAGTAGGAGGAGGTGAGAAGGATTCGTAAGATTCCATCCTCGGTGTACGTTCAAGCGAAAGTCGCAGACACGTCTCTTGGTACCTGCTTTCCCTGCAGAATTGATTGATATTCTTGCACTTTCATATGATCGGTTCTATCCGTGCATGGAAGTTGCCTGGCAAGGCTGCAAATCGACCGTTGGTGATAGGTTCAGGCCCCGCACCAAGGCACCATTTGCTGACATGCGTTACACAGCGCACAAACATCTCGTATAAATGCACGCTCAGGGTGAAACATGTTTAATTCGGGCCGCTGGTCGCATGTACGAGATTGTTGCTGCGTGACGCCGGCTATGGTCGGTCTGGCGTGATGTATCAACCATCGTAGTCAAGGATCATTTGCCGTCTGGTGAGCAATGGGCTTTTTGGAGTCAGATTTGCCCAATTGTGTGCGTCAAGGCAGGCTTGGCGAGAGGCCAATACTGCCGGTAGCGTCCTTTTGGCTACACTCTGCTGGTACTCGTGGAGAGCAAATCGAAGATTTGGAGCAGTAGGGCTAAGTTTTGACAGGACTATCTTCCTCAGCTCTAGTACGTCGACTATAGCATGATTTGCGCCCTCACCGCGATCTGGGAATGTAGTCAGTGTTTTGTGTGATTTAGCTCTGTAGTTCATCGAGGCTTACACATCGCCATGGCATGAGCCGAATCGCCCACAAGGGTGTATGTACCGGCCGCAAACATCTCTTTTCGAGGCTCGAAGTCATCGAGGTACAATATTTGCACCTTGGTGTCATTGGAGACCAGCGACAGGAAAGAGTGAAACGGTTCGGCAAGACCCTGAGCGATATCTCTGATGATTGCAATCCGTTCACTGTTGGTGAGCTCAACAGCTCCGATCGTTTTGGAGTGGAAAGGCTCTCTGTCGGTTGATCCAGAGATGCAAATCTGGTAGACGAAGTCCTCGTCATCCTTCTCGGAATGTTGAGGTGCTTTCAACACTGAGATGTGGCATTGGTCAGCTCCAACACTTCTGGCTTCAAAAATTCAGTGTATTTCTGAGTCGAGACTTACAACTAATGTACATAAACACATTGCTTGCAGATGCAGTGCCCTGCAAGAAGAATGGATCAAGCTCACGAATGGGTTTGGCTTGTGCAGCAGTCATCTGCATCGCGAAACCAAACATGGATACCGGTATCCGATGGTTGTCATACTTTCCAGATGAAAAGAGTCCGCGCCGTACTTGTGAATGACTTCCATCGCAGCCAAAGAGTATGCGACCTCGATACTCTGTGCCATCTGCAAAGTGGGCGCCCACAGATGTCGTGTAATCTGACAGGTCTTTGAAAGTTTTGCCCCACTAGACAAAACCATATCAGCTCGTTGCCGTTCCTATAAAAGGAAACCACAGCGTACCTGAATGTCAATGCTGGTAGCCAGTAGTCGTCGCAGTCCTTCTCTGGTCACCCTGATCCTCTCATTCTCTCCGGCTCGTGGACTCGCGCCCTTCTTCTCACCAGTGGTGAGGTCGAAGAAAGGAAAGGTTGACGATTCACCGCGCTCAACAGCGGCGCGATCAACGTATGTATCCGGAAGGCGTGATAGGAGATCTTCGGGGAGCAATTTGCGAAGAGCAGGTAGAGACCAGTGCAAAGTGAGCCCCCAGCCTGACCCTCGTGTCGAAAAGTCGTTGTCACGCTCAAAGATCTGAAAAGGTATGTTCAATTGACGAAGCTGCTGTGCGAGCAGCAATCCAGATATGCCTGCTCCAATGATGAGCACTGGAAGATCATTCTCCATTTTGTAGGACTCAATCGTGGAAATTGACGTGTGAGGTTGCAGTGGTGTTCGCATTGGAAAACATATCAGCAGGCAGCCGCGCTAAGCTGTTGGCACTTGCCTCTTGAGGTTTCTGCAGCTGCCCTGCTCCATTTGAGTTATTGAACGGCTGTACCTGATCCACTCCAACATTGCGTTTTGCAAGCTCTTGCATGCCCCTATAATCTCTTGTTATCGTCAACGGTTCTTTGAACGCACCGTGTGTTCATAAAATAGTTCTTTTGAATTGTATCGTTGACGCCGTTCCATGCTCCATGTACAGTATTATACACTGGTATACGCTCCTCCTTACATCTGTACCCGCCCCGAGCCTCCTCGCTCGACCTTGTTCAACCTTCTTGCAGTGTTGATCTGTGTTCTTGTCCTCTGTCCTCGTACAGGCAGACCCATAGCGTGCCGCCTTCCTCTGTATGTGCCCATATCCTTCAATCTGCGTATGTTGTCCTGTACTTCTCGCCGCGCGTCGTTTTCGATCTTCATTGTCGATAATTCGGCTGTGAGGTCCATGACGGTTGCGTTCTTCAACGCGCCAACCTTGGCCCAAGGGTGGATGTGGAATTTAGCCATGATCTTCTGCGACACCTTGGGGCCGATGCCAAAAAAGCTCTCGAGCGAGCGCTGCAGGAGCGTTAGATTCGCGATGCGCTCGATGCGGCGGACGGAGGTGGTGCGCATACTTTGACGAGTGTCGCCTCCGTGAAACTGAAACCATTGATAAACACCTAGAAACCGTCAGCCCACCCTCCTCGCCCTCCAATTGCATGCTCACCATATCGCCGACAGTCCTCAGGCAGCTATTTGGGTGGTGTTGAAGATCTGTAACCGTGCCTGCGCGAGGATCGCGAATCTCGAATGATGCACGGGCACACTCCGGCAGAGGTGCGACCGCCCCGGCGTGGTTTCACGCTAGACGGCTAAGGACCACGTCTCGGAAACAAAGAGTGCTCCTCCACCATTCCAGGGACTCGACACCTACTTAACCCCGCAGCCTCCTCTCCTTGCAGAAGAGACATACCAGGCATCATGATTTCCCTTCAAAGATTCCTCGTCTCTGTGCTTCTGATCCTCTCGGTTACTTTTGTCTTCTTTGCCCAGTCCGCTGAGGCTACCAAGGGACCTAAGATTACCCACAAGGTATGTACTGGACTCAATTTCGTGCCGTAGGGGGCTTGGTTGCTACATGGTATTTGTACACGTCAATTGGAATCAAGCAGTGTGCTATGTTGGCTACAACGCATTGCAGTCCTTGAACATAGCTGTAGCTCCTCTGAGAACTACAAGCTAACGACACCAGGTCTACTTTGACATCACCCACGGCGATGAGGAACTCGGCCGCATCACCATCGGTCTATACGGCAAGACCGTCCCCAAGACCGCTGAGAACTTCCGTGCCCTTGCTACCGGCGAGAAGGGCTTCGGCTACGAGGGCTCCACCTTCCACCGCGTTATCAAGCAGTTCATGATCCAGGGAGGGTATGTCAGACCCTACACGCTTTTGAAGGCTCAGCTAAATCCCCCAACGTGACTTCACAAAGGGAGACGGTACCGGTGGCAAGTCCATCTACGGCGCCAAGTTCCCTGATGAGAACTTCAAGCTCAAGCACACCCGCAAGGGTCTCTTGAGCATGGCCAACAGTGGCAAGGACACCAACGGTAGGTTATGTCAGCGCTCGATCACGCACAAACATCCACTGACTTCCTCCAGGCTCCCAGTTCTTCATTACCACCGTCATCACCAGCTGGCTCGATGGCCGCCACGTCGTCTTCGGTGAGGTTCTTGAGGGATACGAGGTCGTCGAGAAGATCGAGAACGTCCCCAAGGGATCTGGCGATAAGCCCGTCAAGACTGTCAAGATCGCCAAGAGCGGAGAGCTCGAGGTGCCAGCGGAAGGTATTCACGCGGAACTCTAAGCCAGCAACGTAGCTGGCAACATGCGGGAGAGCTGCTGATATTTCCTTGTTCAAGATTTGTACGGCACCGCAGGCGATGACGGCACCGAACTCGATGTCACCGCAGACCAGACCACCGGCGCTGTTGATGTCGCAACTACTCCTGCCACCAGCCAAGGCAGCAAGGTCCCCATCCCAGCCATTCCTGGCTCTGCTATCATGGAGGATGGTCTGTCTTGGGGCCAAAAAATTTTCTTCATTGGCGCTATTGTCGCTGTTTGCGCTCTTTTTTTACGCTCGCGTGGAGGTGCCAGCACCTCCGGTGGGTTTAAGCAGAGGAGCATGGCGTAGATGAGAAACGACGAAATGAAAGTGCGCTCATTATCATATAATCTAAGAGGACCACGAGATTGCGAATCGTTGTTGAAGCTATCTGGCTGTATTGTCAGGCATCAAGTGTAACCCGAGCAGTGTCGAAGACCCTCACGTTCGAGGACAACAGCAATGCATGTGCTTGTTTGGGGCAGTAGCGCAGATCTGGCGAACTTGCCCTGTGCGAGCACGGAACCATAAGCCAAAGATGAGCGCAAGTGATGCTTCACGCCGTAACCTGTCCGCACCACGACAACTAAATGTCTGACCACGTCGTCTTTCGCTGCAAGTTGGAGCGACACGTTGAACGGCATATGATATAGCATACCTAACAGTGACGTTCACCGCCCATTTTCACCGGGTTGCCACTTGGTGAGAGGCGAGGGCCCTAGCGGGCTTAGCGCAGCCGCCTCTCTTCAGGGCTTTCAAATTTATCAGTGCTGCCGTCCCTCCTTCTCCAACCCTCCACAAACAACAATCTTGTGTGTATTGCACGATTTCAACAACACAGTTTCTGTGAAGTCCCTCTTTTGGTCTTCACACTCATTTCATTCTCGTTTTTCAGGAAAGAGGCGTTACCTCGTTCCTGCTCAGCGAGTTTCAGGCGCGTTTCTGCCTACGAGTCTACACGTTCGTCACCCAGACGTCCATCAGTTTTTTGTCTGTCGCTCACCGCCGAGCCAGCCGAGAAGTCTTAAACCTCGTAATTTGCGACACTCCACCACAACATCGAGTCCGATAAGCGATCACCATAATCCAATCCTTCACTATGGCTGAACAACTCGACATGAGTCGGCTCAACCTGAACGACTCCCAGCACGCTCCCCAGCAGAACGGCTTCGGCCACCAGGAGCGCTCTGCCTACATCCCTCCTCACCTCCGCGGTCGCCCCGGCGGCGGTCCTACTCCTATGGATGGCCCTCCTCCCATGAACGGCGGTCCTGGCCTTGGCGGCGGCGCCTGGGGCCCTGGCCCTCAGCAGGGCGGGTACGACTACACATCTCCTTTGAGAAAAGGGCGCTTGCTAACAGATGACAGTCGCGGCTACGGCGGCCCCCCTCCCATGAACGGCGGCGGCGGCGGCGGCGGCGGTAACTGGGCCAGTGCTCCCAACTTCACTCCCCGACAAGGTAGAGATACTCCCAATGGCGCAGGCTGGGGTGCCACACAACCCAGCAAATTCGACCCAAATGCTTACGGCAAACCAGGTGGAGGCGGCGGCGGTGCTCCCCGTGGCTCTGGTGATGGACAGTGGAAGGATGGCAAGCACATCCCCGGTCCCTCCAATCCCCGTATCGAGCGCGAGCTCTACGGTGTCCCCAACGATCCCTCGAAGCAGCAGACTGGTATCAACTTCGAGAAGTACGATGACATCCCCGTCGAGGCCTCTGGCCAGGGTGTCCCCGAGCCCGTCACTCGATTCACCAACCCTCCTCTCGACGAGCACCTGCTGAGCAACATCGAGCTCTCCGGCTACAAGGTCCCCACCCCAGTCCAGAAGTACTCCATCCCCATCGTCATGGCTGGTCGTGACTTGATGGCTTGTGCCCAGACTGGTTCTGGTAAGACTGGTGGATTCTTGTTCCCCATTCTCGCCCAGGCTTTCAAGACTGGCCCTGTCGCTGCCCCCGCTCAGCAGAACGGTGGTTACGGTTACGGCCGCCAGCGCAAGGCCTACCCAACCTCATTGATTCTGGCTCCCACTCGTGAGTTGGTTTCCCAGATCTTCGACGAGGCCCGCAAGTTCGCCTACCGTTCTTGGGTCCGTCCTTGTGTTGTTTACGGTGGTGCCGACATTGGCTCCCAGCTTCGCCAGATGGAGCGCGGCTGCGATCTCCTCGTTGCTACTCCTGGTCGTCTCGTCGATTTGATCGAGCGTGGCCGCATTTCTCTTCAGAACATCAAATACCTTGTTCTTGACGAGGCTGATCGCATGCTGGACATGGGTTTCGAGCCTCAGATTCGCCGTATTGTCGAGGGCGAGGACATGCCTCCTGTTGCTGGCCGTCAGACTCTCATGTTTTCGGCCACCTTCCCCCGCGACATCCAGATGCTTGCCCGCGATTTCCTGAAGGAGTACATCTTCCTTTCGGTCGGTCGTGTTGGTTCCACTTCTGAGAACATTACACAGAAGATCGAGTACGTCGAGGACGTTGACAAGCGCTCTGTTCTCCTTGATATCCTCCACACCCACGGTGCTGGTCTGTCCCTGATCTTTGTCGAGACCAAGCGCATGGCCGACTCGCTCTCCGACTTCCTGATCAACCAGGGATTCCCTGCCACATCCATTCACGGTGACCGCACCCAGCGTGAGCGTGAGAAGGCTCTTGAAATGTTCCGTTCCGGACGCTGCCCCATCCTTGTCGCTACCGCTGTCGCTGCCCGTGGTCTTGGTTAGTACCCCTCTTCCCTTTCCCTACACTCTTCATCACTTCTTTGACAACCTCCACGAGCTCACGTACTAATTACACCTCAAAAACAGATATTCCCAATGTTACTCACGTTGTCAACTACGATCTCCCTACCGACATTGACGACTACGTCCACCGCATTGGTCGTACCGGTCGTGCCGGAAACACTGGTATCGCTACCGCTTTCTTCAACCGTGGCAACCGTGGAGTTGTTCGCGACCTTATTGAGCTGCTCAAAGAGGCCAACCAGGAGGTTCCTCAGTTCCTCGAGTCCATCGCTCGTGAGGGCTCTGGCTTCGGTGGAGGCCGTGGAGGCCGCGGCGGTGGTCGTGGTCGCGGTAACGCTGCTACCCGTGACGTTCGTCGCATGGGCGGCGGTGGCGGCTTCAGCGGCGGCGCTGGTGGCTGGGGAGGTCCTCCTCAGCAGGGTGGTTACGGAGGCAGCTACGGCGGTGCTCCTAGCTACAGCGGTCCCCCACCTCCCATGGGCGGCGGCGGCGGCAGCGGCGGCGGCTACGGTGGTGGTGGCTACGGCAACCCATCTGGCCCTGGCGGCAACTCTTGGTGGTAAATTCGCCCACTTTTCGGCGCACGACGATGCCTCTCTAGGACCGATCATGACACCCTGGACTGTCGTGCCGCAACGCTAGGCGACGTGTTTTTGTGATTTCTCTACTTGTTTCGAGCATTTCCTCGCAAGTCCTTCTCGGTTACTTCGAAACGACACGGATTCCGGAATCTCATACCCCAATCAGCATATAGACAGCGAGTGTTTACTGCGGATCTGCCTATTTTCGAGCTTCGCTGCATTACGATACCCTTCGACAACAGTGTGTCGAGCTCGAGCATAGATGGCAGAGCCATCCGCCTTCCCTCTGAAGGCATGCATTACGAACATTTTATGTCTTCGCTCTTCTTGCAAAGCATGCTGCTTGGGGAGCCATAGATCTCGTTTTCCGGATATTCCACGCTGGCGACTTGTTTTGTCATTTCATACGGAAAAGCGGTTCCTTTCCCCGGCCATACCCCACGGCGACACTTCTTCGTTGTCTCCCGTCGCATAGCTCTCAAAACAGAGAGCATCACGCGATATACCTTGACGATGGAAAAGTTTTGCTGGTTAGTCTCGCACATAGATGGCGTTCTCGAGGGTCAACTACCCTTTTCTAATGAGCCTTTACGACAGAAGGCTTGAGCGAAGGAAATACCCCTGGATCTGTGGTGACGGTTATGACTTGGGCAAGGGAATCATCTAAAAGCACAGTTTCGAGCAGATGATTAGCTAGATAGATAGACTACCATGGGCTGAGACTCGCTTGGCCTGTGAATGCATGTGATTGTTCAAGGTCTTCCTTTCGTCTTTCTGTGCACAGGTAGCACCATGTAGCACCAGTAATCTGACTACTTTAGGCAGCCTTTTCAAACCGTACTGCACTGCAACGCTACGACGGCAATTTTAAGGAGACGGCTGACCTTCTGCAACCCAGATGCATCCACTTACCATGTTGCATGCTGCCCTTCCTCAGCCTACATCCCAAAATTGTATCGATCTCAACCTTCCGCTAGCACTTGAGTAGTGCACCAGCTGTTTGTGTCTTGATTGTCCTGATTGTCTTGATTGTCTTGATTGTCTTGATTGTCTTGATTGTCTTGATTGTCTTGAGTGAAGCGGATTTTGGGGTTGTTGCTGTCAAGGATCCTTTCTCCAGATTCTAGGCCGCACGTCATAGGTCGACCCATCTGAGGCGTTCGTGATGCTTCCCGCAAATGGGTCGGCTTATTCGAGGGATCCCTTAGCGCAAGAAGCTTTGGCTCGTGTCGACCTTCCAAGGTTCCTCAACGTTTCTGACCCATGGCCCTGCGATTCGCGTTAATCAAATCGGACACTTGTGATTGAGAGCTGGGAAGCTGCGACGCGACCTGTCCTTACCTCTTTCGAAACCTTGCACGACCAACGGCGATTGCGACCGCAGCCATGGAAGCGAGCGCGCCGCCTCCAGAGCCCGACTCCAGGAACAGCTTGCGACACATTCTCGCAGCAGACCCCAGCATGGACGATACAAAGCCCTCGCCGTCGCAGGCCAACACGCCGGTCCCTGATGACAGTGAAGCTGCAGCGCAGTCGCAGGACGGCTCGAAGACAGCCGCCGATCCTGATGCCATACCAAATTACACAGCAACCACTACGACAACGCGCCGCAATGCGAATGGCAGTGTGTCATCTGTCTACAGTGGAAATAAGATCAAGCACCTGAAGAAGGACGATGGCATACCGCTATGGCGCAAGGACATCCAGTACGATTTCCTCAAGCTAGTCTTCGAGGACGACACGCGCGCATTCACCAAGCAATCAGACAAGACGGGTGGTCATACGTTCGCAGATATCTACCTTGATGCTATGGCGAAGAGCAGCAAGTGCAGCAAGATACTGAAGGACAAGCTGTTGACAGAGCGCCCGGCCGCCATCAACATGGCCATGGTGTGCTTGCTGGTCAATGTGGGGCGCATGAACACTACCCTCAACTGTAGGATATGAGCGCTGCGTGTGCGTTGTATACGCTAACTTGTATCAGTCTTCCCCGAGATGCGAGCACAGCTACGAACCTACCACTCGATCCCGTCCCTCCAAGCCCACCAAGATCCAAACGCATACAAACAGCTGCAGGATGCACCACGGCTGAAGTCGATCCTCAAAGGCGCAACTGAAGACCAAGAGCAGCCCAGCACGATCGAAGAGATCATGTCTGCGCCTATACCACGAACAAACCCTGTCAACCTGATATTTGTACTGTCTCAATATGCGCCCAAGATCTCAGAACTGCACTTCTTCCCACCACGCGACTTCTTCGACCTCGTCATGCGGTCGAACCTGAGCAGTAGGAGTAGGGCAACTGCCTTTCTATGGCTCATGTGGTGGTATCTCGAGAGCGACTTCTCCAAGAAGGCTGCAGAAGAGAACCCCTTTGGACCAGGACAATACGGCCCAGCTGATGACCCTGCAACGGCGGAGTTTCCAATCAAGTGTCCAGCGTTCGACTTCTTGACCCCAGAACAGGAGCTAGCAGAGAATGTGGATACAAATGATGAGAAGAACTTCGGCGAGATCAAACGCAAGGAGAGGATAGCTATATTGGCAAGTGACATGGCTCCTGTCGTGACGGGACCAAAGCGCACAAACAAGAAGGGTAAGTGCAACCTTTGTTTCGCTCATTTCAAACGTCTCCTAGTATATGCCAGAAAACCTTCACCTTCCTCCAAAAACAAGGAAATCTCCTGCGCTACTATACTGCGCCAGATACGGACTGGACCCTGACTCTTTTTTCAGTCTTCAATCAGAACCCTGTCTTCTCGGTTGTGGCAGACGACGGCGCCTCGACACCTGGTAGAGATAGGCAGTCCACACCAAACGGTAAGCTATAACTCGATGGCCTTCACACTTGATAGCATCGCTAACACCACAGGATCTGTCAAAGGTCGCGGAAAGCTAGGCAAGTCCATCATAGAGCGAGATTATCCGTCAGATACAGATCGCACACGATCAGTCTCACCGCCTGCTAAAGCTACACCAAATATGCGGATCAATACGCTTCTCAATGACGATGCGCCAATGTCTACACCAGCTCCTAGCAAAGGCCCTGGTCGTGGCAACTGGTCGCGTACTAAAACCGGCACAGGAGGGCCCCGCAACTTCCGCTCAAAGCTCGACGCAAGCGCTTCCCAAGACGGGCAATCACCCTCTGGCAATGCACCCACCTTCTCTGGGCCACACGGCTTCTACCTCCCATTGAACGGTTCAGACCCAGCCCACAAGCGCACGCGTCCCCTCACGCAACACCAACTAGCCGTCGAGCAGTATCGTCGACGACGTGTCGATGTGATCCTCGATCGCGGCCTACGAGTTGAATACAAGGCTGCTGCAAAGCGTCGCCGCAAGGCAAATCCTTTCATGCGGGCCTGGATCCGCTGCAAAGGCATGGCAGATGGCTACGACACAGACGAAGAGAACAACACTCCTGGCCACAACTCTCAAGATACGGATCATGGCACCAACACCCCACCACCCATGCCTGCTGGCCTTGTTCCTTTGGACTTTGGTGGCGAAGTCAACGATCATGGCGAGGAGAGCTACTACCGTGGCAAGATGCTGGGTAGAGCATTACGCCGCCTTGATCGCTGGGAGAACGGAAAGAGTGGAGCTAGCTCGAGGACGAGAGGGCAGCGGTATGTGGAAGATATGGAAGAGAGGACTGAGGACGAGGACGAGGATATGATGGATGCAGAAGAGATGGAGAGGAGGGAAGAGATGGACTCAGAAGAGGAAGATGAGGATATGGAAAGGTACGACCCAAACACGCTACCACCGCTGCCGAGAGTGGGCGTCTAGGATATGTCTCAGTATTTGAGGTAAGCATTGGCGTTCAGGAGCAGAGGTTCTAAAGGTCGTCACTGGATATGCGTTCAAGTTATGTATGAACAAACTTGTGGAATGCAGGTCTGCCCGACTTTTGTCGAGCAGAGGCATACAGTCATGGCGTATGTGGACATAATACCTGACCAAGAAAGATAATCAATTCTTAGATCCAACACTCGTGACAAGCTCTCCACCGTGTCGCGCTGCACACACCCTTATAGCACAAGAAAGCGAACACCACCAAACCGCCATACTGTCTTTCACTTCGAAACGGCACTTGGGATCCATCCCACTAAGAGTCAGCGAATGACTCTTAGGGTCAACCTTCATGGAAGTCCAAGGTTTTTGCTAAGATAATTTGGTCTAGTACTTTAGACGTTGTGAAGCTGCGCATTCACTCGCGTCACTGCAAAACCTCCGACCCTCGAGACAGAGTATACGCCTCTATGGGTTTGGCCGAACTGAGCTATCAGATTGTCCCAGACTACACCCAATCTGTCGATCAGGTCTTCATTGCAATGACTCGAAAAATTATCAAACGCAACGACAAACTGGCATGCAGTTTCGACACAACATTGAGTCGTGAAAACATCTGCTCCAGAGCGGCCCAGGTGAGAGATCAAGCTTAGGCCTTAGAAAGGTCGGATTTTGCTCGGATTTTGCGATCCTCAGGTGACAACTATCGACTGGTTTCTGCTGCACTTATCTTTCTAATAGACGAAGTTACTTCGTAAGGAGATCCAGGCCATTGCCCACTGGAAATCTATGGCAGAAAGAAATCAATCGATATCTGTCAGGAGAGCGACGGCGAATATCGTTGATCTGAATCGAGACATTGTGCTAGACGTAACTGGGCAGAATCCCGAGCATCTTGGTGTACTGAAGACCCCCTGGCTTGCAGTACAATAGGCACTGCGGAACGACCACGATACTGCGGAAGAGTACCGTCTGTACGAAGGCCATGTGAATCTTTCGGACATGTCGTATCTGCGCCTCCCTAAGCAGGCTGATGGCAGAAGTTTCAAGACTGCCGGTACTCAGGTAGATTTGCGGGAGAGGCGTTGTGGGATACACGGTGTCATGGATGATCGTGGCGAGCGAGATAGTGACTGATCGATTGATTGACTGACTGTCGCCAACATGACTGGATGTGCGAGTTTAAATATTGTTGACTTGGTATGTCGAAGCCCGTCTTTTGCCCATCTGGCATCATCAATTCCATTTGCCCATGCTCTGGACTTCCAACAATTGTAAGGCCACTACTACGATGTGGAAGAAGATTGCCATCTCGACGCCATGCACACGTGCAGGATTCCAATAGTCGACCTGGTGCCACGCAAGGTCATGCAGTTGGAAGCGCGAGACTACTCATGCAGGCTATGGGAAAGGCTTGGTGGTGAATTGTTTCTGATGACACTCACTGACAGTGCAGCATCCGCTAGCCACTGCGATTTGGAACGGCATTTTTCGGCGTGTTTGCGATCGCAGAGTTCGAGACTTCCTCGTAACGAGGCAACGTCAGGAACTGTGAGGTTGACGACATCGTGTGACTTTGGAGTATCGTATACCTCCAGCCTTGTGTGCACGACACGACGAATTGGGAATCTCCATGAACATCTACAAGAAGCCTTTTTCGAGCAGGTATTGTTGGAAAACGCATAATTGGAAAGACATTTGTGAAGGCTTGAGCAGGTTGGCAGCTTCTTGCGCTGCGCGCCTATAATACCTGCCGCTTAGGTACTCAAGTAACCGGCATGACAGTCCGCAACGTCCTTACTGGGCGCAACAACTTGCTACCTGCCATGTCAAATCAGCAATTACATCTCGATCTAGGCTCCCCAATCTCTCATCCTCGACTACCTCCACGCTCTGGTGTTTGTGACGCATCGTCACTCTGATATCTCTAATTGAGATCATACCGAACGATTGTCGCGGCTACATGGACGCCTATATCAGCTTCTGCAAGCATCGGCGGCACTCAATCACGGCACTCCTCATGGTCGTTAGGAACGATGTTGGTACCTTGCCAACAGCATCACTTGTTGTAATTTGGCCTCGATCTGGTGTCAACTGTACGTGGGCGTGGTCCAGACCTCGCTAGCGCACAGCCCTCAACCAGTCCTTCTCCACACCACCAACAACATCGGCTGAAATCTACTAGCATTTCTTCTTTCATCTTAGCACACCCCAGACTCCAACGCCTTTCGTGCTTAGTTCACCCCGTCAGGCCCAGACATACCCCGGATCTGTGCCAAGCACGTGTGCTCCCGGGCTATCATGACGATCGGAGGCACAGCCGCCTGGTTGTTGGGCGCAGATTTGTGACATGCTTTTGCTATCGTGCTTGGGGGGTCTTGGAACCTCATCCTAGACCCATCGAATTCCATCCTCAGTTACCAAGTCCGGACAATCCGATACCATAGCATCGGGCAAACATCTCCTTTGGAGTTAGAGCCTCCATGCATCTCGTGAACCCCGGGGTAGGAGAGGCAAAGTCTGGGGTAGACTATGTGGGTGTCGGAACGGGTGTGGGGCAATGAAGGATGGGGTAGGAGATGAGTTCTGGTATATGAGACTTGAGTCCCTCATCCTTGTTTGTGTTCAACATCTCTTCTGTCCTTTTTCGCTAGGATCAGTCGACCTCAACAGCTCAGAGCCTCTCTTCCATCTCTAACTCATTTCATCCTCACTCAACCTCTCAATACTCCAACTACCTCCACATCACCATGTCTCTCATCGACGAGAAGGTCGGCATCACCGAGATCGAGCGCGTCGACTCGGCTGAGTCGAATCTCAACAATGACCGCATCAACACATTCACACCTGAGGAGCAGAAAAAGATCATCCGCAAGGTCGATCTTCGTCTGATCCCCACCCTCGGCTTCATGTACTGTGTTTCCTTGATGGACAGGACCAACCTGGGTGTTGCCATGGTTGCTGGCATGGGTGCCGATCTCAAGCTCAACGGTGAGCGCTACAGCATCATCGTCCTGCTGTTCTTCATCACATATGTCGCTCTGCAGCCTCCTGCTACCGTCGTCCTGCGCAAGCTTGGCCCTCGCATCTTCCTCCCGTCGATCGTGGTCATCTGGGGAGCAGTCATGAGTGGCTTTGGTTTCGTCAAAGAGTGGCATACTCTTATTCCGCTTCGTCTCCTGCTCGGTATCTTCGAGGCTGGGTTCTTCCCTGGCTCCGCCTACCTCCTGTCCTGCTGGTACCAGCGATTCGAGCTCCAGAAGCGCAACACCGTCTTCTTCCTCATTGGCATGCTGTCGTCTGCCTTCTCCGGGATTCTTGGCTACCTCTTCTCCCTTCTTCAAGGCCACGGTGTCCAGGTAAGTTTGGTATAATAATACAATTTGGCTGCTACAAGTACTTATTATTCTCCAGGCTGCTCCCTGGCTCGGTGTTCACTACGGTCCCACCAAGGCCAAGCCCACCACCCCCGTCTCCTTCGGCCCTGGTCTTAGTGGCTGGCGCTGGATCTTTATCCTCCAAGGTGTCATTACAGTCGTCATCGGCTTGATCGGATGGTACTTTATCGTCGACTTCCCCGAGCTCGCCCACAAGCCTGGCATGGGTAAGAAGTTCCTCAACAAGGCCGAGGTCGAATTCATCGTTGCCCGCATCGAGAAGGATCGCCACGACGCTCTGCCTGAGGAGTTTAACCTGAAGAAGTACCTCACCAACGCGCTTGACCTTAAGGTCTGGGGCTTTGCTGCGATCTTCATGCTCACTACCACCATCACCTACGCCATCGCCTACTTCCTCCCCATTATCCTCAAGGACGGTATGGGCTTCAGCACCGCTGCATCTAACTGTCTCATCGCACCTCCCTACATCTTCGCTGGCTTCGTCATGATGGGCTTCGCATGGGCAGGTGACAAATGTGAGTACCAAAAAATCTCCTATCATGGAGGCCTTCAGCTGACTTTTACAGATCATGTAAGATCACCATGGGTCATCGCCAACGGTGTTCTCGCCCTCATTGGTCTCCCTATGATCGGGTTCTCCAACAACGTCGGCGTCCGCTACACCGGAGTCTTCCTCGCGACCGCTGCCGCCAACGCCAACGTCCCCGCCGTCCTTACGTGGCAGGCAAACAACATCCGTGGCCAGTGGAAGCGCGCTCTTTGCTCTGCCACTCTCGTCGGTGCTGGTGGTATTGGTGGAATCATCGGTGGCACTGTCTTCCGCACTCAGGACACGCCCCACTACGTCCCTGGCATCACTGCTTGCATGATCGCTGCTGGTCTTATTGTCGTTATCTCGCTCTTGATGAATCTGAAGTTCTGGAGGGCTAACAAGCGCGCTGATGCTGGTGGTAAGATTATCGAGGGTCTTGAGGGCTTCAGGTACACGTTGTAAGCGGTTCATGGGATCGTTGGTAGCCATAGCTATCTAATGCGGGTGTCCGCCACGAACAATATGTCTATTCAAACCAAATTTGCGTTCTGTCATACCTTTTAATGTGATGTTCAATGTTTCTATGATACTTTGCGTGGTCGTTACAGATAGTCATGTGTTCCCGGCCGCCCTGAGGAAGAAGACCGAGTACCTTCCGCACCACGTTCAGTCTACTTGATGAGCAGATAGGAACAGATGTAGGCATCAGGGTGCCGGGTTGGGTCGGCACATGACTGGCAGAAAAGGATGCAGTTCTCAATCCAGGCCGAAGACTCACTGTCCAAGATCATCACGGGAGTGTATGCAACATGTTTGACTTCGAATTAGTTGATTACTTGACTAAGTACGGTGCATGAAATTTTCCACTTCGTCATCCACCCCCAGAAGTATTATTATGGTAGAAAGGAATGTACCGGAACTTCATACCATGCTAACATCCATCAAAGAAAAACACCATTGCTGTGCCCGCTGAAACCAAAGGAGCGAAAGGTCGTCATCTTGTCGTTAAATCCGTCTCATTCATGTCGTATCCATCGAGTACCCTTACTCGATGTTGACCTTCCTCGACTGAGGCGCCGTAGCCTTCGGCACCACAATGCTCAAGATACCATTCTTCAGACTAGCCTTCACAGCGTCCTGATCGACACGCGCAGGGAAAGCAAAGCTGCGGTGGAACGACCCAACAGAGCGCTCACTGACCCAGTACTTGTGCTTGGGCTCCTCCTTCTTCGCGACCTCGTGCTGCTCTGACTGCTTGGCAACCTGAGTGTCCTTGTTTGTGGACTCGGCAGACTCGTCCTCAACGGTGGGCTGGTGCTTCTCATCCTTGACGTTGGACTCGAGCTTCTTCTGCTCCTCGCCGTTCTCCATGGCAGTGGGGCGCTGACCCTCTTCGCGGACGTGCTCGTGCTTGCCGGCGATGGTCAGGGTGTTGTTGTCGGTCCACTCGATGTTGATGTTCTTCTGGTCGACGCCGGGGAGCTCGCCGTGCAGCTCGTAGGCCTCCTTGGTCTCCTTGACATCGAACTTGGGTGTGAAGGAGCGGATGCTGTTGGTGAACTGGCGGTCAACATCGCCGAAGGCCTGGCGGTCGTACTCGTCGAAGAGACGGAAGATGGGAGCGTACTCCTGAGTGAAGCGTGGGAAGAGAGACATTATTGCTGGTGTGGTTGTGAAGGTGCGTGCGGTTGATGGCTTGGTAGTACGGTTGAGTTGTTGTGGAACTCGGCGGATTGTTGTGCGCAGTGATTGCATAGAAGAGCTGGTGATTGTTCTGATGATGGACTTGAGAGGGTTGGTTGAGCTGCATATATACTCAAGTATCGAGTTTCGAGAAGCATCGTGATGCTGCTCGACACTGCTCGACAGTATTTCATACTGTCGTCAAGTGGTGTGAGAGAAACATGAAGATGCTCAGAGATGGTTCGAGTTGATTCTAGAGCGTTCGATGTCGCGACATTTCATGATGTTAACAACCACGTCTTTCGATCGTGATACCGGGTCACCCCAAAATTTGCTGTGGCTCTCAGACACCTCCAATCATATCTTCGATCTCCGCAGTGTGATCGGAGATGGCATCCGGAAGGAGCCATCTCGAAGTTTCCGCCAAGAGTCACGTGATGTTTCTTTGCAGGTACTCTCCAGTTTTGTGTGCTCGGACAAGGATTGCAGCATGCTGATGGTTTTGCATAGAAGGTTCGATAGGCCGTGTCTCAGTGGAGATCGCGGATGCCTGGGTCCTGATAGGTTTCGAGCTGTCTGCGGCCCCTTCGCAGAAGGTACTCGATCGTGCCGAAGTCCTTCTTGCCCACCCCCTGGTTCTTGTGGAATTCAGCCCTACAATCCGTTAGCCGAGATGCTGATGAGGTTGGTACACATGTTTAGTACCTTGCGAAGTCTCGGAAATGTGATCGCGTATCCTGTAGCCATTAGTCGCGTGCAACGGAAGTACAAGGCTGAGATCATCATACTGATGGCTTTTCCCTTACGGCTCGTAAGCATTGGCGATACAGAGACAGCACATCTCTTTGCAGTCCTGACAGTCGTGCCATGTTGAATCAATTAATGTAGTTGAAGTGTGATGGCGATGAGTGATGTCAATATTCGAGATCGAAAGCCTCGGAGTCGCTCTCCGGGCGAGACCGAAGCTTTGACCAACGTGCCTTTCAGCTTTTGTGCCAACGTCAATCGGTCTCAGAGACAGAAATTGGTCGCTGAAGCTGTCTCAAATTCATCGAAGACGTCGAAATCCATTATTCGCGACCTTGCATAGTACAAGCTGCGGGGCAGCCACCATGCAAACCCCACCTTGCCAACACCTTCCTGCAGCCGCGATATGCGATTGATGTAGCCTGAAGGCATCCACTGTTATCTTTATGCTTTGCTATCCCCTATCGCAGATTTCTCGAAAACTTATTGTACGAAGTGCTGGCCGTAGACGCGTGACGCTTCAATGACTGACTCAAAGCTGATGGACCTCACAGCAGATGATCAAGATTTCTGCGACTCGGGACAATATGTTACTATTGGGTACGGGTTATTGATACATATACGAATACAAGATGGATACGACGCTCGGAAAAGATTTGGACAGCAAGCAGATTCGAACTGGACACCTTGACGGCTCGATCAACGAGCAAGCCAAGATTCGGCTCTGGGCACAATTAAGAAACGAATATGGAGACGACAACGAAGGAAGAGAAAGAGGCGTTGCAGGCCTCCCGATGGAGGTTTTTTTTTGTTGACGGTTGCTGCAAATGACCCTCTAAGATCCGTCTGTTTGTGGAGCGGTGCCGCTTGCATGCCATGGACCAGACATCGGCGTTGCCATGTAGTCCGGTACACCAGTTCCGATGTGCGCGCCCCCAGGAAGGTGCTCACGGGTCTCTGTGTAGATATATTGTTCTAGTAAGCCGTTATTTCTGTCGATGTCTCTGTCCTCTTCGCTTCCGAACGACCGATGCGACGGTGTTTGACCGCCCGAAGGGGTCTCTTGTATGTGGTCGAGTTGCGCAGGATCATTTTCTCCGTCGCTCTCGGGCTCTATGGACGTGAATGCGGTGTCAACTGGCGAAGCTTTTGGAGTGTCTTCGAGTGCTCTCCGGTATGGGTCTACATTCGGAGTCAGCATAAGTGCCGTTCTCTAGTAGGCTGACAAAATTGATAGGAGGTGAAAGGCCCGTGACAAAGTTGAGTCGAAAGGCAGCTTGCGATCGTTGTAAGAAGGTGTGTCAGTCGTGCAGGTTGCACCTGCGCATAGCGAGCCAGGCACGCTTGCTTCTCGAAGCCAAAGTGGTAGGAAGACAATCTTGTAAAGAGTTGGGGCTCTTACCGAAAGTAAGAGCATGCTTCTTTCTGGCTGCGCGCTGGCGGTTGAACTCCGACATTGCAGAAGGTGGAAGGTATGGAAGCCGTTGAACTGGAGTTAGCGTGGGCGTTGGTGGAGAGTTGTGCGGTCGGCTTCTGTTGGGACTGTCATGAAGCCAGCCAACACGGTCTGCACGTGGATTGATGATGTTCGCTTCAGGCTGCATCGCGAAAGCCTCATCTTCACTGAAGTCAACACTGGCATCGTAGGACCCATTTCTCGAACTGAGGAGAAAGTGGCTGCCAACACCATCGAGGAAGGCAGAATGTGTTGTGAACTGTTGCGAAGGCTGAGAGGTGTGGCTGAGTTGGTCTGCAGCCTCCTGACCGGTGAAGTGAGGGTGGCCATCAGCCTCGTCATTAAGAAAAGACATGTTGCCTTGTGTATGAGCCTGGGGCGGTGAGCGCCTGTCAGAAGCGGTGAGGCGGGAGGCGGACAAGATGTAGCCAACGGCGAGGGACACTGAGGGGTACGTTGATCGAAGATGATTCGGACCTGAGTGAACTGAACGTAGTAGACAACACGGTTCCACCGAACAAAGTATATTGGAGCCTATGGGACACGATAGAACAACAGCAGCAAACTCCAAGGCCGTCTTATACCATATACCCGTCCCATCATGGCTCCAAATCGACCCTATCGGACGAGCATCAACCAGGGAACCACTCACTGTGAAGATTGGAGTGTGTACGCCCGGTTGGTGTGTTTCAACATCCGTTCCTTCCTTTGCGCTGTTCTGCGAAGTCACGTGAATGAACAAGTTATTGGTCGATAATCAAATTGCTCCGGGCGATGGCTTCATGTTCCCAGAGCCATGGTACCCACACAAGCGGCTAAGGCTGAAGGGCCCGTTGAAGTGGGCTGTCCGCCGCAATTGACGCCAAATGTAAGCAATGGCTGACGGAGTAGTTCCAGTACGGTTCATCCCTCCGCAAGGAATTGCATCGGTGCTCGGATGTGTTCGTGAAAGGTATATGGAAGAAGGTTTCGGATCGGATGTCAGTTTTGGGGCTGTCATGCATACACACATCATGCATGTTGTGCTTTCACCTGCAGTAGAGCTTATTCACGAATACAGTCGCCCTGTACCACCGACCCTGAGGCGCCGTACATTTGGGGTACTTGGGACCGCGGTGACCGGGCACAGGAGCCACGAAACATGAAGTGATCATCCTACAGGCTAGATCTTCTGAAGCTTCTAGATAGTCACCAAAGATGACGATTCTATCAATAAGACCCAAAAGGCTTCGGCGCACTAGTTCGCACCAAATCTCGCGCTATATTCTAAATCAACCTTAAGCGGCGGCTCCGTCTGCATGTCCAGTGTCGCTGAAGAGTATTTTAGGAGGATGAGCCCGATGCAGGGTCGTTCACCGGTGCACGTGGTGTAGCTGCAAGTTCCCGTGATTTTGAAGCCACCAACAGCCCTTCGTTCGCGTAAAATTGCAGCGGTGGACGTTGAGCGGGAGCGCTAACATAGACGAGATTCTGGTGTGCACCAGCGTGCTTTGTAGATCATCTTTTGATGTCGAGTTCTTCTGGAATTTGATGATGCGGTCGTATTCTTGAGTGTGAAGTCGAGTAAGGGCCTTGTAGTCCTCGAGCCACATGCCTGTGCGATCGGGTGGGAGGGCAACTTTGAGCTCGCGTGCGTTTGCCTAACATAACAATGAACTAGACGAGTGGTTCGTAAGGCTGCCTTGGCATTATCCAGATGTGGAATCGTCGAAAAGCTTTGTGTATGCAAGGCGGAGGTCGCGAAAATGATCTCTGGTTGACGTCAATGACTACTGTTTCATGTGCCTGTCGTACGTGCGCGGGGATGGGGATGTTTAGGTTGATTGTCAAAGTTGGGTTGGCGGGACGTGGGGTCTGCATGAACAAGGTTCGGTGAAGCCGACCATCATTCCCTTGACAGCCTTGTCAAGGGGGATATCTGCAAAGGCGGTTAATTCCCAGTCGATTGGGTTGACAAGCCTTGTTGGTGGTATGGGAGAAGCCAAGCCGTCTCCATGATAGTCGAGCTTGTTGCACGCCGATCGTTTCGATGCACTGGTGAGCCGCAAACCGGGTTAGGTTAGGATTGCGCCCATGGTAGCATCGACTACTTACCTGCATTCTGCATGGGGCTGGAGATAAAGATGGACGCCCATGCGGATGTACGTTCTGCGATCTGAGCATGAGCGATGCAGCAAAAAAAGTCTCGTCACACAGTGTTTCGAGTCCGTCGAGGCTGCACTTGCGAGTGAAACTTTTGAATTTGTGCATGATCGCACATGTGGTATATGATCATCAGTGGGGTACTCGAGCACCGGTAACGCCGACCCGCCAAATGCCGCGCTTCGAGCAAGAATAGTCGTGACAGAAGAAAGAAAGCTTTACGCGCCGTTGCGAACCGATCTCCTCTTTGCAACGGCGGTAGCCAACTCCTCGAGCACCTTCTCGGTGTCTTCCCAGTTGATGCAAGCGTCTGTGATCGAAACACCGTACTGCAGACCCTCCTTGCCCTCCTTGGGTACCTTCTGGTTGCCTATAAATTGCGTTAGCATGCGGCACAGTTGTAATTGCGGGGGCGAACTCACCCTCGTTGATGTTGCTCTCAATCATGACGCCCATGATGCCTGTCTCACCAGCAGCAATCTGCTCGGCCAGAACGTGCGCGACCTTGGGCTGGTTCTTGTGGTTCTTCTCGGAGTTGCCGTGGCTGCAGTCGATCATCAACCGCGCGTTGAGGCCCTTCTTCTCGAGAGCCTCGCGCGACTCCTTGATGCTCTTCTCGTCGTAGTTTGTGCCCTTCTTTCCGCCGCGCAGGATGACGAAGCAGTCATCGTTGCCTACGGTACCGACAATGGCGACAACACCGGGCTTGGTGACGGAGAGGAAGTGGTGAGGGTGCTTGACGGAGCCAATGGCGTCGACAGCAACATCAAGAGTACCGTCGGTACCATTCTTGAAGCCCACGGGGAAGGACAGACCGGAGGCAAGCTCACGGTGGAGCTGAGACTCGGTCGTCCTGGCGCCAATTGCACCAACACTGAGCAGATCGGCCAAGAACTGTGGAGAGATGGTATCCAGCATCTCACTGGCGAGGGGCATGCCCTTCTCAGTCAAGTCAACGAAGAGCTGTCTTGAGACACGCAGACCCTTGTTGATCTTGAAGGTGTTGTCGATGTCTGGGTCGTTGATCAGACCCTTCCATCCGACTGTTGTGCGGGGCTTCTCCAGGTAGGAGCGCATGACGATGAGGAGGTCATCCTGGTACTTCTCCTTCAGCTTGAGGAGGCGATCGCAGTAGTCGAGAGCGGCTTTGGGGTCGTGAATCGAGCAGGGCCCGATGACAACGAGAAGTCTGCCGTTCTTGTCACGGCCTTGGACGACCTCGACTGTCTCGTTGCGGCCCTTCAGGACCGTTTCTCTCGACTTTTGCGACTGGGGGATCTCGCTCTGGAGAAGATCGGGGGGGGTGAGGGGGTTGTAGCCGCGAATGCGCCAGTCTTCTGAGTTGGCGGCATCACCAACTGACTTGTTCTCGATGTAGAACTACGTAACTTCGTTAGAAAGTGCAACTGGTGGGGTAGTGGCGGGGCATTAAAGCAGATGTGGATACTCACAGACATGACGCCTCTAAATCTATGCTTCGGAAGAACTCTTGAGTGTGCAATCGAGAGACAAAACTGCTGGAGGATACACTTTTATCTGCTGCGCTCAGTCTACCTTTACGTCGTTTGTGGGGCGCGAAGAGTCAAGCATGTGTGAATGACTGTCCGGAGTCGGCCCTCCTGCGATTGGCTGGTACCGGGCGGTGAACTGCGGAATTTTGGGAGAGCGGATTCTTGACGCGGCTGGACCTCGAAGCTCAATAAGTCACAGCACTCATGCATGGGCTTCTTGGGCAGCAACAGGTCGCAGACTAACTATCGTCTCACGAGACCTTCATGTCTTCAATACTGTGGTACACTGCTTCCCCTAGGCAAGTACGAACGCAACTAGGAGGTAGTCGCTCCCAGTGTACCACAACGCTCCTGCCTCCTTATACTCCCATCACCATTCTTACGGCACGCCTTGACGGGCTGATTGTAGCTCTACGAGATGACTTGGTCTTCAGTTCATAAATGCTCGTTTCTTGTCAGGTAAATAATTGGGTAAGATGCAGAGCTTTACTAACATGCAGCTGTATGCGGTCATAGGAGCTACTCCACCATAACGACGTCATGCGTATGGCACCGAAAGTTCCATCTACACTGACAACAGCAATTGTATCTACACACGTTACCACGGCATATTCCATACATTCTACCCCTCTCAGACCTCTTTCTTTAATCAATAAACACATTCCCCCATAGAATTCAAACTACTAATATACACTCAACATCCACAATGGGCGGCCTCGACCTCTCCTCCCTAGCCACCATCCCAATCAGCTACGCAACATGCTCCCTCGGGTCACCCAACTCACCACCCCCACTCCTTGACCGCCTCGATGCCATCTCCAAAGCTGATTTCGCCGCCGTCGAGCTATCCTTCCCCGACATCCTATCCTACGGGCAAACGCTCCTGGGCCACGAAGTCGCACCCAACAACTACGACGAACTGGTGAAGGTTGCAGAAGCGATTAAGAAGGAATGCAACAAGCGCAACCTAGGCATCATGATGTTGCAACCCTTCGCCAACTTCGAGGGCTGGCCGCAGGGCTCGGATGAACGTAAGGATGCGTTCGAGAGGCTGGACGGCTGGATCCGGATCATGTGCGCCGCAGGCACAGACATGCTGCAAGTCGGGTCCACAGATTCTAAGCTGGAGAAATTGGACAAGAGCCGCATCGTGCCCGATCTGCAGGAGCTCGCTGATAAATTGAAGGAACATGGGTTCCGCGTCGCGTACGAGAACTGGTGCTGGTCGACGCACGCGCCGGATTGGAAGAATGCATGGGACATCGTGCAGAAGGTCGATCGCCCGAACATCGGTCTGTGTCTCGATACGTTCCAGACTGCGGGGGGCGAGTGGGCGGATCCACGGACGCAGTCGGGGCTGTTGGAAGATGTGAGCAAGGAAGAGTTGGAGAAGCGGTTCAAGAGGAGCCTTGAAGAGCTTGGAAACACGATTCCAAAGGATAAGATCTACCTGCTGCAAATTAGCGACGGGTACAAGGTACCGCAGGCGCTGAAGGATGAGCGGGATAAGGATGGTCTGCTGCCGCGTGGAAGGTGGAGTCACGATTTCAGGCCGCTGCCGTATAACGGTGGATACCTCCCGGTCGCTGACGTAGCGCGGGCAGTCCTCAACACCGGCTTCCGAGGTTGGTTCAGCTACGAAGTCTTCGATGGTGGTAAGGACGGCAAGGGGGGAGATGTTGACATCGTAGCATATGCGCGCGCGGCGAAGAACGTGCAGAACAGACTGCTGGCTGAGTGCGCTGGTGAGAAGGTCCCGGATGAGATGGCGACACGATAAAGTATCGGCAACAAAGCGTCATGCACGTCCGAATAGAAGAGTAGTGTATGTATAACGAAAGAGTTATTATAATGAGCATGTTAAAACTGGCTTCCTCTGCTTCTTTACAACATCAGACACCTCTAACTCCCGTCGCCTGCGCAACAACATCCGCCACAAGCACCAACACCAACGTCTTTGTAACTGTCAATTTCGATCCAGGCAGTCTATCTCGATGTCAGCAAGTACATCAACACCGCAGCCCAGGATAAGGACACCACCCATCCTCCCTCGGCTTCTCACTCCCACCCGTACTCGTCGGTGTGCTCGTCGTCGACGCTGACCCGCTTCTTGTCTCAGTGACAAGCGTCGTCTTCGGCTCACCACAATATACACCTGGAAACGGATACGGACACCTTGGATCCGCAGAGACAATACTCGTATACACAGCTGGTTTATCGGACTGCGGCGTACTCGACGGCCTCGGGGGTGGACTCGCTTGTGGTGCCGACGAAGGAGGCAACGAAGAAGAAGGTGATGGAGGTTGTGCTGCCGTCGAAGACACCTTCACCGTCTTCGTCAACGTACTCGTAACCTTCGACGTGACTGTCGACTCCTTCACTTCAGACATCGTCGGCGTGGGCTTCGGGACACTGGCTGTCATGGTGATGTGGATGGTGGATGTCTGCGCATCTGGGCTGGACAGACGGCCTGGATCGAGGATCATAGGGTCGATCAGCGCGTTGTGGATGCCTTGTAGCATTACTGCTGCGGCTTGCGAAGCGGCTGGTGTGGACATGTTGGTGATGGGGATGATAACGACGGCGATGGAGGACTGATTGGATGGCTGATCGGGGCGAGCTGTTAGAGTCGGTACTGCGGGCGTTGTGATCGTGGATGATAAATATACGCTGGAGTTGCTTACGGCCACTGGTGTTGAGGTTGCTGCGATACTGCTGTTCGTGATGCGTGATGCAGGCCAGTGAATCCACCAGAGATCATCACACAGTGTCGTCGGCGGTGGAACAAATAGCGAAGATAGGGACGCATGGGCTGAGGAAGGCGAGATTCCGGGCATACCTGAACTATACCTTGCCCATCCTGCGGAAGGTGCGTTCCAGTACGGGGCATGGTTTCCGATGCAGTTTGGTGAAGGTGCGATCGGAGTTGCAGTAATATGTATGGTCATTGTTGTGTTGCTCGAAATTGTCGACTGCGAAGGTGCTGTTAGGTTGTAGGCGGCCTTGCTGCTTGTAGGATATACAAATCCAGTCATGTTTCTGATGTTGATATATGCGGATGAGGCCTCATGGTGACCTTCATGGCGACCGAGAGCAGCACCAGAAGCTGCATGGGCAAGTAAGACTGCAGTGGAGATTATGGTGATCATGTCGACTGAGTAGATGTTTCGTATCGGTGGTCTCTTTGATCTTTGCGAAAATTTTGGGTATGTAGATGCGTAAAGAAGGGAAGAAACAACGTCACATACTGTGCGAGAGCTGATAAAAATTGATCGTAATGTCTTACACAATGTCTATTGAGGATGTACAACACAACGATACGTCGTTCCTAACGGCGAAGTTTCCATCGTGAAGTCCAAGAGCATGGACAATGTCGAACCCAGTCGGTCTTCGACAACCCCAACAATACTCTCAAACCCCATACTCGTGAGTTTTCTAAACTTCCTCATCCGTCGCTGCAACATCTACCCTGGGGTCTTCAACACATCGATTCTACAGTCAATGACCCGACAAAGGACCTAAGCAAGTGCACGAACTACCCTCCTCATATCATGCCTCCATTTCGTACTCTGCAACATCGACACCCTCCCGACGCATCCATTCAAGCACTGTCTCCCACCCATACCCTTCCTCCTCCTCTTCTTCCTCCTCCCACTGCCTTCGACTCGTGACTTCGTCTTGACGAACAAGTGAGTCCTGGCGGGCATCAATGCGCGTCAACGGAGGCAGTTGCATGTCATTCACAACGCTATAGTTAGTCGACACACTGTGATGTGGTGTCCAGCTTGTGCGGTGTTGTTGGGCGCTCTTTGACTTGCAGATATAGCGCTTAATGGACTCGAGCACATCCTTGAGCTTGGAGGTAGTCGCGCCATTTTCGCGGAGCGCACTTGGGTGCGGACTTTGTGACCGCCGGCATTGGAGGTACTTGGTGCTGTAGTTGGTTTTGTCGGGGAGTTGGAAGTGGACTGCCATTTTTGATGTTTGGGGCATGGCTGGAGGGATTCGGTGTATTTTGGGCTTGTGGGGGTTTTTCAAAACCGTGGTTCTTGTCTTTGGAAATTGGAAGTGTGTTTGTACAGAGCGAGAAGGTAATCAAGATCTGTTGGGTTATGTATGCCTGGGAATAATTCATGGGTACTTTGTAGGTTGGTTGGGATGGATGTGAACCATAGTATCCTCAATGCGAACCATACTTGCAACACCAACCACAAGCTTCACATTCATAAAAAAAAAGGTTTGAAGACCTCCTGGCTATTGTAAGTCAGCACACAGTCATAGGGGACGCTCAGTCCGTGGATGTGTGGGCGTGACCCATGGATTCCTTACAACAACCCAGAATCGCCACACCAACCGCAAACTACGCGTTCGTAAATAATACCCTGAAGGCCTCCTCGCTAACGTATGAGCTAACGGATGTGTAAGATTACCAAATAAGAGCGGACAGGCCATTTTTACCTACAACGCCTAAACGCTCGCGCTACGCTTAGACGAATGTTCAACTCAAGCTTCCGTCTCGATGCCTCCCCCACCACCCCTCTCCTTATGATGCACAAGCTCCTTAACCTTATTCTTCCCGCGATCCGCGGTATGCTTCATCCACGCCAGCGTCCTCGGGCCCTTCCACTGCATCAACCCCCGATTCTTCCTATGCAGCTCTTTATTATGCCGTTTGTAATCCTTCAACTGATCAATCGTGCCCCTCTTCCCATCGTCACTGAGCTTACTATCCGTCTTCTTGTGCTTCTGCAGGAAATCTGGGGTGATCTTCTCCATCGTCGATTTGTCTTCGTCGTCGGAGTCAGAGGATGATGATGAGGAGTCACTGTTTGAGCTTTGGATGTTGGGGGCGCCGGAGTCGTTGGTCTCGTCCCAGTCGGAGTATTCTTGATTGTTGCAGACGTCGAGGACTTCCATGACGTTGAGGAGGTGCTTGTCGCCCTTGGCGTAGTCCTCGTGGTAGCCTGAGAGCCCGGACCAGAAAGTCAGTGTCAACTCGATCTGGCCCACTTTCTCGCCGTAGCTGTCGAGCATATTGTTCTTGGCGCGGTTGAGGTCACCCTTCCAGACGTCGAGGCGGACAGTCTGCTCTTCATTGTCGACAATATTTTTCAGCCACAGGATGGCGAAGGCGGGACTGTGGTCCCGCAGAGTAGCGTCCTGGCGAAATTCGACGACCAGTGGTGATGCGTAGCGCGCCTTCACTGGTAGGCGGATGGCACGATCTCTTCGCGATCTCCACATGGTGCCGCCCTCCTCGTGTTGCTTGACCCTGCCATCCCTTCCTCGCGAGTGGAGCTTGCCTTTCCCGAGGCTGGTGGTGACTTTCATCCTTAAAGGCGCCAGTTCCTGGGGCACATCGATAGCCTTGACGACTGGCTTTATGTCTAGCGTACCATACTCCCAGCCTAGAAGCTCTCGCGGCAATTGAACCTGTAAGCTGCGGAAGACCATGGAAACGCGAGCGCGCCCGTAGCCCACACCGCCAGCCAGAGGATAGATGGAGTTGACCTGACTTCGCTCCTTGAACACCTTCTCCAAGGGAAGGTAGATGATACCAAGCAACGGGTCGTCTTCGTGTACACGAGCGTCGCGGACCGCAATGTGAACCTCTGTGTTGCGCACGTCTCGGATGAAGCGCTCGCAGCCAGCATTGAAAAACGGCTTTGAGTTCTTTGGCTTAGTGCGGGTCTTGAAGACCTTCTTGTGGTTGAGAATTATGGTGCAGTACGACGACGGCAAATTATCGCCTTCTTCCTCTTCATCGCTGGCTTCGGCATTCTTGTCCCCCTTCTTCTTGTTCAACGTTTCCAGCTCCAGTCCGGTGATCTGATGGATCTGTACGCTGAGAATACCAGATGGGTAGTCATGTGCTGGTGGCGAAGCAATGATAAGCTGATCTTGACGCGACTGGAAGTCTTCCTTCTTCTGTTGCTCCACTTCAGGTGCATGATCTACGCTGGCCTCACGCAACTTATCTTCCGCCTCCGCAAACGACTTCTTCTTGAGCTGGTCAATAGTGTTGATATCGGGTTCCTCATTCTGTGTTTCGAGCTGATCATCCGTAATTCTGGTTTTCGAATAGTATCCGAGGCTCCAGGCAAGCTTTCCAGGCATGCCTTCACCAGCCTTGAGAGCCTTGAAGCCATCCTCGCGATCGTGCATCTTGCCATTTGTTTCAGGGCCCTTCATAATCTCCTTAAGATCCAGCTCGATACGGCCGAGGTCATCATCAGCAGTCGTTCGGTCAGAGTCCCATAGCTGCAACCTCAAGCGCTCGTCAACGTTCAGCTCATCTGGAGTGACCAGAATGTAACACTCCTCGTTCCAGTACGGCTCCATGTTCTTTTGCAAGACACGAGTGGACCACATGGGCTTGCCAAACTTCGCCCATCCGACCGTGACGTATGGATCTGCGGAACCCTTCTTGAGTGGTCCCAGGCCGGCATCGCCTTCCTTGAAGTCGAATGCGTGATGGACTCTGACTACTAGTATACCCTGCGCGACTGTGTCTTTCTTGAAGTCGTCGCCCATCATCATGTCCTTGAGGTTAAGGGTCAGTGACTTCGGTGCCACGTACTCAGCAAGTGCGGCATCCATGGACGACTGAACGAAGCTTGAGATGAGTGGTACATCCATAAGATTGGGCCCCTTCTTGATGAGCGGTACACATGAGAGGTTCACCTTGGGTTGACCCAAGAAAGACATGGTACAGACTGAGAAGAATGGAGGGTCGGGGCAAAGCTGCAGTCGAATGCGGACAACGCCCACGATACCGGAGAGTTCGACCCAAACAGCTAGGACATGTCAACACAGGACAAACGACATACGAACATCGTTCACTTACGGAGTTTGATCTTGCCGGGAAGGTAGAAAGCAAGGTAGAGATGGGCATGGTTCGCGCGCGACTTAATGCCGTGTCCGGTTGCGGGGCGGTATGCGAACGCAATTTCCATGTTGACGAAATCACCTTCTTCTGCCTCCATGCTATCTTGGGGCTTATCACCTTCGCTCTCACCATTGTCAACGACAGTCCTGTCTCCCTTCTCTTCATCAGCACTCTTCAACTTCCCGTCGGCGTTTACGGATCTTGCAGCCGCGCCCGTCGGCAGCCACCTTACACCCAGAAGGCGGATTGCTTCGCTGCCCTGTCCGAGGTCTTCGACTGCAACCATACGCACCATACTCGGCAAAGAGGCTTGCATGACATCCTCGAGCGTGTCTGAGATACTGGTGAACAAGTCAGGATTAATCAGGGGCCAAATCGATGCTACCAGCGAGTTGAGCCACTGGGTACTCTCTGCGGTCTCGCTTTTAGCCAGTTTCCGCCCTTGTTGGCGTTCTGCTTGCCAGACTTCGACATCCCACACGTTCTTGATCTTGTTGTCGGTCCACTGCCTCATAAAGACGATCGTGCCTACTGCAATACCCGCTGATAGGGCTAGCTCGATCAGGTGGAAGAACTGCTTGACCCAGCCTGATGAGTTGCGTGTGAACCAGAATAGCGCTCTTACACCCAGTAAGCCAACGGCAATGATTCCTAACCCGACTTCCACAGCCCTTCGGTAGACTGTTGTGATCTCTTGCCGTGTGTTGTCAAACTCGGGCGGCGGAAATAGGACCTCCATGGCTTTGTGCGAGTCCTGGGAGTCATGCTGGTCATCCTTGAGCATGTCATCTGTCTTTTCGATACCACCAGTTCCAGTCCTTGTCTTTGGCTCTACCCCTACTGGCGGATCGTTCTCTGCAGTGCTCTTCAGATCCTTATCGGTGAAGTCGTGGATGACAACAGGCAGATGTGTGACAGGATCTGTGACCTCTCGTTCTGTGCCGTCCGCGCTGAACTTCTTCATGTGCTTGCGCGCCTTCTTGGGGTCCTGCTCAGTCATGACGCCCTCAGTGGTGTCTTCAGCTGCGGCGTTGGAGTCTTGATCCTGCGGCAGCTGCTTGCTGTTCGCAGTTACAGTCTGGCCAGCATGGTCCGGTGCCTCTTCCCTCTCTCTTGCCAAGTTCTTGTTCTCTGCATCGTAGGGCTGGTCGCCTTCGACGTGTGCTTCGGCACCGTGTGTGAAGGCATTGTATGCATCGCCAATTCGCTCGCGCCTGCTCCGTCCGTCTACGTTGTCCTCATCCGGCTCTGGGTGTCCGTACTCGTCCTGCCGTCGCTGTTTCTCTTCGCGATATCTCTGCACGGTCGGTATGGGATTGTGGGCGGTGTATGGCGACTTGTGCGACCGGCGCGCGCCTTTGACATCTTCGACGCCCGACATGGCGACTTGGTGGTGTGAGTGGGGTGGACTAGTGTACAGTGCGAAAAGGGTCGTGGGGAACGGTCGTGAAGGAAGTCGTGCAGTCAATCACTTGCTCATGTCGCGGGCAGTCGTGAGGTCGTCAGCTGGTGATTCATAAGCTCGAACGCAAGAAACAAGGATGAACACAAGTCGCAATGTCGAGCGCAGGTCAGCCCCGCAGAAGCTTGGAGATTCCTCATTTCCAGCTGATGGAGCTGTTTACAATTGAATTGACGTAGGCTAACGGGCACTGACAGGCCACCTTCAGGATTCCCGAGCCCAGAACGGCCAATCGCACTCCACATGCTGCACGTTATTCGCTCCATTAAGGCCGTCAGGTGCCGTCGTGTCGTTTCGTGAGGCTTGATCGTCATGCAATGACGTCGCATGCCAGCTTTAATGCCTTCTCAGACCACCTAGCCACATCAGCCACTTGGCAGTCGCGTGCGGGGAACCAACAAAGATTCGGAAGTCTCCTTGTAAATTTGAAGCTTGGTATCAGATGAATAGCATGGTTTGCATCGTCATTGTCGCAAACTGCACTGCGACTGGCCGTCTGCAGGTATGGCAATTGCATCGTTGCGCACTTCTTGGCGGCAGTCACTCGGTTCGTTCTTGCCGTTCCCTGCGTCGATCCTCAGAGGATGATGTGGCTGCGGACCCACACACGAGCCACAACACTAGAATAACTTGTATCCTCCCTTTCGTCGACTGATTCAACGTCAGTATGCGCTGTATTCTTCAACCATCGCAAGGGGTGACCAATTCGAAGCATCTAGATGCCGCAAAGGTCGTGACAGCTTGATGCAAAGACGCACGCTGGGGATCCAAGATAACAACCTGTGTTGTGAACTGGGAGGAGAAAAGCTTCCAATCGATGACTTTAATAGCACTGAGCTTTGTCATCCTCTACGCCTTCTCAGTGACTCCTCGTTGACTCCCAACATGCAACATTGGTGATAGTCGCCCTTTTCGACTGCGCTAGTCACACCTGCATGGGCTGCGTACGAAATTTTCTCCGCATACGAGCTAGCCCTACCGTTACGGCCGAGCCACAACGGAGCACCGAGCTCGCTTACAATTCGCATTCTACAGTCGGCATCGACCTTTCAGGGTAATTGTATGTGCCTGGAGTAGTCGCGATGCGGCATACATCTCACGCAATCCGGCAACAGCAATTTCACCATCGGAGTAGAACCCCGTGAGCAGATTTCGGAGTAGAACCCCGTGAGCAGATCTCCAGCCATAACCATCAACGACCATCACGGTTCACAATCCCATGCTACAGAAACCCCAATCCTCCAATCAGAAATCCAAGGTACCAGTCTGCTTACCAAGTTCGCTGCTGACTCACCTCGCGCCCTTCATGTCGGAATAACATCCTGCTCCACGCACTAGCGGCATAACATGCCCACTCCGATCAACCCCAGCAGTGTTTACTATCCCCCTCGTGGAATTGTCCGTATTGACCAGTCACAGCGCCAGCACAATGCTTGTTGATTCACCGACATGTCTGTGTGGCTAAGCTTTCTCCAGAAACAATTGACGAAAGCATGGTATCTGCCGCACATGCTGTGGGTCCGCACAAGGCAGCGCAAGCCAGGAGGCAATGCAGGGTGCAAGGCATCCAACGCCGACCCGGACGCGTCGACGCGTAAAACACCCGTTTGGGCAAAATTGCGAGCACTGCAATTGTTCCTTGGGGTGGTTTCCAAGAATGACATGCTGCTGTAGGGCGGCGGGGATGATTGATTGGTGGGAACCTTGTTTCGAAGGATAGAGATGGCTGCGACACGAGTGAAGAGTCATTCTGAGACGCAGCTTAGCGAGCAGTGGTGAAGGTAGGGGTGTCATTGAGGGTGTATATAAGACCAGGGAACGAGCATGGTGATAAGCATCACATCAGGCATCACATCCAGCATCTCAACGCCAAAGAGACAGTCAAGAAGCAACCCTATAATCGACTGTATTCATATCCTCGTCCTGGCTGAGCCGTTCACTATATACACGAAGCTACACATTCAAGTCACAATGTCATCCACAAGCACACCACACACCAACGCCTCCACAAGCCGCACCTCAACCTCGTCAACACCCACATATACCGCGCCCCCATCCTACGCACCCTCGGACGCCTCCTCTGTCAAGAGCACAACGTCGACAGTGAAGAAACATCTCGTCGAGGTCTTCACCCGGAAACGTAAGCTACAATCATCACCATTGTTCACCGAAACTTGTACTAATGTTCATGATAGTGAACGCTCGCAGCACCGCAACACCGACTAGGAAGGGACCAAGTGGGAAGGATGGGTTGACGACAGAAGAGCGGAAGCTCAGGAACGAGGCTCGGGCGAGCTATTACTCGACACTCGGATAGTCTCGATTGGTATCGGAAAGATTTTGTATGCTTTTGGGTAGTATATAGGTCTCGTCTGCGTCCCAGACGTTGGAAACACGTAATGCATAAAAGCCCCATTACACCACAATCCCACACCATCCACACATCTCCTCAAAACAAATCCTGCGTATTATTCCACGCCGCGCCATCCAACCACGTCAAAAAATCCTCCGCCTGCGTCGGAATAGGCTCCATCCCATCCAGCATCGGAATATCAAAGAACCCCGGTCCCGTGGCAGGCGCCATAACCTCGCTCCCCAAATTGCTCCCTGTCGGGGGCGGCTCGTAGTTCAGCACCTCGTCCAAGACTAAGGCGAGCATCTTGTTGAGCTCGGTGCAGAGCTTGTGGTTTCCGTCGCCGGGGAGGATGAGCCATTCGAGCGAGGAAGTAAGGACTGAGAGATTGCGGATCACGTCGGCGCGGAACACGGTGTCTGGGAGCGGGACGGATTCGATTGTGGATTTGCGCAGTTCGAGCGCGAGAACGCCGGCGGCGGGGAAGCAGTAGAACATTATGACTGTTGCGAAGTGTCGTCTCGTCTCGTAGGCGCCGTTTAGGGGCTTCGTGAACACGAGGGCGGTTGAGAGGAGCTTGAGGGAGACATCGAGGAGGGCTGGGAGCGCTTGTTGTGTCTGTCGCTGGAGGAGGCGTTGGGTCTGGAAGTGCGTGTGTAGGTATTCGAGGTAGGCGGAGATGAGGCGGACTGTGATGCCTGCGCCGAGGCGGTGCCAGGCGGAGTCTTCGTCGTACATTTCGTAGCGGAGGTGGACTGGAAGGCTTTCCCAAAATAGGGTGCATTCTGCGGATATGGTTCTGGGGCTGTCAGCACGTATTCGAGTGGTTCCATCGAGCACTTACTTCATGTTGTGGGCCACATCGCTGTCCTTCTCTCCGGACAACGACTGCTCCAATAATCGCTCCTTAAAAACTGCATGTTGACAACGCAATCTGATACAGGTCGATGGATGTATATGGCCGTCGGTATTCCAACCGTTCCCATCCAGCCTCGACAGTGCCTGGTTGATGACTTCCGGATCTTCAGAAACAATGACATCATCGCTAACATCGAGCAACTGTTTTCGATCGCTGTACCTCCATCCTATCATAGGAGGTCGGCCGAAAAAGATCGCCAGGGTTTTGTCGATTCGGTAGACAGCAGAGTAGACTCTTCTCCTCGCTTCGCGTATGAACAGGGGCTCTGTGTTTGCTCGCTCGGTGTATCCCCCTTCGCAGTGCATACCTGCGGCATAGAGAGCCGACACACTGTCACCTAGTCGTCGCCATGTACCGTGATCTATTTATTGTCAGAGCGGTGGTGTGTGGGGTCGGGCTTTCGACGTACAATTGTCTCCGTAGAAATTGCTGACTATCAACATGTTAGTGTATATCAGCCACACCATGATGTCGTTAACAGCCCCGTGTATTTGGCAAAGATGTATGCAGTCGTTGGATGCGTGGATCATGTTTTCGATCAGTTCGTCTCTGTCAAGTCTTGTTCCATCGTCAAGCGTAAATATTTGGTCGTGTGGTGAGGTGAATTGCATATTGGAGCACACAATTGCCAGTATGAGACCTAGAGTTTCCCATCGTAAGTTTTTGCCTGTGAATAATGTATGAAACTCTGATGGGCGCATGTTGGTAGGCACTCTCATCGGTCGCGCAGTGTTCCTCGTCATCTCTGCGTACATGGCGACCGCATCATTCTCGGTGTTTGCGAGTTGTGCCAGATCTAACCTCAATTGCGGCAGAGCAGATATGACAAGTGGGCCGATCAAAGCAGATGCTTTTTGTTGCTCGAAGTACATATTGAAAGACTTCTCGAAGAACGAGATCGGCAGAAGTTTGGTCACGATTGAGTGGCCTATACCGATCTGACAATGGCGGCTTCCAAGTACAGTTCTGTCAGATACGGAAGGCGTCCTACTTGTCCTTTCTGACGGCTGCTCGTGCACACTATCCGGTAGAGGCTGCTCTTCAACAAACACACTGGCATAGCTGGTCGAGCCGAGGAAGAATCCTCGTGTTGGATCTTGAGTCGGCTTTGGACATCCTGCTCTAGCCGTTGTCTCAGGTGGTGTTGGCCAAGAGTTGACGAGGTCGTTTCTCAGCGTGGGTGGGCTCAACGTCAAGGGAGCAAGCCTTTCGGACCCTCCAGGATGCACACTAAGCTTTCGACGGCGAGGCTCAGGCTTCTTGCGTGGAGTACCGGCGGGCTTTGTCATAGGGTTTGGGTGGTAGAAACACTTTGGTGGTCAACAGCATGCATGGAGGTGGTGGCGACCTGCTCTGCTCACTTGCTCGGTGATGCCCCGCGTTTGACATTTTTGGCATGTTGGCGTTGCATGGTCACACCGGATCTTCGAGATCCTGCACGGTTCGCAACTGGTATTTGGTAAGCTTGGCTGTGAAGGGTCTCGGAATACTGACAAACCTTCTGGGCTTTCCGTTCCTTCTGAGCTCCCTTGACATGTTTGAGACCTATCCGAATCTAGCCGGGCGTAATAGCAATAGGTACAACAGTCTCTGCTGTTGAGAACGCTTGCTCATGTCTCGTTCTCACGACCCCGAGTTCATTCCGATTGTGGAGTGCATCGCAAGTCCGAACGGATGACACAGCAAGGTGTCACCAACGATTGGCCAGTGACCTCACGAGGTGGGTCTCTCGGAATAAACACAGCGACAGCGAATGCCATTCGTCTGCAGTGCAGTTACCAGCAGCTGGAGCAGTCACAAACATCGCTGCTGTTGCCTGATGAATATCCGATATCAGAATCTGACCGCTGACAGTCACGATCCAGTTTGTTGTGTCTGGCGTTCGGCAAGGCAGTCTCACAAAGTTGCGGTCAGCGCACACCTTTTTGAACAGCCGCCATCCGCTTCCCACAGCCTGGAAACCTGGGATCCCTTTCAATATTCTGGCAATCTTGAGCGCGGCTTCACAGCATCTCCGCAATGTTTACGATCAGCTTGCTCGCCCACACAACTCTTTCGCTCTCTGAACATGTCGACATGCGCGAGAGCCGCATCACGTCGCGATTACGTTTCACAGCTATGCGCTGGCAATTGACGACTTCAACGCACCCATGATGCGGACGTCTACTGACTGACAAGGGCAGACCTGTCGCAGATCACTGGAGCAAACCATTGGCTCCAGCTCCTCAAGGGTGGCCACCTTCCTTCACACCCGTAGCAGAACCTGGCTGTGTATGCCAGCCGGCAACTGCCACAGAGCCGCAAACAATGAGCAGTTTGCGTCCATCCCTAACCATCAGCAGCTGTGCGACTCGCAATTTGCTCTGTGAACACCGCCTTTTGATGAAACCCGGGCTTAGCGAGCGAGGCGCAGTGCAGCCCGGCACGAACCTCGAAGCCTCCAGGCTGATGTTGAGGTATTGTAGCGCTCCAACGGTATGTTTCGAAATCACAGCCTTACCACCGCGCGAAGAGCGCGATCAGCAAGCGCAAGTCCGGCCGGCGACGGTGAGTTGCATCTCGGATTCTTGATGTCAAACTTTTTGGTGGAGCACAGTGCGAGCGTCTATTGCGGTTTGGTGCGACCCGGGTGCTATGCAGACGGGCTGCAGCTCAGCCAATAGCTGCATTTCGCGCCATGCCTCTTGACCGGTGGACGTGGGGCACCGTGAGATGCGCTCAGGAATTGCCAGTGTGATTGCATCTTCCTTCCTCGTTCTCAGCCGCGTTGGAAGTGATTCTTCTTGCGCGCCCTCCCTCAACTGCTCGCCCGGACCATCCCGTCTATCGTTGCCTGTTGCCCGTCCAGTTTGGCCTGTTCTGAAGCACCGCGAGCCGTTCCTCTTTGCGACTTTCTCCATTAGGGCCACCAGGCCGAAGATCGAGCGCTGGCGCATCATTTTGCCAGGCAACTTAGGAGCTAAAAGCAAAGGGCTTGAGGGTCCCCTGATCCTGCTCGGGCGCTCGTAGCGGCCCTCTGCGCATCATGTCCACTTTCCCTCCACAGTACCAATACCAGTCACAACAGTTCCTCTACGAACAGCCATTTGAGCTTGCCCAAAATGTTGCCCGTCGGTCCAAAACACCTACGGACTCCCTGATCAATCATACCGGACTCTCTCCTGGCGGCCACTCTCCTGGACCGCTCATAACCACGCCGCCGCCGTTGAGCCGAAATCCTTCGCAACAACCAGTGCCATTGCAGGAGCAGCTACCAGAACAATCGTTTTGGGACAATGGCAGCTTTTCAAATTCTCCGACGTCTGTGAGGACTCCGGATAACGATTCGTTCGAGGTGGAGATGCTCGACTCGGATATCGGGCGGTTCTACCAAGACACCAATATCATGTCGACTCAGAGTTCACACAACAACGTCCCAGCTGTAGACTCGACTATGTTCTTCAGTGATCAAGGTGCGTTTGATATTGGGCTTCCATGCGTATGCGCTAACAAGCATAGCTCTTCAGGAGGCATTCAACACTACAGTAGCTGCCAACGCTCAACAATACCAGCAACATTTCAATATGAATGCCCAACAGCAATACGGCATGATGGCAACACAACCGCACAATACGTTCTTCGGTGGAAATTACACAACTGCCCAACCACAGCAGTCTACTCAACCACAGCAGCATGAACCATGGAGCGGCCAAGGGCCTTCGAGGTTTGCGATGATCCCTCGGTCTGGGCACGTCATGTTCGACCCCATCTCCGATCCTACTTTGTACACGGAGTTCCTCAATAATGATGTCAACTTCTGGACTGCGAATTATACCGACCCCAACTCTCTCCTCTCACCGAGCGAGCCTGTAGTGCCTCCCCAGGATATGATGTTCAGCTTTAATCCACAGCATCGCGGATCTCAGGGGTCATATGGGCAAAGTCCGGTGGAAATTCGTTTCAACGGCCTCCCATCGTCAGATCAACCGACTTTCGTCAATTACGATGCAAATTCAACCCTCATCACAGACAACTACATAACACCAAATCAATTCCCCCCAACATCACCAACCTCATCAGTCGGTCAATATCCGCAATCGTTCTACCAGCCCACCCTTAGTCCACAAGTCTCAGCACCAAGTCCTGGCAGCTCAGAAGGCAAATTCTCTAACCAGCACTCAGATTTTGAGATGCTCGACACAATACCGGCACAACATTCAAACAATGCTTTCTTTCCTGCCCAGTCATCTACTCGAGGGAGCGCGTCACCTGCCCAGCCTGTACCTGAGATTTCTTTCGATGCTTCACCGGAGCCCGAACAATCAAGACGAGAGTCGACCTCGAAGAGCATGAACAAGTCGGGGGGAAGAGCGCTTGGTACGCATCTAGACCCCAGGGTCGCAAAGTCAGCCCACGATATGCGAAAGATCGTAGCATGCTGGCACTGTGTACTTCAACGAGACAAGTGCGGACCAGGAGAAACCTGCGAGAGGTGCCTGAAGCGTTCTCAGCGCCCGAACGCCGATTGTGGTTTGGGATGCTCGCGTATTAAGCTCGTCGATTTGGCTACAGCCTTCCTTCCACACCTCGTTACACAAATGCATGAGGACTCCTTCCTTACGCAGTTCGTGTCTCAGCACATTCACCAATGGGGCAATGTTGAGCTTACAGTCATGATGACTTGTGGTCAGGACAAGATGCCTCGTATTCCGGTTAAGGTCTACGAGTTCGTTCCTAAAGGAGACACACTACTGAAGCAGCTCCAATACCGAACAGACCCTGGATCGAACAAGCGAGTCATGTACACAAAGCACAGCCCACCGTTGGGAATGGTCCACATTAACTACAACGAAGAGAAGAAGTACGAGAATTATGTCAGCGACATTGTCGACAACCACCTGGACGCCTTTGGCGAGCTTTGTTGGATGGAAGACGACAACGACTTCCAGCAGAAACTGTTCAGACTGATGACAAGGGTCAAGCCGAAGAACGACGATGAGGCGAAGTTATTCCGCGAGGTCTACCGTCTCATTGTTGTCACATTTATCATGTCGCACACCCTCACCATCGCACCCGAGACCAAATATGCCACGCTCTCGCGCATGCATTCCTACAACGGTCACAATGAAACATACACATCGCCACGCATGACCAACCGCCAACTCAAATACTTCTTCTCGCGAGTGCAACGGTCAATCCAGAACGCGCTTCTCAACAAGCTCCAACAAATATTCAAATCGTCCAAGGGCTGCGACAAGTGGCTGGCAGCGTTCATCACTATCGTCGGCATGTGCATGGCACTCGAAGATGAGCAAAAGACCATTCACCTTGTTCAAACAACAAAGTCGACCACAGAAGGACTCGATGTTCGTGATGCCCAAAACCACGCGGATCATGCCAACAGGGAGATTGACACCCAGATGCACTTCATTCAGCAAATCTTCAGGTGGAAGTATAACCGTAAGCACAACCCACTGCTGAACGCTGATCACGATTGGGAGAAAGAGGTTGGCTTTGGAGATGCATCGAGTGTGAACTTTGTGCGACAAGTCGCGCAGTTGGTTAAGGAAAACAGTCAGTCTCCTTCGTCGGCAATATTGGGAATAGACTGCTAACATTACACAGCCGACTACCTGCAGCACCGAGGAGCTGTCAGTATCTCGTCTGACAATCAGACGAAGTACACAGCACGAATCGTTGGCAAGTTCCTGATGTCTTTCTGGATGCCACAATGATTGCACCGCTTTGCGCAGCACTTCTTTTTCCACATGGCCCTCTTGGAGCTCATTTGCGAGCTCGGACACGCTTCTGGCATGATTGTACATCTTCATTGTTCACTTCTACATCCATGACGACCAGCACATACCAAAATACGTTGCACAGCCTGTACCAGGCTGACGATTTACGACTACACATGTTATGACTCATGTTGTCTGCTTATTTCCTGGGGGTTTTTCATATCGGTTATTGGTCTACGGTGGTATACCCTTATACATTACCCATCATGCCAGGCTTACTGGTCATCTGGATACGCACCCGTTGTCAAAAGCGCAGCGTGCAGCTTCGATTGAATATTAATACCTATTATGCACGCACACTACATTTGCCGTCGCTTTTACTGTGATGATGACACCAAATCGAAAATAACACTCTCGGTCCCACACTGACACAACTAACAAGGCTCAACTGCACGCCTAACCGGTCATTGTGGATCCGCTCACACCGCAGACATATCCCCAGTCTTCCCAGCAGGACTGCACCTGGACCGCATAAGGCTGAGACGATGTACCCTGGTACTCGCATATGAGGTGAGGCATGGTCGTATCTGTAGCGCGCGGCACAGCCACCGCCGCATGTATCGCTTTGGAAAGTAATGCGTGGGACACGTGATAACGTTGGTGATTCCTGTCAAGATTTATACAAACTGGTGTACATCGACGTAAATGATTGCTATATGGATTGATCAGTGCAGTAAGAACTTCCTTAGTACTGACGCGATACGAGAAGCACACGAATGTCATGTCGGTCACGAAGCTGTTTACAGGTGCACTAAGCTGTATCTAGACAAGGGTGAAGGGAGACAGCGTAAGGATCCTCAAGAGGGTGATATACTGTGGCAGGATCTGAGGTGTACTTGGCGCCATATTAACCTGTGAAGTGATGAATCCCAGGGAGAGCAAAGTCATTGCGTGTTGAGTGAGGGCCTCCTTGCGAACAAGAGCAAGGCAGCTTATCTTTAGAAACAACTGTTGAAATTCGGTGAATGAAGTGAGAAGGGTTTCAATGGACATGAGTGATTACTTATCTTTATCCTGTGGATCGCCGGCAGCCTGACGTCTAGACGCTTCAACGCTGACTGACCTTGTCTGAAGTTTTCTGCCATGCTATTGAAGGCACCACTCAAGTTCGTGCAATCCATCATTCTCTACAACACCAGATTCTGCAGCCTGATGTGCGCTGCAAAGCTAGGTCTAACACGCCGAGGTTGAGCTTCTGTGGATGCAATAGCTCGGGGTCGTTGTAGGGGATCTTAATAAAAGGTGGTTCAATTTGGCCGATCCAGCCTCTGTATATGAGGCCAAGTTGAGCGAAATGTTCAAGTTTCTGATGCTGAGGCATGTCCCACCACATACCAGTAAAGTTCCTAACGAGCAGAGACAGGGTCTTCATCATTACCGATGAAGACCGTGAACGACTGGATGTTTAAAAAAGCAGGCGCTATTGAAGCAGCAATACTAGAGTGATAAGAGACGCTTGCTTGAAGCGGTATGTCCAGGGTCTTCATCCCAAAGTATGAGGGCCATGACGGCCAGGAAGTGCTTCCTGCTCAAACATGTTGACTTTCGATCACGGCCGAATTGCACCTTACGGTCGTTAGCAACCAAATCAGCACATCAATTGCGTAGATACTCCCGCAGCACCCAAAAATTCCCAAGATACACGTTCGGCGCATTTGCGCGAGACAAGAGTAAGATTGCGAGTGGGAAGTAACGACAAAAGGTTACAAACTTGAAAACGGTCACTTGCAACTCGACTGCCAGATCAAAGAAAGACGCCATCGTTGACACGACCCAATTGAATTTGACTTATTCAAGAAAGATATGTTAGGAAGCACGCATTAAATCGTGCATTCTGGCCCTAGCGTCACGTAGCGTGTAAACAGGAAGTCACATGAGGACGCGAAACCTCGGAAGAACGATGCCCAGTAAAGTTTGCGTCGACATAAAACAGAACGAACACGTCATGTACTTTCGAACGTGTACTCAACCACTCTTTGCTAGCCTCGTTACTTGTATATCGGTTATCTCTACGACATGACTGCAATGGTCGCACCGCAACCTTACACGCGACAGCATGCATTTTCGACGTCACGGAATTTGCTGAACCTTGACTGCAGCGCGGACTTGAAGTCGTATCGACGAGACCTTGGTCCTGGCGTTCAAGCAAAATGCTTCGAGAAGACGAGCGATACGATACGAGCGCAATTAGACGATCATCGAGCTTTCCTGTTACGGCATCGTCAGAGTGGACAGGCTTCTGGATTTCCCAGTCCTGTTCCACGACTTGAGGTCCCACAGTCGCATACTGTGCACAGCAATAATGCCATCCCACCACAGTTGGCAGCGCCGAACAACAATTACCACACCGCATCCCATCCTCGACCGCTTCAAATTCTATCGCAGCCACATGCGCCGCAGCAAACGGTACCGCCATCTCGGCGTGGGAGTCCAGTGCCCGGGCATATAGGGACATACCCTGCAGGTCTTCGACAGGCACTGGAGCGCTGTAGCCAGTACGGCCACCAACGCCAGCCAGGTACTGTGTGGGAAATCATCACAGATACTAAAAGCGATTATATGGATAGCTCGAAGGATGTGGTAGGAGCGTACGAGAGCTTACAAGAAGCAAACATGCAGGTCGCCAATGTCTTCCTGTTCGACAGATATTACGCTTCGGACGACGAACCCACGTACGAAGTAGAGGGCGACGGCGGTCTCAAAATTCGGTGCAAAACGGATGGTTCAACCGGAAGATATGTGGAGATCTACGTGGAGAGCGCACCAGCCAGACGAACGCTTGGTCCAGGGAGAAGATAATTCCGACATGAACCAGTGTGGGAGATGCATCTCTCGCCTTATCTACAGGACTACGCAAAGACTTGTCGCCAATAGCAGGACATTCAGACCGCCAGACTCAAGCCCTCTTCCTTCCTCTCTGGCCACCCCCCAGGCCCACACCAAGTACAAAGGCGAGCCTCAGGAAGAATGGGCCTACGGTCGATACCATCGTCACCCAATCATGAGGTCTCCAATTTCCTGGTGTAAACATCTCCTTCGTACCCATCTCCGCCCAAACCGAGTACATGTACCCGGCATCGCACAGTGCCATACCAAAGAGCATCACCTTCCAAACGTACACATTGTGCACTGCTCTAAGCGTGACAGCCTGGTTGAATGCGAACAGCATGTAGGTCGCTGCGAGCTGGTCGTAAATGATTTGCGACTTGGGACTCCATGTCGCCGTAACAGGCAAGAACTCGTGGTAGGTATCTGGCTGGGACCAGAGGTATCGAGCGCCATTGAGCGCCATTGCGGGCTCGATCCAGAGGTGCCACGCACGGTACACAAGTGGAATGTTTGGAGGGGTCATCTCGCTTGAGCTGAATCGGTCCGATGTTGCGGAAGATATGCTAAGTCACGTGGAACTGTGTGACGGGGCGGGCGGTAGCGACGAGACCCTTATTTGCGATGTTTCAGCAGTATGACAGTAAGGCTGGAGATGAAACAGATGGTGCTATGTAGTGTTCAGAACGTCGAACTAGGACACCGTACAATAAACTGGTGTGTGAGCGGGTAAAGTGCCTGCATGCAAGGTAGACGGGTATGGCGCTTGGGATGATATCACTGCTATATTAGCCTTGGTCTTAAGCCAAGAGTTGCACAAGACCAACATGTCTACCTTCCAGTGATACGTCAAGAGGCATGAAGAGTAGATAAGTCTGCTATCTCGATGGTCTCTCATAAGAATGTCCAGAGAATCGAAGGTGCCATACTTCAAATGCCATCATAATCAGCAGACATATCACCACAAATGCTCGAGCGTTCAGAAGCGCAGCACGGTCGACTCCATAGGAAGCACGACCATTGGTGGGATCGCCTCCCGTGCGTTCGATGGAAAAGCAGCAAACCTGCTTATTCGGGAAGTCATGACATGGCAGCAGGTGGAAAGTGTTCCCGTCCAATCGTTCACACATGTTTGGGGTCGTGCTCAATGGGTTACATAAAGTTGCAGCTGAGGCCAATTGCTCTGGCAGAACCAAGTACTGTGTTCCGCCATCGTTGCATGCTCGACTCCTCAACTCACTTTTCTGTCTTACATATCGTTCTTGCTGTTCGTCCACTGTGATGCACTAAACTTTCTACAGATGTTCTCGCGAAGACGAACAGTCGACTTTACCCGCGCTTTCACCACAGACGTTCAGATCACGTCATATCCAGAAACTGGCCTCGGAGCCCGTATGCATGCAGCCAGAACACCCTCAGCTTACCATAGAGGCTCTCAGCTAGCTGTACATACAGTTTGTAAACAATCAGAACTGTTCTTTTGACGATGTTGACAGAGCTGTACGTTCACAGTATAGTGTCCGCTTGAACCACATTCGACGCTCAGGGTCCACCATCGATATTTCAGGTCACTTCGGCAGCTTTCCGAGGAATTCCACCTTTTTGAGGTAACCCGCAGCTTCGAGTGGGGAACCTGCAATGAACCACGCTGAAAACTCGATGCGAAGCAAGGCCTGTGAAGCAGAGTTTTCTGCATACAGCTGAACATCGAGTTTTTCGCAGAATATTGGGTTGTCAGAGAATGCCATCACGATGGCTCACTAAGAACGTTCTAGCTCAGCTAGGCACAGCGCTGGTTTCCCCACGTGTGAGAGCCTCAAAGTGTGCCCGGTGTCAAAACGGACGCTCTCGGCGAGTGGTAGCCTCCAGAGTCCGTTGCAGCGTAAGCAAGGCTTCAAGTGCAACGGCCTAACATGTGATTGGCTGCGGCGCTGCAAAGCGTGCTTAATCTGTGCCTCGTTGAGCTGTCACTTTAAGCTCAAACTTCGTTGGACGCAGCAACTTGTTAGGTTGTACGTAAAAGTGATGCTAGAGTGATATCCAATTCCAGCACTTCGCGGAGCGGACATTGTTTGCACCAGAGTCAGTCGGCCGTGCCATGTGACGTCAGAGCGTCGCGGGGTGCTCCAATGTTTTCTTGCGCACGTCTGAAGCTTGTGAGGATCCACGTTTCGTTGGAGACGCCCCTGCTCAACCGCGCTCGCATTCGCTCAGCAAAACCAAGGAAGTTCTCTTCCGCCCGCTAAGCGCAGCCTCCTTCGTTTGTGACTACTTAAACTGTAGGTCATGCCCTCCCGCGCGCTTATTGCGTCGCGAAAACGATCCGGGCGGAGTTCAGGTTGACGATACCCACAGATTCCTCGAATTTGCGGCACAAACTTACTCACCTATAACCTCGACACCGCCTTTTGCGACTTCACCTCGAGCTTCTAGTGGGCCGCAACTATCTATAACGCGTCTCTAACGTCCTTGTACCCCGTATACCTAACCATTACCACATAAACAGTCCCACGAAAGAGGCTGCTGCGCCTATACTTCGCCCACCATGACGACCTTTGTGGTGTCATTGTAAGGTCACCACACGCTATATGCAACACTCAGACTGACAACGCAGATTTCTCCCCTATACAGTAGACTTTCATGAGTCGAAATCAGCGGCACCGAGCCCGAAGCCAGCTCCAGCTGTCCCTCCAAAGCTAATAGACATTGGGAGACAACCCTCCAAGAACAGCTTGCAAGATGCACAACAACCACCCAGTGTCCTTAAGCGGGCGCCTCCCTCGCATATCAATCTGCCTAAGACGCCTCTAGCTATGCTGGAGCAGGACGATTTCTTCACCCCCGCGCAACCGAGCGCAGCGACCCACTTCCCTAAGCCCCAAGACCCTCGAAGTCTGGTACGCAGCGACGCCCACATCCCTGAGTGGGGTGGCAGTGGTCTCTTCTTCAACCAGCCACAGTCGAGAGCCGACCCCGCGCCGCCAGACACAATTCTCGAGTACGCAAAGGCACAGGAGCGGGCGCAGATTCTTAAGGAGCGTCAGAAGGGCCCATTACACGTTGAGCAGAAGCCTGCAGACCCCCGCTGGGCAACAGGATACACAGTTGTACCTGCTGTACAGGGTAATGGTGGCTTGGCCAACGCTGTTCGTGCTGCTGTCGACAACAAATGCCTGAAGGATGTGCTTTCGGTCGGTCTGATTGGTTTCCCTACCGACAGCATCAACGAGGAGAAGAAGACCGAAATCTACGAGAAGCTGGAGGAAGAGCACGAGGCATTGACTGTCTACGTCAGCGATAAGGACTTTGATGGCCATTACGCACACTTCTGCAAGACCATCTTGTGGCCAGTCTTCCACTACGTTATTCCTGACCACCCCAAGAGCAAGGCTTTTCTTGACCACTCATGGGTGTTCTACGTCAAGGTCAACCAGGCCTTCGCCGACAAGGTTGTCAAGAACTACAAGCGCGGCGACATCATCTGGGTACACGACTACCACCTCTGCCTTGTTCCTCAGATGATTCGCCAGAAGCTGCCGGACGCACAGATTGGCTTCTTCCTTCATACTGCCTTCCCGTCTTCAGAAGTCTTCCGTTGCTTAGCTGCACGAAAGGAGCTGCTTGATGGCATGCTCGGCTCTAATTTGGTTGCTTTCCAGACTCCCGAGTACGCACACCACTTCCTCCAGACATGTAGCCGCATCCTTTCTGTCGAGGCCACCGAAGACGGTGTCCAGCTCGACACCCGCTTTGTGAATGTCTGGTCTTCACCTATCGGTATTGACCCTCGCGCACTTGCTCTTGCGCGCGAAGAGCCAGAGGTCCTTGAGTGGATACAGACAATGCAGAAGCGCTATGAAGGCAAGAAGGTTATTGTCGCACGTGACAAACTTGACAATATCCGTGGTGTACGACAGAAACTCTTGTCGTACGAGCTGTTCCTCAACAAGAACCCACAGTGGAGGGACAAGGTTGTTCTGATTCAGGTTGCGACGTCGACAACAGAAGACCCCGAGCTGGCTGCAACAGTGTCAGAGATCGTCACTCGTATCGATGCAGTACACTCGACTCTCACACACAACCCGCTCGTCTTTCTTAGGCAAGACATCGCTTTCTCGCAGTACCTCGCCCTTCTTTCCATCGCTGATGCTCTTGCGATCACATCTCTTCGCGAGGGTATGAACTTGACCTGCCACGAGTTCGTCATTTGCCAGGACGGTCGAGCTAGCGACAAGAAGCACGCACCCGTCATCCTCAGCGAGTTCACCGGCAGTGCATCGATCTTCGATGGTGCCGAGCTTGCTGTCAACCCCTGGGATTACGGCGGCATCGCCGAAGCATTCAAGCATGCTCTGGAGATGAGCGAGGAGGAGAAGGAGAGGCGCTACGCGAAGCTCCGTAACCAGGTCATGCACCACACCGGTGACTACTGGGTCAGTAACCTCAGCGAGTACCTTGCCAAGGTCCATGAGGAGCAGTACCGTCGCGACACTATGTCGATCCCTCGTCTATCATCCAGTAAGCTCGCCAGTACCTACGAACAGACCTCGAGACGTCTCTTCCTCCTTGACTACGAGGGCACGCTCGCTTCGTACGGTTCGGTCAACAGCACTGTCCTGACCAACACGGAGCGTGTGATCGATGTCCTTCGCGAGCTGTCTGCTGACAAGAAGAACGCTGTGTATGTGATGAGCGGCCGCACAGTCCCGGAAACCGAGCTGCTCTTCGACCGTCTGCCCAACCTGGGAATCATTGCTGAGAACGGCTGCTTCCTTCGCGAGCCCAACTCAGATGAGTGGATACAGTTCCCGAACGAGGAGAAGACGATCAAGTGGAAGGACTCAGTCAAGCCTATTCTTCAATACTACCTCGAGCGTGTCGAAGGTAGCCGCGTTGAGGAGCGCCACTGCTCGCTTCTCTTTCGCTACGACAAGGCCAGCGACCCAGATGCCTCCACTCGCCATGCCGGTGACTGCGCGAACCACATCAACGACGCATGCGAGCAGCAGCGCGTTAAGGCTATCCCCTCGCGTGATTACGTCATCATCGAGCCTATCGACTTTGACAAGTCTACTGCTGCCCAGCACGTCTTCAACAAGTACGAGGAATCGGCCAAGCCCGACTTCTTGTTTGTCGCCGGCAACGACCGTGATGATGAAGTCGTGTTCAAGTGGGCCAAGAAGCTGAAGGAGGAATGGGTTGTGCCAAACGTGCAGACTGTCACCGTCGGTGACAGGAATTCAGTCGCACTATCGACGCTGCCCAACGGTACCACTGGTAAGCATAAGTTGTCCACATTCAGAACGAACTCTGCTAACTCACCCAAAGGTCTCCTCGGCGTCATGAACAAGCTCGCCAAGCTCCAGTCGTAGATTGACCAGGAGCGTTATCTTGCTTCCTGGGACCTATCACACGAAGACGCGCCGCCTCAGTGTCTCCTGACACCCGCCACCCGGCGCGATTCGCTTTTCCAGTAACCTCACGAATTCATAACAGTTTACGGTTTAGAATGGCATAGAGACGTAGCGCAGCATGGAGGGATACGACGGAATGGTAATGATGTGATGATGACGACCATGGTCGATTCGAGCGTCTCAGCGTGCATGAGTGGAGTTGGAAGGGTTTACGAGGTCCTAGATCAATACCACTATCATCTCAAAGCTCTACTCACCTACCGACCGGTGAAACCGATGTCCTCGAAGCCACTGTGAAGAACAGCATGCACGCACCTTCTCCCCTGCCAAAAAGAAAAGTGCGCTAAGAGCAGCAACGGCAAGTGCTGTTCGTCTTGGGAAGACACAGCCGACACTTTCGATGCTGCAGAAAGACCAACATGTGAGAAGAAAAAATATCAAAATAAAAGCCCGACGTGGGGCTCGAACCCACAACCTTGAGATTAAGAGTCTCACGCGCTACCGATTGTGCCAGCCGGGCTATTGTTGATGGGATAAGCGAAGTCGCTCAAACCTATATAGCCAGTAACGCAAGATCACTCATCCTATTGCCCTTTCTCTGAGAGCTCTGTGCGTCGCTGGGACGAGCCAGACAGCAGGGCAGGATCTGAATGGATCCACTGATGATCGCTGCGCCCGGCAAGGCTTACCAAGGAACCATCAACTGCGGTCCGTCCATCATAGAAGACAGACATTGAGGTTGTGAGGCAAGCAAGGTACGAAGTAAATTATGAAGATGAAACCAATACTATGATCAGGCTCGAACCCAAGAATCATAAAGCAGCCAGATGAGCTGACCGGCAAGGTGATAATAGTGATATGGACTGGCAGTGGTGATTCACACTGTGACAGCTGCAGCGCGTCGCGCGTCCAAGCTCTCCGATCTCATGCCGAGGTCCATCACTATATCAACGCCCTCGCCCATCGACACGAACACCTCTATCTGCACTTCTCACTCCGCCTCTCCACATCCTCATATAATGCACACAATGGCTACACCAACGCGCTTCACCTACCCGTTCGCCACCTCCCCCGACATAATCCGCTCTTACCAGAAAGACGCCTACTTCTCTGGCGTCCTGCTCGACCAACTCTCTACGCTTCTACGCAAAATCTACAGCGCCCGCTTCGCACACACATACATATCCGAGACGCGCGTAATCGGCGAACTACTCTACCTCGGTCTTACCACTGCAATTGGGAATCGAACGCTTGGCGAAGAGTACTGCGACATAGTGCAAGTGGAGAATGAATCCGGCCGGCTACCTGCGTTAGGACGACGCGCGGGGTATATTTTGAGTTGCATACTGGGCCCGTATGCGTTGGGGAAGGTGTTGCCGAAGCTAAGGAGGAGGATGAGGGCGAAGCTTGAGGCGAATCTGAGGAGGTATGGGAGGGTGCAGGCGAAAGCACAGCAGGAGAGTGGGGGCAAGAAGGTCGGCAGGCCGCTGGGGATGAGGGTGCAGAATTATATTCTGGAGAACCTGAATACGATCACATCTCCGTCACCGGTGTATGCGCTGTCACTGGCGACATTCTACTTTTCGGGGAGTTACTATCATCTGAGTAAGAGGATATGGGGGTTGCGGTACATTTTTACAAGGCAGGTACAAGAGACGGATGCAAGAGTTGGGTACGAAGTACTTGGTGTGCTTCTGGTGCTGCAGATGGCAGTGCAGGGATATCTACACCTTCACAGCACCATGACGAGCGCAGACAGCAGCACATCTCTGCCGGTCGGGACATCAGCGGTTGTCGGCGGCGGTGCAGAAGTCTCTCTCGATCCGAATGCATACAGCGCAAACAACGCGCTTCTCTTCGATGCATCTACGCCTCCTCCTGCCACATCGTCAGACTTGCAAAAGTGGACACACACGCCAGCGAACGATAAGCCGAAGTACGAGCTGGAGAACGAGGAGACTATGGGCTGGATAGGGGGTGGAAATAGGAAGTGCACGCTGTGTTTGGAAGAGATGAAGGATCCCAGTGTAACAACATGCGGGCATGTCTTCTGCTGGACGTGTATCAGCGATTGGGCGAGGGAGAAGCCTGAGTGTCCGCTGTGTAGGCAGAGCTGTCTGGTGCAGCACGTTCTGCCTTTGCGGGGCTGAGGGGGACATTATTTCACGACTGATATGTTCAAGCATGCACGCGATACCCTGGCGACGATAAGAGCTTTTGTGGTTGCATTTGGCAGGCGTTCGATAATACGTAGGCAGCATCTTACATTATCCCATATATATTGGTTACTTTTGTTCTCGCTGTATCCACCAAGCTTATTACCCTAAACCGTTACGCTGACCCTCAGGACCCTTTGGTAGCTTCGCCAGTGACCGCGTTGACAGACTCGACCTCATCTCAAGCCCTGATGACTATAAAAATCTTGACAAGAATGCTATGCACGCCGGTATACAAGCGTGAGATGTTTAGTAGGTAGCAATTACTCGTCATTCGCCACATCGAAGAAGCCTGTCAGAGTCTTGCTGTAGTCGTCATGCTCACATTACCCTTCCACCTCGCGCCTTTGCTGATACCTCTGACAGCTTCGACTGCATTCCGCGCGCCGAATCACTCCCGTTTCGCAGGGCCGGAGGACGACAAGGACCTATCCTTCTACTGCACGGTACATGATCAGTCATCCTGGAGCTCCTTGCACTCTGACAGCGCCTTCTGGAACACGTCCTTGAGCTCCCATTGCGACTCCAGGGCAGTACGGTGATGCTCAATCCCGGCTGTGAGCAGGATGCACTTCGGTGTGTATGCTTGTACGATAGCCTGGATCCAGTCGCTGGTCTTAATTCCGCCAGAAGTGACGCGGAAGCGCATCATCGCGTGGGCAGCGTTGATTAGCGTTTCATCTCCGAGGTGGTATGCGACTTCGAGAATATCCATGAGCACGTCCAGAGTTGATTTGTCGTCGGTCACGTTGACGTAGTCTGGATCTGTAAGTGGCTCGAGGTGCCATTTGAGCTCCTTGCGCTTGGTGATCTTCAGACTGAGGGTATGCCCGGACTCAACGATACTGTCAAGGATGTATGGTGAGGCCTTGTAGGTCATGTGGTACATTTTCAGTCTAGAGTACCTCTGTCAGCTCTGTCGAAATCCAACGTCAGTGCCATACTCACCGTGCTCGACAATGTCCCCTCAGATACCTCGATGTCTGTGTCGCTATACTGGTGAAACACTCGAATACCGCACTTTCGGTGATGAAACGGAATTGAACCTTCATACGGTGCTCCAGAAGATATAACAATTGACGGAATGTATGCACCCCACCCAGAATTGGTACAGAAACTAAGTGCCTGTATCTTATTGGCTACTCTACAACAGGTACCGTGAAGCATTACCTGGTACCAGGTGTCAGACCTTGACCCAGGTGTCTACACCCTCTCACGCAGCTGCAGATGTGCTCTACGTCATGAACTACATCACTGCCCCACATATCCAGGGCACGTATACTGTTAATGTAGCCGCAAACACACGCGCCAGCCAATCAGATCTAAGCTCTCCAATCGTGTACTGAGATAGGGTGGGTGCATACATTCTGGCAAGCACCGATACATGTCGCGACTGGAGTGTCAGTACTCCAAAGTTGACTGCCCTCGCGCTCACTTCAGTCAGTCGCTTACGTCCTACGCAGCTCATTCTGTTCGGACTACGTATCACGAACTTTCCCGATAAGAGTCTCATGATTGAGGTGGTCCTTGTCCCATGTCAGAATTGGCGAACGCTGGATACCTTCCATTGGTGAAGTCTGTATAACCACGTCGTTGTCGTCCATGGTGCAGCGGCAGTCACGGTGGGCAGAGAGACGAGCTTGAGCGCCTCTAACTACAAATCACGGGTTTGCCATTCCAAAGTACGCCCCCAATCAGCCCTCAGTTCTGCACTTGCCTCCAGTGCCTCCTCGAATGTATTCTCCTCTGCAGCCAACAGTGCATTGATATGCTGAACCCCGGCTCCTAAGAAAATGCTCTTCAGCGTACGGATAAGGTCTTCATCGACACACTGTATGGTATAGACTTCTGAGATAGCCTCGATCCACCTATAGCAGAGAGGTGACCTTCAATAGATCGAGTTCGTAGGCTCGCCAGGGCCGCGTTGATCAGTGGCTGGTCACCCAACTGGTAGGCTACTTGAGAGATCTCCATGAGCGCCTGCAAAGAGTTCGTCGAGTCGCTGGCGACGATCATGGCTGCATCAGTAGGTGATGAAGCAGCATGGAGGACAGACTTCTTGTCCCTAACAGACATACTCAGTGTGTGCCAGAGCTCGAAGATGTTGTCCATCGTGTAAGGTGAACATTGAAGATCGTAGCGTTACACAACGGACAGTGGCTGCGCATTGACCCAGCGCTTCAGACCTTTGGCTGTTTGGGTCGCTATACTGGTTGTCAAGGTCCACTTTGCGCCCTTGCAGTGCAGCTCCAGGAGTGTGGAAGTGCCGCTCTCAAGGAGGTACTGCCCGCGTCTGCAAAGTGTCAGTAAAGGAGTGAATGGGGTTCAGTGAGTGTTTACTTCTTGAGAAGCTGACCCTCCTTGGTCTTCGTACTTCTAATTGAGCCATCAAGGATCTCGCGGTCCAGGTGTTCCTGGGCCCAGGTCTTGAAGTCTATAGTTGTGTCCAGAACGGCGGGTAGTGGTAGTTGCGAAAGGTTGGACCGAGCAGGAATGGAGATTGTGAGGGTGCAGGCAACGACCTTGGGTTCATACCGTGCGCTCTTGTGACTGCTCTGGAATGGAATGAAAGAGTGAAGTCACATGAGAGTGGTTGTCCAAACATAAGATAGCACCGGATGGCTTCCGTTTATAGATGTTTCATTCTTGTTCGATGCTGAGCGTGATTTACGCGCATACTGGAGGTATCTAATGCCTCTGATGTTCAAAATCAGACTTGTGGTACAGCAAGCACTTCGGACAAATCCTGATCGTACCCAATCACAACGCCAGTCTTTTAGCAACATACCAATTGCTTCCCAAACGCCATAGTATGCATGCTCTCTTTTCTCTTCTCTCGTATGATATTGCAGCAGCAACTTAGAACGCGTCACGCTCACGCGCAATCCTGTCCGCCTCGCCCTCGCTAACGATCTTCTTTCCAAGCCATTCGGTCTGGAAGCTACTGTTCAAAACATGCAGATCCTGAACAATGTCCTTGCAGCATCGAATGATGGCCTCCTTGGGCGTGATTGTGCCGTCGGTCTGAACACGGAGCTCGAAGGTCGCGAAAAGCGGATGCGGTACTTTGTATGCGGAGAAGACGATGTATTCGTACTTGAGGAGGCGCTGGGAGAGGAGATTTCCGAGCGTATGGTCTTCTTTGTTGAATGTGAATATGGCAGTATTAGGCACACCTGGAGCGCATGCTTAGCAAATGCAGTGGAGGGGTAGGGTCAGTCTTACGGGTTTCCTCCTTGTATTCAACCTTTTGCTGACCGTCGTCTAGCAAGAAGAGCTCGAATCTGTCCAGCACATCGTCAGATCTGAATGCTACTTTGCGATCTTCATTCGAGTTGATCCGCCACGTTGGAGGGTCGTCCTAGCTCTATCCTGCAGCGACAAAGCTCATAATCAAAAGTTTGTTGAGTAACTATGTTGGCGATAGTCTGACTATAGACTGAGTAGCGCGCTTGTGACCTGTCGCTGTAGAGAAGCACCTTTGCATGCATAGCGCCTGCTCTGCTTCTTGTGGCGCAGGTGCGCACTCTGGAAGCGCAACAGGCGCAAAGCGTAGTTCCTTGCGCCTTGCTATCCAAGAGGCCTAAGCACCGCACTTGACCATCTTGATCATTTCAAAGAGATCGAATAAACATACCTGTCTGGCGCGTTCATTTTCAATGTCCTTTGCGCTTTCTATCCTTCACAGCCAGAACTGTTCATAGAAACTGGCGCGCTTTGGCGAGAGAGGTGATAATCAAGTGTATACGGCGAGAACGGAGACGCGACGTGGGCAAAAGTGGTGGTTACTCAACAATGAATGCGCGGAGATGATGTCTGGGGTCCGCTTGTCTTTGTGCCTTGCCTCACCGCCCCGCCAAAGCTCGCTTAGTCAGGATCGCGTCTCTACCGCGCGACACGGAACGCTGTCTTTCACTTATTCACCACATCATGAACTTGGATTTTTCCTGGTCTTCTCAGTATGATCCTCTCATTCCATGCATGATAGAACCTCGATACGAATGGAGTCGATTGAAGTGCTAATGAAACATTCATTCATCATTCTCGTCAGGATGTTGGCCGAGACATTGGTCAACCATAGAATCCAGATCGTTACTCTCCTTCCGCTCGCATGCATCCTTGCTCTCCTATGACTTTGCAGTGTCTGGACCTTGGCAGTCATCATCCTCTCTGACCTTGGACACCTCCAAAGTCTTACGCTCGACGTAGATCGACTCATGCTTGAGCCTGCAGTCCTTGATGGTCGTCAGATGCAGCGAAAGACACCCGTACCTGTCGACACCCCAGCCCATCTTACCAGTGCGGACTGAGTGAAGCTCAGCAAATGTGGGATTGGCCATTGGTTGCACACCGTCTGCATCTTTAGCTCCACGAACTTGGCCTTCTTCGGTGGCACCTTGACAAGGAACTCCTTGAAGGCCTCTTTATTTGCAAAGCTGACCACCAGGTGTGTCTTCTTTCGACGGCCTTCGTAATCCGAGGCCTTGAGAGGCGCTTCCCGGTAATTTATAGCTGTACTGCGGTTGAAGGGGCGTTCCGGTCTCGAACTTAGTTATGATCTGGTCGATGAGAGTTTCGTATCACTCCTGTACGATATCGCGCAGTCGCTCAGGGTACACGCAGAACTTATCGTCCATCTCGACTGAGATCTCGAATGTGCTGTCATTGTTTTGCACTTCAGGGGTCCTCGATGCTGGGGTCCGAGGCCTCTTGGGATCTGCTGGTGAGCCTGGCTCTGGTGCAGCTCGTTTTCCTGGCAGTAGTGACATGGTGATCTGTGATGGGTCAGATCAGGCGCCCCGGTACTATAGATGCTAGCCTGAGTTACCTGATTCATTGTTGCTGAATTGCAGTTTAAGCGTTAGGCAGCAGATTTTCTGCGGTGTTGGTGCTTGGCCAAAACGATGAGGGGTCAAAAGAGCTGGCTGGATGTTGGTTTGTAGAAAGCTGGAGTTGTAGATGTAAGGCGGGAGGCCCTCCGATCTCTCATGGGCAAGTGAAAGAGGAGCTATGTGAGAAGGACGGTTTGGCCAGCATGCTGAATGTGAATACAGGCGAGAGAAGTGTATTATTAGACTGATCGTTGGGCCGGCAGCTGATGGAGCAGGTCGGACTCGTATCTAAGCGAACCCTGACACCAGCATACCCTCCCTTGTCTGTATATCTGCTGTAGCCGATGCACTCAGCTCATTGTATTCTCCAACCATGGGTAACCTCCGGTGTTGTCTCAACCGAGTTCCTCCTCGACTTCCACCTCGGGTTCAACCTTTTTAGCGACGACCTACGCGGATGAGTCGAATCTGATTTGGAAGGCTTTGCTGGAGACGTGATTGGGGCTGACTCAGAAGTCAGCTTTCGCCAGTATTAAATCACAATGGATGGCTCACTTAGAGTCTTGGGAGCCTCGACAGCCATGGTCAGATATCTGGGGTTGAAATGTAAGTTGGGGTGGACAGAAAGCCAGATGATAGCCTTCGAGGAATGCGATTGCGAGGAGTGCGAGTGATCAATTGTGTGGCTGTAGATGGAAGGATAGGGTGCGGTGACTTGATATACTAAAGGCTTCAAGAGCGGTAGCGAGTGCCAACTGGCAGCGAGCGAGTAAGTGAGAGAATGATGGAGCAAGTCGTTCGTTTCTTTGTATTGGACATCTACAGCTTCGCCTTCGAAAGGCTGTCTTGTTCTTCTTCAGCCTTCAACTTGAGCACTCGCCTCAGGATCTTGCCGGAGACTGACTTCGGAATCTGCGTCTGCGTTAGTACCAATGAATTTGAGCATCTGGCGAAAGAAACTTACCTCGTCGACGAATCGCACACCACCTCTCAGTTTCTTGTGGTGTGCGACCTTCGCGCCGAGCCAGTCGACGATCTCCTTCGCTTCATCCTCTCCCTTACCCAGACCACCTTTCGGTACAACATATGCCCTGGGCAGTTCAGTCGCCTGTTCCTTATCATAGACACCTGTATAGAAGTCAGTCCGTGGAGGCTCTAAAAAGGGGCCTATGCACAGCAGCAGCCGGCTTCGAAATGCTCACCTATCACTGCAACATCGTCAATTCCAGGATGCGATACAAGGAGGCCTTCAAGCTCAGCTGGCGGTACTTGGAAGCCCTTGTACTTGATAAGCTCCTTAACACGATCTGTGATAAAGAAGTTACCGTCCTTGTCCTGGTAGCCAACATCGCCAGTCTTGAAGTAGCCATCTGGTGTCAAAGCATTCTTGGTGCCTTCAGGGTTGTTGAGATAACCCTTGAACACGTTGGGACCCTTGATCCAGAGTTCGCCAACTTCGCCAGTAGGCAGCTCCTTCTCTTCTGGGGACATGTACTTCGCTGTCTGGTAGGGCAGAAGCGTGCCTACAGAGCCGATGGTCCTATTCCAGTCTCCCCATGGCTGGGTGTGGGTGGTAGGACTTGTCTCCGAAAGACCATATCCTTGCTTGATGGGTATCCCGAGTCTCTTGTTGACCGCATCCACCAGCTCTTTTGTCAGTGGCGCCGCTCCGGAGTTCATCATGCGTATTGTGCTCAAGTCGTACTTTTCCACAACAGGATGTTTGCCGAGAAGCAGGACAACAGGAGGGACGACGTAGGCGAATGTGATCTTCAGCTCCTGAATCAATCGGCAGAAGTCTTCGAGATTGAACTTGGGCATGACGACGAGCTGCAGGCCAGAGTATATACTCTGGTGGATCATACATGTGAGACCTTTACCCATTAGTATTTTGCTTGATAACAAACTCAAACACATACCATAGATGTGGAAGAAGGGCAAGAAAGCCAACAGCTTGTCACCCTCGCCAGTAGGCCCTCCTGTGGGTTGCAGGTTGCCCGCCTCTGCAGCCTTAATCATCATCGTATTGGAGACGATGTTACGGTGGGTAAGCATGACACCCTTAGGATGACCTGTAGTTCCGGACGAGTACACCAAGAAAGCCAAATCCTCTACCGGGTTCTTCACCTTGGTACGCTGCCACTTTGTCGAACCTGCGGTGTTGATGATGCTTGTAAAGTGCTTGACTGTGTATGATGGATCTTTCTGGTCGCCCATGATGATCACTCTGTCAAGCGGGATGCCCACCTGCTTCGCTGCTGCTTGCGCATTCTTGATGTATGGAAGCTGAGTGACAACTGCCTTCGCACCTGAGTCCTTCAATTGGAATGCGAGCTCCTCTATAGTGTAGTTGGGGTTCGCAGGGCTCAGGATGCCTCCTGCCCAATGACAACCCCATGTAATTGCTGGCGTGTCGATACAGTTCGGTGTGTAGAGTGCCAGGACATCGTTCTTCTGCCAATCCCACAGACCCTTAAGGCCTTTGCCAAATTCGATGGCTGTGCTCTTGACCTGGGCATATGTGTATGATCGCTTTGTGTATGGGTCAAAGTAGATCACTGGCGGTGAATTTCAGTGATCAATTCCAGGCGAAACAATGTCTCGCTGTCGCGTGCATACCTTTGTCATCAGAGAAACCCTTATCTTTCCTCTCAAACAGGAATGCCCAGAGATCCACGTCTGGGATTGGTACACTGGGAAACTTGGATTCAAAAGGCATGCTGAAAGTTGGAGCTTGTGACTGCCTGGATTAGGGAGGGTCGAATAGTAAATCAGAAAGGATAGCAAGAAAGTTGGAGGACATTGCGGCAGTTACACCAGCAACGCCAGACTCCGACGCGGAATGCCGGTTAGCTGGGGCACAGAGTGAAGCCGGGGTTCAACCCCACAACTTGGGACCGCGGCTCTTTCTGTTTCCGTCGCTAGCGCATCGTTCCACCGAGGTCTACGTTCTCCAGGTCTACTGTCAGCAGGCAATCGCCATGTAGTCTGTTGTATCTATTCGGCGCCTACTTGTTCATCCGACACCGTGTGCTATTTGTTGGAGTGGGTCCTCAATTCGATTTATCTTCTATTATCTCTACATCCGCATCCTCGATCAGGAAGGTATACGTCACAATGCCTGGTTGGGAAGATGCAACCGCGATACAGAAAGTGTCGACCAACACGTACTCGTGCATTCTGCATGACGATTGGAGCATCGGCAGTGGTAAATTCATCCATGATATGTACACTGCAGGGAAAACACATTGCTAAGAGAATGTTGTAGTACCCAATGGCGGCTATGTGACCGGCTGTGTTCTTGAGGTTGTCAAGACGCACTTCGGTACATCTCTGGCGAAGCAGAACCAACCGCACACCATCGCTTTGCACATTGAGTTTTTACGACGAACTCAGGCTGGCCCTGCTCTCTTCACGGTCGAAGACGTCAAACTTGGCCGACAGACGTCCATCGTCCACGTGAGCATGGAGCAGGATGGCCGCCAGGAGATCGTGGCCTACGTGACAAACTCGAATATGTCTGCAGAGGAAGGCTTCACCTTTGACACACAGCATGAACTCTTGCCACCACCTCCTGCTGTCGACCTGACCAAGTTAGAGACAGACTCAGATCCAAACTGGAGGTGGTCAGAGGTGCCATTTGCGAATTTCCGTAAGGCGACAGCGCAAGTCAAATTCTTCCTGCCTCGGGCTGGCTCGGTACGATCGAACATTGTTGACGAGTGGATCTGCTGGTCGAACGGAATGAATTTCACCAACACCTCCATCGGTTTCGTGTCAGACATGTTCCCTCAGATCGGTGCAAATTTCAATAACACTAAGAAAGCCTTCTGGTACCCAACCCTGCTGCTGAACTTAGATATCAAGAAGGCGCTGCCGGCTGAAGGAGTCAAGTGGCTCAGAGTGAGGGCGGAGTTGAAACAGGTTAAGAATGGGAGGATGGATCTGGGGATCTGGGTGCATGATGCAGCTGGCGAGCTGGTCGCTTTAAGCAATCATGTTGGATTTGTGCTGGACGCATCGAGGAACACAGCTGCCAGGAGGAAGCCAGATGCAAAGATATAGAGTGCATCAAAAGTCGAGGCGCGGTCCGCTTTATTGCGCCTAAAACTCAGCTTAGTTAAAGGTGTATCGGCATGGCTCCTCACATCGCCCATGATGTGCAAAAACAAAGTTTGATGATCTGGAAAGCTCCAGGGTTCATGTTCATCGTTTCGCACATGCAGCGCGAGTTTGAAGTTCCTTCTCGCACGTGACTGTTACAGCTAGCGCGCTTGGCAGGCGCACCACGCCCACAACCGAGCCCAAATTATCATTGCACTTTCGAACTTGCAACTAACCCATCGACAACAGCCAACATGCCGAAGGACGTCAAGCAGAAGTCTGGCATCATTGCCGGCATCAACGCTGGCCACAGTACGTCTTCCCGCCCGCCGCGCACCGAACGCACCGAATCGACGCCTCGGAAATTTTGGAGGATGGCAGAGAATGGAGGCTAACGAACTGTGCAGAGGTCACCCCCAGGACTCCTGCCGCCAGGATCTCCAGGAGGAAGGGTTTCCTGTCCAAGCGCACCGCTTTCGTCAGGGAGATTACCCGTGAGGTCGCTGGGTACGTCGATTCGCAATTGGAGGTGGAGGGATGGTGGAATGCGCACCAACGCAGAGCCTGCCGCCGTCAATGCCTGAATTTCATGAGTGCAGCCCGCTAACAGCTCTCAGCCTTGCCCCTTACGAGAAGCGCGTCATCGAACTCCTCCGCAACTCCAAGGACAAGCGTGCCCGTCGTCTTGCGAAGAAGAGGGTACGTCTTCCCCACCACCCGCCACCGTAGCCGACCGCCTACACCACCAACACTCCACAATTACGAACACTCACTAACACAACACAGCTCGGTACCTTCGGCCGTGCCAAGAGAAAGGTTGACGAGATGACCAAGGTTATCGCCGAGTCGAGGCGTGCGGGTCACTAAACGGGTTCATGATTTTCGGATGAAGCAAAGCATGGGCACCACTTTTCCGGTTCTTTCTGGGTGTTAGGTCTTTCCATTTCTTCTGGCGGATCGACTACGACTTCGGCACGATGGTCAACGTCACAACATACCAAGAGGATGGCACATGATCGGAGTATGGCGACGGAACAACAAGCATGGTTCGCGTACCTAGCAGTGTCACAAAATCATGAAATGTGACGACGGTTCACGCCACGTCTTTGGTGCACCATGGTGTGAGGGATGCTTGTGAGAGGTGAGCTAACAGCAGCTGAACGTAAATTGAGTCGAGACCTTAGCATGGATGTCAAATTCCAACTCATGCCTTTTCCAATGGCTGAAGTATGGGCCGAGAAATGCTTATATTGAACGCGCCTTGCTCGCAAAGTGTTATACACTGAGGCTGCTTCTAGCCTGCTCTCCTTGTGGGTAAAGCTAGAAGTGGAGGCGCCTACATACCTTTCATACGACTGTAACTTTGACAACAATACAATCTTCTCAGACAACAGTGTTCAACGTTTGCTACTATCTGCACATATCACCACCGTGTTCACACGTTTTTACACAGTATTGTTGGATGAACATCTTGCATATTGCTTGTCATCATTCGCTGTCATGAAAGCTACCTATGCACAAAGACCGTAAAAAATCGCTCTCATACTCCAAGGCAATGCACCATCCCGTACACCCTACTTCCTCTTAAACAGCCCCTTCCCCAGTATGTTCTTCAACTTATTCTCCTTATCCTCACTGCTCATCGCCTTCCTCTTCCCCTCGGCCACCGTCTGCCCCTTCGACTCGACCTTTGGCGGCTCCTGTCTGACCGGCTCCTCCACCTTCAGTGTCTGCGCTTTAGCGTGCCATTCCTGTGCTAATGTCTTGCGACTCGCTTTTGCCTCTGCGCTCGCGCCCTCAGCCCATTGGAAGGTGACTAGCTCGTTGGTGGAGAAGCGCAGGTCTTGGATGAGACGCTTCTGGTCGCGGGCGATGAGTACGAGACGTCCTGTGGGACCTGTGTATTTGAGCTCGAAGGGCTCGTTCTTCTTCTCAAGGAATGAAGTCACGAATTCGTATAGGACGGTGGCAGTGTCTGCCTTGGTGAGGTTCATTTGCACCAGCGAGCCGTCCGGAAGTCGAATGCGCAGAGCGTGCGGCTTGTTCGTTGCAGCTGCAATCTTGGCCTGTCGTTCCCTTTCTTGCTCTTCGAGTTCTTTGTCGGAGAGGAGGCGTTGGTTGCGTGTGCGATTGGATAGTTGAGCCTGGTGGATCTTGGCGTGCTCGACCGTGGGTTGGTAGTCGGCCTCATTGAAAGCATTACGTGCTGCTTGTGGTGTTGACGACGAGGATGCGGAGAAGATCTGGACGTTGCGAGGTCGGTCTGAGGACGGCGTGGGCTCAGCGGACTGAGACGGGGCTACGTCTGGAACATGCGAGGGCTCTAATGCTGCTGTAGATGTCGCCGCTGCTAATACTGCTGCTGGAGAAGTGTTGATGGCATCCGCAAACGCATTGTTCTGTTTAGACACAGCAGGCTCAGGCGCTGGTTGCGCTGCTGGTTGCGTGACAAGATCCATGGGCTCTGGATCCGGGTTATCGTTCTTGATTGTCTCTCCTGCAACCGTTGTCGTTGCCTCTGGGGCTGCCGTATCTGGGTTGGGCGCCGATTTTGCCTGAGCAGGGTCTACAGCGTGAGCACCTGGCGCAGTACTGGAAGTCGGCTCCTCAGTCTTGAAGTACTGTGAGATCTGGGCCATAGCTTCTTCCAACGGTGTTCCAGTGTTCTTGAATGACAGCCTCAATAGCGCTGACCCACTGTCGAAACCAAGTTGACTGAGCGTCTGCTGTAACCCAACGAACGACGACTGCTCTTTGTGGCCAGGCATGACTGTGATGACGGGCATCTCGTAGCACAATCTCCCAGAGCCTGAAGCGCCACTTATTCGAGGTACGGCGCGTTGTGTGAAGTTGTAGTTCGCCCCATCGCCGCTCTCAAAGTATCGTAGGATCTCCCATAATGATGTATTGTTTGCAAACTTCTGCGTGAGGCGAGACTTGGGTAGTTGAAGGGCAACTGATACAACGGTGGGTGACCGTGAAGCTTGTACAAGCTCTAGTCGTGCGCCTTGCGGTAGGTTTGCGAGCCGTATTTGCTGTGAAAGAGAGATGGGCTTGTTGTTGTACCTTGAATTTCTGTCAGCGGCTGCGTTCAACAGTATCGTGACCCTACCACCTACTTGAGTGTGAACTGATCCTTGCTAACACCAAACTTCTGACATGCCTCGTCCCGTACTTCGGTCAGGTACTTGGTGGGTGTGGTAGGGATCTTGAAGGTCTTCGCGAACGAGTTGGTTACAACAACGTAAGACATTATGTCGGGCGGAACAGCTTATACAGAGCATACGTAGCAAGGGCTGCGACAGGAACGTTGGCAATCAGAGCGGCGCGCGAGTACCAGCAGTCTGCCTTGTGAGCTCTTCTGGTAGCGTCGCAGCGTTCGATAACGAGCAGAAGGTTGATGGCGTGTATGAGCTTGGCTTCGGCAAAGTTGAAGTAGAGATTGCCGGGTCCTGCCATAGGCTTGCTGTTTGCTACAGTGAAGACCGAGTCTCGGTATGGTGAATGTATGGCGTTAAGCTGTTTGGTGCGTAATGCGAGGTGGTGAATGTTCTCGAAGGTCACGTCCAATCGCCGCCTACATTCGTCACCGAGCTCGCGGGGTGAGCAAGCCCCACCATACATCTTCCAGCCGCCGTAGCTGTACATACAACAAACACCTGCACATTCGCAACCATGTCTGGTAGCGTCGAGACATCGTCCGCGTCCCAGCTGAGCCAGCTGATCTCCTCTTCGCGCATTGTTGTCCTCAACTGTAGGTCTCAATGCGCCCTTTGCCTTTGCCTAAGCATGTCACTAATATTTGTTGTGCAGTCTACAACGAGGACAACCAATCGAGCAAGGCCATTGCTCCGGTCTACGATCAGCTCGCACAACAGCTCTCGAGAGCCAACAGAGTTACATTTGCAAAGGTCAGCGTGAAGAAGCAGGCTCAGATCGCCGAGAGCTACAACATCACCAACACGCCCACCTTCGTAATCTTCAAGAACGGCCAGCAAATACGCAAGTTCAGCGGCTCGAACCCTCAACACCTTTCCGATGCGATCAAGAGCTTAGCACAAGAGGCCGAGTCTGACGGCGGCTCTGGAGGGTTTGGGGAGGCCAGCGGGAGTGGCGGTGGAGCCTGGAGAGGCGCAGGACTGCCACGAGGATATACAGACGTCACGGAGCAGGTCGACGTCCGAGGTCTGGATCTGCTGAACGCCGATAGCGACTTTGGCGGTGTACGCACACTCTTCGAAACCTCAAAGCCAAGCTCCTTGAGCAAGGGCAAGGGCAGCGCAGATGCAAAGGACTGGGTGGAGAGCGATGTCGACAATCAGCTCATGCTCTACGTACCATTCACATCGACCTTGAAGGTCCACACCATCCAGATTACCTCCAACCCGCCGGTCGACGAAGACGACGATGAGATCCCTGTGCGACCAAGAACAATCCACATCTGGACCAACCGCCAGCACAACCTGGGTTTCGAGGAGGCAGAGGACATCCCAGCTACGCAGACCATCGAGCTGAAGGAGTCAGACTGGGACCAGGAAACTGGTACAGCAAAGCTGGAGCTGCGCTTCGTCAAGTTCCAAAACGTCTACAGTCTTGTGATCTTCGTGCAGGACGGTGACGGCGACAGCGAGAAGACGCGCATAGACAGGATCCGCTTTATTGGCGAGAGTGGTGAGAAGAGGGACATGGGCAAGCTCGAGAAGATTGGCGACGACTCTTAAGGCAGTTATCCACGGTGGAAGACAGACGAGTGCATCTTGAGCGCGCATGCTTCCAAGTAATCATTAATGAGACCAATGAACGACACAAGGATTTGCTCAAGCTGATGCTTTGAAATGATCAATTTGCACACATGACCGTGAAAGGTCCGCGAACAAGCTCAAACGCGTTGCACACGCATATGCAGCTCCACGTGATTCGATATCATATCGCATGAAAATTCAGCAACTGTGAAAGGTATGTTCGAGCCTTTTCCAGCGGAAGCGCCACTGTGTGTCATCCGACTCAGACGCCCCCGCAAAGTGTATACGATCGATTGTGCAATATATTCTCTCTTGGAGGTCATTGACGCTGTATGAGAACCATAGCCAGGCTCTGGAGCAAGAGGGGAAACTCTGTAATATGACCTCCGCCGCAAAGAAAGAAGAACTGTTCCTAAGCTTCGCGAGGATTTTGTAGGGTGACCGGAGGGGGTTTCGCCGGTGGCCGAGCACTAGCGTGAAAACCTGGGTTGAAAATTTTGGGTGCGCGAGGGCGAAGAAAGGTTATGGCCGGAGATGAATACTTTTTTACATGATAGGAAGAGAATGATATCGCTTTGCGGTAACTGATCTCATCATATTTACAATTCTGAGGCCTGTATCGATCTCTAGGTTTTGGAGATGGGCGGAGGACGCGACGGCAACGGCGAGCGCGACAACAGCGCACAACGAGGCTGTGTCTGCGTAGCATCAATACGATCGAACGGCATCACTGCTCTGAACGTGGCTCTATTGCAGCACATGCGCAGCTGCCTCGTTAGCAGCAATGAATTATGTCATACATGGAACGCCACGGCTGTCAAACTATAGTCGATATCCATGTCCACCTGCACGCACGCGAAGCAGGCTGCGCTGAACAGAGCAACCTGTTGGAAGCAGCTTGCTTGCGGTGCCCAGAAGTTACAGCAGTCCAGATTGCCGACGGAACCCGTGGTAACGAGTAGAGGTTGTCCGCGCAGCTGCTTCGTCAAACACTGCGTACTCACGCTTTATCTGTGAAGACCACAGCCACAGTTTGATGACACCAGCATCTCGATACGTGCTCTGACGATTCCAACGGCTATAGCATGGAACATGGCATCATCGGTACCAGACGTCTCGAGTCCATCCCCGTATCTCAAACGTTTCCTCCGCCGTTTCAGCTTCATATCGGACAATTTGGTTTACCGGCGAACGTTCTCTTTCGATCTTGACAGTTCATGCGATGGAGACATGTCAACCACGCGACAAGGCATGGATGATGGACGATGAATGCTGAGACGGCTACAGCTGGTCGACAAGCAGTCCACACGTGTATGAGGTCTCGTACGTCTGTGGCTTGTCTTGTCCGGGTGTCGTTGTCGTTCGATCTGCTACAGTCAACATGCGCATAACTCGCTGTCGTATCGAGGACCAGTCTGCTCAAGCATCTCAAAACGTCAGGCATAGAAGCGACGTGTCTCTGGCGTCCAACAAGGTTCAGCTTCTCCAGCATCTTGAAACAAGCACTCCACGTAGATGTACAACAGACTCCAGCGATGAGGTAGGGACCGATGTCACGAATGCGACCTGCATGCCATCCGCATGCTCTACGGGCTCGCCCCGGGCCTCCTCGCTTGACATCATATTGGGACTAGGAAACCTTGACTTCTTTGCCACTCAGGCATCAAATGCGACCTCAACCAAGTTGGAGTCAAGCGTCACTTGTGATTGCGATCCTCAATTTCACCACCTTCGTGCCTAAGATCTACCGGATCGGCAACTTGCGTTCACAGCACCTTCTTGAATCAAGCCGCCCAAAGGCGGACCTCTCCCGATACCGCGGGACCCTAAGGGTCCCTTCCATCAGGCCTCTTGACACGAGTATGCCGGTATATCGCCGACTGTAGTGAATGCTCATGAATCAAGTAAACGGCCAAAAGGAACCGCAGGAATTCTGCCGGCTAAAGCCAAGTCAAGAAGGCCCGAGGTACATGATTTGCTGACAGTCGCGACTCTCAAAAGATATCGAACGACATCCACTTGCGGTGATATACATTGCCTAGGACTGCACGGGTAATATTCTCCGTAGTGTTTCAAGGTGTGCATGTCTTTCTACAATTTGTGGGGATCCACCACCACCCTACCAATCAATGTGATCAAATACACTCAAACTCATGTGGCGGTGCGTTTGCAATGCCTCTTTGACCAACTGAAGGAACCAACAAATTTGTAAGTTCGCCATTACGGCTCCAGGGCGGCCCTTCCGTTCCCACTTCCCGTCTCAGATTAGACGAGACACGTATCTCGGCGTTCGCTCGATCAGCAAGTTGATCACGAAGGCGTCTGAGCTGGTCATGCAAAAAGGGTTTTCCTTGCAATTAATCACGCCGCATGAAAACCTGAACAGTACGTGCACTCTTAAACCTCGCATCAATGTGGAGAAGTCTTCGAGAAGGTCGACGCCAGGGACCAGTCGTGCGGGTGCGTTGCGGCTGGTAAACGAGTAAGCGCCACGTTACCCTGCTCGAGCATAAAAATCGAATCTCGTTTGGATGGCCTTGCTCAGCACGGGTGCTGCACCCCGGCTGCCGGTTCCAGACTCCCCGGTACGAAGGTCTGCCACAGACTGCCAGCTGCCTCTTCCGGGCGAGACACCGTTGTCAGTGCCTCTGCGGCAATTGCGAACACCTTGTCACGGTTTCAAATCTTCGATGACTTGCGCTGGACGGTGTCAATGGGGAATCGGGATCTGTCAGGCACGCATGTCAAATGGGTTGAGATAGTCGACAGCATGCAGCAGATTGACAGCAGATTGAGTGTCGATCGAGAACCCTTCAGTATCAGGTCATCGAAAGACTTCTCCATACGCAACTGTCACGCTGCAAGTACGATCACGACGGTCGACGGTCGACGGTCGAACCCTTCTTTTCAACACCTAACGTTGTTGGGGTTTCGGGACATTCGGGAGCGACGCTTCTATACGACTGACACATGTTGGCCAATTGGTGTTAAGTGAGGCGGCTCGTTTGGCTCGTCAACAGCACTTCCGGAAGACAGTCCATCAGCTTGGGAAACCTTCCAGGAAAATTAAACGAAGATCAGGGTGCTCCACGGAATCTCGACAAATGATAAAGGTCGATCGGATGCAGCACATTTGAGGGCTAAGGAAGCCATCAACAGTTCCCCGGCGCCGACCCTGTGGTGAAGCCACGCTGCGCGACTGTCCACGGAAGGCTCCAGCACAGAGCATGACGGAGCTTCTTCCTGAATCGTGCCGTCTTCCTCACGACCCTGTTGAATCGTAAGAGAGCCCCGCTATGATGGACGTTCCAGAAAGCCCTCGTTATCACATGAAATGTAGGTGCGTCACCCGTGCGAGGCACAGAGGATTGTACCCCACGAAGGTCCAAATGAACAAAATCAGGGTCACGATAAGGCGGTTGTTGTTCAATGTTGCCAGACGTTCTGTTCCTGCAGCGTACCTGCATAGGCGGCGGCCTTCTCCATTCATTCGGCGTAGGCACCTGCCGTCACTGTGGGGTTTAATCAGGTCAGTCAAAGGCAATTGGCTCAGTCCGAGTCAGACCATGTCGCTGTCACGCGCAGGCGAGCTCACTGGACAATGTGACACCGCTGACATGGCCATCGTAAAGCGGCGAAAGCGCTAGGCTTTGTTGGGACGCACCGGCGGAGCTTATGCAAGAGTGGGAGATGTGCAAGCTGTATTCAATTCGCGTTAGGTCTCAAAATAGTAGCCGGACGAGGAAGGTGACGATGTGCTGAAGCATAACATTTATCGAATGCTGACAGTTAGTTATACGAGCCACACGCTGCACAAATCGTGAGCTGTGGAGGATGGGAATGATGGTCCGAGTTCGCTATCGTACCGTTATCGCTATCGATACCGGGACGTACACGGTAGAGGCGTTGTAGAGGAATTGAGCATTGCGTAGAGTGACATACAATCTTCAAGACATGTCTGGTTGATGTATGAACTTGGATTGACTTTGAGTTTGTATTGCCGAATGAGACCGACTCAACGGTTTTAGCCTACGCTGATGACATCGAACGAAAAGCAGGTCGCCTGTGGTACAACGTCCGATTTTCTGCTCGTCCTGAATTTTCGGTTGTGGGCTTCCAGCAGGTGGTCAGACTTCGGAACGCTACAAAACTTCCCCGCCATCAACAGAATTGTCAAACAGCCTTGATGTCTGCAGACTGCAGCGACTCTGCAGCTTCATACGCAGTCGAGATCTAGCACTATCCTGAAACACGACTCTTGTCGATACCAACGCAGCAGCAGGCCGCGTGAGCAGCTACTTTGGGCTGCAGTTCCACCAACCAAGAAAACTGGTGGGCGGCGAAGTGCAGCTTGCGTTCTGCTATGTCGCACCATCGCTGGGTAGAGCTGCCGGATTCAACAATACGCCGTCACCGAGCAAATCAGCTGCAACGGGTGGCTCCAACCTGCATGCAGCACGACGATGTTCCTGCATCTCGAGTCGTTTGTTCAGCGCTGCACTACCGCACGCCTTCTGCTTTTGGAACGTAAACAAAGCGCTTCACGACTGTTTTTCATGTACCGTGTGGAGTTGGGGCGGGTGCGGTGAGCATGCAATGCAGTCACCTCGCATTCTCTCCATCAACCAGTGTCAGACCTCACAGGCGGCTGCAGCTGCTCTGTCAGACTCGAGTCCACGGTAGCCTCTTATGATAGCCTATGGTGGCACCCGCGGCTAAAGCGTGCGATTCGGCATCGAAACGCTGCGCTCTCGTATCACAGAGCCGCGGCGTCGTCATGTTCACGTCCTACTGGAAGGAGGCACGTTGTGTGGTGAGCAACAATGTTTCGAAACAACCACCCAGAGGCAAGACGTCAGCAGCAGCCCGTCGCACCACACCCTCCCGGTGGCCAAGTCAGGAACAGGGTCCTGGTCAACGGCGAGTTATCACTATCGATTGGGCGGATAGGCCGATCCATCCCCGGCGGGATACACGGCTGAATGGGCAAATGGGAGGGCTTGAAGACAACGTTGCGGCCAACGGGCCTCTGTCGTCGAACGAGACACAAAGTCTCGCATCACCACCACCACTCATGGTCTTGCCATCACGGCGGCCCTTCCGGCGGCGGGACTCAGGACTCAGCTCTGCTTGCCTTGCGGTGTTTCTGTAACCATTCGGCGTGTGCGGCGCGCAGCACCGCAGCAACATATCGATACGCAGACAGCGTGCACCCTCCAGCCGCTCTGGCCAACAAGCCAATGGCTGCACAAGTTGTGCCGGCGCTGTGCGCGTCTTCATTTCGTCTGTGCAGCTCATGCAGCCACACCAAGCCTTGCATTTGGCGACCAATTTTAGTGCATAAGTTATGCCATGTCGCTGCCCTAAGACACTCCCACGAGTCGACAACCCTGCACTCAAGCGTATGAGTCCGGCAGGGGTCGGTCATGCATGGAGACCACCGCTATGGTTGGGCTTGTGGGGACGCTTGCGCTGCGCCCCGACTCCCTCCCACACCTGTAGTCAACCAATTCCGAGCGTCCGTCGGCCATCTTTTACTTTTTCAGTCTTGGTCACTGTCTCGTCGCTCGCTGATCTAGGCTACTTATCCAGGCCTTCCCTTCCGTTCGTTGCGCTTTCCTTGTCCAAAGGTTTATCAACCTCATCGCTTGTCTTTCTCTTTCCCCAGTACTCTTCCTGGTCTTCCCTTTTTGGTTTACATTTGTACAGTCCTCCCGTCGATTGTGCATTGTAACCGTTCCTTCCTTTTGGATTATCCCAATCTTCGTCAACGCACGACCCTATGACATCTTCGCTCCAGTAGATCCACATATTAGTAGACAGCTTCATCATCTTGAAGTAGTCGTCCAGTCACTCCCTCGACATTCCATTGCTATACAGCACTTGACAATTTACACTCCGCCTAATATAACACCACTCCACCTTCGTACCAAGGAACCAATCGGAGAACCATCTTACACTTGATCAACTAGCATACAGTGAGTACAGTAGTATCATTCGAATACACCCCCCCTAACAGGATGGATAGACATCACAGTATTCGCAATGGAAGGGTCATATCACATGCACCCAATGCAAGCAACATCAGCACCATTCTTCTACTACAACCCCGACCCTCAGGGCGAGAGGACTAGCCAGCACGGTCACTTCACACCCCAGCCTGCAGGCCAACAGACATTCCACCCACAGATGTACTACCAAAGGCCATCGTCTGCACAGTCGATGTCCTATCCTCAGACCGCATACGCCAACCAGATGATGACACCCGTAGCATCGCCTCAGCCAATGTACCAGAAGCCAGCAATTTTTGTCCAGCCCCAGGAGTCCCCATTCCTCCAGACACTCGACACTGACTTCTACGCGCCTGCTACACCTCCTCTGTCATCTTGCGGTAGCAACATCAGCAGCCCGCCTTCCACATACGACCTCCTGCCCACACCCGTTAATGCTTTCTTCCCTGGTGAGGGCATTGAGGGCGTCAAGCAGGGCTGCGAAGGAGAGGTGTTCGCTGAGCTTCTATCCACTGGTGTTGAGTGGAGGTCAGCCACCCCACCTATGACCCCAGGTAAGCACTACAAACACACTTTGGTTGATAAGCGTGCAGACGTGACTTGGCCAACGTGAGAAATGTGGAAGGGATAACTGACTGGAATTAGTATACATCCAGCCTAGCCAGGGATCATACCTGCTCTCCGCAACTTCTTGCCCATCGCTGTCTCCTTCACCTTCACCGCTGCCCCGCTCTTTCTCCGTCGAAGCTGAGAACAACTTTTGCAACCCCAGGGATCTCACTGTCTCTGCTTCCGAGCAGCTGACTCTGTGCCCCGTTGACGAGGAGCACAAGCTTGTCTTCAAGGGTGAGGTTGCCAAGGTTGACGAGGTTGAGTCCACGTTCACCTTCACCGGGCTGCCAACCTTCGAGCCCCTGTTCGAACTTGACTGCGAGGACGACTTCACCGGCCTTGTTGCCTTCCCCAACTCCGAGATCCAGCTTCCTGCCGGCAAGCGACAGCACACCGTCCCCTGCACCCCTGAGGAAGATTTCGTAAGCGACGAGAGCTTCACCGACTTCGAGGAGGACCTCAGCCTGCCCCTGACCCCCGCCGAGACCGAAGACGACAACATGTCCGTTACGCCCAAGAAGCGATCCATCAAGAGGGCGCGCTCTGAGCAGAGCGAGGCGGAGTCAGACTACCAGGGTAAGCATCAGACATCCGGTGATGATAACGCCGCGTCTGGAGCATCAAGCCAACAGAATTCAGATCAAGCATCGAACCACAACGCTGCCAACTCCAGCTCTGAGGAGAACGTCTCCGCATCTGTCGCTCCTTCCAGCCGTCGCGGCCGCAAGCAGTCGCTGACCGAGGATCCCTCCAAGACCTTCGTCTGCACCCTCTGCTCGCGCCGCTTCCGTCGTCAGGAACACCTCAAGCGTCACTACCGCTCTCTCCACACTCACGACAAGCCTTTCGAGTGCACCGACTGCGGTAAGAAGTTCTCTCGCAGCGACAACCTCTCCCAGCACCAGCGTACCCACGGCACTGGCGCTATGGTCATGGGTGTCCTCGACAGCTCTGAGCTTCGCCATGAGATCCCTCAGCAACATCCTGGGTCATTCGACAACCAGGACCCTGCCATGATGGGCCGCATCCTCTATGATGCTGCTGCCGGTATTTCCAGCTCAAGCTCTGACTCATACTCTGACCTCGAGCCATCGCCGCTGAAGATGCGCAGCAAGAGGAAGCGTGACGAGTAGACGGTTCTTCGGCCTCTTCTCCTTTCGGCTCTTCTAACGAACCTTCATGACCCAGGCTCGATAAAGGACTTCATCAATACCCGGCGGCTGCTCGTCACCATCACGTCGTTATGCTAGGCGACACAGCTAGACAGGCGGCACAGGTTTATATTGGCGACTCGGGTGTATTACCTCGACGTTGCGGCAAAAGTTCGTCTTTTCTTCTCACTTGTATTCTTTCACCACACTTTGGCAACTCATCACGAGTTCGCCACCATCCGGGTTTCACATTTAGCATGGCACATCAGGGGTTCACAGGGGGATACTTGAGGGATTCACACACGATTAGATTTGGTTGGTGTTCACATTTTGCGGTTTCACATCTAACGACGACATGACCCATTCTTACCGGGCATCGTCGCCGCGCTCTTTCATACACCGAACCCCAGTTCAGCGTTCCTACTCTCGTTTTAATCGGCTGCGATCTGTGCAGGCCAACCGTTCTGAGAATATTCGCTTCTTTCGTCATCCTGTAATAGTTCGATCTTCCCCTACTGCTCTGCATAGTTCTCTTTGCTCTGTTCGTAGGTTAGTGCTGGCACATCCGACTTTACAAAATTGTTCAAAGACACATTCATTTCAGCTTCAGCTTGACCTTCAGTGACCTCATGTGTGATACATGGCTTGCTATGGGACGGCACATTCGTGAACATCAATGAAGTTTATTTTTCGATCTTTGGTAGACTACGCTAGTGTGCGATCGCTTTAGCGAATCTTATGAACCAGACACCAGACATATATCACGACGGTCGGCGTTGATAAGCGCTCCCTCTTTCCTGCTGAATTCACTCCTGCCTCACCCTTTTCAAACAATGGCGTTAAACGTCATCGCATTGATCTCCGGCGGCAAAGACTCATTCTTCTCGATCCTGCACTGCATAACAAACGGGCACAACATCGTTGCACTGGCCAACCTGCACCCCTCCCCCACGGCCAGCGACAATGAAGACATCAACAGCTATATGTACCAAACTGTGGGGCATTCAGTCATCCCCCTCTACGAGCAAGCACTAGGTATACCCCTCTACCGGCAAGAAATCATCGGAAATGCAGTAAACTCGGAACGAGACTACTCCACACCACGGTCCCAGCAAGAGCAGGATGAAACAGAAGATCTAGTGCCGCTGCTGAAGAAGGCGATGCTTGCGCATCCCGAGGCGAACGCAGTGTCTACAGGCGCGATTCTAAGCACGTACCAGCGCACGAGAGTCGAGTCTGTAGCGATCAGGCTAGGGTTGACGCCGCTGTCGTATTTGTGGCAGTATCCACTGCTGCCGCCGTACTCGCAGTCGCAGCTGTTGCATGATATGGCGGCTGTTGGGCAGGAGGCGATCATCATCAAGACGGCGTCTGGTGGTCTGGATGAGAGGATTCTGGGCTGGAATATCGCTGTGCAGAGTACAATTACGAAGCTGCAGAAGGCTATGGCGAGGTTTGGGGAGGAGAGTAATGGTGCTGTTCTGGGTGAGGGTGGGGAGTTTGAGACGCTGGCGCTGGATGGGCCGAAGCCGCTTTGGAAGAAGAAGATTAGGATTGAGCCGGGGGCGGCGGGCGTTAGTGAGGGCGGGCAGTCGGTGTTGAAGATGAGGGCAAGTGAGCTGGAGGAGAAGGGTGAGGAGAGCGATGAGAGGAGTGGAGCGTTGAGGATTCCGGACATGTTTGATGATGAGTTCAAGAGGGTGTTGGATGAGCAGGAGAACAGTAACGACACACGATCATTCATCTCAGATGACGCGACACTCCTGAGCGAGCCTGTCGCTAAGACATCATCGACATTCGACGACCTTTCTAGAAACGCATCTACCGACACACCTACAGTGTTCACGTACTCCAACCTCTCCGATACATCACGCTCCTCCACCCCGAGTTCACCTTCGCCTTCGCGGCAACTGACAAAGATTCTCCTGCGCCTCAACCATGTCCTCAAGCAATGGAACCTGTCACGCGCCGGCATCAATCACTGCACACTCCTCCTGCGCTCAATGTCTGACTTCACTGTCCTCAACCCGGTCTACGGACAGTACTTCTCCGGCGTGAATCCACCCGCGCGCGTCACCATCTCAGTCGGCGACTCCATGCCGGAAGGCATCGACGTCATGCTCAGCATCGTCATCGACAAAGACGCCAAAGACCGCAAAGGCAAGGTCGTACGCTCCGTTTCGCGGCAAGGTCTGCATGTCCAAGGCAGGAGTTACTGGGCGCCTGCAAACATCGGTCCTTACAGCCAGGCTATCTCTGTCCGACTGCCCTGGGAGCCCAGTCAGTCCGAAGCCAGTAGTGGAGAGGTAGTCTACGTAGCAGGCCAGATTCCTCTCATCCCGGCATCTATGGCCGTCTACACCGAGCGCGGTTTCAAAGGCCAAGCTACACTCTCCCTCCAACACCTCTGGCGTATCGGGCGCGCGAAGGGCGTGCGATGGTGGACAGGCGCCGTGGGCTTCATTCCCTCTGGTGAGAACCCAGAAGAAAAAGTCAAAATCGCACAAGCGGCGTGGCGAGCAATCCACAGCCCCTCTTCAAAACGGCCAGACGGCGACGAAGACGAAGACGAAGACAATGAAGATAATGCCTTGGATATAGACCCCTGGGACCGCCGCAACACCCACACCGCCCTCTTCAACGACACCACCCACCGCCCACCTATCCCCGATCTCTCCGCTCTCACAACCACCCACGCCACACCCGACCCCTCACAACTCCCCATACCGCCCTGTTTCGTGGTCCAGGTCGAATCGCTCCCGCGCGACGTGGATATCGAGTGGAGCGCCACAGGCCTCACCAGCCCATCAATCTCTTTCAGCCGCAGCCCGTTGGCGCCGCTGAGTATCACACATCCGACAAATGGGTCGAGTCGGTTCTACACGCTTGAGGTCCGGTCGGCGGAGGGTACAGATGTGCTGAGGCATTTGGGACAGGAGAGTGTCCAGGATTGGACGAGCGCGACGCTGTATGCTGGGCCGGGATTTGGGTACGAGGACCATGCAAAGTTTAGTCTGAGGGGGGTGCAGTGGGTGCCTTGCAAGCGTGTGTGGGGTGAGGGAGGGCGAGAGTGCGCTGCGGTGCTGGTTGGGAGGTGTGATGGTGGGGGTGGAGACGGGGGGCATGGGTGGCTTGGTGAAAGGGCTGAAGCTTGCGGGACGCGAGGTGAGGGATGCGCTGGAGAGGAGTTAGGAGCAAGGGAAAGACGGCAGGGGAGGTGAATCCGTATGGTGAGTGGACTTGGAAGTGAAGAGAAGTCGTTTGCTTGTGGTGTCTATGACTTTTGTCTCGTGCATAAATCGTGCAAACGTGCCTGGATATCCCACACCCACCCAAACGCCTGGAAATGCTCAAAACCCTGCGTCTTCTTGCCCTGGTCGTCTAGAACCTCTCCTTCATCCTCCCAGCAACCGTTCTCAGGTTTCCATAGACCTTCGACGGGTTCTGGCCAAGAATGAGCGACACAATGCTCGTCCGCGCAATGTGAATATTCTTGAACCCGCCCAAGATGTGAATCTTCTGATCGGCCAGCACGACCCTCGTCCGACTCGCATTCTCAATCGCAAACTTGGTCTTGCCGTCCTTGCCGGCAATACGGCCGATTGCGCGCCCCAGATGCTCGCCCTGCAGCGTCTTCACGTCTTTGATCTCGAAGGTCTCGATGTACAGGTCGTCCAGACGCAGCAGCGCGATGGCATCGTCGACGTCAAAACCGAGCGTGAAGGCTTTGACGAAGTCTTCGCCTTTCTGCAGGGCGTCGGTGGAGGTGGTGAGCGAGGAGGTGCGCAGTTCGACGGAGCGGGTTTTGATGTTCATGCGCACTTGGAGGTGGAGGTGCTCGACCAGGGGCGGCTACAGTAACAGTCAGTGCGTGTCCGCCACCACACAGCATAGGGACTCCAGCATACGTAGATCTTGGGCCATGCGCTCTTGAGCGGCGTCATCCTGTGCGGCGGGATGGGCACCTTTCGTGTCTCGCGGCGGAAGGCGAGCGGAATGCTGCTTGAGGGAGCGAACTGTGGGCGCCCGCTCTCGTCGACCACGATGGCGGTGTGGTCTGTGGCGGCGTGGTTTGTGTCGGGCAGGACTTCGTCTGCGACGGCGTCCATGTCGATCAGGTCTGCGGACTCTGTGGGCTCGTCGCCGGGCAGCGGCGTGGTCATGGCGATGTCGTTGGCAGACTCTTCGGGGCGGCGCTGGAGCGCTGTTGGGGCGGGCATGCTGGCGATATTTCGTGCTTGTATGGGCTCGTCTCGGTGCAGGCGCAAAAAGTCGAAAAGCCGGCGCGTGAAGGGAAGGGGTCGTGGACTGGCGGGGCTATCGATAAGCTTTGCTCCTCCAAAATTTCGTGAGGCGAGAATGGCTGGGCTCACCGGTTCGGGCTAGCGGGCTGCTGCTTCCGCTATCAAGATTCCTCTCCGACACCATGACGTGAGTCTGAATCGGGCACTCGACCTGACAGCACTCCCCTTATTCAACAGGAGCCCCTGTACCCCCTGTACCAGGCGCAAGCCCACACAGAATGAGCGCGTAGTCATGTGGTTGCTGCAACTACCATGAGTCGACAGGTAGCACCCTCGCCCGGCGCGTTCCTGCGGTGCGCGCTCGCTCCCCAGCCGCTGAGGCAGAGCGCTCTCCCGCGCTTCGAGGTGGCCGGCTGGCCGGCGCTGTGCAGAGGAAACGGAGCGCAGACACGGACGACAGCATCGGATCCGCACAGTCACCGCATACCGACATCGATTCCGACATCGATTCCGACACCGATACCGACAGCCTCAGCGTTCACGCGCCCGTCACACGTCAAGCCATTGCCCGCGCACGTCAAGCCGTCGCCCGCACACCTCCTTCGAGCCGCGTCGCCCCGGCCGAGCGCGGTCCAGCAAAGCGTCACCGTCGCTGTTCTCGCTGCTTGGAGCAGGGATGCTTCGACACGATCACACCGCGCACCGCGCAGAAGCAGCAGTGGCGACCGCCGCAACAAGAGCTCAGCGACCGCGGGCCCGCCCAAGAGCAAGCCAAACCAAGGGGCACCGCAAGCAGAGCTGTCGCCGAACCCCCAGAATGCCCAGACTCCCCAGACTCCCCAGACTCCCCAGACCCCTCCAACGCCATCGAGCCCCGCTCAGTCTACGCCAGACACGAAACACGACGACTCGCATACCATACTCGACCGCCTCCCCCACCTCCCCCACCTCCCCCACCTCCCCCACGTCCCACACCTGTACCGTCCCAGCAAGGCAGAGCTGCTGGCTGCTGCATCGGGCTTCTGGTCGCGCATGAAGGTCCGCTTCAAGTGGCTCACCATCCGCAGCAACCGCAAGTTCAACGCCGACGAACTGTACGCCCTGTTCTCGTGGGTGCTGGCTGCACACGTAGCCTGGGTCATTCTGGGCACTACGACCTTCTTCATGTTGACCGTCTTCCTGATCAACACTGCCTTTTCGCAGGAAACACTGGCCAAGTGGATCGGTAACTACCTGACGCAGTCGTCTGGCATCAAGGTCGTCTTCGAGACTGCTGTCGTGCCCAAGTGGAAGGATGGTGTCATTTCGTTCCGCAGGGTCTTTGTGTCCCGCCGACCAGGCCAAGGCCGTGGAAAGGTTAGCAAGGGCTCGCAGACTTCGGCTGCTGCTGAGGCTGCTATTGCACAGGCAGGAAAGGATGGGCCGGTGGAAGAGGCGGTGGAGGAAGACACCAATTACACCCAGTTTGACGTCTCGATTGACACTGTCAACGTCACGCTGTCCTTCTCAAAGTGGTTCAACGGCAAGGGACTGCTGAAGGATGTCGAGATCAAGGGCATTCGCGGCGTCATCGACCGCACCTCGGTCCACACTGTGGAAGGCGTCGATCCACGATCCTACAAACACGAGCACAACCCCGGCGACTTCGAGCTCGATTCTTTCAAGATGGAAGACTTGCTCGTCACCATCTACCAACCCGACGGCTTCCGCCCCTTCCCTGTGAGCATTTACTCCTGCGACCTGCCCCAGCTGCGCAAACAGTGGCTATTCTACGACTTTCTCTCCGCAAACATGATGTCTGGCTCTTTCGATCACTCTCTCTTCACAGTCCACCCGCGCCAAACGCACAACTACACGGGCATGCAGCTGTCCAACGGCCGCGATACCGAAGATGGGTCTACCTGGAAGAAGCACTCTCGTATACGAATCGACGGACTGAACATTGACCACCTGAACCGGGGCTACGACGGCCCATTCTCCTGGATCCACGAAGGCAACGTTGACATCGTGGCCGACATCATGCTGCCCAACGACGACGACGAGTCTCTCGCAAAGGTCATGAGCGACATGTACGACCGCGTCGAAGCCACTGTCAGCCAAAACGGGCGCGCAGTGAAGCACCATTTCTCCGATCACGCCGCCCACGGCTTTGATCACCACGACGACGATCACCACCACGAGGAGGAGACAAGCGAAGAAGACGACCGCTTCGTGATCATGGACCTGCGCGTCCACCTCAACGACGTGCGCGCCGCAGTGCCCATTTTCACACGGGACATCTCGTACGTCAACAATGCGCTTGTACGACCCATTGTCGCGTACATTAACAGCAAGCGCACGTTCATTCCTGTGAACTGCAGAGTGGTGAAAAAAGTCAGCGAGTTCGATGGCAGCTGGACATTGTACGATAGCGGGTTGATGGCGGAAGTCTCGCGCGAGGTGGGTCACAAACTCTACATGAGATCTGATGTTGGCTAACAGGAGTAGATGTACGACGCATTCGCCCGCGACGTCCTCGACGACCGTACCGTACGGAAACGTCGCATAAAGAAGGTTGGTATTTGGACGCTGCAGTTAGCTGCTCAGGCACTGTTCTTGGGACTGGCTGGTAATATGGCATAATAGATGGATATACCCGCATGAGGAGGTCTGCATCCTGTACGATACGTGCTTTTTTGCTTTTGGCATGGCGCTATGGCGTTGGAAAGGTCACCACATGGGACCGAGGATGAATTTTGGGCAGGAGGACGGGCTTTGTGTGTAAGTATGTGTACAGTATATCTTTATGATGAGACGATTACTTGACATTTATTCAAGAGCTATGGAGCTATTCCGCAATGGCCATCCAGTGTTCCTGCTCGAGTGTCTGGTGAGGAAGCAGCGTTGACTAGGACTTACCTCCCTTCGCCCCACGTCTCGCCTCGTACTCTCTCCGCCTTGCCCTCGTCGTACCTTACATGCTTGTAAGACACGAAAACTCTTCTGACCGACAATCGCTCTTCTCCATTCTGAAAACCCTACTTCGCCCTCCTAGCGACCGAAAAGTGGGACTTATACCAACGCTTCAGCTGCAAGGGCACGCACCCACTAAGGTCTACCCCATCAAATCACAATGACTGCTCGAAACAACACAATATACACTCTCAGTCACGGTCCAGGAGATGAACCACCAGTGTCATCAATCACCGCTGCCGCAGTACCAGATCTCACAATTGCTGCAGCATCGTCAAGCATCACCCTCAGCGAGCGATTCGAGATCCTGTCCAAGGAACTCGGCCCCCGATATGAGTGACAGCGACGCATACCAGGCCAACAAGATCATGACTGATCTCCGCGCGCTGGAAGAAGAAGTAGCGACCCAAGGCAAGGACCTCGAGAATGATCAACAGCTCAGCATCGTCAGCGAGAAAGTAACAGGCGTGTTGACAAGCCTCGTCTCCGACGACATCTAGATAGAATTCAACGGAGAAGAGGTTGTGAGGATGATAGGCGAGCTTCGCGCGCTGGAGATTGAGTTTATGCAGCAACGTACAAAGCGCGAGCTGGCCGAGCTCGAAGACAACCCAAAGGGCCAATACAAGCGTCATCGTTTCTGGCTAAAACTCTGATCTCACCTCGACCGCTTCAATTCGACTTACTCGAGCAAACGGCTTCGTTCTTAAAAGCTATCACTCAATGGCTGACAGAGAATCAGCCACTCCTCGTACGCTTTCGGTGTGCTAGAGCGGATGAGCAGGCTGCTGATTTGGACATGGCTGCAACGCTTGGGAAGATGCTCTCGGTGTGGAGTTGAAGAAGAGTCTCGAATAACTGGCACTTCTTCAGTCCAAGCAAGACCGACAACGCTAGGAGCGCTGCGTACTTCGAATTGCAGTGTCCAGATTGTTCCGAGGGCGAAAGAAGTGGCGAGTTGGAAGGACGAAGAGGGCGAGGACCTCGACCATGTTGTTGAGCATGTTCGTTTCGATGATCTGGACTTGAATGGGTACAGCGGCTGTGTTGAGCGCTTCCGGTGGTGAGAGAATGTAACGACATGGAGTTTATATTCTGCTTTCCTATTCTTCACATGTCGACGTTCCTGTGCTTGAGGTGAACGATATCTCAATCGAAAGATCTTCCTAACAATGCTCATGTCATCACAGGCACAGAAACCTCGGCGCACGCTCTCTTGTCTTGATGACTCCCAACAAGCAAGGCTTTGCAATATCAGATCTGTTGATGAGAACACTTCGTGCGGTGTGCGGGGTGCTCTTCTCCTCACCTTCACTGCGTGCCGATGACCGGCGCCAAGATGCACGAACGCACAAACGCACCAGCAAGACTCTCGAGCTTGCGCTTCTGCCACTCGCAGCACACTGCACCTGCAGCAGCTTTCGTAGTCGTCCTTTGTCACACGACTTCTCAAGTGCGAACTTGTCAGTGAACGAAGAGTACCTCTCACGCACTCGAAGAGCAGAACTCAGCATCATCAAGCAGCTCCTGAAGACGAGACCTGGGCTGGATGTTCAAGCTCGACAACGCGACAATCAGATCGCTACACTGAGGACTGGCAGTCCAGACAAAGGATCGAAGAGGAGCGGATGTGAAGACAGAGCAGTGAAAAGAGAGATGGTCGTCGCAAAGAAGGCGCTGAAGGCGGCTGAAGCTCGAGCCGAGAGAATGTGTGGGCACTACAACTGTTGAAGCTCGGCATATCACATAACTTTAAGCTCTACCAGAGTATATATTCAGCGCTCCTCTGTTAGTACATAGATCTTCCATCAAACAAGCTTTGCTTCATCAAACTCGCCTTTGGCTTCCTGTTCAATAACAACAACTTACATGCTGGGCAGACTCACGGAAATGGCTACGGCTGGAGGATTTGGCGATCTCGAGCTTGATTTGCTCAAGGCTCCTTCCCTCGATAAGCTGGAAGATCTCCAGGATCCAGCGTGATCCCTCATGTCTCAACAGGCCTTTTGGAGACTCGTCACTTGGACAGACGGATATTCGGGAGCATGTTGGGATACCATTGCGATGCCTTCACTCAAATTGTCATGTTGGACGTGTCGCTGGAGCGTAGTGTCGCGCTCCTGTGCTTGGGTGACGCTCTACGCTGTCGGTCACCGTACGCTCTTGTATTTTCTAAGCTTGCGGCACCCAGACAATATTGGTGCTTACCAAGATGTATGGACCCCCCTAAGTCTGGTACACTAGCCCATGTTCTCCACGTCATACAGAAGCGAGAGCTTCCGAGTGGCTGTATGTCTTTGGTTCGACAGATGTGACACGCTGGTAGACCTACTGCAGGACATACACGTGGATAATGACCACTCACAAACTTGTCCGCACAGCGAAACCACAGTGCGCATGTACTGTCTGTATCACGGTCCCAAATCCATGGGGGTCCATACATTTCGGCAATCATTATACTTCAAACAAACGGATACCAGCATCCGTAATGCGAACATCAAAAATTGTCACGGTTCAGGGTGCTCCTGCCTGTCGTACCTCACCTGCCATGAGAGTGACTGCCACGTCACACTAGCGTTGTTTACACTCCAGACCCCACTACATTCCAGCCCTCCACCCATTCTCACATAAGCACACACTCCCGCGCCCTCTTCTGCCTCTCCGTCCACCCCTCCTTCTCTCCGTCATCCCCAACCTTAAAACCCCTCGGATCTCTCCCCGACCGTTTCACCGCCTCATCCATGCCTATCCTCGTCACCTCTCTGCTCTTACGCGTTTCATTCGCTTCCTTGAGTTTCTGCCACCGCGAAGTAGTTGGGGGACAGATCTCGGGTGGGTGTTTGGGGTTGATGAGGGGAGTTGAGAGGGTGGGTGCTGTTTCGTTGTCTGGTATGCTGGTTGATGGTTTGGCGATGGATGGTTGTGTGGACGGTATGGTGGTGGGTATGCACGGTGATCGGTTGACTGGGTCGCGGCCGTTGGCGGTGTGGATGTAGTATGGATCTCGTTGTTTGGTGGGCACCTTGGTTTCTTCCAGGGAGCGGTATAGCTCGTCTATTGTTGAGACTCGGTGTTTGGGAATGTGGTTTCAGGATGGCTGTGAAGGTGATGAGGCCATTGATGCTTGATAACCTTGAAAGACCGCGTGACGGTTCGCTATGCGTGTCGTTGAGTATAACTTGAGCTCGTTCGTAACGGCGAACGGAAGGTTTGTGTGTGTGAGACCGAAGCCGGGAAGTGGTCATCTTTAACATGACGTCCTATGGCGGTGCTCCGTACTCAGGCCGCTAGCCGCTGTGGACGGCCTTGGTAAGTGGACGGGTATTGGGGGAGTTGATGATAAGCCACTGCCGATCTCTCTCTCTTGGTAGGGCTACACGAAGTCAGATGCTCAAAGACAAGGCGGACCTGATTTCAGAATGTGTGCAAGATGTCTGAATGCAGCGCATTGTATTGTTTGTGGTGTGCGCGAGATATGGTGGCCTTGAGACCGGTGAGCTGAAAAGTAGAGGGAACAGCTGCACGGCAATGGGACGCCTGATAAAGTAGAGAGGATATCATATTATCGTATGGGTATCGTAACAGTTTATCGTCAAAACCGCTTTCGTCTTTCCTCACAAGGCTGACTCTAGAATCTACAGTTACCAAGTCTATTCTCCAAATTTGCGGCCTACACAACGAGGCAGATAGCACCGAGTAGCTAACAAAACCACGCTTATCTCACGTTATGCGCACCTAAGCCGTAGGGATAGAGTCGGCGCTCTCAGCCTTCTCGATGATTGGCGGCGGCTTGACGATCTTCTTGCGGAGGAGGTGGCGCTTGATGAAGTACGGCAGCCAGATCTTGATCTCGTAACCGATGAACTGCTTTGTTGGAACCGAGAAGACCTGGTCGATTTCCTCAAGCGTCTGAGTCCACATTAGCAACGGTCTGTTACAAGAGAGACAAGGTGACTTACGAGCTGCTTGGTCTCTCGCACAAAGCAGAATATCATAAACCACGCGATCAGATTCAGCCCAGCATAGAAGCCAAAAGCACCCGTCGGCGTCATGACGGTCTGCATACGCGGGAAGGTTAGACCGAGGATGCCGGCGAACGTGTTGTTGATGCAGACAGCCCAGGCCATGCCCTGCTCACGATGAATCGTGGGGAATACCTGTCTAGATTAAAATTATACCTTCAAAGTTGAACAGAAGCTCTTACCTCAGCAGAGTACTGGAAAGCGACCGGTCCTTCGCCGAGCGAGTACATGATAGTAAAGAGATAGACGAACAACACCACAGGGCCGATCTTTTCGCCGCGAGAGCCGTCTGTCTTCAGAAGGGAAAGACCAGCGGCGAGCAGGAAAAGGCACATAAGCGGGAATGTGATCAAACACAGTGTTCGGCGTCCCTTAGTGTCGATAAGGAACAGCGTGGGAATCGTAAAGACGACCTGAACCGCACCGTAGCCGAGGGAGGCGTAGAGGGCCTGTTCGGCGGTGTACCCGACTTTCTCGAAGATGGAGGACGAATAGAAGGAGATGATGTTGACTATACACTGTTAGTATCAACACCTTACGAGTGGTATATCGTTGCTCACTTCCGCACATCTGCTGGGCGAGCATGACTGTTGAGGCGCCGTAGTTGGAGCGGCGGATTCGTGGGACGGTGAAACAGTCACGGAGACGCGTGAAGTAATTACTGTCGCCGGCTACGCGAAGCTCTTCAGCGTAAATGACGTTGGAGTAGTAGTAGTCACGGGCCGCAATGATCTTGTGAGCGCGCAGTTTGACCATCGACCTGAAGCCCTTGGCCATCTTTCCGTGCTTCATAAGCCATCTGGGGGACTATGAAAGCATATTAGCTGGTCTGCGAATTTCTCATTTGGATATAAACTCACCTCAGGGCAGAAGAAGATACCAACACCGAGGATAAACGATGGGATGAAGGCAGAGCCCAACTGCAATCTCCATGCAATGTCACCCGTATCTTTTACGATAATGTTGGCGCAAAAACCCAAGAAGATACCAATTACGACCCACAGCTGCCAGAACATGACAAGAGCACCGCGGATACGGGCTGGTGCCATCTCCGCGCTGTAGACAGGGACAGTAGCGTTCTTCGCGCCGATACCAATGCCCATCACGAAACGCGCGGCGAAGAGTCCTTGCCATGACTTGGCGAAGCCGGATCCAATGGGAGTAGCAGTAAGACAGAGGGCGGTGATGAAAATCTCACCACGTCGTCCGAAGTAGTGGTTGAGCGGGTCGACGATGAAGGCACCAATTAGGCCAGCAGTCAGAAAGATGATGGAATTGATGAGACCGACAATCCACTCGTTCTTTGCGCCTTGATCAATGTGGAACTCCTTAGGAAACGATAAGTTGGCACCGTTCGCACCAGTCTAGCCATCGTTAGTACTTTGTTGACTATAAGCTATAAGCTGTCCTTACCTGGTCCCATCCTTGAGTAGCAGCTCCGATAGCGCAGAGTGAGATCGAGTACCACAGCATCTTCGACCCGTGCCACTTGTGGTCGCGCTCGTATTTCAGAGCCTCGAGCTCATCAGCTTCAAGCTCACCAATGCGTTCGAAACGCTCCGGGTCTCGTGCAACCAAGGCAGCCCTTCCGAATAGCGACGCATGCTCCTGCATACCATGGGCCTCAGCCCATTCTCTGGCATCAGAGACGGCTTGTTCTTGCGATTTGCGCTGTGAAGCATTAGCACGTAATTCTCCGCCTCGTATCGAATTGCTGGGCGCAAGACGACTGCGCATACCTTCAGAGGGTTCTCGACGATGTTAAGAGCGACCGACTGGCGGCGGCCAGTGTCCCCAGGAAACTCATCGTGCTTTGCAGTAGAGTCTTCGATCTTCTCGTTGTAGGCAGGTGGGCCTGAGTTGACAGTCTCGAATTCCTTCGCGTCAGCAGCCATGATTGGCGGTGCTTAGCAGTGAGGTTAGCAGTTGACAAGAAGTTGACGAGATTTAGGTGGGTGGCGAAGCCTCTTGGTCAACTCCGGGCTCTTGCGCGAAGACTATATAGTCACCGCATTACAGTGGGGTACTTTGCGGAGAGACTTAGTCCGCGCGTTGGAGGCCCTTCACTTGATCCCTGTCTGTTGTGTTGCGGGGACAGTGAACGGCATGCGGCCTAACGGTAATTGGAGCATTGTCACCTGATAGACATGCCTTTTCCCGCATGCAGATAGCTCTATTATGAGGATGACGTATGTCACATGCCATCGCTTGGCATTCTTGTAACGTTCAAATGGTTCTCCAGGAAATTTGGGCAAGCTCGTGTGGACTCGTGCTTGGCTCCACCCCAACAACCCCAGACCGGAGTCGGACGCGGAGAGGACCCACAAGGTCGAATCGAATTCCTTGAATGCCGCCGCTGAACGCACTGAAGGATTGATGTGAGCACTACGGACTACGGATTACCACTTGATGCACGTTGAAGATCAGAAAGTAGTACGATTGTATTAGTAAGACAAGAGGACGTACCCCTCAACCCCATGTGAACAGGTGTGGGATGCAGCGTCTGCGGAAACGAGAGCTAACGAGTCATGTCCAACCGTGAAACAGTGCCGAAGATGCGACGAGTGTACCCGTGATCTTACAATGCAACACCACCCTCCGTGGCCCCATCAGAACAAAAATTCTCACCCAGCTAGTGCTTACAAGGCAAGCGCAGCAGCGAACACACCAGCAACACCACCGACGAAAGCCATCACGCCCTTGGAGAGAGGAGCTCCAGCCGCAGCACCAGTGGCCACAGGGGCGCCAGATCCGGAGGCCGTAGCGTTGGCGGAGCCAGACTGAGACCCAGATGCCGTTGCGGATGCTGAATTGGAGGCAGACTGAACCACGCTGACAGTCTGGATCGCTGAGGCTTCAGCAACCTCGCTTGCCTTGAGGACGTCAGATGTAATGCCCTCAGCATCGTTAAGCTTGGCGAAAGAGCCGCTTTGGGTAGCGGTACAAGTCAGGTCGGCGGACGTGAGTTCACCCTTCCAGGCGCAGTTCATGTCGGCGGTCCAAGCACCCTTTGTGGGGTCCTCCAAGTGGATTTCGACCGACGAAGAGCCCTGCTTGATGGTGATGGGTTCGCAGAAACCACCAAACAAGCCGTCCTCCTGACGGCGGAGACGTGCGGCCGCGGTGGTCGATGGTGCAGAGATGGGTGTCGTGACGAGGGTACCTGCCGCTGAGCGCACAGCTGAGGAGGCCACAGAAGCCCTCGAAGAAGCAACCGAGCCAGATGCTTCTGCTAAGAGTCAATACGGCTTTCGAACCGCCAGGCTTGGGAGGCAGCTTACCGGGAGTGAGATAGGAAGCAGGAATACCTCCATCAGAACATGAGTTAACATAGGTGGTCGTGCCTGAGCTGGATCCGATCACAGTGAGAGTGGATGCGGGCATCAGCGGGTTCAAGACTACTGCGGTCGACTGTGCGGCAGCTGAGCCTGCGAAGAAGGCGATGACTGTAGAGGAACGCATCCTGGATGAACGAGTGAAGATGTGAAGTTGACGTTGAAAGAGAATACAACTGCGACTGATGGTATGGAGCTGTAAGACCAAGACTTGTAGGCTGATGAGTTTACCAGGCCTCCGTTCGAATCTTATACAGTACCTTCAACGTCCTCAGGTATTTTGCTTGCCGCATGATCCGAGCGCTATGTTATGCCGCCCGTGATGATGAGGTTGTCTGGGCCTGTACGGAGTTGTGAAACGCCATATTCTAGGCATACCTACCTGACCCAACCCCGAGCGTACCTGTGCACACTTTCACAGCAAATTGCATAGCCCGGGGCCAGAACCTGAATGATGTAGCAAGGGACGTGCGCTGTGCCGATGCGTGCGCCGCACAAGTGAGCGGGTACAGGACGAGGCTGCTTCGCTGCAAGGCTGCAAGTTCGCAAAACAAGCTTCAACAAGCCATGCCGCCTGGCAGGATCAAGCAAGCAATCTCCAGACTTTCTGGAAATAATTGTGCTGGTATGTTGGATTGCAAGGGATTCCCAAGCTCTTGCAAACGAATGGCTGTGAGGCGCTCATTTCCACTCGGCGTTAGCGCTTACGGTCTCGATACTGGCTGCACCAATGCTGCGGTACTTCACAAAGAACATGCGAGATACAATCTCGCTCGTAGAGGCTTAGTTGGCACGAGACATACGCATTTGAGGACGTTCACAGCGTCGTGTAGCGGTGAGAAGGAGAGTTGGAGGTACCACGCCGCAAAGGGGCTGAAAGGTCCGCCAACGGCGGCCGTTGCTCCGTCGCGCTGGTGTGCCTGCGCCATGCCCTGCGCCTTGCCCTGCGCCTTGCCCTGCGCCGTTCTTTCCTCTACCACCATCACAAATTCGCATATCAACACAGCTTTAGCTTCAACATCATTTATCGAGAAAGTTCAAGTGTATTCAACATGAAGAACGCACCCAATGCTGACTCTCGACAGGCGATGGGGTGATTCCTGGTTGCCTTACGGTACCCACAGTGTCCGCCTTGTCTCACATCAATATCGAACCCCGAAGCTGCACCGGTCTGCTATTTCAAGATGCTTACTGCAGCTGAACCACTCCACAATCACAACTTACCCCGGCGGGGTTGTACCTGAGTATCGACATCTCTGTAGCCGAAGTATACCCAGCTCTCTTCGGACTTCAACCATGTCTTTCTGTCCTTGAGACTTCACATCAATCTCATGTTGGGTCCTGCCGAGCTAGACGATGTTCAGTATGCTTCAAGAAGGTAGGGTAATAATAGAGGTGTCTCGATCGGGGTACGGAACCTGGAATGTATCCGCTTCCTCTGCACACATACAATGTTCAACCCAGTCCCTCTTGCTAACCCAACGGTGGACTTCAAGCACTACGGACCCGGAATGACCATCTTGCTCATGGCAGTGCGGATGGCTGACGACGGAGATCCTACGAGTTTGACGGTCTCAAGGCCTCACATGAGGCCACTTCTACTGTATACAAAGTACTCCATCAGTGTCACCATGATAGTATTCAAGCTTTCATCACATTCTTTTTCACTGCGCTCTTTGCGATTCTTCCACAGTCTTTATCTTTAAACGTTCCTTTCTGATTCGCTCTTTGCACGACCTCGAAGGTCTTACATTCATTGACAACATATCGTACGCGAGTCGACCTGTAACACAGCATCATGATCCTCAATTCAAGCAGTCTTTTGAAGCTGGCTTTGACCACTGCATTCGTTCTGGAAGCGAGTGCTGTCGATCTCAAACCCTGGGGTACCGATCATCACCCGGGTGCTGCCTCTGGTCAGGCTGCCAAACGAGCTCCGACTCCTTTGAAGTTGGAACCTATTCACAGTCCAGATGATCTTCATGCCAAGGTGGTTACCAAACGCGCTCTTCCTTCAGTAGAGCTCAAGGCCATCAGCGACCCTGGTGTTCTCTTGAGGGGTCGGTCTGAGAAACGCGAGATGCCCGGAAACGGCTGCTTCGACCCTGCAAAGCATTCTACCTTCTTTTGGGGAGGTTACGGTACGTAATGCCAACGTTTTGGTCAATGTGTGCCTAACCTTCCAAAGCTGGCGACAACATCTATGTTGCAAACTTCACTATGTCTGCTCAGACTGACGATGAGTACATACTCGCGGTGGAGAACTTCGCAAGGCGAATGAAGTCCATCAGCTGTGGTACTCCAAGAAAGCCTATGATACTAGAGTTCAATGACGTGGAGTCTTTGTCCTATGCCAAGTCGGCCTGGAAGTGGATCGACGATGCGGATATCAACCATTTTACACTCGTCACGGAGCCAGACATGTGCTACAAAGGAGACAACCGGTCTCCGTACCTCGTCAGTGCGATCAAGTTCGATGATGCCAAACTGACTGCCGAAATTACTGCGGAGGAGAAGCCGTGGGATGAGATAGCACAGTCCTTCAAGCTGAATCTAGGCCACGAATACATTGATCCAGCAACCGCCAATGTCACCCATCCTCATCTAGCACGTCGTGGAGATGATGGTACACAAATGGATATCTCGCACACCTTCAATGGTAACCTTTTCAACTATGCAAAGGATTCGAAGGAGACAGCTGGCATGGCTCTAAGCGCTGATCTTGAGCTGACAACTGGAGGAAGCGTGATCGCGGACTTCGATATTCAGAAGAACTGGCTGGGGATTCCGAACGATGCGACTCTCAATGTCCACCCTCAGGGCGTGAACGGGCTTATGAAGCTGTCCCTCAATGCGGACGGGAAGTTGGGCAAAGAACTGCAATGGGACATGAAACCTGAGATCGAGGTTCCAGTTCAGGCGCTTAAGATCGCAGGCATACTCGAGATCGGCCCATTTATCACCATGGGCGTCCACTTCGGTTCATCGGCCCTCGAGGGTACAAGCACAATGAGTGTTGGTGCTAAGGCTAAGATCAAGGACGATGCAAAGGTCGATGTTAGACTCACCAAGCCAGAAGAGAACAGTATCAGCGGCTGGCAGCCAGAATTCGAGAAGATCGATCCGGCTTTCAGTGCAGAGATTGGAGGTAACATTCGCGCATGGAGTGAGCTTGGTGTTCAGATCAAGGCGGAGGTGTTTGGCAGTAAGTGAAACCACAACACATCCAACCACGAAGCCTGCTAACAGGCATCAGAATGGGGTTATCAAGCTGCTGTAGATGCCCAGCTTCCTTTTTTTGAGGCAAAGATGTCTGGTATCGTTGACACAGTCGGTGTTTGCGACAGTCAGAAAACCGTTGGCGTGCAACTCGGAACCGATGTTGGCATCAACGTAAACCTCAACGCCGGCAAAGTCAACGAAGCTCCCTCATTCGAGAAGGACTTGTTCGAGACTACATGGCCGCTCTTCTCCACTTGTGTGCCAGTCGGACCCGACAATGCTAAACCCACCGATGTCCCTGAGCCTGAGCCCACCGAAGAGCCAGAGCCAGAACCCACTGAGGAGCCATCTGAGCCTGAGGTCACTGACAAGCCATCGACTGAGACGTCGAAGACTGATGAGGGTCCTTTTGAGACAGGTACTGGTAACATGCCTATGATTACGGGCACCCCGAGCCTCGTTACCGGCACCGGTACTGCTTCGAGTGGATGGCCTATGTACACTGGCAACACCACTTTCCTGAGGATGGCACAGCGCAGGCCCACTGCAATCTACTTGTAAGCGTATCGTCGCGCATTCTTCGTATGGGGACGCAGGTTTTGTAAGGAACGGCGGTTTTGGGACGGATTTGTAACATCAATGGGAGCATGTGGGTAGATTTTAGAGAACGCCTCACAAGGAGATCGACACGGTGTCTTACGGCGATCTGCGGCGTCCACGGTGTCTTGCAAATAATTGAGTTACCCAACCTGCGCGTACCGAATGCATGGTGATACGCGGCAACTAAGTATGCCATACTAGCCCCAACTTGAACTATCGCAGCTCCACTACAGCTCTCACGTCAACTGCTATCCCACTGGCGTTGATCTGCAACTTCTCCTCAACATCGAAGAGCTATAAGAGTAGTGACTATCACACGCAAAGCATTCCCCGTGATTAGACATCGACTACTACCCCTCAAGAATCAGCACATTCCTTACAACATGGCTATTGCAGAAGTCGCACAGCAGCCAGATATCGGCTATACACCAGACCATGACAAGTACCTCGCACCTGTGCAGAGGCGCCTCAAGGGCGACAACCTAGACAAAACACTGCCACCTAGCTTTTCGACCGAGCTCAAATCAGACCTCGTATGGGACAATACCGACATAGCTGATCGCTTTGACTGGACATACGAACCCACTGCAACCGATCTCGAAGAGATCGAGAAGGCATTGCAGCACTTCAAGAGCTTGGGAAAGTCCCTTGAATACGTCGATCAAGAAGCGTTCCCATTGCCAAACCTTCACAGCAAGCTGGGAATAATTTCCATGAGATCCACCACGCCTTTAGCTTTACGGTTATCCGCAGTCTCCCTGTGTCTACTCATAAGAGAGGAGATCATCATAACCTATGCCGGCATTGCATCCCACATCGCACCTATTCGCGGCCGTCAACACAACCAGTACGATGAAAAGCTTGCAGACGTCGTGCTCAACCACATCAAGGACTTAAGCAAAGTCTACGATGCGAACAAGATCGGCGCCCCAGCATATACGACAGATAAGCAAGTCTTCCACACCGACTCTGGACACGTGATCGCCTTGCCCTCCCTCGAAGAAGCAGCCGAAGGTGGAGAGAGCAAGTTGAGGAGCAGCTGGCGTGTCTACAAAGAGCTAGCACATACCCGACCTGATCTCATCAGAACGCTGGCAGAGCCGTGGCCTGCAGAAAAGTAAGTAACTCAACTCAACCTTTTGTGCACACACTGACCCAACCCCAGCTTCGGCGACAAAACCAAACCCTACGTCTCCCGCCCACTACTCCACCACCAACCTTCCACCTCCACATCCCGCGGGCGCCTGATCATCCAGTGCGCTCACCGCACATTCACCGGTTTCCAAGGTCTCCCCCACTCCCGAGACATCTCACCCATCACCGAAGCGCAAGCCGAAGCTCTCGACGCCCTGCACTTCCTAGTCGAGAAGTACACCGTTTCGCTCAGTTTCAAGAAAGGCGATGGCAGTTCGCGAATAACCTGAGTATCTTCCATGCGCGCGATGGGTTCACGAATACGGAGGAGATGCAGAGGTATTTGGTCAGGCTGTGGTTGAGGGATTCGGAGAATACGTGGGAGAAGGTTTATGGTGGGGTGAAGGAGGAGAGGCAGGATTTCCCGTTGGAGCCGTATATTAGGAATGCGAGTTTGGGGGCTGGTGGGGAGAGTAAGTGATGCCCGCGTTAGGGCTAGTTTTCATCATGAATTTTTTTTCTTTAATGTCGTGAACAACACTTTGATGCCATTCTTCACTGTCCAACTCTTTGCAATGTTCGATGAGGCTGAGACCGTCCGTTATGTTCAGCTCGCTCGCTTGTTGCTCGCTTGTTAGCCGTAGAGGTGGTCAGACGCGCAGCAAAACTGACAAAGACTTAGCGAAAGGTCTATCCTGTGCTGTGATAAGTGTTGGAGCAGTCAGGCGCACTGTCGATCAACGTTGAGAAGGTGTGTCAAAGTGTGATGACGTGCAGGAAGAGGGAGAGAAGGAAGGAGCTGGGCACGAGCCGCTGGCTTAGCGCTGACACGAGCGCCTGCGGGCCTCTCAGTCCGCCGATTTTGAGTATGCTCACCCACCCTCAACACCACGTTTCTCATCAAGTAAGGCTCACCGAACGCCATGCCTCTGACTCTGAGGCTGTGGTAAAAAGCGCAGTGTTGCACTGCGCGAAAATGTTGTTTTTGTCTGACTGGTGGGGAGACGCAGTTCTGACACCACACGCGACCGGGGATGCCTCAGCCGCTCAGCCTCAGTCTTCCCGGTTTAGCCCCATGCGCGCCTAGGAACGCCTCATCACGAGACTATATGATGGGCCGTCCCGTTGCGAACCATGTTTCGGGCTCTTTTGTTTCGTTTTGTCTATCATGGACAGGTCTGCATCTACCTCCACGGATTCCACACGACGAATTATGGCGAATGGCAACCCTGGAACCATCAACATGCCCGTCCAGCGCTCCAACAGAGAGATACCGCACTCGGCTACATATGGCGACACATACACCAATGGCACTTGCTATGACGGGGATGTGCCACGGCCCTGGGATCTGGACGCGTGAGTGAAAGTGCCCATAGGAGGGCGTATGTGGCACATGTGGATGCTGATTGATGCCAGTCGTAATATGCCTTACCTAACTCACGTCAAACTGCTCTCGAGATCTTGGCCAACACTGCGGCATCTAGCGGATTTCATGGAAGTAGGGACTTCGCCGCTGCAGTGGAGGTATCTGAGTTTGAGGGACAACCAAGAAGAGCGTAACTTACGCATAAAGAAAACCGAAGTCACTTTCATCGAATATCAACCAGAGACGGCGCCACAAGTAATGCGCATCGACTCAGCTGAAGGAAAAGCCGGACTCAAGGAAAAGTTGGACTCGTTGACGCAAGGAGCTGCCAAAACACCGCCGCTTCGTCTATTCATTGTCGAAGACCTGTCTCGTGAGGTCATCGAACTTCTCGGATCCAGATTTGACGTGGACCCTCTTTTCTTCCGGGAGCATATTGAGGACTACGTGTGGCATAACACTCGGGATCCGTGGGCAATGCCGCCAAGTTTGACGTCTAGTACCAGACAGCGTTCGTGGTTTCTTTTGCGGAACATGAGACTTCGATATCACGATACAGAAAACTCATTCGAGGATGCAAGATGGGAGGCCAACAAGTGGAACGTGTTGCGACGTCCGGACAACGACAACAATCATTGGGCCCACAAAGACCAGCCTGGTGCTGTAGTTTCAATCATGCGAACTCGAACAACAATTTGGATTGGAAAAGATAGAAGGTGCGGCAACGGTACTGTTGGTATCGTACTCCTTGATCCCACTCTTAAGCAGGGCAAGCCGCTTTGGCATGACCGAACGAACTGGCTTCCCACAACGAGCATGGAAATCTCACCCCCTCCGATCGAGCTATCAAAATCATGGTATGATGACATCGTTCAGATGACCACCGTGTACCCATGGTTCGAGGCTGCATCTGGTCACAAGATTGAACCGCAGGTTCTTGCCTACCCGACTCTCTTCACAATATGTGCCGAATGGCTGCTTGTTTGCGACTACGTCAAGACACGACTCAGCCAGATCGAGTGGGAAGTCGAGATTCCGGACGTCTTCCGTCATCACGACGATACACGCTCAAAGAGTGAAGTCATTGCTGACTCTTTGCAACGACTACACACGTGGCGACGCCATATCCCAGTATTCCGAGACATGGTCAACGAAGCAATCAAGCAGGCGCTGCCGGCCGCGACAAGATTGACCTCACATCTCAACATTGACGGAGGGGCAACCGATGCTTTTGAAGATATCAAGCCCGACTTCGAACGTGTCTTGAAAGCACTTGAAGAGCTACAAGATCGCGTTGACCGTTTGACTGAGGTCGTAACGTCGGAAATATCCCTCAATGACTCGAGGCAAAGCATAGAGGACAACCACAATTTGACCCGTCTAACGTGGCTGGCAACCATCTTTATCCCACTGAGCTTCGTCTCTGCTTTCTTCAGCATGAACGAGAGCGTTGCCGATCTCAAATACACTTACGGATGGTTCTTCCTAACTGCTATACCGTTCACAGCAATTTGTTTGGCAATTGCGCAATTAGCAGGAGGAGGTGCTCTCGGCCGTAAAGTGATGAAGAAGGAATTGAGGCAAAAAGGAAGCTCTTTCTATAGCAAGTTCAAGTTCAAGTAGAACAACGAATGGAAGCTGTGGTGAGCATATGCCTTCATCAATTCATTGTTGTACCTATCATGCTAGAAATACTACGGCTGCCAAGCGGTCGAAACGTTACTATACACGAAAGCGCAGACTGTTGAAACTCGAGTCAATGTACACCCTTTACTTGATCATCCAGGTCCAGAATGTCTTCGCTGCAGCAATACTCGGGAGATCTACTAGTCGATAGAAGATCTCCGAAACAACCGCGACAGAAGATGCGCAGACAGCAAAGCTCGCCAACGTTCTCACCGCACTGTTTACTCCAGCATCGTCCATGAACACCCATAGCTTGATGCCGATAGTGTAGACGATGATAGACTGAACAAGGAAAGCACCTACGATATAATCAGCTCTGATTGTTTGGATTGTGGTGTGGTCACTTACTGAAGCTCCTCCTTCCAAGTGCAACAAATGGCCTGCTCCGCAGTATCCTCTTTGGTGTCTCATATGTCTCGACCAGAAGTATCGCTCCCAGCATGAAGAAGTAGTTGTCGACTCGAGCCAATGGCTGATCCAGATCCAGCTCTTCATTGAGCGTGCCCTCTGTGTACAGTCCAGTATGCCCATGGTGCTCATTGTTGCGCATGCTCGGCTTCCAAGAGATGAACATGAACTGCAGTATGACACCCGTCAAGATGAACGCTGCATACAACGGCCATATCGGCACTCGAAACTTCCCAATCTTAAATCCAGTCCGGGACCTAACCTGAAGGTCCATGTTGAGCACAGCATCAGTGATCAAGAGGCCAGTCAAACTGTACCACGCCCAGCTCTGGACCCAGAATGCTGTCAGGATAAACACCAACAGCGCCTTGACACGCCACGAGGCTCGTGTGTACGGCACGATGATCATGGTCATGTAGACCGTGTAACTCTGCTGGAACAACACTGAGACGATCCACAGCGTGCCAGATGGGAAAACCTTGTTTGCAGCCTGGTAGCTGAACTGCTTGTGCACCCAGAAGATTTCAAATAGCGAGTTGAAGTACACCAAGAAGTTGCGCATACGCATTGGTGTCTCAGCAGAGATGTTGCCGGTGCGTATGAAGAAGTCGGTGATGTATGTGGTGTCAGCGGCAGTGAACGCTGCGACCGCGGCTGAGAAGGCAACGAATGTTGGAAGCCACAGTCGAACGCTGCGGCGGAAGACGCTAGATGCGCAGACTTCGCGGGTCGTGTTGCTGAGGTAGGGTAGAGCGATTGTGCGGGCGGAGAGAAAGATGACCCAGGAGTAGATCAGGGACTCATTGCAGAAGATGACTGAGAACGATTTGCGTAGAATGATCTGATAGAATGGTCCATCTTCGTTCTTGGAGTCAGGAACTGCGGTGGGGAGAAAAACCTGAAAGAAGACAAAGAGGAACGACTGCAGGACGATGATACCGCGCAGACCGATAAGGTAGTCTTGCAATGCAATCCGAGTCGAAGATAACGAGCTCGTCGTGGAGAAGACCGAAGTCAATGGAGTGGACAGAAGATGCGACTTCATGATGAGCAATTGGTGCTTGAACGACAGTCAATCGCAGTATCGACCAGAAGAACGACTTTCTTGAACACCACAGCGACGGGAAATTTGCGTACAACATCCAACCGGTCTGGAAGTCGCAAAAACACGTGTTACTCGTCGCAAAACTGGCCCCCAATTTTCCGTGGGGAGATCCGAGATCAACCTCTTGGTACTCGGAAGCTTGACAGGGCTTCGCAGAGATGCTGTCAGCATTGCACAACATTTCCACGCACGGTGTTCCAAAATGAGTCAACAGTTTCAGCTACTACCCGAAAATCGATTACAAGTTGGATATGCGACAAGGCGAATTGGGTACCTTGATTGCGTTCCGAGACGCGTTGTCCTGCTTGAGGTAGGCACCGGGTTACTTGGTGTTGCTAGCGCACGCTAGAAATTGACATGTGTCGGAGGAACTTTTTGGTCGAGCTATCATAGTTTGCGTTATCTTGTGGACAGGAAGATAGAAAAGTTGGGTTTTGCCGTGACGGGAGCTTGCGGTGTTGATGGACTTGGTGGTTACCATGGAATTTGCCTTTGATGAATCGCCTCGGGCTCAGAATCTTCCTCACAACCATACGGTTGATGACAGTTTCTGTGCCGAGGTTAGAAAATCTACAAGCCGATTTTTGAGTTGACGGTATCTGTTAGGCGCGGACATGTGTCTATAGTGAAACTGTACCACGCCGGCTGTCGAGGCTGGGATGCGTTCTATGGATCAGTAGATGTTGATAGAAATCCTAATTTCCCGATGCAGATCCTAGATATGTTTCAAAGGTGCATAAGCCACCGAAGACGTTGGCTTCTAGCGGACAAGCAAACGGCCGGCATTGGCTAAGGCGCCGGGGTGCTACCGCCAGCGAACACGAGGTTATCCCGAAGCCCTGTGGGTCTCGTACCCCCCCACGCGTTTCAAGATCAACGTCCATCCGTGTGGTGAGGCTCTATAAGGCTAGCCGAGATAGCTCTATCATATGCGTTGATTTGGCTAGGCAAAACTGATCGAAATAGATCGCGACCGAGAACAATGTCGATCCAGACCGATGCTGTCGAAGCAGATAGCTGACGTCAATGGTGAGAAGATTCGGAGAGGCCGTTACCGTCGTATCGGGGTTGCTGTCAAATCAAAGACAGTGAAGATAGCGACTCATGCGCGAGACTATAATTTTGGGCGCAGTGCCAATAGTCGCACCTTCGAATGGGTGTGGCACTAGTCTGAGCTTGCAGAACAGATTTGTGAAGAAAAGTTTGCGTAAATGCATGCATGTGATATTGATGATAACAGTATACCGACCTAACTCCACGCCAAACCCTATGTGTTCGCCCAGAGGCAGAAATAAAGTAAGATACATTAAGTGGCAAAGCTGCCAAAGCATGTGCACAGAAAAGACATTAATTTCTGGCTGTTGGGTTCCAGGAGCTGTACTTGACGATCTGTCGAGCATGTCCGTAGAGTCCGATGGTCGCAGACAATACCAGATAGAATGGGTACGTGATAGAGAACAGAATGATCATCTTCCTTGAGACAAACTCGGATTTGACCTGATTGGTGATCCAGAGCGTAGCTACCAGACACATCAGGCTGTGGGCTGCATTAGCATAGTTCATGAACTCGACCCCGAAGAGGATTGTACTCACCTGATGATGAACAGCCACTGTGACACGGGATACTGGAAATAGACCAGCTTCCATAGCTCCTCGCCTGAGGAGGGAAATTTAACAATCAGGAACGACAGGACCAGACACGTGTATTGCGTGACTAGGTAGTACGAAGCCTCACGAATGAGCAGAAGCGAAAGAACGCCGAACCTCGCTGTGAAGTCTCGCTTGGTGCCCTCATGTAGCGGATCCTGGACACCATTGTAAATCATCTTGGCGTGTCGCATAGAAGCTTGAGCCCAGCCCTGGGCCCATCGAAGACGCTGCTTCCAGAAGGCACCGAATGTTGTGGGTGCTAGCTCGTACGAAGTGACGTTAAGATCATGGACTGTCTTACAGCCACGGGAAAAAGCTCGCAGCGCAGAGTCGATGTCCTCGGTCAGCATAGAACCGTCCATCTTCATGTCGCGAAGAAGACTTGTGCGCCAGTAACCGTTACTTCCGCAAAACAAACCAAACCCCCACATCGTGGAACGTCCTGGGTGTGATACGGCGTAGATCTTGTCGAACTCGACAGCGATCATACTGGTGAGGAAAGTGTCGTTAGAATTGAAGACAATGCATCGCCCTTGAACAATGTCGACTTCGGTGTCAGCCATGAAGCGCTCGGCTGCCCAGCGAGGGCCGTTTGGATGCGGGTAGTGGTCGCAGTCGTAGACAGCAATAACGTCAGAGCCAGTGTCCAGGGTAAGGAAGTAGTTGAGGTTGTCTGCTTTCGAGGTAGAATTGGGTACCTTGATGACCCTAGCATGTGGATACTTCAGAGGCAGTTCGTGAAGTTCGGTTTCCAGAGGCTCGATTGAGACAGGTGTGTTATAGAGAATGTTAATTCGGATCTTGTCCTGAGGATAGTCCAGTTGTTCCAAGGCATAGATGGCACGGTCCACGATGATGTTCTTCTCGTTCGGTAGGTATGCCACAATGATGAGATCCAGAATCGGTAGCTTGCTGTGAGCTGTGGGAAACAGCCAATCCTTTTCTTCTGCCTGGGTGATAACCTCTCTTGCCTCACGGCAGGGAGTGATACTCATGAAGGCCTCAAGAACAGTCGCTCCAGCGATGTAGAAGTTTGTGCACATGTAAATGAACCAGAACACGGCAATCAAGCCCTCGCTGCAGTACATGTACATGCATGTTGAGAAGACGAAGTAAGATGCCACGAGGCAGAACGGGGTCCACTCTGATAAACACGAAGACACTCTCTCGATAATGTCTTCAAACGTTCGTCCCTTCGGAGCTTGCTGGCCAGTGGGTGTAACCGGCGCAACCTCGCCAATCTCGATAGTGAAGTCCTTGGTCTCCGACATGGTAGGTATGCAAAGAGCTGCTCAGCGAGGTACGAGAGTGTGGAGACAGAAACAAGTGAAACGTCAGTCAAAACGAGTGGTGACTATCGAAAGGTGTTGAGGTCCAGCAGTTGACTCAAGCGGTTCGATTGCAAAGTAGAAAGGCTGGTGCAGCACAATATGTGCTCGGTAAAGAACGTAACAACGAATGTAGAAACGATTGACTGGTGGTAGAAAGAGAGAAGAATACCAAAGCCGAACAACTAGATAGTCTCGGAACAGAATGAGCAACTGTAATTGCCGTCTGCTTTCTCAGTCGGTCTTCTCGTTGCGTTCCCCGGGCTGAGCCAAAGCTGAAAGTGGGTCTCGTCATGAGCCTTGCAATACACATCCTTGTCTATCTTGCAGACGCGAAAATGCAAGATCTTCTTCAGCACAATTCTGATCGTCGCGTTCGGTAGATCTTGGCAATACTGGACCATGTCGTCGGTAAGGTGTGTCCGTGGGGGAAGACCGGGTGTCATCTTCTGTCCCTGAAATCTACTGCAGTGTAGTATTAGCTAGGCTTGGTGTTCCTAGATCTGACGATAGATAACGCGTCCTGCATGCTCAGAAGGCTCTGCAGGTGGTACTGCGTCTACTACCCTGTTGTAGTGCGACACTGTGCATGGTGATTAATGACGCTCAGTCGGGAACAAATAATAACGCGGCCAGATGTCGAGGTGCAGGGTCAGAAAGGCTAGTCTCAACAGAAAGGAAGGCACATCCCCACTAGTACCTGGCGCTAGCGCTGATTCGCCCCACTTCTGAACAAATCATCGCTCTTCTTCTTCCTCTCTCGACGGCCAACGGATCCGCAGGCCACGCAGCACACCGTTCGTCTAGGTATCTCCCGTGGTCAGTGTAACAATGGGTGTAACTCGTCAGGGTGTCTGCAACACGTTCGACGGTCCTCCGATCCTGGCCTTCTAGCAAGGGTTGCATAGGCAAAGTCTTCAGTACCGACAGATTGTTGATCGTTCGAGAGCTCATACCAAGACTACGGCTCCTCTCGAGTCCGTCAAGCTGTCTCTGTTCCAAAATTATTCGTCGTTGTACAGCTCCACTGCCGCTGCCACCTGGTCGTCTTCCTCCATTCTTCTCACCAGGCAAGCTCCATGCATGGAACACTGAGTCTTTACTGAACCCGCATTGTCTCTTGTTTTGTACTCTCTTCACGTTCACACGCTCGTTTATCATCATGTTCTTCTTCACCTTCCTTGCTTGGTTCCTCTTGTATGCTCTACCTACAGCAAGTGAAGTTGTTGGCGGAGACGGAAACTGCACTTGTGGTTTCTACGATAGTAGCACTGGGTTACTCTTCACAGACTCCATTATCGTATACTTCAACGAAACAAACGGCTTACCTTCCGAGTTCGTCGCCGAGCAGTACAGCAACAAGTATGAAAAGGACTGGAACGCCATATACCGCCAGGGCGCTGATCCAGCAAACCTTCAACCCGGAAATGACTCTCTCCAGTTTCTCGTGCAGCCACCAACCAACGATCATATTGTACAAGGAGCTGGCCTTCGCACGGCACGACAAGACATCCAACACGGCTCCTTCCGCACGCTTATCAAGTCGCCAGGACGCACGTCCGCTGGTTCGGCCATGTCGATGATGTGGCAATACAACGAGACAGAAGTCACAGAGCTTAGCGTCATGAACATGAATGATGCTTCCGAGGCATGGATAGGCACCTTCATTGGCGGAGAATTCACTACCCGTGACCTCGGTGTCAACTATACACAGCTTCTCGAACAGCCTACAGCAGACCGTAACTACACGACCTTGGAAGGACGTCTCAGTAATGGTAACGTCAATCCCTGGGACTTCACTGAGTACCGCATCGACTGGACCCAAGATCACACCAACTTTTATGTTGGTGGCAATCTCACTCGACAGATCCTACACAAAGACAACAGTGGAATGCCGTCAGTGCCTGCGCCTTTGTACCTCAAACATTGGTCTACCGGCAATCGTTTCTCAATGAAGGGTCCACCCAGTCGAGTCTCAGTTGCTGAGGTCGGCTGGACTCGCATGTTCTTCAACTCTTCAACCATGGACGATATTGCCCGCGAAGACTTTGTCACCAGATGTTCAATCGCTAATGCGTGTTTGATGGATGACAACACCCTACGTGGCTCGACAGCTTTTGCCGATGAGGCCATGCAGAAATGGCGACAAGATCCACACAAAAGCATTAAGCGTATGCCGGCGCTCTGGATCTCGATAGGCTGTCTTGCACTATCGACTATTCTTCTTCTACATACTTTCATCCGTCGTATGACGCAGCCTAAGACATCAGGCCATGGAGCTGCGTCGGTCTCACCACTATCATCAGCCGCAGTCCAAGATGTAAAGACTACCTCGCCTAAGGCTATTGAGCCTCGCTCAGAGAAGTTGATGCAAAAATCACCAGCATCGAGCCGACCAACGTCGTCCAAGTATGAGTCAGATGACTTGACCATCGAGCCAATCGGACCGAGCACTGGCACTTCGATAGTCGGAGGTGCGACGCCTCACGGACCTTCACGAGCCAACTCTGTGCGCTTTGACAGCCGGGCCACAACGCCACACGTGTTGTCTCCATACAACAGCATCTTTGAACTCGGGAAGGATGGGTTACCTACTCTGAGTGAGAGCAACTTCTCTTCCCCATCCAGAGACGGGTTTTCGCCCGCCATGGTCAAAGGTCATAAGGGTTATCTCAATAACATTGGCTCTGAGCAGACGATTGCTGTGCCTCATAGTTCCCAACAGACAACCGACAAAATCCAAATGGAGATCGTCACTGAATCAGCAATGCCGGCTCCTCGTATGAGAGCACAACCGCCACCACCACGAGAACGTATTGACCATCTGGCTGGTCTCGTTGCATTGTGTGCCATCGTCGTTACTGTCATGCACTTTGGTCTCACCTTCGTTCCTGCCATCGTCATTCCAGGTGCCCCACAACATGCAGTATCCGAGTACTGGGCCCAGAGGATTGTTGCTCCGTTTATTCTGAATCAGATGTGGCTTGGTGTGTTCTTCACAACCTCCGTCCGTTTCTTGACTGCTTCCTACCTAAGGAAGGGCAAGCTCGAGGACGTAGCAAAGGCTGCTGTGCGCCGAACACCACGTCTCATGATCCCTGTTGCTACTATCGCTCTACTAGAGTACTTCCTCATCGATGTCGGCGCGACTAAGTTTCTCCGCTATATCCCGTCCCTGACTTGGTCAACATGGCCCTACGTCACACGCTATGAGAACTTTGGCCAGTACATCTCCGAGATCCTCGAGCTGATCTACCTCGTCCCGAATGCGGTGCCTCAGATCACCTTCAACTACTGCACGGGTGTCCTCTGGACCATTGCTGTTCAACTTCAGGGTTCTTGGCTTGTCTTGCTTGGCGCAATTGTCGTTCGAGAGATGAAGACTACGTGGAAGCGCATCGCTTTCTACATCTTCTGTATGCTCAACCACTGGTATGCACGATCATGGGGCACCTACTTGTGGCTTGGCCTGCTACTCACTGATCTCGACGTTACCTACAAGTATAAGAAATGGCTGTACGCACATCCGGGAACCTACTACCCGCTTCTGACGTTCGCCTGGTTGTGTGTCGCATTGGGCTTCGCGGTAAACCTGCTGCCAAATTGGATGGAGTTCAACTTCGCAACTGCAGAACACGACATCCACCCTGACGAGGCGACCGGTGAAGCGCTTTTGTACACCGATAATGCTGGTTACCCAGCTTACTACACCCCTCGACTGAACGGTCTTCTCTTCGCAGGTGGCATGCAGGCTATCGTCGAACTTTCGACCTGCGTTCAATGGCTGCTTTCCACACCACCTCTGCTTGTCCTCTTCCCTCATATCTTCACCATCTACCTTCTTCACGGTCTCGTCTTCTGGAGCTGGGGTAGCTGGCTCATGGTTTTCCTCGCCGAACGAGACTTCTCCTATGGCATTAACGTCGCCATTGTCGGTGTCACATCCTACGCCGTCCTCTTCTTCTCTCTCCCGATCGTCACACCAGTGGTTGAAGCACTTGGCAAAGACATTACTGCCTTGGTGTGGATGACTGCGCAAGAGAAGAGCCCACCGCGTCGCAGGACCCTGTTCCCATTCCCAGACGACCTCTTCCAAGGACGCGAGGTTAACGGTGATGTGAAAGACGACGTTGAGGCGAATTCGAGCAATCGAAGTTCGGGAGTCGTGCGTAATAGCGTTTCCATCTTCTCTGGTAAGGGCGACGAGAAGGAAGTAGTGTATGAGATTAGCCCTGTGATGAGTGAAGGAGGCTGGATGGAGGAGTCCGGCAAGGAAGCTGCACGCACCTAGTTGGGAGGTGCCGTTGATGATATGCATGTTGTACGAGCTTCGCAATTAGCATTTCGAGGGATATTGTCTGAGTGCCAGATGGAAGGTGTTGGACCTTGTGGACTTGTAGATGGTTGGGTTGCAAAACAAACTTCGCTTCCTTACATTAAAGTGCATGCTTAAATGTCCATACGTAGCTCTACTGTGGTCTCCGACAATGACGTATCGCTGAGTTTAGCAGATTCAGTGCTTTTTCTCCGCCCAAAACTCCAAGAATCTACTCACAGTCCTGATTTCCCACTCATGCGCCTCTCTAATATACGCCGGCTCAACAGCAACATCCATAATTCCATAGCTATCCCAATGATGTCCCGCCCCAGCAATAAGATAACTCGGATACTTATCACTGCTAATCCTCGGCTTTGGCGCCAGATCCGAGTGATAGCACAGATCAAGCCAGACATCCGTGCTCCCATCAATCAACGCGAGGTTCTCGGCTTTGGTGTTCCATCCACCGTACTTGTTGTAATAGTGCAGCTCAGGAGACTTTGGGATGCTGTTATGTTGGCCGGCAGGGAAGGCCCATGTACACCACTGTTGTGTATAGGGGACTTGAAGGACGCGGGAGATCAGGGAGGGGCCAGATTTGGGAGCGACTTGGTAGGCGCCAGACTCGGAGCAGGTCGAGTACAGGTAGGACCGGGAGGCGCTGTTTGTAGGGTCCGCGTAGAAGGTTTGGTTTTGGGTGCTGAAGCAGCCGTCGTCTGTGCTGTCTATGCGGCCGCTTTCGCAGGTTGGTAGGAGAACTTTCTTAATGTAGTCGGCGTAGCCGCCCAGGCCAGTCCAGGGATCGCCGTTGGAGTACTTGGAAAGTGCGGTGTCGACGCTGCTTATGTTCTTGGGCGGGTCGATGTTTGTGACGTTGGAGCAGAAGTTCCAGAAGTCATTCGAGCCATAGGTCTCGTTCCAGTTCAACTCCTGCCAGGTGTTTGTCGGATAGTTCATTGGACCACCGATCGGGAACGCGATGGTCATAGCGAAGTCACCCAGGCTTTGCAGCGCACCGAGACCGAAAATATCCTTGAGCTGCTGGATGCCTTGCTTGTTGCCGGATTGGATCAGAGCATCAATCTTGCCAACGATATTGACGATTCGGGAAACACAGTCTGCAGGACCGTACTTGATGATAGGGTCGTACCACTGAGGGTACTCAAGCAAAGCTTGGGTAGTAGCACTGCTACCAATACCACCAGCGAAGATGGAGTTGTACGTCTTCATCGTGAAAGCAGTGTGCGCACCGGCCAAAGAACCGCCGTACATGATCCAGGGGACATCAGATCCGCTGAGACTGCTGTTGACACCAGGAAAAGTAGCGTGCTGTCTGAAGTATGCGTTGTCGGCGATAGCTAATGCATGTCAGGATATAGAGGGACGGGAATTGAAGCTTTTCGTACTTTGTTCGGTGGTCAAAAACCTCAGCTCGTCCGTCGTGCTGGTGTTGAAAGGGTAGCTGTGTCCATAGTAACGGTTTTCAAGGATCACACCGAGACCGTTGAACTTCTCCATCAGAATTTGGATAACTGCAAAACTTAGTCCTGTGGAATTATCGCGCCACTGATGAGTGCGCACTCACTTCCGGTTTGCAGGTTCGAGAACCGACTTTCTCCGCTCGTCTCTCCGCCGATGTACAGAAATACCGGCCCTCCGGGCTTGTAGTAGGATGAATCAAAGAAGTATCTCTGCTTGAATGTGTCCTTTGTGTGCGGTTCATAGCGACTGGAGTTCTGAAAATGGTCGATCTGCGATTGATTAGCGAGTCTACTCTCAAAGAGTGAGACGGTACGCATACAGGTTGATCAATGGTGTGGGCAGCGTAAGCGGGCACAGAATCTGCTGCTCTCTTGTCTTGCCATAGAAATGGAGCCGGGGTCGCGGATGTAATGGCCGTCAAAGCGCAAAGTAAAGTTGGGACCTTCATCATGCACCCCAGGGTTTTGATCTGATGCAATAAAGGATCAAGTGGGCAGCACACTCTCTTTAAAACTTCACCCTGAGCTTGTGTTCCCGGGCTTCCAGGATGTAATCGCAAGTGTCGGTCACGTCATGCTCATCCGTACCGTTAAAGGTGGGGCAAAATGAAGCGAGCGTTGCCGCAATAGGCAGGTATGTTCAAAGCTTGAACGAGCTTGGTAGTGCTTATCATCGCTTGACACCCGCTTTCTACTTTCTACTCCGAGCCGTTCGCACCGTGTCCTCAAGTGCAGTGAAGATCGAAGACCTCATGTTGGCTTGTCGGCATGACATTCGAGCTGCATGACTGAACTGTACAGTGTTACAGGTCAGCCCTTCCTTCTGTGCTCCTGCATCTCGCAAATTTCATTTCGAGTCTTGAATATCTCTAGGCCAACCGCACGCCTCTGATATCAACCTCCACGTAGCTTCAGGTAGCCTCATGTTTTCCCCAAGCCTCCTTGCGAAGACACGTGTCTCTGTTTCCCACAAGCTCCGTTCTTCTTCATCCACGTCTTCCGCGGATAATGCACCGACAGCGTAGACAGTATCGTGGTAAACTTGTCCCACTGTGTGACGGTTTATGGAGTATAGAGGCCATGTGTGCCACGTGTGTTGGTGCAGTGCTCTTGCCCTTTCCAACAAGCACTTTCTACCTCTGTCTGAACGACAGATACGTCATGTAAACAGACCCTGGTGGCCCGGTGAGAGAGACAGAACACTGAACAAGAACAACAACAATATATACTGATTCTACTGCTTCGCGTAGTTTCCCCTGACCGACTGCCCTGCGCGGTTACACCTTCATTTATTGCAACTACTACAACACACTGACTTTCCATAATCCACCGTGAGATTGTGTGGCCAAATATGGTTTGCGCTTTCAATGGACCTCAGAAATCTGTACACTTAATCGCCAGGATTGGCACACTCATTACCGCTGTAACGATTGATACACGAAATGAGACGTCGGAGTGGATGACTGGAATTCCGGAGACCACTGTGCCTTGGACTGAGGAGAGCAAGAGAGGTGTTTGGGACTTGGCCCCAACTGTACCAGTATATAATGCGTATAATGGCCGAATGTTGGATCCACACATTACCACAGAGGAATCGAACTTCGGGAGCCGGCAAGATTTCTTGTACACTCCAGAGACGAGTAAAGTACCGATTGTGCAGCAAGACATCAAGCGGGTCTGGGTTATCGTGCTGTTGAATAGTCGCGCCGCCTGGACACCTTGTGGTTCCTGACCAAGCCAAGATATCACAAACTTGCAACTTTTGTAAATATGCTGCATCTGTTGCACTTGGTGGTTCCGCTCCTCGATGTTCTTCTGGTCAATGCAGATCTGGTCAATCCAGAGATACATGTGATTCGCTGTATTTTCCTGGAAAGCAGACAAGAAGTCGAAGAGGTTGCGTCGTATACTATAGTAGCCGTAATTTACTTGTATTGTTTCCAATAGATGCGCCTCACCCCGGGCATATGACACCGTGATGTACGGGGGTGTGTTTGCTACATCAAATGTAGTGACGATACAGTTGATCGTAAGGGGCGCATGTCCTTGAAGCAGTAGAAGAACTCGTATCTGATTTCTACTCAAATCAAGCTGCTGGTGCTTATGATTCGGCCACCGAGAAGACGTGCGTCCATGGCGCAGCACGTAGTTACTCGCAGAGATCTATGAGAAAGGAACACAAGTTAATGGGTGTTGACTCGTCACATCCTCGCCTAGAAATAAGAAAGACTGATGGTTGACGGGAACAAGGGGCGTGACATAGAAGATGATCGTCGAAGTTAACGAGGCTGCGTTCAATGTGGCCCAGTGCATACCCCGCTCAGCTGGCTGACACCACCCTCACTCTATCACCGAGCAATGACCCCGATGATGTCCTCGTTCGGGCTTTTAAGAACTTCCCTTTGGTCTTTGCTGTTTACTTTCCGAGTATCTGTCGATCATAGTCAGCGACTTGTTATCAACAAAATATGCCACATCCATGCACTCACCTTATTGATCGCGGCCTGACCCATCAACCCTGCATTCGTAGCCGCGCTGCCAAGAGTGCCATGCACACGCATGAAATTCACAGCCTCCACCTTGAGTCCCTTCTTCTCAATCAGGTTCTGCGCATTGAAGCCCCAACGGTCCTTAAGATCCTGAACTTCGCCCTGCTTCCCTGAGATAGCAGCCACATACGGCTGCTGCAGCTCCTGTAGGTCTTCTGGTGTAATATCAACCTGACCAGATCCACTGGCTACAATGAAGACATAACGGTGAGGACGAGAGTAGAGATAGTTTGGCAAGGGCGCTGGACCGAGGTATGACGAGATCTCCTTTCCTTGGGCGATATTCAGAGAGCCATCTGAGTCTGTCGAGACGTTGCTGACAAGCCAGTGGCGCACCTGACCGAAGTATGTGTCGTCATTCATCATGAGGTCCTACAATATATGTGAGATGAGAGGTTCTCTAATCTATGGTAGCACTTACTGGATCGGTCATAACGAGCACGAGGTTCTTCAATGGCTTGGAGGGCTGCAAGAGTAGATAAGTATAGCCATCATGCGCTCACACCATAGTAATACATACCGGAGGGCTCAGCGACAACTTTGGCTGAGGTTGTGTCTGATTGCGGTCGAGCTCCTCCGCAGGCCTATCCAACTTCGTCTCTGGCCACGACACTGTCAACGTGTAGGACAAGTCAGCATCGCTGGACAAGACGTCTGGAGTGACCTTGTGCTCCGAGAAGAGTGCACTGTTTTGAGTAGTCGACATGTTGATGATGATAGCTTGTTTGTGTTGATGGTATATGTGTATTGGAGTCGCGGGTTTGCCTAAGGCGATATATAGCTGAAGTGTGTCCAGCTTAAGAACAGGTGATGTTCATATAGACGCATCATCTGTTCCTCTTTGGAAAGAATGGCCTGTTGTCGTCGCCTCGAACGGCATCGATATGCGGCCGTTGGAAGGTGTGGAGCGCTCCATGACGTGCAAATGACATGCAGGACCAATGTTGTAACGGCCATCACCAGCTCTTTTAATATGCGTGCCCGTTCGTACTTATGTCATCGCTGGCAAAAACGGCATACAAGCTTTTACTTAGCAACACCTGGAACTTGCGCGCCCTGAGCTGTTGGTCGCGATGGTGCTGGTAGACGTGCAGGCTCGCTTGGGCAGCAGCCGGGCTTCGTCGTGTTCAACGCGTCAACAACGCCGCACTCACCCACGACGTTGACTCAACATTGATAGCTGAGGTCGGGACGCTTGCGTACAGTCTTTGTGTACCCAGTGGCTTTGAGCAATGGAAGAAAGACATTCTACCGCCAGACTAACAGAGTGTAGTTGAAGAAACGCGGCCGGCGCGCGTCGCGCTTTCTGCGCTGGTCGTGAGACTGCCGGCGTCAAAAATTCACCCCGCAATCCACATGTAATCAAAACTTTCCAATTTAGGCAACTCCCTTCTAGCTTTACCATCCAGCTGCACCATGCGAGGCAGTAATCAGTATCGACGAACAAACTGTCTCTTTTCGAGACTCTGCGTCTGCCAGGAATCGCATTCCCAATGATCAAGGGCTGCGATGTACGTGCGCAACAATGGCACCTTCCCCCTCCTCACGCCAAGCGTGAAAGTGGTGACATATCGATATGTTATCGACTCGAAGACACACATATCGTAATGAGAATGTTAGTTCGTTCCTCTCTCTTTTGTCTCAGTATCTGCTGTTCTTGTCTCTGTCCGAATTGTCTCACGGTATTTCTCGTACCATCATGACTTGCGGTGGTGGTTGTTGCTTAAAGAAGCCACCAGCGAGCACAAAAGTCTGCACACCCAACAAACGTTCACCAGACTGCTCGCAATGCGCAGTCTTCGAAGGGTCCAAGCTGCTGCTCTAGCGCGACCGGCGGGCAAGGCTGCTGTACAAGCGAAAAGAAAGTCAACACCACAATCGATACACTTGAACTACGGTCTGGCACCCACGAATTCGTCGATACCGAAAAGAGCGGTGTAGGCAAAGAGCATGCCGTTCTCAGCATATCCGGTATGACTTGTACAGGACGCGAGACGAAGCTCCAGCGTACCCTGACCATACTGCCTGACGTGAGCAAGCTTCGAACGAGTCTTATCCTCGCCCGGGCCGAGTTCGACATCGACAACAGCGCTGCGACTGTCGAGGATGTTATCAAGCATCTCGCGCGTACGACTGGGTTCAGATGCGGGCAAGTCTCGACGCAGGGGTCAAGCTTTGATCTCATCTGCACTGGGAAGTCCGCGGCGGTTGCCGATTGGCGAATGGCCGCACGGCGCGATTGATATACAGCCACTCAGCAACGTGTGCTCTATGACTTAAATGTAGTCGGGGCATGAGACCTTGTCGAGGGAGGGTGGGAAAGTACAATGCAATTAGCACCAATGCGACCAGATCCGACTTTGGACGCACTGGAAACAGGCACGTCTGGCATATGGGCCTTATGACCCTGCTACCGGCATGCCTTACGATCCTGGTCCTCGTTATGGGCATCGCAGACCCCTTCTACCCCAAAGCCTCAAGGCACTCGTGTTTTCTCGGGTCATCGGGATGGACTTGCTCATGGTGTTGAGCACAAGAGCGGCTTACGTGTTCTCGGTTGTCTCGTTTGGGTACATGATTGCTGGCAAACCTCTATCGACTGGCGAGTTCTTCGACGCTTTTTGTTACCCTCATCATGTTCGGGCGCTGGGTCGCGTCGCTGGCTCGGCAGAAGGTAAGTCATGTCACTCTCATCTTCCAGATGCTTTCATTGACTATAAACAGGCTGCTGGATCGGTCTCAATACTATCCTTGCAAACCCCACCGCTATACTTGTCTACCACAAGGGACAAGACAAAGACGTTGACACTAGGTTCCTCCAATACGGCAGATGTTTTCAAGGTCGCGCCAGACTCGCAGATACCCACGGATGGCACAGTGGTCACTGGCTCGTCTGAAGTCGACGAATCGATGCTCACCGGGCGAATCGAAGCCTGTCGAGAAGCACGTTGGCTCCCCTGTCATCGCAGGATCAATAAACGGTTCAGTCATGCTTACCGTTCGCCTCACGCGCCCACCGGGAGATAACACCATCATTACGATTGCGAGCATGGTCGATGAAGCGGAATTATCAAAGCTGAGGATACAAGACATTGCAGACAAGGTTGCTGGACATACAAGATGCGAAAGTCGTGATCGGAATGGGTGTTGAAGGTAGCTAGCAAGGGGCAGCCTTACGAGCCGGCAACTCAAGGTGGCTCGATTTGGATGCACACCCGCTGGTGAAGTCGTTGCTGTCGAAAGGTCTCACTATCACAGGCTTCACTGTAGGTGGCAATGTCACGGCGATCTACGGACTCCAAGATGCTCTTCGACCGGACGCCGCATCCACCATATCAGAGCTGCAACGGCGCGATATCGCCGTTCACATATTGTCTGGAGATGATGACAGAGCAGTACAGTCTGCAGCCAGTCAGCTCGCATTTACCGGCAGTAACGTGCGCTCCCGCTGTTCGCCTGCTGACAAACGAGCGTACATCGAAGCCCTTCAGGCTAGGCCCTCGTTGGCTCAGGCATCGAAAAAGCCACGCAAGCCCATTGTCATGTTCATCGGTGACAGGGTGGCCTCTAAATTTGGTTAGAGCTTTGTCTACAACCTATTTTCAGTGCTTCTAGGCGCAGGCGCTTTCGTAAATGCGCGCATTCCACCAGAGTTCGCAGGGCTGGGTGAGCTGGTTAGTGTGTTGCCTGTGATCGCCGCTGCAATTCTACTTAGATGGTCGAGGGTCTGATTGCGTGTTGTAGTCTCCAGAAGATTCTTTTGAGGTATAAAGTGTGGTCTGATAAGGCTCAGAGTCATCAAACGAGTATTTTTTAATGCGAAATATGGTTCACCAAGTATTACATCCGCCAAACAGTACTGAGAAGTGCTGTAATTCGCCTGATCTGCGCCTTTGGAGGAAACACTGGGTCGAGTTGATCTTGAGGCGATTGGTACAGCGCGATCTGGAGGCGCTTGATAGAGTGTGGTCTTGAGGCGCCTGGTGTACGTGGTCTTTTTGCACTTTGGATGAGTTGATGTTGCGGTATCGGTCGGTCTGCACAAGGTCTGACTGTACCCCTGACAGACTAGTGTGTGACAGGTCACTGGCCTGAGGTCAGGTATATAAGTTGTCATCTCCCAGCTAGATAGCAATTCAGCGCAGTATTCCATCGACCCGATAGTCCTACGTTATCGTTTACCGTAGCTATCAGTATTCTACAGTGGCCCACACCGCAACAGTTGATCTTCCCCCGCCCCCGAAGTCTTTAAAGTCGTTCACCCGCCCTCCGAAAAAGAATTATCACACATCACATCTTCATCTCCATCGTCACACATATAATTACTTAAGTGATCATCTCAAGCCATTCACACACTATACACACAATCACCACCACACATCAACATGTCCTCACCGATGCCGGACCACTGTCGACACGTTCATCGCCACCCTCCCAAAATACCACACAACCACCATTGGCTCCAAGGCCGAAGAGGAATGCATCGTTTGCATGCATCACCTTTGTGACACCGACAATTGCAAAAATCACGAGCATGAAGAGCCTGTTCGCCTCCATTGGGGGCATGCAATCGGCAGCAAGTGCGCAGGAACGTAATTACAGGGGTTCCAACAGTGCCCTATGTGCAGGGAGGTTTGCCATCCAAGAAGCGCGAAACAACACTTCCAAATGTTCACAAATTACGTTATCCCGAAATCCTCTGGGCTTGGGAATGCCTTGAGAGAACTGTACATGGTGGATTTACAATGCTGCCACATTTTGACACCCTGAGGTCTCCTTGGCACTGGTTTCACACTTTCAACTGCGTAAAATTAGACGTCCCGATTCCCGCGATATCCTGAAGGACTCCAGGCTCCAGCTTACCGTTCAGGACGGCACAGTGCCGTTTCACGAATCTGCCGCATTTCAACCCTCTAAAGGTTTCCACGCTCAGAGCCGTTGCTCGAGCCGCTGCATTGTAGCTGTAGCCAAGCCGGTAGTAGGTGGTAGAGGCGGCGGCACAGTTCCGTCGCGGTCCGTGACTCTGTGATGCGCATAAGCACCTTCGTATCTCGGGCGGCCAGGCTAGCCGAGTCTTCTTTCTCTCGGCCTCGACTTATACGCTGGGCCAAAGAGTGCCTCAAAAGACGATGTGCGATAGATGACGAGCTGAAGCCGCTTAAGCCCTGGGCTGGCTTTGATGCAGAGAAGGGGATAAGAGAAGAGGATGAAGTGAAGATGTACAGGCACGCCTGGAGCTTCGTAACGCCGAGGGCGTTTAGTCTCTGGTTTCCTACATGCCGTTGTGAAAAGTCAGGCCTTGCACTTGCCGGGGATCGAAACGGTTGTAAAACCCTGGAGCGTTACGTTGAGTAATGAACAGTCATTATTGTGTTGATATTCTCCAGAGTTAGTGATTGTGTTTAACGCGTAGCCTTCACGCACAACGCGTCAATGCAAAGTTGTCTAACCAATCCGAGATAGGTGTGGAAAAGATATACGTCATCAGGCGATGCGACGCGTTGCGTCCTTTCACTCTTCATCTCATTTACAATCGCACCTTTAGCACCCATCAATTCGTATAACATGACTATTATTTTCCCCCTTCACGCGATCTAAATGCTGATTCCAAACCCACGAAGACCTCCACGCTACTCTCATAACTTCGCCTTCCTCTTTCGCGACCCCCGCTTCTTCGCGGTCGGCTTCGGTTGCTCGACATGAAGGACCTAGGGGCAATTCAGTACCTTATTAAGTTGCCCGAAGGACCAAAAACATGCTCCGAGGTATACATAGCATGTTCGAAGGTATACATACCATATTTGGAATGAGCGGCTTGGTCTCGCCATGGAAGACCTGGATCTTGGAGATGTACATGTTCCCTCCAAGCTCTCGCTTATGCTGCGAAAGAAAATATCCGTAAGCGCGTCCGTTTGGGGAGCCTAAAGGGGATCGTCAGTTTGGATCGTTTCATTTCGCCCGAATATTCGTCACATACCCAGGAGAACTTTGCCCTCGTCGGAATCAGTGCTGAAAGTCGCACCAGGCCATGGGCCATACGTAGCATTGGTGCTCTTGAGAGCCCGGCGGATTGCCTTCTGTGTCTCCTCGTTGACGATGGCGATAGTGAACATGTATCTGACATTGTTCTTGCGAGCAGTCTGCTTTGCCCAGAACAGCCAGGCTACGTCCGAGAATCGTTGCAAAGCAGGTAGTCCTTCTTTGGGGACTGGCGGCTTACGTTCTGTAGCTGCTTTTACAGGCGCCAGAAGATCGAGTCCGAAGATGGCGCCAGTCGAGGTTTCGATGCCGAACTTGTAGTAACCTCCAGTGATGTGGTAGGTCGTCGCGCCAACATTGTACGTTTGGCCATTTACCGATACGTACCCAGGGTCGGTTGGTAGGAGCGAAAAATCTCCATGGGAAACGTAGATAACTTGGATGCCATTGTTGGGGTCATCGCTTGACTTGGTTGGTAGACCGAGGTCGTTGAGGGCAGCGCCGAGGCCGTAACCAGGACATCCACGATCATCTTTGAGGAGGAAACTCACCCTTGTGTCCTCGGGATCTGTCACATTTTGCCAGTTCCAGCCAGCAAGGTCACCTGTCATCGTTAAACATCACGGAAATCGACAGGGAGGTAGGTACTTGCTAAAGTCGTCCCACTGGCTCTCTGCAGAGGAAAGGAGCGGATTCCAGAACTTGCCAGCGGCTTCGTCGTTGGCATGCATTGCCTTCATGAGGTTGTCGCCCTTGCACCTGAGGTTCTCCCAAGAGTTGTCGTCGAGCAGAGTGGTTGGAAAGTCAACCGAGGAGTGTTCGTCACCTGTGCTGGTGGCAGATTGCGGCGTGCCGGCAGCAAGAGCTTGTGGATTGGGCAGGGAGTCCGAGTCATTGATAAGAGCTATGGATGGCCCAAGAGTAGCAAGGAGTACCATCCAGAAGAACTGCATAGTCGAATGGAAGAGTGGAGTTGTGGTTGAATTCGTAGGAGTAGTGTCGGCAAAGTATAAGTATATAAGGAGGCTGACCTGGAACAGCGTCTTGGAAAGCGAGAGGGAGTGCTCGCTTGGAGCAAACGGACAGTGAAGGCTCCATGGCGCGTCCTGGGGAGATGAATCGGAAGTGAAGGTGGGAAGTCCACGAAGCACGTCCGCAGTGTCATGGCTACCCTGTTGTGTCAGGAACATCAAAACTGACCCCGATGGTCCAAGACCTCGAGTCTAGTATCTGCTTTCGCCATCTCCATCTCAGGGGTTGTCGACAATAGGAGGTCATGGATTGCCAGCACTACGTGCTACCAGCCAATGAGGGGTGTTGTACAATGACTAAATATAGGAGATTCTGTGCTCACAGTAAGTGGACCTACCAGCATGATACTGAATGTGCAACTTACATCTTCCAGAAGACTGCTGAGCTCGCCTTTTGAACTGTTATTCTCCTGACCTTGTTTGCTTAATCCCGTAGACCCTTGTTGTCTTCACGCTTGTCGGTCTCACACGAGTGTGCCACATGACGACCCCTTTCACTTGGATCCTCAGTGTCAATGTCGGCATCTTGTACCCTCACTCCATTGCTGGGTGTCTTTGCTTTCGACTTGTCGTCCATAGAGCTTTCTTTCTGCACGTTCGACTTCTCCTTTTTGGCCTTGTCCTTCTTCTCTTTCTTCCTCTCTTTCTCACTCTCTTTCTCACTCTCTTTCTCACTCTCTTTCTCACTCTCTTTCTCACTCTCTTTCTCACTCTCTTTCTTCCTCTCTTCTTCCTCTCTTTCTCCACCTCTTTCCGCATCTCTTCTTCTCTTTTCTTCTCGCCCTGCTTCAGATGCAACTGTCCACCCGTTAACAACGCAACAACATCCCCACTACTCGCAGCATGACTTGGATCCGCGCATCGTGACCGGAACTCAGGTTTCGGCAAGCTGCCAGCCAGCGGATGATCGGGATACTCGTGTGTCCATCTGACTTGCGAATGTTTGTTGTAACGGTGTATAAAGCCTTCTGAACTCTAGGGTTAAGAAGGTCGGTCTTTTTGACCGCGACATTTGTCAACGTGGTCATCTAGCCACAAGCCGGCACCATCAAATCAGTCTTTCTTCGTAGTCATGTTTTCTGGTGTTTAGACAGCCATCTCCTCAGCAGAAGCCCACACCAGCGGCGCAGAGGTCATCGTAGCAACTTCCCCACCGGCAGGAACAATCGAACGCTGCACTTGTTCCTAGACATCGCGCCACGCGTCTTTCACAACCGTTTCGCCGGTCGCAGCGCTCTTAGCCGTGTTGAGTACATCGATCTGAGAACGAGATGTAGATGTACTATCGTTGACGCGAACACCCATGTCATGTCCGTTTTGTTTGTCGTTTGGACGCCACGTCACCACGAAAGCGAACAAACCCCTCGGCACAAAGAACCCTCGTTCACTTTATCCTCCAGGAAGCCGTTCGATTTTGGTGCGGTACCAATCAGTACGTACAAGGTCTGACTATGCCCGTAGCAGACTACCTAGTCTAGTGTGTTACAGGTGAGATATATGGTCGTCTTCTCCTGGCTAGATAGCAACTCAGCGCAGTCTTCCATCAACTCGATAGTCCTACGTTGTCGTTCGCCGTAGCTATCAGTGTACTATAGCGGCCTACGCCGCCACGATATAAAACGACTCTGCGCCTCCATAATCATATCCGTGACCACCTCAACTCCAAATCCAACTAGCAGACTCACCACCGGCTCCGGCGACACTTCGACCGCGAACCCGACCAGGTTGATCGCGTTGACGTACGGATCCGGTTCGAGGGACACGTTGAGGATGAAGATGAAGTCGAAGTCGAGGAATATGGTTTGCGAGATGTGGAAAGTGGATAAGATCGGTGCATAGACGGGCGTGAAGCCTCGGGCTCGGGTATTTGGGCGACGTTGCGGGATGAGAATTGGTGTTTTTAAGATCTGATTGTTGGGTTGGATTCGAGGTGGGTGGTGGATGGCGACGGAGGAAGGCGTACCGAATAATTCTCTGCTGTAGTGAAAAGGACCGAGTAGACTTACTGGTTTTCACCAAGCCGAACAAAGGAGTCGGGATCCGCTAGTATTCTTAGAGCCAACGGTCATCTGTCGGATCGACGCCTGGTCCCCAACCGGCGACAATGCCCACACAGACACCAGGACAATCCCCAAAACACTGACAGTATGTAGCTGAAACTGGGATACTACTGTGCTTGTGAGTGGAGTGCTTGCAACCAGTGTGTCTAATATTCCAATACACTCGCCGCGTTCTAGGCGCCAACGAAGGATGGTGGGCGTTTGCTCGTCCGAGGATTAAAGCAAACAAGAGGGGAAACACTGTTGGACCCTGAAGGCTGTCAGTCCGTGCAAGCAGCAAGAAACTCTTCGTCACTGACGTGTTTGGTTGCGTTCAGCAACATGGCAGTTGTTCGAGGGTTCTCAGCAGTCGACGCTTGGTCGTAGTGACTAACGATAGCTGCGAGAGCTAGAGACGCAACAGCGCATGCGAATAGTACACGGTCGAATATTCACGGACACGATGATCGGACTTCGTGTGCTCCGGTTTCGAGGTCAGTTGTTTCGAGGTCAGTTGATCAGAGAAGGCTACTCTTGGCAAGGCTGCACGTTGTGTTGCGGGTCTACCGCCATGCAGCCCGCTGCAGGCATACCATTACCGAGCTCTGGTGTCTTGGTCCTTGCTTGAAACAAGGCTGTGTCCTCCCCAACCACAAGCCGGTTCCTGTTGTGCGTGAAATGGTGGCCCAATAGAAACGTGCAGTGTATCGACCGACGAAAGAGGCTGGTGATAGGATCGTAAGATTGCTCAATATGGACGTCGCGCACAGTGTCACGGCCGCTGCGTGCTGCTGTGGTCAACGGATTAACTGATGCTCGTGCCTCAAACAAGCAGATCTCCTGTCTTCACCTCAGCCTTCTCTTGCCCAGCCAAATCGTCCAGCGTCGCGACCGCGTCCTCGAGCAGACTGTCCTTCTCCGCATCCCTGTCACTAGACACCCCTTCATCGTTGTACGGCCTCTCCATCCTCAACCCATCCATCCTATCACCAATCGTCCGTTCACCGTCGCCGAACGTCTCCCTGAACACGCCATCATAACTCGCCCACATGCCCGCAAATATCATTGCGGCCAACCTCGCAAACCACTTCGGCGCCCTGCCCTTATCATCCTGCAGTCTCCTACTCATCGTGAAGACCATAAGAATGAAGGGCGTCCATATCGCCATAAACAGCGCCTTGCCCACTAACTGCTTCCTTGTGGTGATAGTATACGGCCGGATATTGTGCAGGTACTCTTGGTACTCGGCAGGTAGCTCGCACTCCGCGGCGCCGTCGGTGATGAGCTTCAAGTACCGCGCTGAGGGTTGTGCATAGCTGGGGTCAGGCCGAGCAATGCGGTCTGCAGCGCGCGCTTCAGCTGGGCGAACGGCGGGCGCGAAGAGCGTGTGCGCTTTGAACGGGGCGGTTGTGGGGTGCGAGGGCACGGTGGGCGCGGCGGGGAGCACGTGGCAGTCGATGAGGATGTCGTGGTAGGAAGCGCCGCCGCCTTCGGTCGCGATGATGTGCGCGTAGTCGGAGAGGCTGACTTCATAGACGACGCCGACGAGGCCCTTTTGCCAGCGGTCTTTGTGGTAGTGCGGTTCGTCGGGGGAGGGAGCGGGCGCGGAGGGGGTTCGGCGCGCGCTGTTGGCGAAGCAGGGCTCGGCGTAGGGGATACCGGCCAGGTCGAAGGTGAGGCGGAGGGAGGGGACGAGGACGTTGACTTGGGAGAGGGGCTTGATGCCGCGCACGCCTCTAAAGGTCTCGTTGCATAGGTTGGAGCCGTATGCGAGATACAGCACCGTTTTTCCCTTCTCTCTCGCTGCCGAGACGTCCGACGGGGTTATCGCGCTCGCATCGAGCGGCGCATCGTGCAGGGAGGCATCGAGGCGGCCTTGTGAAGTCTTTGGGACGGGCGCAAAGACGCGCTTAGGACGGTTGTCGCGTCGTCCCAGTGAGCCCAGTCGGCCGATAACCTTCCGATAGCAGCTGACAGAGTTGTCTGGCTGGCCGACTGTCGACTCGCCCGCGTGGGATGCGTGTGGGGTCTGCGTAGTCGAGGCCATCGTGGAGACAGACTGCGTGCTGCTGACTGCCCTGTCATTGGTTCGTTCCTGCATCACCACAGAATGGTTGGCAGATCGCGCTTACTGTTCTGGGATGGCGATATACAGCTGTCTTGTGGTATAGAATTTCAGGTTTCAAGAGGTCTGCAGGCTGCTCTTGTATCTGACTGCAAAGCGCGTCGTTGCGAGTTTCGTCCGCTCGGATGATTGACTCCAGGATCGATCATCAGATCATCGGCCCCCGATACGCCGATCCTGCTGCCTAAGCTGCGCTGATAACCCCACCGAAATACCAGCGTGGTTCACTTCACTCGTGTAACAACGAACTCGACTCATGGCGGTGTTGTGCTTCAATCGAATGTCATGCTGGTGTGGGTATCTTCTCGGCCTTCCGTCGCCTCCCGCTTCGCCTTGCTTGCAAGCCTCCAACCTACGCGTGCTTCTTCATGCACTCCTCAAGCATAGCAAGCAACTCCTCCTTTCGCTGCTGCCCAATCCAGCTGCCGTTGATCGAGTTCTGCACAATGCTTTTCCACTCGTCCTTGTTCAAGTTGAAAGCCTTCTGTACGGCGCAGTAGTTCTTGAGAATGTAGCCGCCAAAGTACGCGGGGTCGTCGCTGTTGATGCTAAACTTGACGCCCTCGTCGAGGAACTGCCTGATGGGCACCTCGCCAACCTCCTTGACAGCCTGTAGGCAGACGTTGCTCAACGGGCAGACTGTCAACAGAATCTGCTCCTTCACAACGCGTGCCAACAGCTCCGGGTCCTGAACAAGCTTGATGCCGTGGTCAATGCGCTCGCAGTGCAAGGAGTCTAGCGCGCCGCTGATGTACGTTGGGTCGCCTTCCTCGCCCCCGTGCGCAGTCCTGTGCAGTCCCAGCTCCTTTCCTTGCGCATACTGCTCCTTGAACAGCTCTGGCGGGAACCCGACTTCGCTGGAATCAAGCCCCAATCCGGCAATGACACGGTCCTTGCCCTGCTGCTGCTTGAAGAAACCACCGTCAATAGCGCTCTGCATCGTCTTCGCAGCGCTGCTTGCGGGCAAGTGACGTAGGAAGCACATGATCAGCTGACTGGTAATTCCAAACTCTTTCTCTGCGCGCTCACATGCGGCATTGAACCCAGCTACCACAGTCTCGAACGCGATGCCACGGTCTGTGTGGCTCTGGGGGTCGAAGAAGACTTCCGCATGCTTGACACCGTCCGCGTGAGCTGTTGTGAAGTACTCCCAGCCTAGCATCTCAAAATCGTCCTTGGTGATGACTGCATCCAGGGCCAGGTAGTAGCAGTCGAGGAAGTCCTGGAGGTTATCAAAGTGCTCATAGCGTTTCTCGAGTGTCTCAACCGACTCGTACTCTGGCTTCTCTTCCTTGCTTGGCAGTTTGATGTTGTTCTTCGCTGCGAGCTTGAAGGTCAGAGACGGTGACAAACAGCCTTCCAGGTGAAGATGGTGCTCGCATTTCGGCAGCTCGGCCAGGAAGTTGTGAAGTGGTACTTGGCACATGTTGATGCTATGGTTGTTGTTTGAGTCCGCCGATTAGCTTTTCGAACATATGGGCAAGTCAAGCTCTTTATGTGTTGTCGGAGCAAGAAGTCTTTTCAGCCCACTTTTCCGTCGCTAGCGTAGTATTTCGGGTGCCGCCGATGTGCGCAAGCAGAAGGACCCATTGTGAGAAAACTCTGAGGAATTTGAGACACAGAATGGAGCTTGCATGCGCGTACTTTGTCAGGCAGCAAGCGGTGAGCCTTCAGATGAAGAATGTGGGGAGGAAGGGCTCACGCTAGTAGCAGGCAGCACTAAGCTACTTTAGGAGAGGGCAGTCATATCCGGGTACGGCGTCAGCAAGGCTTGCCTCTACCTCCTTACCGATCGTCAGGTCTGCGAAGACGCATGCAAGGTCAATCGAGCTGGAAAGGAAAAGTTGCTGTGCAATGTGGGGTGAGAGTGCTTATCGAGATCCGAACCACCTGGGGATAGCGCCCTCCTGTCCCAGCGGATGCCCTTGCAACTTCCCTTCTCTTTCATCATAATACACAGCCATCAACGAGATGACCCAAAATTCATGTTTCACTCCGTACATTCACTCCGATGACTGCAGCTAAGAGCGATCACGTACGCACCAGCGCATGCGCTATGCGCTCCTTGATCGTCACATCACGAGAAGGAGCCTCCCCGAAGCTGTGCGACAGTGGAATTCAAGACTGCCATCGCAATTGCCATGATCGTTCGGCATCTACAGCTAGGTGTTCTACGAAAGACAGCATGAAAGAGCTCCGGAAAGGAAGTACGGAACAATGTCGCTAGTCTAGTAGCGAAGTTCGCCGAACTGAGGCGCTTGTGTTGAGATGCCCGACGTCATGACCGTGGCGACAGCGTCGTACTGCCACTGAACTGGAACGAGCAGTGATTACGGACTCTACGATCATCAGGGAAACCGTGGTTGTACGATAGCATCCGAACCACTTACTCAACGAAACCTCCAATTCACTCAAGTCGAAGTGTTCGGTGTTCTGTGGCGCATCGAAGAGACTGCACCAAAGCCGTTGACCTTCCATACGAACAGTATGGCGGAGACAACATATGCTGTGTTGGCTGTGTTGCCAGTGTTAGTATACGTCCTCTACTACCAGTTACAGCAGTACCGCTTCAAGAGATATGCCCACATCCCCACACCATTGAAGCCTAATCTTTTCCTCGGTCATCTTGGGTACATGGCTGCTGGCCTCAAGAAGTCTGGTAATTCGAAAATGCATCCAGGTACGACTAAAACTGCAAGAGTCAGGGGCTACCTACTGAATTGACCAGATTATATCCTTGAAGATCTCTGGAATGAGAACGGACGGCCTGAGTTCATGCATTTCGACTTCAGACCGGTTCAACATCCCGTCCTGCTCGTCACCACCCACGAGCTCGCTGAGCAGTTCACTAAGACCACCAAGTCGCATCCATACAGTATTACGAAGTCGCCGACCATACAAGGCGAATATGGAGCACTAGTAGGAAAGCGGTCTATGTTGTCTGAGAACAACGGCGAAAGCTGGAAAGCGCTGCGCAAGCAGTTCAACCCAGGCTTCGCACCAAAGCATATTGTCACGACACTTCCTGTCATGACCGAAAAGACTAGGGTCTTCATGGAAAAGCTGGATGCCGTTGCGAAGTCCAGTGTTGTTACCGAGCTGGATGGGCTTTGCGTCAACTTGACCTTCGACATCATCGGCCAAGTCATCACAGATGTTGACAGTCATGCACAAGAGGAGATGCTTTCGCAGGGGAATGACTTTTTGCGTAACTTCCGCCTCCTCTCTGAAACTTACGTTTCCGGCAGTGGCCTCGGACTCGCAGCGATCAACCCATACATACAATTCAAACGGTACTATTACAGCCGCCGCATGGATGCCGCCCTGTTCAAGATCATCCGCGAGAAGTTCGACAATATCCAGCAGTCTCGCAGCACCGAGACCAAGACAACGAAAGACCGATCCGTCCTCGCCCTCGCACTTCAAGATGTCGAAGTCCTTACCTCAGACATCTGCCAACTGGTCGCCGACCAATGTAAAACGTTTCTCTTCGCCGGGCACGACACAACGTCGATCCTGCTCCAACGCCTCTTCTACGTTCTGTCAATTCATCCATCCTGCCTCGCCAAGATCCGAGCAGAACACGATTCCATCTTCGGCTCCGAAGATCCACAAGCAGTGTTACTCGCGAGACCCGACGAAACGCTGAAAGCACTAGTTTACACGAGCGCTTGCATCAAGGAGACGTTGCGTCTCTGGCCACCGGCAGGTACGGCGCGCATGAGCCACGACAAGTTCAAGGTCCGGACGAAAGACGGCGATGAAGTCGTAGTGGATGAGTGCGTGGTCTATCCCATGCAGCATATCATCCATCGTGACCCCAATGTCTACGGGCCAACTGCGAATGACTTTGTGCCCGAGCGATGGACAGGCAATAGCGACACAAGTACCGCCACCAATGCCGATGTAAACGGAACCGCCACGGCCACAGACAAGATTCCCGCCAGCGCGTGGAGACCGTTCGAGCGCGGGCCTAGGAACTGCATCGGTCAGGAGCTCGCTAACCTCGAAGCAAGAGTTATTCTGGCTTGCGTGATGCGGCGATACGACTTCGTCAAGGTCGGTGTTGGGGAGGTAGTGACAGATGAGAAAGGTCAGCCGGTTTTGGGCGAGAAGGGTAGGTATAAGACGAAGTCAGAGTTGATCAGCGTAAGTTCTGCACACTGAGGTGATGCGAGTACGGGAAGCTGACTGAGCGCAGACTATGAGCGTGACCAGCAAGCCGATCGATAAGACGAGAATGATCGTCAAGTTGAGGCAGGCCTGATGGAGGTGTCTTCCATCTTGCACGAAGTCGCGTCAGTGGATTTTACCTTCCGCAAGAGAGGCAGGCGCTCTCCGGTCAGACACGAGAGACGCAGAGGTCCTTTCTTCCTTCTCTCACTGTTTACCCTAGCGTCGCACTTAGCTTCTCCCTCGCTGCCTGACTTTCCATGGCCAGGCCCTTTCTAAACAACTACTTCCCACCTTCACCAAACATTGCTTCACATTTTTTACCGACTATCGCTATTCCGCCATGCCTATCTTTCCAGAAACATGCCGCTACATTCGCTGTAAGAACCTTCTCGCTCCTCCGTGGCTCGAGCGGACAGTCGGCACTTCCTACGCAATGATATTCTGTTCGCGGTTGTGCGCCGACGAATGTTATCTCATCGCTACGAACACTTGTCGTGCCCTCGACTGCCACCATATCGTCGCTGAATCAACCCCTGCAGCGTTGTACTATCGGCCAAAGTTCGACACAGTGAACTACTGCACGAACGGATGTGCGCGACGGCACTACCGCGAGGATCCATCCAAGGCTTCACGCCCTATCTCGTTCTGCATGGTGTGCCACGAACTTGAGGACTTGAGATCCTACGTCCATACGGTCCATCCGATAACCCACGACGCCCGAGGCTATCCACGCACTAATGTGGCCATACCTCCGTATTGCAGGAAACACATCATGCCAGAAGAGAACAACTTCAAAAAAGGAGTCTGCATCGAGTGCATCTCCTCATGCCTAGAAGTACAATTTGCCGACCGGGGGGCGCACGGAATCACTTGCCCCTTACGCAATTCAATCCACCCAGGAGAGGGTTCTGAAGATTCGGACTGGCGCCCATACGCCAAAAAGTTCTTGGCGGAGGAGATATATGCGGACTTTCAGCAGAAAGCCTTCGACCTCTGGCTCTCACGTTATCCGAAGTGGATCTGTCCCAACGCCTGCTCCACGCCTCCTTTCATCATCGATCCCTTGGCGACTCCGGATTACCCACACGTTCACTGCCCTGGCTGTGAGAAGCGATTTTGCGCTGCGTGCCGAGTGCCGTGGCATAAGGGTATGACATGTTCGGAGTATCGAGCTAAACATTCTGCGGCGCAGCGAAAATACCAAGAAGAAGCAGAAGTCCTCGCAACTATGGCTGTGCTTGACGCAAGACGCTGCCCGTACTGTCTGTCGGTTTCCACCAAGGGAGAGGGCTGCTCCTACGTGCAATGTCAGTGCGGAGCAATCTTCAACTGGGGCGATGCGGAGAGGGTTACGTCGATCAATAACGAAGAAGAGCAGAGGGGGCCGACTCGAGCGGAGTCTGAGCAACTACAAGCAGACCCGACAAAATCGACTTCATTAGAACTTCGATTGGACACTCTGCTCAATGCTACGGCTCTTCATAAGTTACTCCCTGGTATTATGTTCGACAGAGAGACGCCGATGCTCCTGAAGGAAAATCGAAATGCCACCGCAAGTACCCATGCCACCTTCACGAATTCTAGCGACTGGAGTGACGACGATAAGGGCGAAGGTTCTGAGACCACCGACACGATAGACCCTGCCTCCGTAGATCGCAAAGCAGAAGCCGACAGTCGAGGAGACAAGGAGGAAAAATCCGACGATCCCACGCCTTCGGAGATGTGTGAGATGGATCGCATAATTGCTGAGCGCTCCTCTCGAAGAAGAGATCGTATACCGAAATCGATACGCACACGATAGTCTCGCTATCGTAAACTCTTTCGAGCGGTCCGGGATCGTGGTGGGAAGCGGTTAGCGGCACAGTGAGTGTGGAGGCTCGCATTGGAAATAGGTTTGCACATGGCTGTAAAAATATATCACAATAGCAAGTATGAGCATGGGAAATAGAATTCACTTACTCAATCGAGATCAGTAGCCCGGATGCTCTCTAGATGAAGTCTAGCCGTCATGTCTTCTGCAATCATTCATCTCTTTCAATGGTTCGTGACACGATGCCCATGTCTTACCACCCCAACCGCCGTCGGTACCTCCAAACCCCCCCAAAAACCCGTCAGCGCCTGAACACCCCATCTACTCCGGATCGGGATCCCGATCTTCATCGAACTCCCCACCACCCTCCCACAGGTGCGCCGGTGGCATCCCCACCCCCCAGACTAAACACAAATGTCTGTCTCCTCCGTCTCCTTGCGGCCCTCCTCCAAATAGCATCTGACCAACAAGACGATCAATATCATCAATTGGAGGGAAATCAAAGGCTGGCTCCCAAACGTTTGCTGGCAGGCCTTCTCGCGCCGCACCTTCGTCATCAACGCCTCCTCCATCGGCGGACGGACCTTGATGAGTCGCAAGGTCATCGATCATACGGTCGATAGCCTGGACAGCGGAAATTTCGGGGGAAGGGTCGTTGACGTGATGGCGTCGACTTCACAGATTTCGGGCGACCAGAAGTAAATATCCCGGTCGTAGAAGAAGATGCGCTCGTCTTGTTGGACATTCTTGCTGGGACCGTTGGTGTTGCCGGTGTCGATAGACGCATCAGCGATCTTATTGCGTTCGGTGTACTCCTCCTGCGCCTGCTTCAGCTGACCCCGGCCTCGAAACGTCGAAGCCGAAGCACCAGTAGTCGGACCCGGTACGAACGTCGGTTCAAACGTTTCGACCCGAGCGACCATCTTCTGCGCCTGAGGCCGATCGAAGTCAAAGTGACACTGCTCGCAGAACACATGATCGCACCCGCCATTCTTGATGATAATGAACTGGCACCGCGGACATCGCCTAGCTCCAAGTCATTCCATCTCACGCAATTGCTTGTCTTCGTTTTTGTCGCGCACTTCAGGGTGGGCGGTACGGTATTGCTGACATGTCTGATGCGTGTGCCAGGGCACTTTGCAGTTGGCGCAAAAGCCGTTGCTGCAGCCTGGACACCCAACATGCGGGAACACGGTGTGTTGTTGGATTATAGGATGCCGTTACTGTAGCCGCAGTTTGATGGACAGGTCCAGAGTGATGCGCCAGTGGTGCGGATGTAGTGGTCGGAAAGCTGCTGGTTGAATGTGTCACATTTGTCCGGAGGAAGAAAGTGAGGTGCGTAAGGTACCCAGTATTTCGACAGATGGGTGCTGGGTGCTCGCGTTAGGGTGAGGCAATGCTCGATGCAAGAGACGTTGATAGCTCCTCGGGTCTGGAACTGAGTCAGGATGTGTGACCGGAGACAATCTGTGCATACACCTCGCTAAAAGTTCCGAAGCTCTGGAGCGATATGTAGAAGGCAGCCAGGAGGGATGGGAATGTTCCATTGTACAGTGTCAGCTCCAGGCTCCTTGATCGTATAGATGTAGTCGTTCAGAGGCTTGTCGTCTGCGCAAACATCGCAGGTGATGAGAGGTCCAGGAGGTACGCGTTCTCCACCACAAGAATGTAGCTCAACGCACCGCTGGGAGCAGTACGTCCTTGTATCGAAGTAATGTGAAGAGCGTGCAGGAAGTGGCAAGGCAGCGCTAACCAAGCGCCCGCAGTAGCGGACAGGACAAACCACCAATTTGATGGTTGGTTGCATTGCGCAGCTTGTGGAACGAGAGTTTGCGTCGGAGTATGGAGGAACCTCTGACGACGATCGCGGGAGGTGGTGCAACGTAGCACTTACTTGATACGCTTGCTGTCCGTTGCAGCACATGGTAACAGAAATAGCAAGTTGCCGTTGCTTGCGGTTGAGTTGAACCAGTAGCGACGGGTAGGGTGTTTGAGCTGTGTTGCAGGGAAAGGCAGCATTGTGAGAACAGAAAGTTATTATTGAAGTACGACCAGAACTGCGCTAGTGCAAGGAAGAGGTGAAGGAAGATTCTCAGGCAGCATTTTCCGCCTCTCCAATACCAGCAGCTCTTCAAGTCATGCCGGAGTGTAAGTCGCGCGAGCTCATTATGTAGCGGTGTCAGCGATGGGGAGCACAGTGTACTGCATCTGAATGCTTCGGCGAGCCACACGCCAGACTGCAAGACCAGGCACAGATGTAGCAATGCTAGCCTTTAAGAATCCTGTCAGCGTTCTTTCCAGCACGCACTTGGTTAGGGTCCCCTTTACGCTCTGTTCGCTGGAACGAATAAGCATGAGCACTTTCAATGTAGACCATGGTTTCCTGCCTTCTAGAGACATCCTGCAGCTGAGCCAAGTGGCTCATTGCAGGTTTTTAAGATGTGATAGTCGAGGGCAGCGCTACGCTTGGATCCATATATCAGGGAATGCATACACAGACGATGATTGTATCATTCCAAAGATGTTGCGGGCTCTACCGTCTTCGTTATTTGTAGGGGCACCCTGCCAATGATGAGAAGCAAACAGTGTGCAATTGATGATTTAGCCTCTCCATCAAGCTCTGGAGGTCAGACAACGTGTTGCCAGCACCGTAAGACTTCTTCGCTTACTGTGCGAGAGCCAGGCCTTGTCTTTTGGAAAGCAGTTTATGTGTTGATAGTCAATCCACTGTGCCGCCAGTGAAGGAGCATTTCCAGTGGGCTCAGCAGCTTTTCTCCTGGGCGAAGACTGACCCCTAGAACGCTCGGTGGTTTTACCAAGAGCCCTACGCGTCATTGTGATTAATCTGGTCGTGTTACAGCCTTGAGGCCGAGTTCGATGAACTTGAATATAGCTTCACTGTCCCAAACGATGGGTTGAGCAACACTATTGAGGTTCTAAATGTTTGGTTCCAGCCATGATTGCGCCACAGGCCAGCAATATGCAGGTCCATTTTCACATGTCGCGAAATACGACCACGACTGTGGCTAATACGATTCGGCTCGTTGCGTAGCGTCTTGGACAAACCAGAACTTGGACCGTAATGGTGACCGCGGGAGGCGTCATGCAGCAACATTGAGTCTGTTCGATATGAGGTCCACACGTCTGACTGTCCACAGTGATTTCAATATAGGATTGTAGGTCTTGTCTCAAGGCAAGTTCAGGCATAGGTTACTGCCACACTTCGCCACTGCCTTGAAATCGGGCCCGGGTGCAGCGTTCCTGACGATCAACATGGATCTGGTACCTGTATGTCAGGGTGCAAGAACGATCGAATCCTAGGGAGCTATGCCGAGCGAACAGGGCAACAGCATATGGCGGTGCAGTAACCTCGGATGGGCGTGTGCAACTGTGGCTTCTTGAACATAGTTCGATGGCGAGGAGTGGCTGTTGGTAACACGATGTTCATTCATCTCAGGGTAGTCGGAGGCAAGTCAACTCGGGTGTGCCGATCACTACCCCAAAGCAGTATTACAGGAGGACCAGGGTGGGACAGTGGCTATATCTCGGGATGGTACCTCGCGACGAGTTGCCGGATACTAGTCAGCAACTTGTTATGCGCTGGACTTTGAGGCGGCCAACCTCTGCAGGCTTCTGCAACTTGAGCTGCTATAGTAATAAATTCGCAACGCACAAATTAGATCGACAGTGAACTCGAGATGGTGCTCGTCAAGCAGAGTTAGTCTGCTGCTCTTGGTGAGGTGCCGAACCCACCGGGAAACGGATAGACGGATGGGAGAGATGGCGGGCATGGCGTAGCTGCGCCACCATGTGAACAGGAACCCTGGTCAGTTGCCTGTCATGATTTTCTCGCGCAGGATTGGCACCATCAAAGAATGGCCGCTTTCGTCGTCGCAGATTCTTCTGCAGTGGCGATGCTGAGACCTGAAACTGGGAGATGTTGTGAATACTGGGCAATCGTGCTCTTGGCTAAGGCGGTCATAGCTGGGAGCACGCTGCTGTGGCGCTCCAGTGCAGCATCGTTTGGCCGCGGCTTGTCTGACTGAAGAGGCATGTCGAGCAGTCATTGGCTGAGACGATATGCGGTGGGGCACCCGGCACAGCCTCCTTCAACTCACGCGCGGCAGACGCAAGTTTCCCACTCTGCCAGCACGACTCAATTTCGGCGAGAGGAGTCTCCTCTGCTCTTCATCTGTCAATCTGCTGTCGATCCATTCGCCCCCATCATCTCTCACAGCGATCTCCCGGGAGCGCTCATTTGAATGTGGAAAAGAACAGGCAAGCTGCAGCTACCGCACCTTCCGCACCTCGTGGGTCCGTGAGCGCATCGCACCTGCCCTAGGTTCAGCCACAACTCGTCACTTCCCACCAACCTCTGAACCGTTCCACGCTGCGCAGCACCACCACACTTGTGCTTGCGCGCGTCGTCGGGCTCTGCGAAACGCTGTCTGCTGCTTGTACCACGCCGCGAATCTACCTCCACCAATTCAGCGCTCAGCATTGCACGTGTGTGTCGCCGCCAGCTTGCATCTGCCACCTGCGCCCGGGGTAGCGTTGTCTGCTCAGCTTGCAGCCTCACCAGCTTGCTGTCTTCGACTGCTGAGGCGCCGCATTCCACCACCTCGGCCGACCCACTTGTTGCCACGCTCCCGTCGCAACGCGCGTGTCCAGGAACCAACATCAGCCGCAAACTCCCATCAGCCGCAGTCCATCTCGCCTTCCACGTTTCGCGCGTCGGTGGGTATCCATACGGGGCACTAGAGGCATATCACCTTGGCCACAATCGCATTCACGATTCGTACCAGCGCGCACCTCCAGCAGCTCCTCCACCTCAGCCCAATTGCAGAGCCGGTCGCTTGGAGTGTCTGGTCCACTCAGACTACTGGTACACAGCGAGCCTGTAGGTGAACGTGCATCGACTGCATCGAATAGATCGCGGAGTATAGAACGCGCGGAAACGGCCGCCTTACAAAACAAAAGGTCTGTCACAGCCACACCATCGCATCGCTCTCGCCTGTCGTAGTAGCGATGCGTTCGCGAGACCTAGAGCTCGCCTGCCCGTCTCAGCCCACCTACTCTCCTTCAATCAGCGCTGACTCGGCCTCAAGATCCTCTTTGCGTAGTCGTTTGACTAAACAATCGTAAACTATGGCTGCCACGACTCGAGCGATCACGCCTACACTGAACGGCCCATTCTCTGCGCCCAACAGGCCCAGCACCCCAGGCTCTGCTTCGCACAACAGCAACGGTGGCGCAACCTTCGGAACGCATCTTGTCAAGTCCCCACGTGGGCTGTCCCCAAGGCTGTCACCAGCACCCCTCACAGGCGCAGGAGCACTGGCCGACGAACGCCGTTACAGAGAGCACAACTCGCGCCAGACAAGCCCAAATCCGGCTGTGACTATCCTCCAGAGCCTCCAGGGCAATGGTCAAAGTCACCCTTCGGACGCGCCGCAGTCACAACCTCAGATGGCGCCTCAAGATGAGGATTCAAAGCCGCCTATCATTATTCCGGAACTCACTGGAGTTACGGGCGACAACATGCAGACGAGCCCGGTCAGCCTCTCCAGCTTCGGTGATGGGGAGGGGACAGCTGCGCCGGCCGCATCTGCTGTTGAAGCATCCGCAGGCCTCATGGGACATGCGGGACAATACGAGGGTGCGCACCAGCGACCCCAGCACCAGCCGCACCATCATCAGCACCAGCTGATTGCGCCTAATCCTGATAATCCAGGAAATCGCGCCTTCACGTTTCCAGGACCGATGCCGCCGGACGACCCACGTGCTCCTGCGCGCCAGATGAGTCTTCCAGGGTACGGCCAGAACAACCCCAAGTCGCCATCCACGAAACGCCACAAGTGCCCATACTGCTCTACGGACTTCACAAGACACCACAACCTCAAGAGTCACTTGTTGACGCACAGTCAAGAGAAGCCGTACGAGTGCCCCACATGCCAAGCACGCTTTCGGCGACTGCACGATTTGAAACGGCACACGAAACTACACACTGGTGAACGTCCACACACCTGCTTCAAGTGTGGCCGCAGGTTTGCACGTGGCGATGCACTCGCGCGACACAACAAGGGTCAGGGTGGCTGTGCAGGCCATCGGTCAAGCTTCGGCATCGATGAGGATATGGGCGATGGCAAGGGCGAGGACGGTATGGACGGTGTTGTCTACACTAACGAACCTGATGGAGAGGGCGACGAAGACGATGACGGTCGACGCATCAGTGAGCCGGCGCGTAAGAGGCAGAACACCGGAAACTCTACGCAAGATTCGTATCATCAGCACGGAAGCACCTACCCCCCAATCAACCCCTCCAACCGGGGGTCGAGCAGTCAAAACAACCTTCGCCCATACTACCCGGCGCAATCATCTCAGCCCACTAACATCTCGCCAAAATTAGCTCCCTCGAGTATCTCATCCCTTCACAATGCCAACCAGCCTAGCGCATTTGCTCAAGGAGGTATGACGGAAAGCCCAAAGCCCATCTCGCCGAGCCAGCAAGACCACTACCGCTTGGGTGCACATGAGGGCAGCCACCCACGGTCGCCGAACATGTCGCAACAGATGCATCTGCAGAATTATGCTCGTGGTGCTGGTGCGGCTCGAGGCACGCCCCCTACTCTACAGCCTCCCAATACCAGCAGTGGGCCTCACCTTCCATCGTTGGCTGGTTTTGCTGGTATGGCTAAGCCGGGCTCGCAAAGCAGCAAGGGACCTAGTATGCTCCAGCACCAGCAAATGCCAGCACCTGGAACCATGTCGCAGCCTGGCAGTATGTCTAGCCACGGTGGCAGCGGTAGCAGCATACGCGAGGTCATAGGCAACAACATGGATGTCTGGTCATATGTTCGTGAGATCGAGGCTCGCATGGCGCGAATGGAGAAAGAGCACAACGAGAAGATTGCGACTCTCCAGACTGAGATCACCACCCTGCGTGCCCAGCTTGCTCAGCAGCATGTCAACAACACCCAGGCCCAGCAACGAGGCCACTAAGTATTGGCTGAGAACAAGGCGCATCAAAGCCACGATGATAGATCGTCTGACAGAAGAAGGTTGTCGTCGAACAGTACATAAGAACCTGTCCTCGCCGATAGGAATGCGTCTCTCGTCCCACGGGCGAAGACATTACGACCACGGAGTCTGGAGTGCTGGTGGGGATCAAGCTGAAAAGTGACTTCCCTATGTTGTTCTTTTTCGATTTATGGGGCAAGATTGGCTGGCAATACTGTACATTATCTCTTTTCTGCTACTTGTTTATGCGGTGTTGATGTCGTGGGAAATTGGCAAATGCTTTGGCTGAGTGTGCAGCATCTCGTTTTCGCATGATACCTCTACAGGATGGAGTGGCTGCAGGATATGGTGGATGCATGAGACTACAGATACCCAATTCATGCACTTGTCCTGTCAAATTCGGAAGAAACGATCAATGTGGTGCAATTGATGTGCTTGACAGCGGAAGTGGCTGGCAAGACTTGTTTGGTTACGGAAAGACCAGCCTCGTCGAAGCACTTACGGTGAAGCCTTTACACGCACTGCCAGCGGAGAAAGCAGGGGCCTCAGCATCTCCAGAAGCCCAAGACAGTTTGAAAGACATGGACGTGTGTTTGCACAATTGAATGCAAGATGCAAGATGCAAGATGCAAGATGCAAGATGCAAGATGCAAACACTGAGCGTTGATTTTGAATGGTATACACATCTACAAACGGCCAACAGGTTGGTTGATTGGGGATGCTTGCCATGGGTGGTGATCGTTGATGCGCGGGGCCGCACATGTTGGAGACGGCCCAAGTGCGCCTGCAGACAGCCTAGTAGGACTTCCACGTCACAGACCACCACATATCTCTCCACCGCCTAGAACCAGCTTTCACTCAGAACCTTCACCAAGCACGGCGCCATTCCCAGACAATCCTGCTCGAGGCCCAAATGGATGGGGAGCTCAGTCGCTGATAGGCGCCAACGAGCCCGCTTCAGCCAACATCCAATCGAACATCACTCTCTAGCCGCGCAGGCGGGAGGGCGACGCCGCAGCTGGCATCCTGCAGACTCGCCGAGCTACCCGCAGCTACTCCACCTCAACTGCTAGAAGATGCTGAGCTCCTCCGACTCGCACCGCCGCCGCAAGAAGGAGAAAGACGCCGACCGCGAGCGCAGCGACCGTGACCGCAGCGACCGTGACCGCACCAGCCCACGAAGCAAGGACGACAGGGAACGGGACCGCGAGCAGCGCCATAAGAGCACCAAACCCCGCAAGACTCGCTCGTCCGCATCCAAGGAGGACGACGCTGAGCACGACCGCCTCCGCGAGCGTTCCTCGACGGAGCGCATCAGCCGCACCTCGTCCTCATCCCAGACGTCCAAGTCACACAAGATGGCCGTCGTACCGGAGATGACCCGGCGCAGCTCGCTGGGCTCTGCCAACAACTCCAGAATCAGCTTGCCGTATCCCTCTGTCGACAAGACATACAGCAAAGAGAGCATCTATGCCAGAGACGACGTGGACAGGAAGAAGGCCACCATGACCCCGGACCCCACCGACGTCGACGGTTCGCAGGATGAGAAGAAGAAGAAGAAGAAGAAGGAAGGGTCCCCAACTGTGCCACCGACTCCCACACGAGCACCTCCTCCTCCTCCACCGCCAGCATCGCCGAGTCCTCCTCTCGCCGCCACAACTGCCGCAGATCTGAGGAAAACAGCAAGCGCCAATAGCACACGGAGGACTTCAGAAGCACTGCACCGGGAGATGGAGTCAGGCAGACGCAGCGTGGACAACTCTACCCGTGTCTCGACTCCTTCGGGGCAGCGGCACACGGCATCACGTTCGAGCATTAGAGAGCAAGACTCCATGACCGACTTGACATCCACAACAGGATCCCAACCTAGCACAGTGCGCGCGAAGTCGCCCAGGGCAAAGTCACCCCATGCAGTCCCTACAAGGACGAAGACAGCAAGCCCGGCAGCCGGCCGTACCCACAAGAGCTCAAGCTCGAAGACATACAAGACGAAGACCAAGCCCAGAGGCTCGTCTGAACTAACCCTCGACTCTGAGAACACATCCATACCTCTCTATCGTGCCCGTCGAACACGGTCGCCGGCATACTCAGATGCCTCGCCGGCGTCTGTGGTCGATTCATCTCCGCGTACACCCACACAGCATTCTGTGCTCCCTTCTGTCATTTTCGACGACAAAGATAGGCCAGCCACGGTCGAAATTCTGGACCCCGTCTCTCGTGAATCATCAGTCAACCCTGGCTATGGATCGCCAATGCCACCACCGCCACCGCCTCCTCCTCCACCGCCGCCGCCGCCACCACCGCCAGCAATGATGGGAGACCCACCCCGCGTAGACTATCTTCTTCAAAACGGTGGTTTGCCTCGCCCGATTCCACGAAGCTTGTTAGGTGCTATAGAGGGCGCATCGGTGCCTGCATACTCGTCATATATGTCACCTACGACAAGTGGTGCGCAAGGCCACGATGTTCGAACGTTGTTTCGGCCGCTTGAAAACGTGCTGAACAACTACAATACCGTCATTGACACAAACGGATCTCTTGCGGTGGCGACTGGATATCGATCAGTAGCCCGCCGTTTACTCGATCGCCTCGAAAACGTATTCGCTCGCAACATTTCCTCAGAGCACTGCCAGTGTTTGATGTGCTTTGATCAGCCAATACCGGAGGATAGCCCCGGCGTCAACTGGGGTGAGATTTTAGAGCTCGTTTCCGGACGTTGTGAGCTACCAACATGGCCACCATACAATGATCCGGTTGCGCCTGGCCTGGGCATCTCAGAGCTTGGAGAGCCTTGTCAGCAGATCGACGTTGATGTACCGGATCAGTATCGAGCCCACTATGAGAAACAAGCAAAGAAGACAAAGTCATCAGTCCAGTCGTGGCTGACGGATCAACAAGACAACTCTCCAGAGGACGCTGACGATGAAACCTTGTCTTTCATTATGCTTACCCGGCTGGATCAGCCACAGCGTCCGCTGTTCTATGCGCTTCTCTGGGGCCTTGAGAAACTCCCTAGCCCCCGCACACAGAAGCCTGATACAGGCACACCGTCGTACTTGGCGAAAGCTGGTCTTGCGCTGCAGCGACTCTATCGCCTCGGCAAGGAGCCCCGCGACCAGCTTACCGTCATGTACCTGATCCGTAACCCAGACATGCACAATATCCTGGCCACTTTGGCAGCAGTCAACAAACACGAGTGGGAGATTCTGGTATCAGGCCGCTTTGACGGCTTCCTCTGGTCTGGTGCAGAAGATCTGATGCCTGGCCAGATCCCCCCAACCGACGGACCACAACGATTCGCATCACCAAGTCCTGGCCAGCCATTCCAGACCTTCAGCCCAGGGCCGCAATCTCGCCCTGGTTCGGTGCGTCCAGGATCTGTGCGTCCAGGGTCCGTACGTCCGGGAGGTGGCGGTCCCGCGCCAGTGCAAGTTGATGAGGAGACCGAAGTCGCTGTACTTGCTGAGATCGAGCGTGAAATCTACCTTGGAATGGAGGCCATGGAAGACGCATTCGAGCACCTACACAATCAGGCCGAACAGGTACGCCGACGCCTGCGTGAGCGTGCTGCTGCGTTGTCAATGGTGGCACAGCAACGGCGAGGTTCGGGGATGGACGATATTGAAGTCAGAATGAACACACCTGCCGGTTTTAGGGAACAGGACGAGAGTCTGGATGACCTCCGAAGCGAGATCGGACCTGACGATTCCGCCAGCAACGTCAGCCACAACAGGAGGAGGAAGGCGCACAGAGCGCGTGAGCGGAGGACACCGGCGCCGGTCGAGGAAGAGAGCGAGGGAGAGAGCACGCTGGCGGAGAGGATTCGCAGACGATACTGAGCGCACAACGCACGTTAGCCCGGCAAAATGAATCAGAGAACGCATGGAAGGTGTTGACAGCATTTGAGGGCGCAGAAGGATTTCGCTACTTTTGCATCTTGTTTTTGTATTCGACGAGACCATCCATCAGTGGATACGATTATGGCTCATAACGGCAGCGACATATGGATACCCCAATGAATTGTACAGTGCTGAGACCGTCTACCTGGAGCAAGAAATCCCACGACATGAGTGTGAAGCATGTAGTCATTGTGTGTCGCGTTGCTGAAACACGCATAAGCACACTGACGCGCCAATATTGAGGCTCAGTCGAGGGCCAATCACCACGTGCGAGCTCTGAAATGACGAGACGATAGTGACGGGAGCTAGGCCTCCAACACGACCACCGCGACGCGTCGATGCAAGCCGAACATGGTCTATTGGTGGCTGTCGCGTTGCTGGGTGTGCAATTTCACGACGACCGGTTCACGATTTCCAGTCTCTGCGCCCGTGAAGCCGGATGGCTGCCCCCCGCGCTTCTGCAGCTGGCAGCGCTGTGCATGTAATATCCTTGCTGCAGACGCGCGCCGCACCGCATACCATCATCGCTCCATGATAACGGCCCAAGCAGCCTAGGTAGGGAGTAACAAATACCTTTGCTTGGCCGGCGTTTTTGCTTCTCCTCAGTTTCTTTTGCCCACACAGCAAACGTCACTCGCAGCTGTGCTTGTGCTTATAACCCAGGGCTGCGCACTCGCCTGCCCCTCGTTTGGTGGTTTGTGGTTGCCCGCGCGATAGGTCCTACCGTGTTTATCGAAACATTGCGCCTGCTATTCACCATCGCAGCCAGCGCCCCTGCCTTGGGACCTCCAAACTCTGGATACTGAGGATACGCCAACCGCGGAACGCATTTTGACTCACGCACAGAAGGCACCGCCGCTGCCAACCCTCCTTTTACCACATATCACGACACAACGCGCCCTCTCTTCGCACCCTCTCTTCGACGCCCTCTCTTCGACGCCCTCTCTTCGACACCATCGGCCTCGCACTCCACCGCTTGCGCCGAAAACACTCGAGCGCCTTCGAACCGCCGATCGCTACGCATTCAATACTCGAATTACTACCGGAGCTGGGCCCCTGCAGCACAATGGCGGCCGAAATGGATTCGTCGGTCGACCCCACGACACTTTACACCAAGCAAGAATGCATAGGCGGCGGCAGCTTCGGCAAAGTCTACAAGGGTGTAGACCACAGGACAGGCCGCACAGTCGCGATCAAGGTCATCGACGTCGAAAATGCCGAGGACGAGGTTGACGACATCATGGGCGAGATCATGATACTGTCCGAGCTGAACTCGCCATATGTGACCAAATACTACGGGTCATACCTCCACGGTTCAGACCTCTGGATAGTGATGGAGTTCTGCTCGGGCGGAAGCTGCGCCGACCTCATGAAGCCCGGCCCACTGGCGGAGGTGGAGATCGCCGTTATGCTGAAAGAGCTGCTGATGGGGCTCACGTACTTGCACGAGGATCACAAGCTGCACCGCGACATCAAAGGCAAGTCTGCACCCTTCTTCTTCCCTTCCTTTCCTTCTTTTGAACGATTCTGGCTTACTAACTTGAACACAGCTGCCAACATCCTCGTCACCGCAAGTGGCCAGGTCAAGCTTGCGGATTTCGGTGTCTCTGGCCAGCTCTCCGCAACGATGACGAAGAAGAACACGTTCGTGGGCACTCCCTTCTGGATGGCGCCCGAGGTGATTAAGCAGTCTGGCTACGACGGCAAGGCGGACATCTGGTCTCTCGGCATCACCGCGCTGGAGCTGGCAAACGGCGAGCCTCCTTACTCCGATATCCACCCAATGAAGGTCCTCTTTCTCATTCCCAAGAACCCGCCACCTGTGTTGGAAGGCAGCTTCTCGTCTTCTTTCAAGGAGTTTGTTCAGCTCTGCTTGCGTAAGGATCCGAAGGAGCGTCCAACGGCGAAACAGCTTCTCAATACGGCGTTCATCAAGAAAGCCGGCAAGCCCTCTCGCTTACAGGAACTTATCACAAGATACCAGGACTGGAAGGTCAGACATCCAAAGGAGGCTGCTGAAGATGATGACGAGGACATGCCAGTGAGGAGGGAGCCTGTCAACGAAGACCTGTGGGATTTTGGCACCATCAGACCCGCTGCCGGTGGCAGGGGTCCAGCACTTGCGCCCTTGAACAACGCTGGCGCAAACGCGCGAAACATCTCCCCGCAAAGAAAACCGGTACCGCTTCAGCGTAGTGGACACGTTGACGAGAACGACGACACAATCCGGGCGAGTCCACCACCGTCGCCCACCAAACGTCTAGCCCCCCTCTGGACCGGCGCATCGCCCACAACATCACTGAACACGGCTTCTAGAGTACCTCTACCTCCTTCCCCTGATAAGAAAAATGCGCCCTGTTTTCCGCCACCCAAACAGGAGCCATCGCGCACCTCACCCGTACCGAACGTTTTTTCGCCGCCCCAAAATCGCGGCCTAATGACTCCAACAACACCTTCGAAACCTCAAGGGCCACGTCGGCAGACTCCACTAGCACACGCCTACGAGGAGTACATACAGCGATCGATCGCCGAGGACATGACAGGCATGGACATCACACCACAACAGCGCAACCCCACGCCTCGAGGTGCCCTTCCGATGTCGATTCCTGAGATACCCCCATTCCGAGGACCCAACTCGAGGGGAAGCACACCAACGTCGGCGCAATCGAAACCTCTGCCCAGTCCAGCCCTGCACACCAGCCAACAGCTGCCTTCTCTACAGGCTCAGAAGCCCTTACCACCACTAGTGGGACAACAACCACTACCAGCACTACCGGGCCAGAAACCCCTGCCTTCACCACACCAGCCGTTCGCACCGGCCAGTCCTGCGAAGACATCACGCCCTGATTCAGGCTCCTCGAACGATCCCTTTGGCGGGCCACTGCTTGGAAACTGGGGGCAACAAGCGCCTCCACCACCACCACCACCACCACCACCTCACCAGAATGGTAGCCAGACACCCCTGAACGGTAGTTTATCGCCTCCCGCCAAATCAACCCAGGCTCGCAACTCGTTCGGCCGGATAAAACCTCAGCCAACAGACTTGGCCTTCCTCAATCCTCCCTCTACCAGCCAGACAGCGGAAATCACTGCCCTTACTGGCGTAGTTGTTCCGGCACTCGAAGCGGCTCTGTCTAGGAGAACATACCATCTCAACCTTATGAACAAGCAGGACGCCGCATCCGCACAAGCCATGCGAGATCCCGATTCGTATCTCAGGAGGAAGAAGGAGCGACAGGAGTGCCACGACAACGTCAAGAGACTTGTTGGTGAGATCACAGACAGGTTCCAGCTACTAGATCAGTGGGATGAGAAGGGTGAAGTGGGTATGGGTGGTGAAGTCGCAGGCTTTTTGGAGGGATTCTTGGAGGAAATTCTCGTTAGAGTCGAGCCGGCTGATGATTAGGATCGAGCCAGCCAGCCATGAAGACACGCTTTATGATTGAGGGATACGCATGGACGGGATACATGGTCGCAGGGATCTGCATTGCTTTGCTTGGAGTTGGGATGGGATTGTAGGGTTTGATCGGATTCGGTCACGGTGTTTCGCATTTAAGCTGGCGTTGCGGGGGATACTGGGAAGGTTACAGGAATATGTAAATGCAGGCTATTTTCACTCCAGATGTGAGTGCTCGAACTGATCTGCAGCTGCTCCACCCTACAAGGCGAGCATTCAGACGAGGCACGGCTTACTCGTAAGCGCAATGTCAGAGCTAAGGGTTACAGAACGCGGGGTGCTACTGTCACCTCGGAAGCGCAACGACAAGCGACCGTTGACAAGACTTCGACGTTATCGTCCAGATTCGAGTGTATCCTTTGCTGTTCCCTGTTATTGGCTTCGATACACACATCCTTCCGTGTCTGCTTTTCAACATCCAAACGCTCACCATGTCCCACCCTATCCTCGACTCCCACTGGTCCCGCTTCCTAGGTCCCAACCCTCCAGATCCACACCAGTATAAATACATACCTCACGATAGACCAGTTTTCGAATCCCCATTCGGCCCATTCCCACCTTCTCCAGAGGATCTCAACATCCATGAGTTGTGCTTCCCACCCAACAACCCCCTGCCAGAAGATTATCCCCTCATCATCAACGCCGTCACGCAGGAAGTCGTAACACTCCATCAATTCTACGCCCGTGCCTGTGCACTCGCACGTGTGTTTCGACACGATGGACCGAATCCGCTCAACCTGCGCAAGAGCCCCGTTGATGATAGAGAAGATGGAGAAATCCTTGGCCTCTTCTCACGCAACCATATCCACTACCCCAGTATTGTGCACGCTTGCTGGCGGGCTGAATTAGTGTTTGGCGGCATCAGTCCAGCGTCAACGCCGTACGAGTTGTGGTGGGTGTTGCGGAAGATGCAAATCACATCCATCATGATCCACGAATCCCTCGTGGGGATTTTGAAAGAAGGGCTGAAGTTGGGAACGGGGGACAAAGATGATCTGCCGCTGAAGTTGGTGCTGGATCCGAAGAAGGTGGTTGTGCTCAGTGAGGATCCCTCCCTGGACACGGTAGGCGGATATCGCACGATCGAGAGTTTGGTGCGGCAAGGGATGAGGATGCAAGAGAGGAGGAGGAGGAGGACGATGCTAGGCGGTAGCAGACTAGCATACCTCTTCCAGTCCTCTGGCACATCCGGCCTCCCCAAAGCCATGATGATAACGCACGCCAACGGGTACCACTCCGGTATCCAAACCCTCACCACCGCCGTCCAAGGCGCGCGCTTCATGGGCATGGAGCCGTTCGCAACACCAATTGTTACCTTGGGCGTAATCCCAATGTACCACTCCTACGGCATGATTCTCTGGAACCTGCGCGTCAATCTGCTAAGGAACACGACTATCCTGCTGCCAAAGTGGGATCTCGAACTCGCACTCCAATCAATTCAGAAATACAAGGTCACTGCGCTGCCGCTTGTTCCGCCGCTCATCAGACAGTTAGCGCAGTCCCCGCTGACGGAGAAATACGATTTATCTTCTGTGCTCGGCGCTGTGAGCGGCGCCGCGTACCTCCCGCCCGACGTCGCGTATCAGCTTGCGCAGAAACTGCCGCAGGGGAAGGATATGCCGATCCCGAGTGGGTATGGGCTCAGCGAGGCGGCGAGTATCGCGAGTCCGACGACGCCTGGGATCTTCGGCCTCGAGCCCGCGATGCCGGGGAGCATTGGGTATCTGCTGCCGGGCATGGAGGGGCGCGTTGTCGATCCGGACACGCTAAGGGATGTGAAGAAGGGGGAGAAAGGCGAGTTGTGGGCAAGGGGTGCGGTGGTTACGCCAGGGTATTTCAAGGACGCGAAAGCTACGAGTGATATCTTCACTGAGCCGGGGTGGTTGAGGACGGGGGATCTGGTTATGCGGGATGAGTGCGATAGGATTCACTATCTTGATCGACTGAAGGAGATGATCAAGGTCAAGGGCTTGCAGGTCGCGGCTACAGAGGTCGAGGACACGCTGCTGCAGCATCCAGACAATCTAGTTCAGGACGCATGCGTAGCCGGCGTTGATAATGGGAGAGGAGACGGGAGTCTGTTCGTTAGGGCGTGGGTTGTGCTGACGGATGCCGGGAAGCGGGTGGGTGAAGCAGGTGTTACGGGTAAGCTGGAGGAGTGGGTGAAGAATAGGTTGAGTAGGCATAAGTGGTTGACCGGGGGGATTGAGGTTGTTGATGAGGTATGTATGATGCGTGCAGTGTGAGAGGCGGGGACTGACGTGAGTAGATTCCGAGGACGCCGAGTGGGAAGATGTTGAGGAGGCAGATGAGGGATAAGTATCATGCGAGGTTGAAGGCTGAAGGAAGGGCGAAGTTGTAGTTGGGCAGATTGTAATGCTGTGAGTTTCGTCTGCCTGCTTGTCATGCATGAATGGCAATTCAGCACGCTGGTACTCGCTGTCCCAGTTCTCAGAGGCGAGCCAAGGGGCCGTCTTTCCTTGCAATGCCCAAGGACGACTTACTGATGTCGGCAATCGAGCTGCACCCCGTAAGTTGCATGCAACGACGGAAGTCAGTATACAGAATATCAAGCATCGTACGCACCCCAGCTTCACCATCATACTGCAACAGTCCAGGTCAGCAACCAACGCAATTTTCCTAGGACCTCACAACATACCGCCAGGCTCCAGATCGCTGGTCTCCCCACCCAGCAACACTCTGCTCCCAGAGCAAGTGCCTTGAAGATGTCTTGACCCGATCTAATCCCCCCATCAATATGGACCCGTATCTGGCCCGCAGCAGCCTCGACACATTCCGGCAACGCATCAATTGTCGCCGGCGTTCCGTCCAACTGCCTGCCGCCGTGATTACTAACAACCACCCCATCACATCCATACTCGCGCGCCAGCAGCACATCCTCTGCAGTCAAAACGCCCTTGATCCAGACCTGCATCTTCGTGATACTTCTCAGCCATGGTATCTCCCGCGCCCAAGAGTGGTAGTCAGAATTGAACCCTACGAAGCTGGCGTCATGCGTGTCCGCGCGAATCATCTCCGATGTTTTCTCGAGCATTGGAAAGGCCAGACCGGCTGGTGTCCGGAAGTCGTTACGGTGCTCGTTGTATCGGACGCCGAGAACGGGGCTGTCAGCGGTCAGGAAAATCGCTACACAACCAACCTGTTCTGCTCTCTTGATGATGCGCTCTTGCTTCGCGCGGTCTTTCATCGAATACACCTGCATCACGTGGCCGATGGGTGCGATGGCGCGGGAAGCCTCGCAGATTTCCTCCACGGAATAGTTCGAGAAGGAGGATATGCCCATGTGGACGTTTCTTTTGGCACATGCCCGACTCGTGGCTAGCTCGCCCAAGGGATGGGCCATGGCCTGGATGCCGGCTGGGGATACGCACAGGGGGAAGTCGATTGTTTTGCCGAGGACGGACGCGGATGTGGATACGTTTGAGACATCTCGGAGGACTCGAGGGCGTAACTTGTATTTCTTGTATGCGTTTGAGTTGTCCAAGACGGTGATTTGGTCTGTAGAGCCTGAGTTATAGAAGTCTATGTCGTATTCTCGTTAGTTAACTCAATTGCAGACACGTCGAGGCATGACTTTTGTGAGTTAGAATTGATGCCGATTCTCATCATCTAGGTGCTTCGTAGTGTGTTTTGCGATGGGGTGAGGAAAGGAGAAGCGCAAGGGTGCGAAATGTGGGTCACAAACCTCGAATGCCAGTTGGAAGTTTCGCTGCAGCAGCTGATTGCAAATCGCTGATGCTGAGAATGATGTGTTCTGATGGGGGTACGCGTTTCGATTCGAACTTCTCGACCATGATTGCGATCTGTCTGTTTTCTGTTGCGGTAGGAGAGTTCAATACTTATATAACCGTACAAGGTGTGAGCTCACAACGTTCAGGTCGAATCTGGCCTGGTCTCCCTGTAGTGTGTCGAACGTAAGGCGCAGGGCGTGCGGGGTATACGATAACAACCAATGTACATGAACTGAGTTCCTCTCAACATCAAATTGAATGGCACCAGAACAGCCTCTTCAATCGTCAATACACTTGCGCAATCGTACTTCTTGTTGGTAATGAAAACAAGCAGACCCGAGTCCTGCCACCCGACCTGGCTTTGGTCAATAAAGTCAATATCTTTTTGGTGGAGCCGAACGATTGTGCGACTATGATTGAGGTCTAGGAGACATTTTTCGAGGGGACGAAGCCGGCGAGTTGTATGGAAGTACCGCGTTGAATGGTCAATTGATTTATAGCAGGCTCGAACATGTGTCTCTAAAGGCATTGCCTCTAGGCACTAATTTGAAACTGAATGCGTTGCGAGTGTTGGTGACAAGTCAAGGCTTTAGCTCTGGAAAAGCTGTAGTAGGCATAGCCCACCTACTCACGCACTACGAGCATGCAGGCGTAAGCATCTCGAACATTAGGTCGGGCTAGTATTGTAGGCCGTCTTCCAGATGTGACAGGGGTTCCTTGCTCGCATCTGCCGTCGCTCTAAGTCCGTATAAGGACTATATGGTCAAATAACCTTGCTGGAAAGTCACGCACGTGAAAGCGAAGATTGAACAAGCAATGAACTGATGTTTGCTAAGAGATCTATACAATGCGCTATAAAATACAACAATATTGCGTAAAGCGTAACAGGTCGTTCACACATTCTTTGGTATCATTTCCTCTCCATATTCCTTCTCCTCACACCTTTGGCCTACTCCACAACTCGGCATTTATGCCATATCCTTGGAGTTGACAGCCTCAAGGTATGCGTGAGCGCCATTCTTCTCGACACCATAGTCGGAACCAGAATCGCCGTCGCCGTGGAAGCTGTCGACAACGGTGCGCTTAAAGTGACGTGCAGGCACCTTCTTCTCGAAGAGGATATCGAGTTCGGCGTAGGTGCGGCCCTTGGGCTCGGGGAGGCGGAAAAAGGCCCAGACAAAGCAAAGGAAGCAGGTGCCGGCATAGAAGAAACCAGTCTTAGCGCCCCAGTTCTATTTGATGTTAGTCATGGAGCTTAATTCTGGTGAAATACAGAGAACTTACCCATGCGCCAGGGTTCAACATGCGGGGAGTCAGGACGTTGCCGACGCAGGACGCAATGTTGTAGAAGTTACGGGCCAAGACGACAGTCTTCTGGCGGAGACGAGTGGAGGGGATCTCGGCGACGATGGCGTAGCAGACGGGTCCGACGGTGATGTTGTAGACGCAGGCGAATGTAAGGAGGAGAGCGCCGATGGCCCACTGAGCGCCAGTGTTGCCCTTGGGGAGAATACCGCACACTCCGATGACGCAAAGGATGACAACCATAGCCAGATCACCGAAGACGTAGAGCGTGCGACGTCCGACGCGAGGAATGAGAGCCCAGGCGATGAGTACACCGACGGCACCGATAGCGTACTGACCGAGGGACATGGAGAAGGAGTTTGACTCGTCAAGACCGGCCTGAACGAAGAAGTATGTCGAGTTTCCGATGAGAGCGGCACCGCAGAAAGCCTGGGTGAACCATGTCATGGCAGCGATTTCAGTGCGGCGGAGATCGGTTCCACGGAAGCAGTCCAAGTAAGAAGTACCCTCAGAGACAGCCTTCTCGAGCTCGTTGGTATGCCGCATCATAGCAATGGTCTCGTCGGCGTTGAAGTCGGGGTGCTTGTCAGCGGAGGTGAGGCGTTGCAGCATGAACTTGGCGGCCTCATCCCGGCCCTTACGAACGAGCCACCAGGGAGATTCGGGAGCGAAGTAAATGCCGATGAGGATGGGAGTGGGCCAAAGCCACTGCAGAGCATAGGGAATGCGGTAAGCCCACTGGTCGGGACGAAGCGCAACGCCCTTGAGGACACCAGAAGCGAGGAATTGGCCAATGACCCAGCAGAGGTTGACGTAGGTGGTGAGAATGGGACGCAGAGGAACGGGAGTAACCTCAGCGGCATACGTGCAGCTCAGGGTCTGGAAGACACCCCATGGGACACCGCAGCAGATAAGACCAACGAGGAGCATCTCAATGTTCTGAGCGAAGAAGACAATGAAGATGAAGAGGTTGACGGCGAACAGCGCACCCATCATGGTCTTCCTGTAACCGAATCGATCCGCAATGTAACCGTTAAGAAGAAGACCGAAAAATTCACCAACGAAGGCACCGTTGGTGAGACCGGATTGCCATGCTGCAGTGATTTCCCAAGATCCGTCGGGAAGCTGAGAACCATATCGTTGCTTGAAGGCGGGAGCGGCGAAGAGAGAGCCAATGAGGACTTTGTCGAAACCTTCCATGATAATAGCCGTGGAGAGCAAGACGGACCAAGCAACGGCCTTGGGGTAAAGCTTGATACCCTCGCGCAGAGACATGTTGCGCTCCATCTCTGTGGCCCTGCTGGCATCGTGGTTGACCTGCTTGTGATCAGGCATTGCGACCGAGAGTTTGCGCTGTTGGTCGACATCAACGGCGACAACGCTGCTGTTGCGACGAGACATGGTGGCGATGGCGTTGTTGAAGTCGGTTCGAAGGTTGTCCAAGAAAAGGAGAGGAGCGACTTAAAGTCAACTAAGACCTCTTGTTCAGGGCTTGATCTGGGACTGTGGAGTCGGATCCTAAACTTGCTGATGATCCTCGCTTTTGGGTGGCCTTGAGGCCGTCTTATACAACGTGCTCGAACTTCAGCACGCGAGTCTCATACCATGCCCATGCTCCGCCAAGTGAGGGAATACCGATGGTGTGGTGAGGAGAATGACGCGGGGAGACAGGCGAGGACTGGGGGCGTCGAAGCCACGCCCGCTGCATTTCTGCAGACAAGATCTCCATCTGGGGATAGCCTGCTTCTAGTCTGGGGGAGAGGCGCCGACGGTCCAGCCCAGCCACTTGTCAACAATCAAATCAAGCATATTTGATCTGATGATTTGGTGGCAAACAGACCATACAGTGGTCTGTGAACGAGGTCACAGACAGCAGAGAGGTCTGATCACCTATCGATAAGGATTTAATCCAAATTTGATTTGATTGTTGACAGGTCTGAGCCCAGCAGGTTTGCGTCGCCATGAAATAGATCTATGATTCGTGTGAAGTCGGTCCGACACGTCCGAATTCGCTCAAGAAGTACGATTCAATATCACGTGGGCTGCAAGATGCTAGTTCATTCACTAGCCGCCACTCAAATCTGACCTTCTGAGCTAGAAGGCCGCGAAAACCAGGGAAAGCAAGGGCTATGATTCGCACATTGTCGGCACGCTGATCTCGAGGCGTTCGTGTCACTGTTCGTGCCTTCCCCGCCCCCAGTTCCAAGTCTCCAACGCTTTTCTACCTCGCTTAATCTGTCTGAGGGGTGTGGGGAACAAGAAACGTGCACCCCATTTCGTGACCCCATGGGAAAGGATAGCGTATCGTGAAACCGCACCTAACGGCATCTACCCTCCGCACCTCACTGCCGAACACAGCGGCCCGACCTTAAGCCAATTGCAATCCTTCCGATATTCATCCCGCACCTCACGTGTAGAGCCTCAATATTATAATGGATCCTCAACTACAGGTGAGTATCAATATAAAACTCGCAGTTTTCTCCACTGTAGACTCCGCTGGACACGATTTGATGGTATAAGAGCTGGTCTCGCAAGCCACTTGACCGTCGAAAGAAAAGCCATTGATCGTTTGACTTTGTCCATCTACATTCAAGTTTGGTCGACCTTTGTTCTTGCCCATCTTGCACATCTTGCATTTCAGTTCCTGAGCACATATCTGATATGACTGTCACACAGAGACCTTGGTGGAAGGATGGCGTTGTCTACCAGATCTACCCCGCTTCCTTCAAGGACTCCAACGGAGATGGCGTAGGTGACTTTGAGGGCATCATATCTGAGCTGGACTACATCCGCTCGATTGGTGTTGATACCATATGGATCTGTCCTATGTTCGACAGTCCTCAGGTTGATATGGGATATGACATTCGCAACTATGAAGATGTGTATGCTCCATACGGCACACTTGATGACATGCAGAGGTTAATCAACGAGACACATGCTCGTGGTATGCGTATCATCCTTGACCTTGTCGTCAACCACACCTCAAACTTGGTAAGTCTCTTCATGGCATTCACACAGGCGAATGGTACTGACAACCTACAGCACAAGTGGTTTCTCGAGTCCCGCTCGTCAAAAGACAACCCCAAGCGTGACTGGTACATCTGGCGCCCCGCCCGCTATGTGAACGGTGAACGCAAGCCCCCTAACAACTGGGTGTCAAACTTCACAGGTAGCGTCTGGGAGTGGGATGAGCACACACAGGAGTACTACCTCCATCTCTTCTGCCCTGAGCAACCCGACCTGAACTGGGAGAACGAAGAAACGCGCAAAGCCATCTATAAGTCCGCCATGGAATTCTGGCTCGAGCGTGGCGTCGACGGCTTCCGCGTCGACACAGTCAACATGTACAGCAAGGGCAAGATGCTCGACGCTCCCATCACAGACCCAGGGTCGGAGTGGCAATTCGCCGGCTACCAGTACTGCAACGGACCCCGGATGAAGGAGTTCCTCGGCGAGATGAACCAAGTCCTCAGCAAATACGACGCCATGACCGTCGGCGAATGCCCCAACACCAAAGACATGTCTCGCGTTCTCGAATACGTTTCCGCGAAGGAGAAGCAGCTGAACATGGTCTTCCAATTCGACGTTGTCGACGTCGGCCAAGGGCCGTACAAATTCCAAACCACACCGCGTAACTGGATCCTGCCGGACTTCAAAAAGGCAATCGCACGCACACAGGATCTGATCCGCGGCAACGACGGCTGGACAACTGTGTTCCTCGAGAACCACGACCAGTCCCGCTCCATCACACGCTTCACATCCGACGCGCCTGAGCACCGTGTTGCCGGTGGCAAGATGCTGAGTCTGATGATGTGCGCGCTCTCTGGCACGCTGTTCATTTACCAGGGCCAGGAAATCGGCATGACCAACTTCCCCAAGAGCTGGACTATGGACGAGTTCAAGGACGTCGATTCAAGCAACTACTACAAGATGGTCGCGCGCCGCACGAACAATGACCCCGAGGCGTTGGAGGCCGCGCACACTTCCCTTCAGCACTTGGCTCGCGATCACTCACGTGTGCCTATCAGCTGGTCTACAGGCCCGACAAATGGTTTCTCGCCGCCCGACGCACACACAAAGCCGTGGATGCGCCCGCTCGAAGACGCAGACGTATGCAACGCGAAGCAGCAGCAATCCGACAAGAACTCCGTGCTGTCGTACTGGAAGCACATGCTGGCCGTGCGCAAGCAGTACAACGACTTGCTCGTGCACGGCGAGTACAATGATCTGGACGTTGAGAACCTTGACTTCTATGCTTTCACCAAGACATGGAAGGGCAAGAAGGCATTCGTCATTTGTAACTTCACAGACAAGGCGCAGAAGCTGTTTGTTCCGAGCCAGGTTGGCAGCGTGAAGAGGGAGTTGCTTGTCAGCAGTGTGAATGAACCGGTTGAGGAGGAGTTGGCTGCTTGGGAGGGCAGGATTTACCTGCTTGCGAACTAGGTGCTTTTGATGATTCGCGTTTTCATAGATTTAGATATGTGGGATGTTATCACTATGAGAGTGAACATGATCAGACGTCAACATCTGTTTGGTATCTTGCTGGTGCTATGAAGTGCTAAAATGCGCCATCGACAGCCTTCTTGATATGTGATTCCAAGTAGCCAACTGACCAACTCGGACTTCTCTTGGAATTCGTACACATCCATCTTGTTGTGTCTGTACTTGCACCAGCGCTTGTTCATCCGCCATCTCCTCAATGCCTGCAGCCGTTTTGGACTGTGCCACCTGGTACCAAGGATCGTTTGCGCAGGGGCTCTGCAGATCCAGCGGCAAATTTGGCGAGCTTGCATTGCTGAGCGCCTCAGGAAACATGGTCTGCAGGCGCTCCAGCTTTTCCAACAGAATACCCCGCCGAGTCGCGTCGAGCTGGGGCAGTAGCAGTACAAAGTCGAGAATGAACAGGAAGTCGTCGATACGGAGAGCCGTTTCTTCCAGCGTAGCCGCAGGAATGTGGATCAGCACATCGGCGATGGTATCGGTGATCTCGAACAGCTTCTGCGTGATGGAGCTACCATGCACCTCGATGTCCTGGCGCGACATAATCGACAGCTGATGCCGCAGAGACTGCGATAATCGGACTGGAAACAGGAGTGACAAGCACTCCTTTGAGGATCGCGACGAAAGCAGCGTCTGACCCATGGCGAGCCGCCATACTAGTGTGCGGAGCCATTCGCGCGTGATGGTCAGGTCTGCGCGCTGCATCATGGAAAGGTTTGCTAGCTCCAGCGCATCGGCTTCCGGATCGCCCTCGAGCTCACGCGACTTGGCCTCGACCCACGTACTGGTGACAGGGCCGGTTTGTCCAGCCGCGCCGAGCCAGCTACTGATGAATTCTGTGTCTAGAAGGCGGAAGAGCTTGATGATCTGGTTGAACCCTTCGTGGACCTGCACGGGGATAGTGGGGTCGTCTTCAGGTAAGGTGTACAGTGGCAACATTATGGCTTGACGGTAGTCCAGAATGGCGAGGAAACGCTCGTGGATGTAAGCTTGCCAGTACAGGCGCTGTCGTCTTGATCTTTCCGGTCCTGACAATTTTGTAACATGCTCTGGGTTGTCGATACGTAGCAGTTGTATCGCGGTGATTGCATCTCTCATCCAGTGAAAAGCTGCATCACTGCCTTGTAAACTCATGAGGCAGTTATGTATAAATATTGACTGCATAGCTCGCATGACCGATGAATGGTGAAGCTTGTGTGGTGGCTTCATCGTATCGATCGAAAGGTCCATGAGATTTTCGATGGTCTGTACAACCTCCCCTGTTCTTCGATCTCCGTATCGAGTCAGGTTGAGCGTGCAGCCACCGAAAGAGTATATGAAAGATTGCATCTCCTGATCGTGATCCATTGAGCTGATGTAATGCCGCAGTTCGTGCTCTGCAATAACTGGTTGCACAGGATAGACCCCCTCCATGTAGTCCGGTATGAGATCCAGGAAGAAAGTTTTGCTGTACTGCAGAGCAATGGGAGATTCAGGAGATGCTGAGTTAGGTCAGTATTGACCTTTCTCTCCCAATCTAAGTATCTCTTAATTGAGAGGAGACGTACCTAAACCGAACCCATTGCGGTCGACAGCATATGTAGACCTGCTGTATGGTTGAATGTGCTGTTCGTTTGCCGGTAGTATAGTGGGCGGTGACGTCGCATGAGGATTGCTCATCTGGTTCCTGAATTCAGAGATGATATGTCCTCTCTTGCCCTGACTTCTCAGCTTGCCCGTAGCCGTGTACACGCATCTCAGACCGAGGTGACTGCATTGTTGACATCGCTCCTGACCGTTGCACTTCACCTTGCGACGCTTGCAGGCATCGCATGCCTTGGGGACTCTCTTCTGAGTTGATGGATCCATTGTAGCGGATCATGTTGTGCAAGCTAGTGCTCTTGTAAAGACCTCCATGGGGTGCGGGTGATGAGGTGCGGGAAGGTCAGACTGTGGAGTGCGGAGAAACCGGAGAGCTAGTGCGCTTTCGGCCTACCCTCAAGTCTCCTGATTCGCTCGTTAGTCCTCATCTTATATTGATATGCAGACACGCGCAGGAGGCGCAGGTACTAGAATGATGCATGGAAGCAGGGGTGAGATGTATGTAAGAACGGGCATGATGTTGGAACAAGTAATTCTAACGAACCTTGTAATAAGCAGGTGCCGAGCATGGCGCCTTCGCCTTCCCGTCGACCACATGGCACACGTATGAGCGAATGTACCAGGTAACGGGTCATGAGCGTAATCTCCACACGATTTCTTCACACCTGAAACATCGTCCGAACGTGTGCACACCTTTGGCAGCCGCGTCTTCATCTTGAACACGTGAAAGATGTCGCCGGTCAAGCTCGGCCGTGACTGCCTGAAAGAGCCAAACGAGGAGAGTAGAGCCTGAGTCAAGCGAAGCTCACGTCATGGCCTCAAACCATCGTAGCGTGTCAACTCAGGTGTCGAGATTAGCAATGTAGCATATCCCGAGATGACAGTGATAGGTAGTGCTACGAAGATGCTATTCGAGTGCACTTGCGTCCCGGCTCTTAGCTGAAGGCGAACATAAGAATCAAGGGCAGAGGAACAGTTGGTTTATAAGAGCAGTATGCTTGAAAGATACAGCGATGTTCTAACCACCGCTTCGCTATGCTATGCTACGCTATGCAGAATCAAAAAGTAGGCGAACCCAGCCAGTGCTATGCAAAAAGAAGATACAAGAGCCGAAGCTCTGATGACCATGAATCCAACATCAACAGTAAAACTCCACCTGTGTTCCTCAGTCATCGTACAGAATCTCCTTCAAGATACTGCTGCCAGCCCCAGTAAGAGCATTCTCCAACTCAGTTGTACCCACTGCACTTGCAACTCTGCGATCCTCCACAACCACACCCGGGAAACCACTCGTCTTCCTGCCCCTCCTGCTCGGTGTACCAGCATCTGCAACCAACGATCCAGTCTTGCCCTCCACAGCCGAGATGAGTGAAAGCGTCTCCAAGCTGTCCACGATATCGCGGAACTCGGTGCTGGTGAGCGGATGAAGCACGTTCTCGCGCTTGCAGAGGGCAGTGTAGGCTTCGAACAACTCCTTGAGGGTTGGGGCTGTATTGTGCGACCCTGAGGACGTGTTGAGCACGCTGTCGGCTGCCGAGGCGCGCTTCTTCCTTTCCATGGCTGAGAGAGAGCAAAGGACTGCCTTTTGCTGCAGGTTGAGGTTATGGAGGCGTTGAGTGGTACCGTTGCTGAAGACTGCTGCGGTAATCTTCGCCATGTGTGCGATTGTAGCTCGAGGTGCGGTTTCCGCGGTAAGTTGAGCCAAAAAGGTCGCGAGAGCATTTTGTGCTTTTGGCTTGGAGGGAGACCTGACAGCGACTGGTGCTGAGAGGTTGGTGTTCTCGACTAACGGCGTTTTCGAGGGGGAAGGTGTGGGAGAGGGTGTGATTTCCGCGGCCTTGATGGCATGTTGGTTGCGCGTGTCGGCCTCAATTAGATCGATTGCCCTTCGGCAGATGTCCAGGGCTTTGCGCAGATCGCCGGACTGTGCAGCGACCTTCTTGGACAGGAACATGATAGCGGTCGGGTGAATGAAGGGCAACTGATCAGATCCAGCTGGTTGCAGTGCCTTCAGCTTCGAGGTGATGACCGATGAGATTTGCTGTGCGGTGTATGGAAGGAAAGGCAGGAGGTGAGGCTTCAACCCGCGGGCCTTAAGCCTGGGCAGAAATCGGTCTGTGAAGTCGAGAGCATTCGCAATGCCGACCAGAACCAGGCCTGAATTTTTCTGTAAAGACCATTCGAAGATGTTGTACAGCAGGTCGATATCCAACTCCAGCAGATGGTCGACTTCATCGAGTGTAACAACGTAAGACGTCTTGCGCCGCATGAACAGCCTCCTCAGCTCCTCCATCTCGTCGCCCTCGGTGATTTCTGTAATGTCCACGAACTCCTCGAGCAATGTTCTGTACAAGTCTACAGCGTTCTTGACACTCATGCAGTTGATGTACCCCGTCTTGACAGATCCATCTGCGGCGACTGTTCGACACACATCGCCGACGAATGCGCTTTTGCCGGTGCCTGGCGGGCCAGAAACGTAAATGCATCCGGACTTCTTGGTCTTGGCTCGCGTGGAGATGAAGTTTTGCAGCTCGGTTCGTTCGCTGTCGCGCCCGAAGAGTAATGTGGGTGCAGAGCCGCGTGCGAAAACCTGACGCGCTTCATTGTAGACTGTTGGTGCTGTGCTCCGGGGTGTGCCTGATGTATGTGGTGTGCGAGGAGTCAATGGTCGGCCGGCGATGATGAGTCGTCGCGATGGTGTGACTGTGACCTTGTTGGAAAGCGCGTCACGGTGTCGAGGAGTCGAGGGCGTGCAAGAGATCTTATCTGAAGCTCGGGTAGACACTTTTGCAGGCGAGTTCTCTTTCGCTGCTGACAACGGCAGTCGCGACACAGCAGTCTTTGCAGGTGTTGCACGAGCTTTCCTTCCGCGTTTTGTGCATGGTTCCTCCTCCTCGGCATCCTCGCCCATGTCCACGTCCATTGCATCTTTGATGCGCGCATTTTGCTTCTTTGGTGTAACAAATGGGTTTTCGTTTTCAGTTTCGTCGAGGATCACGAATGCTGTTCGCCGTGTCGCGCGCGTTGAGGTGTTGGGCGTTGCATCTGCTGAGCGTGTTAGCTTCGCGTTGGCTGAGAAGAACTGACAGGAGCGTCAATGGCACCTACCCAGAGTTGCTGCTCGAGCTGAGCTGCGAGTCCTCTTTCCAAGAACGGTAGAAGGCATTTCGGAAGCGTCAAAATGTGGATGGCAGGTGCAATGGGTGATGTGGGAAGGCACACCTGAGACTGAATGATGGAGGAAGGAGCTGCACGGCACGAACGCGAAACTCGAAGAAGGCGCGACGCGTTAAGTACTACCAATCGGGTTAGCGCATCTTTTTGCCTCGCCAACCGCGACCTGGCCCAATCGTGTTCCCTCCCATCGTCGACACCGCGTTCTGGTCCACAGACTCGAATCGGGCGTCTATCGTTTTTGTGCTATACCTCAAGTGGTTTATTCCCTCTCAGACATTTGGTCAATTCACGGTCGTTGAGACCTACGCTCATTGTCTAGCGGCTGCCGCCTTGAGAGCTCACCGGTAGATTCTCCACCCTGTAGGCTTCAGCACACGTCCACCTTTGTCGGCGCGTTGGCAAGACATCTGTGCTGCACTTACCGCTGCAGAAAATGCAGAGCTGAAATTCTAGCGTTCGGGCGATGTACAATACATAAAGCCGACTACAAGCTCACCTCAAACAGCGGATCAATTCCAACGCAATGGCACCTACACTCGAACCGAAAGAGATCAAAGTATGCTCACATATCGCCAGGCTCGATCGTCTTGGAGAAGGCTCTACTAACACTGACTAGCTCCCTGGCTTCGGACTCCCGTACGATGGCTGGGAACAAGATTCTGAGGACTATGCACAGGCGCTCTCGACGGTAATGGACTGGACCCACCCCGTTATGACAATCCGGGAGAGATGCATGTTGTTCTTCGTGGACAGGATATCCGATAAGCCAGACTGGACACGTAAGGTGCATGATGAGGAGATTGTCGCCAAATGGAAGCAAGAAGCAAAGGAGCTGGATTGGACCAAGATCATCGAAGGTGGCGACATGACCGACAAGATGTTGAACTACGTGGGTCAATCATACTTTCGACACACTGCGAACTAATGGTCATCCACAGTGCATCGATGAACTACGCTACAAAGCCGACTTGTACGAGAAGACTCGCATCATTCCTGTACTGGACGCTTCATCATGCGTACTGAAGTCAGATAACGCTATACCGAACCAGCTCAAAGATGATTTGAGGAAGGCAGTCGCACTCCTCGAAGATGTGCCTCAGAATCAGCAGGACTGGCACCCGGGGTCTGATGGTACAATGCTTGATTTGGTACATCCCTCGCTCTTCCCACTCGTATACGGACGCTCGCGCATCCTGCCGGATTCAACGATAACCCTCGATGATTGTCTCAACAGCATTGGCAAAGGTGTCACGGTGCCAAACCCGCTTAGTCGAGGTACTCCATTAAACCAAGATATCCGTAGTCGTGAATGGTACGGTAACCCGACCGACCTTTGGTCACATCGATTTCAATGGCTACCCTGCAACGTATCTTTCCCGGACGGAGATAACGCACGAATCGACTCCTATATCAACAATCTGCATCCGAAGGATCACACAGATCTGTACCATGTTATTGAGAAGATAATCACTAAAGCCATCCCTTTCTGGAATGTCGTCTATCAAAGCGTTCCAAATCATGGATTGTTGGAGACCAGCTTACGCATCAGCTGTGACAATGTCAGCTATACGTTACCCGATCGCGTAAATGAAGACATGCCCGACGACTTCGATGACGAAGAAGATTACTGGGAGTACAAACAGAGGCAAAGAGTCTACAGCTTACCGGAACCTGGCGAACCTGGCGAGCATTCAATCACAGTCGACGATGTGGAAAAGAAGTTCACATTCCTTGATCTAGACGATGAGAAGAACGAGAAGAAGTTTCAGGTCATTGTTAAGTTGGCCAACATACATTTGACACCCGAGAAGCCTGAGTACAAGGGTGGCTCGTGGCATATCGAAGGCCAGCTAAACGAGCACATCGTTTCCACAGCATTGTATTATTACGATAACAGCAATATCACGGAATCTCGTCTGCATTTCCGCACCAGAGTTGAGGCAAATCACTTCGCCGATGACATAAGCTACGAGCAAGGCGATGATCTTGGCTTCAAGACTATCTGGGGCGTCGATAACCAGGCACAAAATGAACAACTCCTCGGCAGTGTACTGACCCGGGAGGACCGTCTCATCGCATTTCCGAACGGCTTCCAGCATCGCGTCGGAGATTTCAGGCTGGCCGATCCGACCAAGCCAGGTCATCGCAAGATCCTGGCGCTGTTCTTGGTAGCCCCTACCATACCGATCATCTCGACGGCAAATGTGCCGCCACAACAACGCGACTGGTGGACTCGCGAAGTGAAGCTGGATGAAAGCAGAGTAGGGCAATTGCCTGCTGAGCTTGTCGACATGATCGCCGAAGGCGTCGAAGACTTCCCCATTGGGTTGGAAGATGCAAAAGCGATCCGGGAGGAACTGATGGTCGAGCGCAGTCAGATAAACGAGGCGGTCGATTCTGCAATGTGGAATGAGAGCTTCAGCTTCTGCGAGCACTGAACTTGTGTGGTAGAGCGTTGTCTTCCTCTCCACCTTAGAACTTCGTCGCGCTTCAAGCGTGAGGGGATAGCAAATGTCATAGTCACCTTCATTACCTTGTTCTTTCACACCCCACATGTCAATATTTTGATAACCACGGGGAGCGAGCGCGGCAATTATCATCATTGAGTAATTGACGCACCTGAAAGTAACATGAACCTTCCTTGTTTGACGCACGCATAAACTCTTTCCCAACATGTCAACTAACTAACCTCAACTCATCGTGACGCCCAATCACAACACCACTTCCAGCAACGCACGCTACACCAGTCCGATTGTATCAATTCCAGATGTTCAGGTATCATTCCGGAATTGAGACAGCAGCTCACGAATGGTGCTTTCAAGCTTAGCGTTTCATAAGCAAGCCAGCGCTGTGGCCATGGTGGGCTCCTCCTTATTGCTTCCCCGCCATAACCCCATAACAGAGTCAGCAGGGCAAATGAGCACCCCGCAGAGGGACGAGATAGCTGGGTACAGTGGACATCAGATGCGCATCAACCGCCGCTATTGATGGATAGCGGTGTCGCGAGTTGCGGCGAAAGTCCGGCGATGACAGCATTGGATAGAAATTTTGGGGCAGTGGATCCAACCAGCTGCAAGAGCCGCAACGGAGCGTTACACCGGTGCAAAATCTTTCGCCTAGGGTCTCCGATACGTCATCCCTCATATATGGGTCGATTGCTGATAAGGATAGCGTGGAAGGACATTCGTGTGCGACCAAGTTTCGGAAAAGAAGGAACTGCATCGAACTCCGGACGACTCGACGCTCACGCCACGGAACATCTACCAACAATAATATCAACGGAAGTCGCATTATCACCGCAATCATGTTGGGCCGCCAGAACTCAGTCAACTCGACACTCTCGAGGTCAAGCTCGGGAATCGTTGTACCAAACATGAACAAGACCGTCCGACCTGGCATGGAGCGCGCACCCACAAGCATGGCACTGAACAAGCCACTTTCCAGGCTACGACTCGATGGCCAGGTTGCTCTTATCTTTGGCGGAGCCGGAAAGATCGGTATCGAGACCGCAGGGCGATTGCTCGTTGAAGGCGCAACTGTTGCCATTGTCGACATTGACCAGCCAGCACTCGAGGGCGCTATCCCGGTTCTGAGAGCTGCTTTACCAACTGGTGTGCCCATCGAATCCCGACTCCTCACCATTGCTGCAGATGCGACAATAGAAGAGGATGTCGAGGCTTGTGTAAAGAAGACGCTGCAAAGGTTCGACCGACTGGACATTGCCCTTCTGAACGCCGGTGTACGAGACGAGGCAAAGAGTTTGTTCGACCAGACGGAGGAGGACTACGATCACGTCATGTCCGTTAACGTCAAGTCAGGTAAGCACTCAATACCGAGATTTGATATTATAGCTTTACTAATATGAATCGTAGCGTTCTTGTGCGTCAAGCACGTTGCGGCAGCAATGCGTGTCCTTGGAAACGGCGGCTCAATCATCTTCAGGTCCTCCATTGCCGGTCTCCGTGGATTCCCCGATCAAGCTGTCTACTCAACTTCGCGTTTTGCTGTCCGCGGTCTCGCGCTATCCGCTGCCGAGGAACTAGGCCAGTTCAACATCCGTGTCAACACCATCCACACCAGCATCATCGCCACTCCTGGCTACAAGGAAGGCTGGAGCCCCGAAAACCTTGCAGAAGTCAAGGAAGACACCAACCTCCCACGCTTGGGTCAGCCCGACGACGTGGCGAGCGTAGTCGCGTTCTTGGCCAGCGACGACTCAAGATTCATGACCGGAGGCTGCTTGAAGATTGACGGTGGGTGCGTGAGCTACTAAGAGGATGTAGTTTTGCGAGAGTTGTTTTCTTCTACGCATTGATGGAGTTTAGGACATGCATTGCATGGGGTTCGCATCTGGCAACACTGCAGATTGCCATGGACCATAGACTTAGACGATAGACATGACACGCACTTTAGCATGCATTCAATTATTCGACACCTAGGCAGTGTCGCAAACAGCTTCTTCTCATCTCACCACCTCCACGCGTCTGCCCCTCATCGCGCTGCAGATTCTGCTGTCAATATGTTGAACGAGTGATGTCATCGCTCCGCCACCCCACCATAACAACCCACAACGAGAGCATCACGATCCTTTCGGTCAGAGCTTCCAAAATAGAAAAGTTCATTTGATCGACTGCCAAGCCTTGATGAGTGGTTCAGCCGCTGTAGCTCCCGTAGCCAAGCTTTTGAACAGGTGCATTAAGCCACATCGAAGAGTTGGTGTTTAATAAAGCACTACAGCAAGCCATAGTACACATTGTAAGCCAGATTATGCGAGACATGATTATATTTTGAAAGACAGAAATTTGTTGTACCTCCGAGCCATGCGGTCTAGCGCTGAACCCTGATATTGACAGTTCACATCGAACGTCATAACGCGCTCGACCAGCTCTTCCGAACCTTCCGTCTTTTATAGACCTTCAATGCACCCGCGCTTTTCTCAATTGGCCCTCCTTCTTACCTTTAACTTGCAAACATCAGTCCCAGCTCGTCCTCAACATGCCTGAGACCCACTTCCATCCCAAGTTCGCAGATCACCACCCTGAGCAAGATGGCTACCAGTATGAGATGGAAATTTACAACCGTGGACTCGACTTCGAGCGCCCACCTCTTACGTTTCAAGCCGACAAGTGGGAAGAGCTAGCATGCTCACGTCTTTCCTCAGAAGCAAAAGGCTATGTGTACGGGTCAGCAGGCACCAGGGAAACTACAAACAAAAACCGCGCCGCTTTCAAGAAATGGTCCATAGTCCCACGGCGCCTCGTAAAAACGGACAACTTCCCTGACCTCAGTACCACCATTTTAGGTGAGAAACTTCAATTCCCTATCGCCATGGCACCCGTGGGAGTCCTCAAAATCTTCAACCCCAGCGGCGAAATCGCCGCCACAAAAGCCGCTGCCAAAGAAGCAGTGCCATACATCTTTAGCAGCGCTGCAGCCGCCACAATCGAAGACGTCGCCGAAGCAAACGGTCAGGACGGCCAGCGATGGTACCAACTCTACTGGCCTTCGCGCGAGCACGACGACATCACCATCTCGCTACTCAACCGCGCAAAGAAGGCGGGCTACAGCATGCTCTTCGTGACCCTGGACACGTATATCCTCGGCTGGCGACCAAGCGACATGGATAACGGATACAACCCGTTCATGCGGTCTGACCGCATCGGCGTCGAGTCTGGGCTTACGGATCCTGTGTTCCGCAAGCAGTTCAAAGTGCGCCATGGCGTTGAGGTTGAGGAGAAGATGGATACTGCGGCGCCGGAGTGGATGCGCACGATATTCCCGGGGATGAGTAAGGGGTGGGAGGATATCAAGTTTTTGCAGGAGCACTGGGATGGACCGATCATCCTAAAAGGCATTCAGACGGTGGGCGATGCACGGAAGGCTGTGGAGGCGGGTGTGCAGGGTATTGTCGTCAGCAACCACGGTGGAAGGCAGCAGGATGGTGGAAACAGCAGTTTGGGAATGCTGCCACATATCAAGGATGCTGTTGGCGACAAGCTGTCGATTTTCTTCGACAGTGGGGTCGGCTCCGGCGCGGATATTGCGAAGGCAATGGCTTTGGGTGCGGACTGCGTACTGATTGGAAGACCATACGTGTATGGGCTTGCGCTTGGGGGAGAGCATGGTGTAGCACACGTACTGAAGAGCTTAGTCGGTGAGCTGGAGCTGACACTGCACCTGTCAGGTATACCGAGTGTGGACAAGAAGGACCTCAACCGCAGTGTGTTGGTTCGGGAAGACGATCTGTTTAATACCGTCAAGGGAGTTGAGATACACTAGATTAAACCGATTTGGCAAGTAAGAAGGTATAGCAGAATCCACTTCGTCTGGAACAAGTTTCGATTCGGCCATCATCAATCTACTTTCGTTGCATTGCGCTTCACAAGAGTAGGAAGTCGCCGCGAGTACAGATTGGCACGTGCCATTACCCACTGAGGTGAAAGTGAGGGCATTGGTTAGTGCTTTTCTGTCACATTACGTTACTCCACTTTCCTCAATACTCCTTCGCCACAAATCTTAAGCGATATGATGCCACACAATCTGACCTCCTTAGACAGACAAGGCGTTGTTGCTCAGATGACTATTCAACTGCCTCTCGAACGATTCCTGAGCCCAAACGCACTTCGTGCACCTGAGAAAGGCTGCAAAGAGCTCGCCTTATCCGTCCCGCCCTATGATCAAAGCAAGAAGTGCGCTCTGTCTTTCTTCGATCTATTGCGCGAGCTACGGGACATAGTGCACGACAAGCTCTGGCAAAAGACCCCGCGCCTATACATCTCCAAAGTCTACAACTGCGAACCAGAATTCTTCGAGCTTGTCTATGGAAGAGACAACTCTAACCTCCATTCCAACCGCGCTCCTCACGCAACCGACCTACCTCAATGAATTCTTTGTAGCAAGCCTGCACTGGAAGAAAGCTTAGAGCAACTGTTCCTTGAAGCCAGGTGGCATATCTTCTTAACCCATCCAATCAGCACAGCCGATGAGTGTTCCTGTCTCATTGGGCTACAGGTCGCCTCAAATCTCACCTGCCACGCTGTCTGTGAAACCGAGAATACGCTCTCCGCAAGTAGACATTTAGAGTGTTGCATATTGCAAGCTGCGTATCAGCCGACCGCCCACATCACGCGAACCCCGTCCACAGCATCTGCAGGTCTTGCTGCGGTCCTGGACATTTCTTTAGTCCGTACACAGTCTGCAGATCATGTTTGATTACATCTCAAGAATGGGAATGAATAATGGGGCTTGTATCCCAGCATGGTTGCTCTCTGAAAGTCCGCGGAGGCTCTCGCTCACTTTGCAAGATCTTATGTGCTAATGGGCGGTCCCGCTACGATACGAAGACGTACATGCACAACCCCCCACGCCATAGAACCCTCGTTTCTGCAAGGCAATGAGTGCATATCCGCATGGTATATACATTGGGATGCGTGCTGAGGTCGAACATCAACGCAAGATTCCAAGTAGAGGCGCGAGAAAAGATAGGAAGGTGTCGATGTAGTACATTTGTACTAGGATAAGCTTTCACATACTATGGGTGACAGAAATAACGAACGAAATGATTTGGTATCGACGCAAAACCTCAGAAAATTCCCAACAAACCAACGCTCATCACTCGAAGCCGCCTCTCGGCTCGTGTGCCACGTTCCTAATGTCTTTGGTCTCAATGCGACCCATTCCCTTGTACATGTCGTGGCGATCGATCAGACTGTTCACTGTGGTGGCAGGCACAATGTTGTACTGGTCACCATCACTGCTGACAGTCTTGATCTGTTCAAGCTCGTTTTTGTCGAACGTCGCTCTGTTTGGGCTGTCCACTGCTATCGTTGGAGCCTGTTGCTCCCCGCTCTTCCTGTAATCAACAGCTAGATCCTGCATCCTCAAATCAAGATCTAGTGCCGGTCCACTTGGAATTTCACCCACGCTCTTGGAGCGAACGGGTTCGAGGCCATGGAACTCTTCACCTGTGGTAGTCGATGGCAAGACCTCGTTCTGTGGGACTGAGAGTGAGCGCACGGGGTCTTCAGATCCTGGGAGACTGTTCGATTGTCCCTTCTCGTGCTTATGGCTCTTGGACCAGGACTTGAATTTGAAAGCATTAAGCCAACCAGGTCGCTTCTCTTTCTGACTGTTGTAGCTGTTCTTGTTGTTGCTGGGCCGCCTTACTGGCTTTGGTGGGTTCAAGACGTTCTCGGCAGCGAGCTGGATGGCCGTCTTCTCTTCCGGACCACTTGAACCCCTCTTCTGAGCCACCTCGGGATGAGCTCGTAATTCGTAGTCTGACTTCCGCCGCGCACCAGCTGCACCGCCTACTGGCACGCCAAGAGAAGCTCGGTGGTTAGCAAGGGACGTCTCCCTTAGCTCATCGTTGATGTATTGAAGTGCTGTATCAGCAACCTCGATGTACTGCGGATAGTCGATCTCGCATGCCTCGCGGATGAGACGCAGCTTCTCCCAATCTTGTTGCACGACGGGCCCTGAGAGCTCCGGATGCCATGCCATAGAGCGGATATCGCTTTTCATTCCTCGATCAACCTGCTCATTCACACCGAGGAGGTTTATCAGACCGTCGACTTCGATACGGACGGCTCTGACAAACTCGTCGAATTTCGTGGTGTCTTTGACAGTCCAGTGATTTGTAGTCATGCTCATGGCTCGTTTGATGTTGGCCCGGGCGCCACTCTGTCGGACAAGATCTTGAAGCAAGCCATACTTCTCACGGAAGGCCTCCATTCGGTTTGTGTCCAATGCTGGGTGCTCGAGCATGTTGAAACGTTTTGGACTCTTCAAGCCATACTTTTCCATCAATTCATCTCTTGAAAGATGGCCCGGTCGACCGGCGATCTCGTTCAGCGCTTTCCTAACCTTCTCATGAATCGCACCGTCTTCCAGACGGGCATCTCTTACACCGAAGTTGACTGGAAGATGCGGATCGGGGTTTGTGATTCCAGGGTGGCTTGGGATCATGTGCCTGGCGATAGTCGCAGGTGGGGCAGAGATACCAACTGCATCGCCAAAGATGAGCAGTCTGCCCTGCTGCACACCCAATTTTGCTAGCGCGACTTTCTGCGCATGGTCGTTGTCCTTGGACGGATGGATGAGGTTGAAGGCTTCGACACAAGTGCTGAATTGTGTTGCAAGCGAGAAGACTTTGTCCAAGATCTGTGCTTTGGTCGGCCCAGATGTATCACCCTCGATCCTTTCAGTGGTTGCTTTGGAGCTCATTGCGGGGCGGGGTAGCTAGAGCTTTGCAGCTAAGCAGGCCTTGTTGGGTGGAGGGAGAACTTCGAACACAACTGGGGTAAAAGAGTTAAGGTCCGAAGGAATTGACTTGAAAGACAGGGGAAATAGCCCTTCATGAAGCTAAAGCAGTAAATGTTGAGTTTGTGCGCATGACGTCTGAGGAGCTGTTCCAAGCCTGATCAATGGTGGCGTCCAAGTGTGGCGCAGAGACTGCACCCAAGAAGCGAAGGTGCGGGGTCTGAGCTGATCAACACTTGAAGGCTTTTCGAAGCGCTGCAATTCGTGAGCTTGGTGCTACAGCACCAAACAAGCTTCAATACCCTAATTGCTCCTGCAGAGTCACTCGTCACCGCCATATGCTGTGGCGCGACACGTATAATTGAGGTTGGTCACGCAGGCTCCTCTAGCGGCTGTCGGCAGGATGCAAAGAAGGTTGGCAAAGGATTCACAACCTCGTACCAAAGATCTTTTGTGACCACATTGCTCCCAGCTTGCCAAAGGTTATCAAGAAAATGCAAAGGACAATGGCGTTGAGCTGGCATTCGCGAGGAGTCGGACCGGTGAACATCATCTCCGTATGAGGGAACATTGCAAGCAATTACAATTCGATATCCAGTGTGTCCAGACGTTTTGTTGAACGTGGAACGGTTGGCACTGGGTAATTGGAATGCGTAAGTGTGAAAAGTATCGGTTAAAAAGAAGGGGTATCTCGTAATTATCGGGAAATCGGTCACTGACCGCCATCGGTGGGGAGATGTCGATGCAAGTAATCGCTGTCGTCAAAACCGTAATGTTGTCTCGTCTGCGTTCAATACCATCATCTTGGTGTCATTGCAGTGTCGTCGGACACACGAAGGCTCAAATGTTAGAATACGGCGCTTTCCTATGTGATTTGTCTTCGCTGACGCTCCCAACGGTGCTCCTGTCCCCGTCGCTCTTCGTTTTCGAAAGATTGTCGTCTACACTGAACTCTTTTCTAACGAAGATGCCGCTCGGACTACGACCACGGACCATGATCCTGTTCCCTTTCCCCTGGATGGTAGCGCCAGCTTCGTCGGTAATGATGCCATCTTCGCTGTCGCGCTCTGGGTCGATGATGGTCTCGTCAGCGCCTCACCCACGACTGAAAACGGCAGCTGATGCATGTAGTCTGTCACTTCGCCAAGTGAGATGGTAAGACCCATCTGGTCTTGTTGTTTCTTTTCGTGAACGATTAAAAATAGGTCCAAACAGCCGCACGAAAAGATTACAAAGCATAGGCAGACAAGCACAGACGAAGCCGACATTGGCTTCAATGACAGACCAAATAGTAGCCGGGATCGGGCCCCAGGCGGGATCGGGGTCGCTTGCGGATGCTGCAACTGTAATTGCGCGATGGATGCGAAAGTGACGCTAAGTTCATTACTTATTCGCCCTGAGATCAAGCACCAGTGCCGAAGACCAGACAGATAATAAGCTTTTCGGTACGATCCATAGAAATTTTCATAATCTAGGGTATGGGCATCAGAAGTAACGCAAAGTCTGTCGAGATCTGTGTGGTTGCGTATGATATCCATCGAGGTTCGCTCTTGAAGCACAGCCTCAGCCACCTCGCTCTATATATATTCATCCCCAGGTAGGGGGATCTCTTTGTCATGCCTATATATAAACAGGCAGAACATCATTCATAGGAATGGCGAAGATCCGGTAGTGCGGACATGCGATTGATATCTTGTTGAACATGAGGATGACCTTGTACAAAATGTTCGCACCATAGAACCACTTGCGTGCGGTCATGTGTGTATTGGGATCAAGTGTCTTCCAGTGTCGACCGTAACCGTACACAAAGGCTGAGGATAGTGTCAGCTTCGTGTTAAATTTCCAATACCTGGACGAAGCGTACCTTGACATTCTGTTAAATACAGCAGGCCTCAGGAGATCAAAGCTTCAATGATCATGTAGTTATCCATCCCCAGGCCACTTCTTTTGGTTAATCTTTATATCAGTCATGCGCCCATCAAGAGTGCTGCGATTACAACCGCAAGCACCGAAGTGAGCCACAAACCTCATCCTCACTGTACAGGCCCTTCAGTACCAAGGCCTATGTTGGGCCCCATCAATGAGGGCCAGTCGAACGTCAAAATTGAGGTTGAGAGGTACGGGGAGTATGGTAGACGTTTCGTCCAAAAGAGACATGAGCGACATGAGAAGATCCTTCAAGCATAATGGGCGTAAGGCTACACACAAGATCGAAAGACCCTTTTCCAATGCCTTGCACGCGCAGGGTTTAGAGCAGATCGATTGCTGATAGGAGTCGAAGCGAAGGAACTGCATTACGGTTCCTCGGTCCAAGATAGCTACGCAGCGAATAAGCAAATGTACCTGTATTACTCCACCACGTGCCATTGGTTAAATCGATATTGTTCTCGGAAGGTGGCTGTGAGGCGGCAGGACGGCAGTGCCGCTTTACAGTCCAAGTTAACATGGCGTACAGCGGCACAATCACCGAATGAAATGGCTGCATGATATCATTAGACCTGACGATTAGCATGAGCGTGAATTTGGGCGACTGAAAACTCTGCCTCTCAACTCATGAACACGCGTGTTCGCAGGCCAAAGCATTCAGGCCAAGGCTGGCAACGTGTATTTTGAATCAGCGTTGCATTGAAACACCACCGTCATTATTTCCGATGCTTGAATGCTCCTTTACGATGCTGGGCTTACAACAATTCTAACATGTCAGCAATCACATCATCTTACGGCAGGGCTGGCAAACACAGTACACAGCAGCGCGCATAACTCAACAGAGACACCACAGTCCGCTAGCGTGTACAGCATTCCAAGATGGATACCGCGAAGCAGGTGTCGCTAAGTGATGAGTAACCTGGATAAGTCAATCCCACTCGTAGGTTTCTAGAAAATGTATTGGTCGACGCTAAAACGGCCGAGGGCCTTTCCTTCAAGAGTGCAGCCCTCGCACTTCCACGAGTTTGAGCTCAGCACTGCCTTTTGAACTTGAAATGATGCAGCCTCTTATTTTGACGGCAGCAGCTGTAGCTACGCTGTTCGGCTCGGTCACTTCAAGTTCACTGCAGTCGGGTCAAGTGCAGACGAGCATTGTGGAACCACCATTGGTCATGGAGCATCGGACAGGACGAGCGTCACCGAGTTCTTGGGTATTAGATACGCTGAAGCATCAGTTGGCGAGCTGGGGTTTGCGGCCCCGAAGAAATACATGGCGCCTCAAGGCACTGTCACTGAGGCTTCTGAGTGGATATGTTTACTTCTTTCCGGTTCGACACTGCTGTGGCTTGTGCTAATGATACTAGTCAGCGTATGTACACCTGAATAACTCCTAATTATCTAATATTGATCTCTAGATATCGATTGCCCTTCAAACAAGCCACCAGTGAGCGTATTCCCAAACTTCACTCAACCTTCTGAGTTGCGTGTGTGGAAGGACTTCGCCGCTCAAAACAGCAACCCTGCGTCCGAAGACTGTCTGAAGCTCAATGTCTGGGCGAAGAACGCCGGAACTGGTATTCCTGCATGGAGGGCGTAAGTATTTGTTTTCAGTATAACAAGTATCTACTGTTAACCTCTGTATAGGTTTCCAAATCCCTGGCCCACACAGTCCACTGTACAACTGACAGCCAAGACGTAGTCGTAGTCACGCCGAAGTGAGTTTTCTAGATATGTCTATGTAGTTCTTTACTGACAAGAACAGCTACCGTCTCGGTGTGCTTGGCTTCTCAGGTGCTCCTGGTGTTGAAGCAAATGCTGTGCCTAAGGATCACTTCGCTGCTGTTGAATAGGCACAGAATAACATCGCAGCACTCGGTGGCGAACCGGAGCGTATCTTCATCTCTGGTTAGAATGCTGGAGGAGCAAGCGACGATTACTGGTCGTTCGCTTGGAAGAAGGACCCCATCGTTGCCGGTCTCATTCCTGTCTGGAACATCACTGGGCTTTTTGCTCAACACACCGGACTATGCCCAGACTCTGTGGTACAACGTCTCGCAGACGGTCGGTTATGGTGGGCCTAGTTACGATGCCGCCACGGTTCTTTCCTGCGTACGATGTAAGGATACCTCGGCCCTCCTCGCTGCTGCTGCGAAGGTTCCTACACAAGCCTACACAGGCACTTGCTCAGGCAGCTTTCCATCTTACTGTAGACAACGTCACGGTCTTCGCTAACTACCAGCAATTGGCCGCCTCTGGTAACTTTACTAAAACCCCTCTTTTGACAGGTAACGCTGATCAGGAAGACGGATGGCACCGAATCCCAGAACGGGCCGCCAAGCTGAACTTCACCAATGCTCAATGGGACCTCTTCACTGAGCGCGGCTTTACATGCCCGGTAGCTTTGTCGACAAAGTACAGAGTCCAACACGGCGTTGCCATCTAGCGCTACTGTACAACTCGACTGCAGAGTTGCAGTGCTGCATTCCCTCGGGGTTCGAAGAAGGGCTTGACACAGTACGGCTGGCCTGCTGGCAAGGAGACCGGTAAATTTCATTCACGATCTCGAGACGATAATGCTAAGAAATTGAGTAGGTAAGTCTCGTTGGCCTCGCATACAACAACAGCCCATAGTCGACGTTCTTCGAGGCAACAACGTACGACAAGGCCTGCCCTGCAAAGAACGACCCGCTTCCCGGACGTGGAGCACTCTAGGGCAACAACAGATGAACGACATAACATGTACAGCATTCCATCAATAATCGCTAATAAGCATCCCATTTGCCTTGTGCAATGTGCGGTCACTTCTCCCCTCTGCGAAAGCGACTGTCAAAGGACTCTCAGCTGTGTTGCCGCGGTCTGCATTACTCGCCCCGGCAAGCCTGTTCCATCGTGTCATTCGGTAATTGAAGTCGGAATTCGTGCTCTGCCTTGGCAGTAGCCGGTACGCTTTGCCAGTATGAGGGCCGTGGTCAACGTTCTGGATGTTACGCCAGATCACTTATCCGTGAACTGACTCGAGATGATGGCCCTTCAATGATTCGTGGTGATATTCGCTCTAGGATTCGCCTGATTGGCCGGCAATCTATAAGATTTTAGTTAATTGCCGGGAGTTCAGTACTGCATTGGGCCTGCCACATACTCACTAACGAGTCACATAAGCCAAGGATCAGTATCCCTGGAGAAAGGTATTGAACCCACTTATTGACACGTGCCTCGGGGGCTAAAGCAGGCCCCCACTTCAACCTCCGTTTCCAAATCTCCCACCTTTACGTAGATATAACTTGTAATTGGCCCGTCGTTTGACCTACAGTTAGAAGTGCAAGAGCTGGAGGTCAAGAGAGAGAACTGAAGAACTGCTGGTCAACATGAGTACCTCAGTTGGTGCATGGCGGTTCAGTCCTCTAGTCACAGAATTTCCCGCAAATGTTCTACCCAACATTGGATTCTGGAACGTCAGCAATGGCACCTGGGAGTACCAAATCCAGCTCGCATGGCCACTGAACTGGACCACTCCGCTTGAAAACTCTACGGTAGAGACGATGTAAGAAAAGACACGCCACATTCCTCAACCTCAATATGTCCTCAATGCAATGAATCATCACCATCAAGAACAGCCAAGGACTAATGCACCAAAGGTACGTCCTCGACGGGAACGCCCAAGGCCTCTCAGCAACCGAAGCCATCCGCCGTCGGCGCCCCGTCGAATTCAACCAACCTGACACCATCATCGTGTCCATCGGCTACCCGGACACCATCGAAGACTCGCCCTACAGCACATCCCGCTACAGCGATATGCAACCGCCGGTATGCGTGAACTGCACAGCACCCGCGATACCCGGCGTACCATCCAACGCCGACGGTCTGATTTCTTTCATCGACACCGCTCTCCGGCCTTGGGTGCAGAAGGAGGTTTTCAAAGCGGCGACGTTTGATCGAGATGCGCTTTATGGCCATTCATTCGCAGGCCTGTTCGTTCTCTACGCTCTCACCACGCGGCCAGATCTGTTCGACACGTTTCTCTCCGCCTCACCCGCCCTATACTGGAATGACGACTACGTGTTCAACCACACCGACTTCCTTGCGCCTCTTAAAGCCAACGATACCTCCACCTCCCCTCACATCAGCAACAGTACCAAACCGGCATTCCAGATCAGCTACGGCGGCCTCGAGCAGTTCCCGAAGCAGAGGAGGAAGGAAACCGATGAGGAGTTCGAGTTCAGGAAGAGTATCCTGGTGCCGCAGAGGATGACGGATTTGAGTAATAGGTTGTATGAGGAGTTGGTGGGGTCCCCAGCGCTGAGGGACGTGGGGATTAATGTGTTTCCGAATAGTTATCATGCGACTGTTGGAGGTGCGGCATTCGCAGATGGGATTGATTATTTTTTGGATTGGTAGATGGGAGGTCGTTTGAGGCGGTGGATAGCGAAGTGGGTTCTACTTTGTTTAGCACTACTTGTCGGTTGTTGACAATTGCAATTTCCTGCTCTAAACATCCTCCTGTTGAGCGACTAATCCGTCTTCCTGTAGTATCGACACTTTAGATGGACACTGCAGCCCGAGTCCTCTCTCAGCACCCATGACGACTCGGTGACAAAATTCGCTGACTCATAAGGGCCGCCCTTGCCAATAAGTAGCCCACCAATGCGCATCGTCTCAGCTTTGCAGACAGCCTCGAGTTCCGGCGCAAAATACTCCGCCTCGGCTTTGTAGTCGCCAGACCCCTTAACATGTAAGCCGAAAGGCCGAAGTTGCAAGCTGCAACTGTCCAAGCCTTGTATCTGGAACGCCCAATTCGTGCCTTTTGCAGTGTTCCAAAAATCCTCGATATAGAACGATTTGGTAACGATCAGACTCTGAAGGGTCGAGCCTAGATGAGGTGTAATCTGGGTGATGGGGCGTCTGATGTCTAACGACCAGTGGTGGTTGTAGCTGCGGTATAAAGGGTCTGATTCCCTTAGATATACTCTATCGGCCCCTAAGTCGGCTAGGAGCGTCAGATTCGCAGGTTTCTTCAGGGCGATAAGCTGAGAACATTCGCTTTCATCGACAATCTTGGTCCAGGTGCCCCAAGAAACTTCCCATTCGGCTTTGGAACACAATTGTGATAAACCCTCTGCGAGCAAAGTTTTGTTGGTAAGCACCCACTGAGGTAAACCGTACGTGAGTGGATGGTTGATAGGCGTTGTGGTGTATTGCACTTCGAATTTATCATGGTAGCGCTCGTACTTCCTTGGGATGTGAAGGCGACGTGTTTGTTGCCACAGTTCTGGTAGATTGTATCTCGCAGCTCGCGCGGCAGGTCTGTGAGCGAGGTCGGACACCGGCGAAGATGTCGAGCATCATGCGGTGCATCTATTGCATGGTCGACTGCGTTAGCTGAGGGTGTTGATTGTGCCATAGTATTGGCAGATGGAATAGACATGATGTGGATTCAGAAAGAGCGTACTTGAAAAGGACCTAGTATGTTTGTAGACGAAAGAAATCAAGTTTTTCTCTTGCGACGAGAAGCATCCCACTGTTAAAATCAGCTTAATCCTACGTACCAAGCCATTAAGGCCTCCAGCTGTTCGATCGTGCTCTCGAGCGAATCGAGTTTGGCGAAATGAGCGCTCCCCGAATGCGTTCAACTAGCAAAAGAAGAGTGACATGCGTCCAAAGTACTGGACTTACTCCAGGCACCATGATCAAGAGTGCCATCGAGGGCGTTGGTGTTGAAGCGCAGACGCGTTCGCGGTGACGCCATTGGCTAGCATGTCTCCACACGAGCTCAGCCCTACGACCCGGAAACTGTCCTCAACTCGCGTGTTGCTGCCTCTACTACCGAACATCGTCACATTCCACTATGATCCAGGCATTCTTACAGCGCCTGGCCCGCTGGCTGGACCGGCCGCTCTTCCCGTGGAGGAAGCTGGTCGTCGGCTTCTCGCTCGCTGAGTTTGCACTCGAAAACTGGCTGCTCTTCCGCCAATACCGCGTCTTGCAGCGCACTACTGTTCCCAAGGCTCTTGACAAGGAGATTGATCAGGAAACGTTCATCAAATCCCAGGTAAGCAAACAGCGGGTTCTTTTGGCATTTCAGGATTTTCAACTCCAAACCGCACCCTGGAGGCATTCAACATAGCCAGCGCACTCGGGATCGCAGAAGCGCTCTGTCTCACGTTCAAGGGCTGACATAGTACAGGCATACGGCCGCGCAAAGGCCAAGTTCAGCTTCGTCTCCGCTCTCTTCAACCAGGGCAAGCACCTCGCTACCCTCTATTTCAACATCTACCCGATCCTCTGGAGCGTCGCCGGCTCGCTCATCGTCCGCTATGCTCCCGCCAGCCTTTCCGGCGAGATCCCTCGGTCGCTACTCTTCATATACCTCATGACCTGGGCCGAGACCATCATCGGTCTGCCCTTCTCGTATTACCACCATTTCGTCCTCGAGGAGAAGTACGGCTTCAACAAGATGACTATCAACACTTGGGTCACGGACATGATCAAGGGCCAGGCTCTCGGCCTTGCCTTCGGTATCCCGATCGGTAGCGCTTTCCTCGCCATCATCAGGAAGACCGGCCAGAACTTCTTCTACTACCTGTGGGTCTTCATGCTGGCTGTACAGATTCTCGGCATGACCATCTACCCGATCCTCATCGTCCCGTTGTTCAACAAGCTCGAGCCTCTCAAGCCAGGCAAGCTCAAGGACTCGGTCGAAGCGCTCGCCTCGAAGCTCGAATTTCCCCTCTCCGAACTGCAGGTCATCGACGGCAGCAAGCGCAGCGCACACAGCAACGCTTACTTCACCGGCCTGCCGTGGATCGGCAAGAAGAAGATTGTCATCTTCGACACGCTGCTCGAGAAGAGCTCTGACAAGGAGGTCGAGGCTGTTCTTGGGCACGAGCTCGGTCACTGGAAGATGAACCACACATCGCGGATCTTGTTCATTGCTCAGGCGCATCTGTTCTATACCTTCGCGCTGTTCTCCGTCTTCATCAACAACCGCTCGCTCTTTGCAGATTTTGGTTTTCACAGGGAGCAGCCCAACATTATTGGGTTCATACTGTTCAACGAGATCCTGTCGCCTACAGATGCGCTTTTCAAGCTGGGCATGAACTTCTGGACTCGCAAGATGGAGTACGAGGCTGGTATGTATACCTCCAAATGTCTTGACTACCTCCGGGCTAACGTATCGGGCACAGACTCGTTCGCTGTTGACCTCGGCTACCGCAAGGAGCTCGGTGCTTCGCTGCTCAAGCTGCAGATCCAGAACCTATCGAGCATGGACGCTGATTGGTTCTACTCCTCCTTCCACCACTCGCACCCAATCCTCACTGAACGCCTCCGGGCTATGAACTGGTCCAGCAACGAGAAGCTTGTCCAGGAGAAGGCAAAGGACGAGGACAAGGCCGTGAAAGCCTCCGATCGAGAGCTGTAAGGCTTCATCGTTGGATTGGACAAGCGTCGAGCGAGGAACCGGCGCTATCCTGCGCGATTGAAAATACTGGACAAGAGCGCGCAAGTCGCTGGGGGCATGTGCTGAAGACCTCCAGAGTGGTCTCTAATAGCTGGTGTCTTGAGTGGTCGCACCTGCGAATCTCGGAGTGTGCCCTCGAACGCTAGAAGCCGCTGCTCGCCGTGGGCAGTACTGACTGCCTTCAGCCTTCTCCATACCCATCACCACTCCATAGAAAATGTGCAATCCCAAACGCCGCGCTAGTGGTATCATCTCTCTCTTTCAAGCTCACGCCTTCTCCGCCCTCTTCTTCTCATTCTCCTTCTTCCTCAGCGCATCCCTCTCCTTCTTCGCCTTCTTCCTAGCCTCCTTGTCCAACTTGGCATCACCACCCTTGCGCTTCTCCCCCGTAATCTCAACCTCGGGCTCCTCGCCCCCTTCCCCAACAACATTTGTCCGCTCACCCACTTCGCCCACCTCCATCTCGCCCTGCTCCCGCTCATACGCTTCTTTGTCCTGCCACTCGACCTCCACAGTCCCCGCCTCCGCATCCGTGAACGTCGTTTTCCTGCCGCGACCCTTCTTACCTTTCCACTCCTTCCCGTTGTCTCCTTCAAGACCCTCTTCTTCCGGCTCCGGTGTGAGCTCGGGCTCGAGGTACTCGCCGCGCAGCCCAGCTGCGACGCGACGCAGGTTGTGCAGTACGACGCCGCCTGTCGGACCGCCGTGCGAGGAAAACGTTACGCCGGTCGGGGTGATGAGTGCATCGGGGTGCAGGTGTGGGTGCGACTCGGAGTTGGTGATGTAGGTTTGCAGGATTGTGGAGGCGGCGGAGATGCTGATGGGTTTGCTGGAGATCAGGCGGTGCGGTGGGGGCGCGTCGGGAACCATTGTGGCGGTGTGGTGTTCGCGAAGGCTTTGGAAACTTGAGAAAGGGCGGCTGTAGAGACTGTGTATTGTGTGCTTTCCGGTGTTGGGTGCTGCGAATTGAAGCGGGACTTTTTTGCGCGGCTATGCACGGACTACCGTGTTGTGAGCAGTCCGTGCGCGTCGTCACTGAATGCGCCCGAAGCGTGTTATACAGCAATATTTCTCAACACCACAACACAACAACAATGACAGGCATCAAAGAAGCACTTGCAGAGTGCGATACTTATCCTTATGAAAAAAGAAATCCCTTGGACAGAATTAGCCAAAAAGCAGGGTGTTGTTTGCTCAACTTTGACATGTAAATACCAAGGGCAAGACACAGTCCCACAAAGAAGCAGCTTTGGCACGCTGCAACTTGCAGCCACAAGAGGAAGCAGAGCTTATGAAGTACATACATAAAACTTACAGAAGCTCACTCACCACCTACAAGAGAGATAACACAAACTATTGCCAGTGTCACGAAGATGCTACGAGTAGGCCCTTTAGGACTCGCTAGGAGTCTAAATCAATTACTACATACGGTATCTAAGTAGGTACAAGACGTTGTGTACCGAACAGAACTCTACCAGCAATAGTCTATATACTTACGCGTGGGTTTGTTCGGTTACCGGTTAATAATCGGAACTGAGTTGGATAGGTATCGGGGTTGCAAGTCCCAGAGCGGGGCTTGCAGAATTCTAATACTCCCGCTTCAGAGGTTGCAGGTCCGCTCCGGAGGTGAACGGAGGTTGTACGTCCGCTTTGGAGGCGTGTAAGGACGCTGGGGATTTGGTGCGTACGGTCAGGGACAGTACGGAGCGGATCCAGATATTGTCAGGGGATCTGGAGAGGATACCGTGACAGAGCCATTGTGTAACGCCTTCGACCAAAAGCGCTCCGATAATGTGTGGTCCCTGCGGGACTCAGCACACCGCTCTCCTTCCTGTTGCTAACTACCTCTGTGTCACCTAGACATGGGTAGTTCCAATTCCCCTCTGAACTGTATATTTAATCAGTCCGACACAGTCGTTAGATAGAGCAGTTTTTCTGTATCCTTTTGTACAAGACTTATAGGTGTAGGGAATTCAATCCTAGTGTTCTCAACGTCCTAGCACTCCCATATGCCTTGTAGTGGACTCACACTTACTTTGGACATCTTCCCTACTGGCCTGCATCGTTACATTGACTAGACAACTACCTGACTATTATGAAGGTTATTACAACCCGCCCGGATAGTCTACCCCTGACCACCTGAGCTTTGCTTAGGTGACTGTCAACCCCTACGGCTTTCTGTACCTCTGCTCATCCCCAAGAACCAATTGACTAGTGTCTACAAGCTTTGCTTAAGGCACAAATTGTAACAGAGGCTTAAACATCACCACATCAAGTGGCTGCAGTGTATGGGTACTGTGAGGCAGGTACTGTAAGGAGGTGCCTTGCACTATGCCTATATATTAGATACAGAGCCCAATATCAGCAGTTGTGCTGATATTGATGTTGTAACAACGCAGGCCAGTAGGGAAGATGTCCGAAGTAAGTGTGAGTCCACTACAAGGCATATGGGAGTGCTGGGACGTTGAGAACACTAGGATTGAATTCCCTACACCTATAGGTCTTGTACGAAAGGATACAGAAAAACTACTCTATCTAAACTACAGTATTGGAGTCATTAAGTATCCCATTTGGAGGGGAATCAGAAGTACCCTTGTCCAGGTGACAAGGAGGTAGTTTGTGACAGACAAGGAACGGTGTGCTGAGACCTGCAGGAACCACATTGGTATTGGGGCGGATACGGTTGTAGGTGTTACAGATGTACTTTTTGGCCATTTGGCACAATGGTGTCATCCTGACATGGCTTGCAGCCAATAACAATCCACCCAGTCACACCTCATGGAACCTCATGTGTCATCCTGACATGGCTTGCAGCCAATAATAATCCACCCAGTCACACCTCATGGAACCTCATGGAATCCCATGGAACCTCATGGAACCTCATGGAACCTCATGGAACCTCATGGAATCCCATGGAACATCATGGAATCCCATGGAACAACACAGAATCTTCTGGTTGCTGACAAATGATTACAAATGATTACAAATGCCAATGTATCTAGAACATTCCAGGAGCCAGCAGTCTGTCTATAAAGGCAGCCTGCCCTCCTGCTCAGATAACTCATGCTTGCAATTCAAAAACTCAATCCACTCCTTCAATTCACCTCAGTAACTCCTTCCTCAACTCACTCCTCACTGATCCTTTGTGGTATTCCCACACTTGATCCCTTCTTTATCACTTATCCTTTTTACCACTTGTGGTATCCCCACACTTGGTCTCCTCTACACCCTTATCTCCAACAAGCCTGAACCATCCTTCCACCAATCCTTCCATCTCAGAGAGCAGTTGGTATCCCCACCTGGCCCCCTCTCACAAATGGGGCTCTGCATTGTTACAGGTACACAGCCAGTATTATCTTGTGCCAGTGACAGTATTCTAGGAATTCTTCAGTCAAGTACCTCCCATGGCCATTCACAAGCAACAGGTGGTACTTTCTCCTTGCTTTGGCTGCCCTGAAGCGCTGGAAAACTTGCTGGAGCCAAGCAAGTCCAAGGCCATCATTTGTCCAGCTGCTCTAGGATACACCAAAGAAAGCCATGTGTGTGCCTACTATCACATCCTCTACCCAAGTGTCTTGAATGTTCTTTGATTCTGCCATATATATAAGGCCTGGGAGAAGAACTGTACCATTGGCACAAACGCATGCCAACAAGCTCACCCACTTGCAATTGCCATCCTAGAGTTGCTGCTGGAATTGCTTCTTCTTAAAAAGCTTTTGACTGAAGAAGCGCTTCTGTCAGCCTATGGCTCCTACTATGAAGCTTTTCTCATCCATATTGTATGTGTGCTCTGGCTGAACATTGTAGAACTCAATTTTTTCAGTTAAGTGTGTGAATTATTGCTGATACTTCTCACCAGAATTGGCATTGTGATGTTGTTAGTCCATAGATGTACTCCATTGAGGTGTGAGCTCATCTTCATGACGCTGAACCATCTAGTCAACCCAACTCATGGAGACCTGTTCTCCAGCAATATCAATAGCGAAATTCTGAACCATTTCCCTTGTAGGTGGAAGGTGTGCTTCTGTGAGCTTTTTGATGTACTGTACAAGCTCATTCTCCTCCTGTGGTTGAAGTTTGCAACGTGCCAAAGCTGCTTCTTTGCATGAGTTTGTCTTGCCACGCTATTTATGTGTTAAAGTTGAGCGCACAACACCATGTTTTTTTTGCAACTTGTGTCCAGGGAATATCTTCTTTGCATCCAAAGGTAGTACACTCTGCAAGGGCTTCCTCTAATCCTGTCATGTTGTGGAGCTGTTGGGGTTGATAAAATAGTGCGTGAGACGCGTTCGGCGCATTGAGTGATGGCGTGCACGGACTGCAGAAACACAGTAGGGTCGATGATGTGAGCAATTCCACCTCACAGTTGATGCTGTCGAGTCTCGTTATTGCTTCTACGTAGCATAATGCCTTCTCCTGGAACTTGCGACGCTGGATTGGATAACGGTGTGCACTGCGAAGGGCGGGGTAAGCTGCACAGCCCCAGGAGAGCGCCTCATCCTATTCGAAGCGGTGGGCTATATAATAACGATCAAAACTCGGATAACTCATGCCAAACTTCTCGATTGATGCGGCAGGTCATATGTACATGCCTGTATGTGGTAACTTATCAGGTAAGCCGTACTGACCAGGTGTAAAAGATGTCACCGTAAGTTCCCAGCTCACACGACCAGCATTGCACAAGGCCGAGAACAACTCAAAGTCCAACGTGCTGGAAGACCATCAAGCCTAGTTGAGGCCAAATGGAAGACTATTTGTACGAAACTCTTACGGATGATCAGATTCGACTGATCCAACTGCTGCCGGGCGAACTCGACGCACCTCTTCGATGCGAGTTTCAGATACACTACTTAGAGACACCGCCTCAATACGAAGCGCTATCATACACCTGGGGACCGGCCATTTATAAGAGACATGAAGACGTGGGCCTTGAGGCGTGTATCGGAGGATCGCAGTAGACTGACATGGACACCGCGCTCCGAGATGCCTCTGCTAGCGTGGGGTCACTACAGTCACTCGACAGGCTTAGCGATGACTTAAGACTTCCGGTGTACAGCAATGCTCGGACAGACCGGTATTTTATCTTCGTTGGAAGTACTATACTGGTACTCCAGCCAAACCTCGAGGAAGCCCTCAGACACCTTCGTTATGCTGACCGAAGCCGACTCCTATGGATCGACGCGCTTTGCATCAATCAAAAAGACGATCTGGAACGAGCGAAGCAAGTCTCTGAAATGGGACAGATTTTCGAGTCAGCAGCTTCCGTCCAAATATGGCTTGGAGGAGCTTGCGATAACAGCGACGACGCTTTCAGGTTCATCGAGACTCTGCCGCAACTAACGGCTGACCTAGAGCCTTCGCAGGATAATCTTCATCAAGAGTGGATTGCCTTCATGGACAGGCATGCGCCATATGGTTACTTCACGATGACCACGGTCAATCAGCTCGAAGCACTCAGCTACCTAGTGAATCGAGACTGGTTTTACCGTCGCTGGGTGGTTCAAGAAGTCGCCTTCGCCAAGGCCATCGTCGTTCAGTGTGGCAGATGTGTGGAAGGGTTGAGAGTATTGATTGGTGTGTATTGCTATGGCGAGGATCGATCGGGACTATATAATGGGAGTGGATAGCAGTGAAGCAAACCGAACTAACCGAATGAGCTGGACTATCAGTGCAGCGGGCCGTTGGCAAACACTGCAACGGACCGCTAGCGAACAAGATGCACAGTCCCTTGGCCAGACTTTGCTCATACCGTCAAGTTCTTACACAACCATAACCGAGAGCTCATATACGTCCTTCGCACATTCCATATTCATGGAGATATGTTCGACTGGACTAGTGAGCGCCACAAGGCCCCCGATATACGAGTCCAGGCAGCCTCACGGTTCTTATTCATCACGAATCACCTCCTTCGCAAACACACCAAAGGAGGCATTTTCCAACGTCTGATCAAGATTGATACGCTCGTTACACGTTTGTGTGACCTAGAAACCTCTGAGCCCCGCGATACGGTATTCGCTCTGATCTCACTTTCGCACGACGGCTCCGCTTCCAACAGTCTAGTTCCGAACTACACTAAGACCTCTTGCGAAGTCTTTGTAGACTTTGTTTGGTATGTGATATCCTCAAGCCAGTCCATGGACATCATCCTACGCCCTTGGGCCCCGCGAACCGTGAGCGTGCCTTCATGGATCCTACGCACAGGCGCATCAGACCAGTCGAGGCTCATGTTCCAGGACAAAACGCTTAATGGTATACACAATCACGAGATCCATTCAAACCCTCTCTACGCCGCAAGTGGGCGGTCGAGCCCTTCCTGTAGGATCTATCGTCACGCCTCGTCATACGCGCTGGAGACGAAAGGCTTCATCATTACGTCTGTGCGACAAACCCGGGGCGATGCAGTTCACGGCGACGTTCCGATTAGTTGGGGAGCGCTGGCATATAGAGAAAAGTTATGGTCCTTCCTCATTGGTGGCAAGACATTAGAAGGTCTCCCGCCTCCAGAAACATGGCGCGCCATTTGTGAGACAGTCTTCGCCGAGGGCAAACATTACTGGAAGCAAGGAACGCATGATATTCCAGTCCATCTGACTGAACTGATTGATGCGATTAATGGGTCAGCTCATGACGAATCTAGACTGTCCAAAGCTTTTCTTGCTTCCTTCCCACAGACGGAGAATCTTCTGCCTTTCTTGGAGGGATTGCGAACTTGCACATGGAACAGACGCCTGGTGGAAATTTCAACAGGAAATTGGGGTCTTGCACCTCTCAGCACACGCCGAAGAGATATTGTCTGCATCCTCATGGGCTGTAGCTTGCCTGTAGTGCTGAGGCCCAAAGGTGACCTCTTCACCATCGTCGGAGCAGCATACATGCATGGTATGAGCGATGGAGAGGCAATGGAAGGCTTGCGAGAGGGGAAGTTCGCGTTGCGGGATTTTGTTCTTGTGTAGGGCACGATACCGGGTCTTGAAGAGAAGGGCAACATGCGAGAGAAAACACTGTTGATGTAGGCATCGTATCTCCCATTTCATTCTCATATATCTTCGCTGGCACATAGTCCCAGACAGACTTTTCCTCCACACGATTGTAGAACATCATCATAACGTTGCCACTAATGGCAGGCCCATCATGAACGCCTCCCTTCGCCGGAACACCCACGCTTGCCGCTGACAATGTCAGAATCCGAGAAGACCACCAAAAAGAAAACGCCTTGTATTTATCAATCATTATGGAGCCCATAGGGAGCTGACTGTTCTGGCACAGGCTGGAGATCCTCAATGGTATCTTCATGTTGTATTGCGGTTACACGAAGCATCGAGGACCTCCAGGGTGCACCAAGAGACAGAGTCACGACTCAGTAGCCGTAGGGGCGACCTCCAGCTCGAGCCTCTTTAGCGTCACGCTTCAGGGCATCATACTGCTGAGCGAGGTCAGGGAAAGCCACCAAGGCCTCCTGGGCGGGCAGAGGAATGTCGGCCACCGTCTTGTCCCAACCGGTGTTTCGGCGGCAGGTTATGCGAATGAGCTCTTGCATACAGTTCAAGGCGACCTGAATCATCTTTCGTGTCCAGATGGGGTCCAGAGAGCCATTAGGGTGCTTGAGAGACTGTGTGTAGGGGTTGATGAGGACAGGCCAGGCGAAGTTCTCGCGAGACGGGTTGACGGGAGTAGGTGCACGCTGTCCATCACACTCTTTGCCCAGCTTGTAGAAAGCGGCCCAGAGTTGGTCGAACTGTTTTACGAAGGGATTAGCAGGAACGTCGAAAGAGCTGTTGCTGTCATGCTGGCCTTGGCGGAAGGCCATCTCTTGAACGGCGACAGACTCGGGAACGCCAGCCAGAGAGGAGGCCTGAGATCTTTGGTAGTTGTAAGCCATGGTGGATACGTGAGAAGCCGAGCTGATAGAAGTGCGAGCAGCAGTGCGGCGGGCGCCGTGATCGGCAGCGCGAGCGGCATAATTGGTGCGAGTGGGGGTGTTGTTGACGCTGAAACCGGTGAAGCGAGCCTGCTCTGGTGAGCCGTACGACATCTATCGTCAGGTCAGCTATGCCATTATTAAGGGAGATGTGCAAAGTAATTCAAGGCTCACATGCTGCTGTGGCATTCTTGAGCCGCTATAAGTCTGAACCTGCGACCTGGACGGAGTTGCTGGCAGCGCCGCCCCCTCGTTGTATGCAAAGAGGGAGGCAGAGCTGCCAGATGAAGGTGGTGAGCCTGACGAGGAGCTCCTTCCGTCATGTTCAGGGCCCGCTGTTGCTACCAGTGCCACATAGGGATTGACGGTCTGGAACTGCATTGCGGTCGAATTGCGAGTGGGACCTGCGTAGCTGAGCGAGTACTGCAGCGCACATGTGTCAAGAATCAGCACAAACACACCTGCTGGTGAAACCTACCTGATTGTCCGACATGGTCTATTGCCTCTCAATGTGATGTAACAGCGTGTATGGCTATAATGGTGAAGCAACAATGAGAAGCGCGATGTGGCTCACTGGAAAACGACGACAATGGTGAAGTGGTGGGGTGAGTAAGGCGAGTAAGGAAGCTGTGGTGGTTTTGTTTGGAGGAAGTCGCGCGAGGTGACGCCAAGCCAAACGAGTCGACCAAAACATCTCACGATAGCCGTTGAACCACACAACAGGACAGCTCAGTACTCTCGTCGGCGCTGGAGGGCAATTTACAAGGCCCATTGTGGGGCAAGCACGTTCGCAAGCCCATGGCGAACGTTCCAGAACAGCCGGAAGGAGAGATGGGACAAACGCAGCTCGTCACTCCGCGGAGAACGTCTAGTTCGAAACTTAAGTATGAAGTGTATTTACTCAAAGAAACAAGATTGATAAGACAGAATAAGTGAAATGGTAGACGTAAAGCCAGGGGGAGATCTGCAATATGCAACTACCTCGAATGCAATCGGTCTGACGAACACAATTGAGTAAAACGAAAACGTGAAGTAGGAACTGGAAGAGATGATTGAGAATTCACCGTACTCTCAGTGCGCGTTTGGCTCCCATAGCGCAATATCAGTGACTTTCACAAGTTGCTGGCCCCTCTTGATAGTTGGAACCATGATGAGATATAGCTCTTTGGCCCGAAGAACAACTTCAGGGGTAGATGACATCATGGTTTCCAGACAGAGGGGGGTTGGCAACTTGTGAAGTCATTATAAACGTTGTCTCATCCAGGATCCTTTAAGGCCACATAACCAAAAGCGGTCAAATGCTTGTCCCTCTCCTTCTCATTTCCAGTGTTCGAGCGCGTTGTATCGGTCAGCAAGCCCTGCCAACAGCGCACGGCCGGTGGGACTTCTAGTCCACCTTGTGCGCTCGGTTCCTCTCAGCAGCTTCTCTCGCCTGAATATACTGGTACTTTAGTCGAGCTGCCTTGAGCTCCGCTTCCGCAACTTCAAGCTCTGCCTGCAGCTTCTGGACCTCTAGTGGCTCATTGGAAGTGTTCACGGCATCTGTGATGTCCGAGCGAGCCAATGCACCCGGTGTGCCGGAGAATGTAGAACGAGGGCGAGCACGTACGGCACCGACGCGAGCGTCATCGATCTCGTCTTCGTCGGAGGGAATGGTCCTACTGATACGACGCCCAGGAATGCTGCGTTCGGTGGAATCGTGGACTTCACGACGCTTGTCTGTGTGCTTCTCCTTGCGATAGACGGTTCCATCCTCGGCACGGCGGAGACGACCCTCTGCGCGATGTTAAATTGAGTCACGTGCATCTGTTCGAACAACTTACGCTTTCGAGGAAGCTGCAGGCGAGTCTCATAAATCTCGTGATTGCGCTTGCGGCCGCGCTTGGTGCCCTTTGGCAGTTCTGGCTCATGCAGCTCTTCCAGATACGAGTCGATCGATGAAACAGAGGACTCGGACTCAGACTGTGGCGCTGGGCGATCAGGGTGTTCGTACTCGTCCTTCAGCTCCTTGATATCACTCAAGCGGCACCATGGATGCTTGGTCTCATGTTCGTCGACCTTGGCCCTAAGGCGTGCTTGGAACTCCTCAAGATTGCCGCCGTTGAGGCGTGCAATGGACTTGAGATCTTTGAGAAACTGAACGCCCCAGTTGCGCGGATCATTCTCGGTCTGATCCTTAATGTGGTCGCGTCGCTCGCAGTCCCATGCACGCATGCGGATATCTTCTGGGATGATTTCGAGAGCGGCCTTGACGTGGAAGTCGGTGGCGAGTGCAGGAAGGAGGCAGTTGACCAGATCCTGGGTGTCCGCGTTCAAAGTCGAGAAGCGTCCCATGGTGGCGGATTGGTAAAAGTGCTGTAGAGGTGGTGGTTGACGGTAATCTTGTCTTTGTATAAGCACGTTGCAAGATGAATCTGCTTGAAGTGGGAGAGAGATGAGAAGATATGCTTGGATCAAAGCTTCTACTACTTGAAGCAAAAGGGAAGGGGCTGCGCTTCCTTGGAAACATATGCGATCGCTCCTGCTTAAACATCGAAGGAAGGAGTAGCGTTAGAAAAAGAGAGTTGCGCTTACCGTTGGCAAACAGATCACGAACCCTGGTGTTGCCTTGTGCAGATCTGAGGTTGAGGTCGGAAGTGGCAGGGAGAGGAAGAGAGCTTCAGGAGTCTTGCGATATATATGTGCCCTGCACGTGCTTAGCGTGAAATTGCCGGCTTGTCAGTGAGTGCAACTGACGGCTGGTGGGGCGTGCATTCCGGAGCAAGTGAAGGTGTTGACGGCTAGCGCTACGCGTCCAACGCAAACTGCTTTTCGGTAAAAGATTCAGCGAAACGTTTGCAAGCAACTCTTGACGAGTGTGAAGGAATTATTGATACCAGTGAAATGATTCTTGAAACACCAAGATAGTATCTTAACATCTTGCTAGAAGTCGAAGGGAATGATCTGCATACAGCTATGGCTTCAGATGTAGTGTTGGAAAGAACACATTGAAGCAAGACCAGTAACACCCACCTTTACCTTCGCTCGCACATCGAAAGTAGTCGCATGTGACAAAGCATCGCAACATGTCTAAACTCCAGGACGGTCGACAAGAGACACGAGATGCACTTAGCATGGCAAATACCACTGGCATGCTGCTTGCGCAGGACGCCTAGCTACGCATTCATAATGATACAAGGTAGCAGGAAAGTTCTGGGAATTTCAAGTTCCATCGAAAATAGATTGTTCTTTGATGCGGAAAGGAGTTGATGGGATGAACATGAGAGGGAAGCATCGATCAAGAAGTGTTGAGGTCTGGAGCGAAGCTCATTCTCGGCAAAAGATCCCTAGATTTTCGCGAAAACCTGCCCTTCCCATCCATACATACCTTCCTCTTCAAACCCACCAGTACCTAACTAACACCATCACCACCACCTTAACAGCTCATAAACACAACAATGGCCCAAAAGCGCTCACATCCCGAACCCACCCCAACAATCCCAGAAGTTTTCCGCTCCGCCAAAATCGACGAACAAACCAGCTCTTTCATCGGCGCCTTCTCCCCCAGCCTTAGCGCCCCCGCACTCCAACGGCTCCCAGAATTCCGCACCGCAACGCACAGAATAGCAGCCTGGCGCAAGCCCTCGCGCCAACAATCTCTAACCCCATCAAAACCGCTCTTCGACACAGGTCACGACGATGACGGCGAGTCATGGGCCGGCGGACGCCTGGCACGTGTTCTGAACGACACGCAAGTGTCGGGTACAGTGGTTGTTGCGAGATGGTATGGGGGCCAGAACATTGGACCGGTGCGGTTCGCGCATATTGAGAATTGTGCGAAGGAGGCAATTTGGAAATGGAAGGTTGCAACGAGCGAGGCGGAGAAAGAGGAGACGAGTAAGAAGCAGAGGGTTGATGATGAGGCGAGGAAGAAGGAGTTAGTAGAGGAGTTGACGCAGAGGGATCACAGTGTTTTTGCGTTAAGGAAGCTGTTGGCGGAGAAGAAGGCGAAGTTAAGTGGGGAAAAAGCTGCACCGCCTACGCCGCAGAAGGAGGTGGAGTATGGGACGATGGGGTTGGACGTGTTGAAGAGGCTGGATAAGGCGAGGGATGCGACGATTGCGGCGATTTTGAAGCAGATGGATAAGGTGGATGAGGATTTGGAGTTATTGGAGGGGTTGGACGATGATGCGCTCGATGAGTTGAAAGAGATGGATCCGCCAAAAGAGGCTCATTCTGGTGAGTTGACCGAAGTTGCAACGACAAAGAAAGAAGACGTGGCGGACAATGCTGATGATGTAAAGGAAGAGTTGAGGGTGGGTGAACAGGATGACAATGTGTCCGTCACTGCGGAGAATGCGAGTATCTCGGATGAAACCTGCAACAATCAGTCTATAATCTTGAGGACTTGAGAATGGAAGACCTCAAGGAAGTGATTGCGGATCTGACGCCCGAGGGGCGCCGACAGGCACTCAAGGCAAAGAAGCGGGCAATAGCGAAAACCTTGCAACGGAAGAAGGTCTAGATAAGCAAGAGTCGGACGGGTTGAGAAAGGAAGAGCCCGAAGGTTCAAAGAACCCCATAGATGTGTCCAAAGATTGGACCGATGAACATTTCAGCAATCTGGACATTTTGGAGGAGCTGGTGAGAGAGGAACTTCAGTCAACCGCATCAGATGATCCAGAGGTGAAAGAGTCTTGGCGAGAGTTGATAAAATACAAGGGTTTGAAAGCAGGAAAAAGCAGGTGATCAAGTCATTGGAAGAAGCAAACCAAAAGCTTAGGGAAGCAAACCAGCGACTCAGGCAAACTGAAGGTTAAAGGGTAGCTGAAATTAAGTCCGGGGGGTAGAAAGATTGATTGCAAGCCATTGTGCTATGAAGGCTTAGTGGGATTCTGGGATGGAGAGGAGGTCAAGGTTTGGGGTGCGGATTTGGGGGAGCCGAGTTAGGGCGCCGGGGGGTGTGGGCATTTGCATGTTTATGATGGCGGTGGAGCGTTCCGATTGTTGGATTTTATCCTTGGGATTGGAGAAATAGATGTAGGAGAAGGAAGCTGGTGTCTGTCCTTTTGTACCTATCGAAGCTTGACGCGTAAATTTCAGTGTGAGGTTTGGAGCTGAACCATACTCGAGCGCACTTCCCCGCACGGCGTGGACCAAGGTTTGAATGCCATTAGATGTACATACGCAAAGACGAACGCAGGAGATACTCCTTGTGTGGAGAAAAGAGAGGCTGTTTTCAAGCCATTAACCGTCAGTTCAGCCCTTGCCCATCTCTTGCAGCATGGACTGCTCGAAGGTCCAAGGTGTGTTGTGTCGAGATGCGGCCCAGCAAATGCGTGCTAGAGCACAATGTCACGAAACATGTACAAGGCTGCTCGAACAGCATTGCGCTTTCTCGAACGGAACTACATGCTGTTGTGCTCGAAATTGCTTCGAGGATTGTTGTACATAATCTATGAGGCGCCAGCTATGCGTGCAATGTACAGTAGATATACAAACAGCGTCTCTTCTTACACCCTGGCGTGTTATGTCTTGGGCTTCTTAGCGTTGGCTGTGTCATGTTTCCACGGCCTTTGTCGGTGCAATGACCAGTCTGGCAGTCTGTCGAACAGGACTGAGGCAAGCTTCGTCGTCCATGGAGGGCGTTTCATCTCCCACCATCTGATGTCGTCCGTTGGCGCCACAGATCGACATCCTGCCCCATTGCCTGCTCCTTCCACAGCCATCCTGTCTCTCAATCAGACAGTTTCTAATGGCTCAAATTCCACCGTCCCCTGGTCAACCTCCTCATCAGCAGCTTCCTCCCCTTCTTCGTCCTCAGCCTGCACAAGAACCCATGTCTCCTCTTCCTCACAATATGGCTTGGGTTATACGTGTCTCTTGGGCCGCACCTGATCTGTACGCCAGCGAAGGCGGGAGACGCAGAGATCTTGCCGACGAGATCGAGGGTCTCCAAGGATGAGGCGACGGCGGTGGAAGGTGCGCCGGGGGCAGCGAGGGTGGCGGGCATAGAGGAGAGGGAGAGCATCGGGCGGCGGGCCTGAAGGAGGGACATATTACGGGCCCTGGGATTGTCAGTAGAGAGAGAGGTGTGGGTGGAAGGTGCGGAGCTGGTCGTACTGTTGCGCCATGGAGGGCTTGAGGAGGGTTGTTGGGCGCGCGACGGCGCGGAGGCAGCGGAAGGCGTTCATTGTGCCTCAGTTGCCTCGTGGGTAAGTGGCCACTGCAACCAACGGTTGTCTAGGAAGGAAATAGCGTTTGGGACGAAGGACTGGGGTTGACGACGCGACGCCAGAGACCTCCGCTCGCTCGCCGATAGAAAACCCGCGCTACCGTGTGTCAGCGGTCCGTGCGCGCGTCGAATCGCCTCAACGCGCTCACACAGAAGTGAGGCTGTAGAGCCACATGCAAAAGTAGTTATCACGAGATTTCTTGGTGGAGTGTTCTATAGACCTACACAATTAACTTTGACTACACATATCTTTTTGGAAGTGTGGAGGTGCGGCCACGGCATGTAGTTTTAGTAGGAGCTGCTTGGGGCAGCTCAGCAGGACAAGCACCACTACGGGCAGCCGCACCACCACGCTGCTTCTTCTTAGGCCTTTCCAGAGGTTTTGCAGCTTTACGCTTACTACTCTGGGGCAATAGAATAGCTTTTTTGCGGTCTTACTCCTCCCTTTTGCGTTGCTGTTCAGCTTTGCGCGCATCAATAGCTGCTCGTTCATCTGCCCTCTTCTTGCCACGCTCTTCCTTCTCCTTTGCACGTTTCTGACGGCTCTCTTTTGTAATCTTCTCCTTGTATAGCTTGTTAGCAGCTGCTAACTCTTTCATGCTGGCCTTCTCCTTCTCCTGTGCCTCTCTCTCTTCTTGCGCAAGCCTCATGCGAGTCTTGGCCTCACGGAAGGAACGATGAGTCCACAACATGTTACCGTGTCTGTGCGCGTGATGCACGCAAGCGCGTGATGCACACCGAACACCAACTACACCAAACTTCAACACCACATAACTTCATCAGTATGAGCGCAATCAAGGCTGCAATTAAAGCTAACGTACCTCACGGGTGAGTTGGCCACACAGGTGAGTCGGCCACTTTTGCCAAGACCCCACCAAACCTCACCCCATTATGGCCCAAAGTAGCCTACATTGGCACTGTACAAGGCAAAACAATCTGTAATACTACTTAGAGACCTCTTCTACATCATTCTTGCACATTTGCGTGTTGTGCCCTATCTTGCTGCACCGTCCACAGCGTTGTTGACTTGGTTCACCCTTATCAGCTTGCACTTGCTTCTTTGCCTTCTTTCCATCACTGCGCACCCCAAACTCCTTTAGAGTGGCCAGTCGCAAGCCATCTTCAGCTATTAGGGTCCTTTCTGCCTTAACTCACTTTCTTTTGTGTGATTTACATTGCATGGCAGCCTCATTGGCAGCTTGAAGCTCAGCAATCTCCTGTTGCGCCAACACCAGCTTGTGTGCAATTATTGCTGCCCCCTTTGAGACCTTTTCAAACACTTTCACCATAGAAGTTGGTGAGCTGTTAGTATGTCTCTGGATCCTTGTCTTCACAAGCGTTGATTGCGACCCAAGTTCAAGGGTGTTACTTGGGGTTTGTAACTGCTAGGGCTTGTTATTGGTAGGAAATTGGGGTGATGGAGTGCACAGCTTCACATCAAGGGCCATTATGACCTGTTCTGGGTCAAATGGAGCCAATCCAGTGCCTTGGCACCCTCCTTGGATATTGCTAGGAGTAAATGAAGCCGTAAAGGCTGCTATAAAGCATAGTAGGAACTCAGTCTTTGTTATGTGCATGATCCAGTTGCGCATGAGGTTTTTGGCTTGGCACCCATATGCCTGCTTCAAAGGTGCAAAACAACCCACATCAAATGAGTGAAGAGGCATGCAAATAGGTATGTGTTGAAGTTGTACTTTAAGCAAAGCTTGTAAGCACTATTTGATTGGTTCTCGAGGATGAGCTCTGGTTCTGGGACAGTAAGGGTAAGGCGCCTGGGTGAAACACCTAACAACGACTTGGGTGCAATGAGTAGTACAGAGTATACTGTCTGGCTCGAGAGCGGTTGAGATTCCAATAACAAACTTGATTGATGAGGTTGAACACGATGCCATAAGGGCAGCGTGTCTATGTGCTATATACTGTAATGAGAGTGAGCATATTTGTCATACTGACACGGCTTGCAGCCAACCAGTCCTTATACATCTGTCAACCCCTATTACCCCTATCTGTCAACCCCTATTACCCCTATCTGTCAACCC